ATGAGTACCTCGTCATGCCATACGGTTTAATGAATGCTCCTTCAGTCTTCCAATCATTTGTGGACGAGATTTTCCGGGATTTGCATGGACAGGGGGTAGTGGTGTATATTGATGACATTCTAATATACTCCGCTACACGAACCGAGCATGTGTCCCTGGTACGTCGGGTGCTGGGTAGACTGTTGGAGCATGACCTGTATGTGAAGGCGGAGAAATGTCTGTTTTTCCAGGAGTCCATCTCCTTCCTGGGACATCGGTTGTCCGCGTCAGGGGTGGAGATGGAGATTGACCGCGTTTCAGCCGTGCGTAATTGGCAGACTCCCACTACGGTTAAGGAGGTGCAGCGTTTTTTGGGTTTTGTCAATTACTACCAGAGGTTTATCCGGGGCTTTGGACAGGTAGCAGCTCCCATCACCTCCCTGCTAAAGGGGGGCCCGGTGCGTTTGCAGTGGTCGGCTGAGACGGACCGGGCGTTTAGACATTTGAAGGACCTGTTCACCTCGGTTCCGGTGCTGGCACATCCGGATCCCTCTTTGGCGTTCCAAGTTGAGGTGGATGCGTCCGAGGCGGGGATCGGTGCTATACTGTCTCAGCGCTCGGGCACGCTTCCAAAACTCCGCCCCTGTGCTTTCTATTCTAAGAAGCTCAGTCCGGCGGAACGCAATTATGACGTGGGGTAAGGGAGCTGCTAGCGGTGGTTCAAGCCCTGAAGGTGTGGAGACATTGGCTTGAGGGGGCTAAACACCCTTTTCTCATTCTGACTGACCATCGTAACCTGGAGTACATCCGGGCAGCGAGGAGACTGAACCCTCGTCAGGCTAGGTGGGCCATGTTTCTTGCCCGGTTTGTATTTAAACTCACTTATATCCCAGGGTCACAGAACGTTAAGGCAGACGCCCTGTCCCGACGATATGACACAGAGGAGAGGTCCATTGAGCCCACTCCCATACTTCCGGAGTCTTGTCTAGTGGCACCGGTGGTGTGGGAGGTCGACGCGGAAATCGAGCGGGCGTTACGTACCGACCCTACTCCCCCAGAGTGTCCAGAGGGGCGGAGGTACGTGACGCTCGAGGTACGTGATCGACTGATATATTGGGCTCACACGTCACCCTCCTCTGGTCATCCTGGTATTGGTCGGACGGTGCACTGCCTTAGCGGGAAGTACTGGTGGCCCACCTTAGCTAGGGACGTGAGGGTTTACGTTTCTTCCTGCTCGGTGTGCGCCCAGTGTAAGGCGCCTAGACACCTGCCCAGAGGGAAGTTACAACCTCTACCCGTTCCACAACGGCCGTGGTCTCACCTGTCGGTGGATTTTGTCACGGACCTTCCCCCCTCCCAGGGGAATACCACGATCTTGGTCGTTGTGGATCGGTTTTCTAAGGCCTGCCATCTCATTCCTATGCCAGGTCTTCCTACAGCCCTACAAATGGCCGACGCCCTGTTTACTCACGTTTTCCGGCACTACGGGGTGCCTGAGGATATAGTGTCTGATCGGGGTCCCCAGTTCACCTCTAGAGTTTGGAGGGCGTTTATGGAACATTTGGGGGTCTCGATTAGCCTTACCTCGGGTTTTCACCCTGAGAGTAATGGGCAGGTGGAGAGAGTAAACCAGGATGTGGGTAGGTTTCTGAGGTCCTATTGCCAGGACCGGCAGGAGGAGTGGTCGGGGTATATCCCCTGGGCAGAGATAGCCCAAAACTCACTCCGCCACTCCTCCACTAATCTTATGCCTTTTCAGTGTGTGTTGGGTTATCAGCCGGTTCTGGCACCCTGGCATCAGAGCCAGATCGAAGCTCCTGCGGTGGATGAGTGGTTTCGGCGCTCGGAGGAGACATGGAACACTGCGCATGTCCATCTGCAGCGGGCCATCAGACGGCAAAAGGCGAGCGCCAATCGCCACCGCAGTGAGGGTCCGGTTTATGCACCGGGAGATCGGGTCTGGCTCTCGACCCGAAACCTGCCCCTTCGCCTGCCCTGCCGGAAGCTGGGTCGGCGGTTTGTGGGGCCATTTAAAGTCCTGAGGAGATTGAACGAGGTATGTTATAGGTTACAACTGCCCATTAATTACCGCATTAACCCCTCGTTCCATGTGTCTCTCCTCAGGCCGGTGGTAGCTGGTCCACTCCAGGAGAATGAGATACGAGAGGCTCCTCCGCTCCCACTAGACATCGAGGGGGCTCCGGCGTACTCAGTCCGTTCCATCGTGGATTCGAGGCGTCGGATGGGGGGTCTGCAGTATCTCGTGGAGTGGGAGGGGTACGGTCCGGAGGAACGGTGCTGGGTCCCTAGGAGGGACATCCTAGATCCCTCCCTGTTGAGGGATTTCCACCGGAGTCATCCGACTCGCCCTGCTCCGCGTCCTCCTGGCCGTCCCCGAGGCCGGTCTCGGCGCACGGCTGGAACCGCGCGTCAAGGGGGGGGTACTGTCACGGATTCTGCCGAGGCTGCTCCTCCTCCTTGCTCGGGCAGGCTTCGGCGTTCGTCGTCCCCGGAGTACTAGCTGCTGCCGATCGATGTTTCAGTGTTTGTCTAGTTTAGTCTGTATTGTTTACACCTGTTCCCCATTATGTTTGATTGTATGCCCTATATTTACCCCTGTCTCTCATTTGGATTTTGTGTGTGATTGTTTCTTTGTGACGTGTGTCGTTGGTGAGCGGGTTAGTTCCTCCCTGTGTGGAGGTATTCTGTTTCATGTTCTTTGCATTCTGAGTAAGTACGTTTCCGAGAGTTCTGTGTCCTGCGCCTGACTTCTTCCACCGCATTTCACTGACATTCGTGACATGTGGTCACAATATACCCCAGGTCTCCAGTTTGCACAGTCTATAGCCTATGTAATATGTCTTGACTGTCTGTATAGCCTATTTGTTTCAGTTTGGTCTATGTATCTGAGAAGGAGTTATACAGTTGTTGTCTCACTATATCTGTGGTAAACCGCTGCGTAAAAGCTATCCAAATTTGGAGAGCAGTGAAGCAGCTTTTTAGGAAGCCCCTGGGGTAATGCATAAAATATATGCTGAAGCTGTGCACTATTACCAACGTATTATTGCAATTACCATATATTAGGCATATTAGGCATATGATGAGTTATTGAACAACACAAACTGACAGGCCTGACTTCTAGGTCATTTGTTAATGGCAAAGATTCTGATCGCTGCATGAGTATGGGACCATTAGAGTCTGTAAGATTATAAATATTAGCACTGTCTGGGTTTTAGATGCCTCCTGATTGAGTCAGTTCACATTTACCAAGAAGAGACAGGATAACCTAGTTATAGCCTAGTTATACCTATAGCCTACCACAATTCCACTTACGGACTGATGTGTGTTGAAACACAAGCTCCAGGAGAGATGGATGCACTGACTCTGTTCACATTGTTTCCATTTAGCCTCCCCCTAAACTTACAATAGTCGTCGTCGCTGTGGTGTGGCGCAGGAACCACATGCACAAAAAACATATATACACTACCAGTCAAAAGTTTGGACACACCTACTCATTCAAGGGTTTTTATTTATTTTTACTATTTTCTACATTGTAGAATAATAGTGAAGACATCAAAATTATGAAATAACGCATATGGAATCATGTAGTAACCAGAAACGTATTAAACAAATCAAAATGTATTTTATATTTGAGATTCTTCAAATAGCCACCCTTTGCCTTGATGACAGCTTTGCACACTCTTGGCATTCTCTCAACCAGCTTCATGAGGTAGTCACCTGGAATGCATTTCAATTAACAGGTGTGCCTTCTTAAAAGTTAATTTGTGGAATTTCTTTCCTTCTTAATGCGTTTGAGCCAATCAGTTGTGTTGTGACAAGGTAGGCGGGGTATACAGAAGATAGCCCTATTTGGTAAAAGACCAAGTCCACATTATGGCAAGAACAGCTCAAATAAGCAAAGAGAAACGACAGTCCATCATTACTTTAAGACATGAAGGTCAGTCAATACGGAAAATATCAAGAAGTGCAGTCGCAAAAACCATCAAGCGCTATGATGAAACTGGCTCTCATGAGGACTGCCACAGGAATGGAAGACCCAGAGTTACCTCTGCTGCAGAGGATAAGTTCATTAGAGTTACCAGCCTCAGAAATTGCAGCCCAAATAAATGCTTCACAGAGTTCAAGTAACAGACACATCTCAACATCAGCTGTTCAGAGGAGAATGTGTGAATCAGGTGTTCATGGTCGAATTGCTGCAAAGAAACCACTATTAAATGACACCAATAAGAAGAAGAGACCTGCTTGGGCCAAGAAACACGAGCAATGGACATTAGACCGGTGGAAATGTGTCCTTTGGTCTGGAGTCCAATTTGGAGATTTTTGGTTCCAACCGCTGTGTCTTTGTGAGAAGCAGTGCGGGTGAATGGATTATCTCTGCATGTGTATTTCCCACCATAAAGCATGGAGGAGGAGGTGTTATGATGTGGGGGTGCTTTGCTGATGACACTGTCTGTGATTTATTTAGAATTCAAGGCACACTTAACCAGCATGGCTACCACAGCATTCTGCAGCGATACGCCATCCCATTTGGTTTGGGCTTAGTGGGACTATCATTTGTTTTTCAACAGGACAATGACCCAACACACCTCCAGGCTGTGTAAGGTCTATTTTACCAAGAAGGAGAGTGATGGAGTGCTGCATCAGATGACCTGGCCTTCACAATCCCCTGGCCTCAACCCAATTGAGATGGTTTGGGATGAGTCGGATGGCACAGTGAAGGAAAAAAGTGCTAAGCAAATGTGGGAACTCCTTCAAGACTGTTGGAAAAGCATTCCAGGTGAAGCTGGTTGAGAGAATGCCAAGAGTGTGCAAAGCTGTCATCAAGGCAAAGGGTGGCTATTTGAAGAATCTCAAATAATAAATATATATATATATATAGATTAGTTTTTTTTAAATGTGGTTACTACATGATTCCATATGTGTTATTTCATAGTTTTGATGTCTTCACTATTATTGTACAATGTAGAAAACAGTAAAAAATAAAGAAAAACCCTTGAATGAGTAGGTGTGTCCAAACTTTTGACTGGTACTGTATATGGACAGTGTGAGGGCGCGGTCAAGACTCCACCGGGATTGATTGACAGTTCCTGTGGGAGTGGTGGATGCAATCTTTGCAAGAGCTTTGCTCCGAGCTCCGCTGGGGTTGGGCCGGTGGCGGTACCCGGGTCAGGAGTGTGGTGCGGCGGATGCTGCTGTTCGAGTCCTGATGGCCGAACTTCTGGAGCAGCCTCCGGCAGCACGGCAGACAGTGGACCATGTCAGAGAGGAAGTGGCCGCTGAAGATCATGTAGATCCACGGGTTACAGCAGCTATTCAGACTGGCCAGCAGAGCCGAGAGCGTGACTGCGGTGTTCTCGGAGTCTGGAGAGAGAGAAACGGGGAGGAGGGGGTGTCGGCCAGTCAGTGAAGGAGAAAACATTAAAGCTTGTTCTGTTTATCTACTAGCAGTGGCACACACTATTTATGCGTATTCTCGAGGGAGTCTCAGTAAGCCACTGGGTCTAAAGGGTCACTGACTCGCCAGCAAAATATTTAATTAGCTTTTGGAGACCGTTGGTTGTTTTCACAACTGTCTGTCACGCCTGCACAACGGTTGCATTAAATTGTTTAACAATTATGTATGCCCTTTAGGTGATTCTGTTGGTTTTCTATATTGTGCACTGTCTGATAATTCAAGCCACAGCAGAAGGAATAACATCAGCTACATTCACACGTCATCAAGGCAATTAATTATGAGTTAACACATGCACAGAACTGATAATCAAAATACTTCCAGTAAGATATTTTTGTGCGTGATTGTTCCATTGTGGTCACAATGTACCCCGGGTCTCCAGTTTGCACAGTCTATAGCCTATGTAATATGTCTTGACTGTCTGTATAGCCTATTTGTTTCAGTTTGGTCTATGTATCTGAGAAGGAGTTATACAGTTGTTGTCTCACTATATCCGTGGTAAACCGCTGCGTAAAAGCTTTCCAAATTTGGAGAGCAGTGAAGCAGCTTTTAGGGAAGCCCCTGGGGTAATGCATAAAATATGTGCTGAAGCTGTGCACTATTACCAACATATTATTGAGTAAGTAGGCCTAAGCAATAATGGAATGTTTAAAAACACTTAATGCGTCACATAATGAACGGAGACATGGCACCAGAGCGCGCTGCCACTGACTCACGGCTCAGAACCCAAATATAACACTTACCATCCCACGAGAAGCTCTCATCCCACACCGACCACATCTGCACGGTGAAAAACGGAGCCCAGCACACCACGTACGCCAGCACGATCACGAAAGTCATCTTCACTGTGCGCAGCTTGGCGCGCGAGATGGTGGTGACGCTGCTGACTGAACTCTTCCCGATCAGCCCATTCTTGGTCGCAAGTGCCATCGCGCTCGTGCCCTTCTGGGTCTTGTACTTGATGTTCCGCCAGATGGATCGGCAGATAAAGCCGTAGCACAGCATGAGCACGGCCACGGGCACGAGGAAGATGCCCACGGTGATCCAGGTGATGTAGGCGCGCACGCCCCACGGCTGGATGAAGTGACCCCAGCAGTCATACACCGCCGAGCCTGGGTGGACCTCGCTCAGGGAGAAGATAAAATACTGGGGCATGCTCAGGATAAGACTACACACCCAGGTGGCTCCGATCATCATATAGGCGCGCTGCGTGGGCTGGTGAAGGGTCTGCATCGGGTGACAGATGGCGATATAGCGGTCCAGCGTCATCATCACCATCATGTAGGTGGACGCGAACATCCCTAGCACCTGCAGGTGCTTGACGATGCGGCACAGGAAGTCAGGCCCGAAAAAGCGGAAGGTGATCTCCCAACAGAGCTGCGGCAGCACCTGGAAGAAGGCCACCACCAGGTCCGCGAGGCTCAGGTGCTTCATGAACAGGTGCATGCGCGAGGGCTTCCGTCGGCTCATGTACATGGCCAGCAGCACGCTCAGGTTCCCCACCACAGCCACGACGAAGGTCACGCTAAGCACCGTGATCTCGATCTTGGCGACCTCCTCGTTCCGGCCAAACGGGTCGCTGGAGTTCCCAAGAGCACCGGTGGAGTTCCCAGGGGCCTCCATCATCCCCGGCTTGCTCGTAGGGTCGAAGCCTATGTTCAAATTGTCATCCATGAGGTTGAGTGAGCTCTCTGAAGGGAAGAGTGCGTCTCCGGAGAAGTGCATGGCTGCCCTGATCCAATCCGCGCGCACTATCACCCGCTGCCACCTGGCTGCATTGAGAATGTGTGAGTTTGTTTTAAATTCAAGTCATTTCTTAGAGTCTATGGTCTATATAAACCTGCTCATTGAGCACAGACAGACAGATGTGTTGGCTTGGCAAAGATGTGGAGCACTTCATGGTGTGAAACTGTGTCTGTGCGCAGTCGCCCCCAACCCTTTTTAAATCCTCTTATACCGCTGAGACCGCCCCCCACATCGCCCACCGCCGCTAAACAGCCTTGGACACAAAAACAACAACAGAGAGAAACAGCATGTATGAAAAACATTATAGTTTGAATGGGTGGAATTTCTCAGAAAGACTCGTTACCACTCCCAAGTAATAGGGAACACACTGATGTTTTCCCATGTAAATGCCTCCATATTCTGTACTGCAAACCCAAATAACTAATGGTGCAATCAGTGCGTAAATATTCACAATGCGCGCTACTGGTCCATATTCCATATCCATTTACTTATCATGCCTCATCCTTTTTGAAAAGGTAACAAGAAAAGTTCAACTTCTAAGGTGACACATTTTTGTCTTTGAGATGATCTTGATGATGAAGATGTACTGATGTCATGCAATGTTGATTATTATATTACTGTGAAGCCAGAGGGACTTTCCCACATTGTGTGGACAATAAAAGGTTTTCTATTATATTACATTCTGACATATGACATCACTCTCTCTCTCTCCCCCCCCCCCCCTCCCCCCTCCCCCCCTTCTCGGTCTCGCTCTCAGTCTCCCTCTCTGTCTCTCTGTATGTATGTATGCTGTATGCAAAGCCTGTTTTAGCATTTTCTCCTGCATGGTGAACTCTATGGACTGTATGGAGATTCTGGAATACCACACTACTACTCTCATCTCCCCTGGGACCCTGGGTAATGTGTGAGAAACCCGCGCACTAGGTGTCCACAACACAATGCAGGAATACCTTGTGCGTCACACATGTGTGAGTAGGCTACTCTATAGGTGTAGATACATTCGCTAGCTACAGTAACATCGTTGGCTCTGATGTTCTCGGATCTAAATGTTCCTGACCCCACTCAGATCTGACCCCCCCACCCCAGGGGCCCAATTTTTACTTATTGTGATCTATTCCTGGAGATGACACAATGTGTGTGTGTGTGTGCGTGTGTGTGTGTTGGTGTGACTCCCGAGTGGCGCAGTGGTCTAAGGCACTGCATCGCGACCGGGAGACCCATGGGTGGCGCACAATTGGTCCAGCGTCGTCCAAGGTAGGGGAGGGTTTGGCCGGCAGGGATGTGGGTTCGTTTCCCACGGGGGGCCAGTATGAAAAAAAAAAAAAAAAGTATGCATTCACTAACTGTAAGTCGCTCTGGATAAGAGCGTCTGCTAAATGACTAAAATGTAAAAATGTAAGTGTATGTGTTTGTGGGGGTGTGCAAATGTGGAGGGAAGCAGGCGTGAATTTGTGGGAGGTGGTGTTTCTGTAGGATTGATGATGAGGTAGATGTTCTCTGATGATAACCTGTATCTCCAGTATTGCTCAGATTTCATCACTGTGACCCAGCGATAGAGATTAGTTAGAAATTAGTTACAGCTGTAATAGAGTGCTTAGAAATGTGTAAAAACGGGCTAGCTCAGGTTCAGACTTCTTCAACTTATTTGTTCTATTCCAGTAATCACACCTGATTCAACTGATCTACTAATCATCAAGTCCATGATTAGTTGAATCGGGGGTGTGAGAATACCGGAATAGATCCAGTAATTGTGAAGCTTGGAAAGACTATTCTAGTAATATATATATTTTTTAATCATTTCGTGAACTAACACTCGCACTTGACTTTTTCCCCCCTTACTAGCTCTGACTTTGCTGATGCCTACTTTATTGATGAAAATGTACTTACTAGGACAGTGATATGTGGTTGTCCCACCTAGCTATCTTAAAGTGGCAATCAGGAGTTGAAACAATAACAAAGCATTTTCCCCACCACTGTTTCTGTAAAAAGCGGGGGGGTATGGGGCTGGAGAAATATAACCAATCTCAAATTCAAAGACAGAGCTATGGATGCAAGGACTGACCATACATGATATCAAACATATAGTTTTAACCATGTTTGTAGGCCAAATAGTGTGTGTTTACATTTACTTTGTTTACAAACATTGGAGTAAAACAAGTGTATATTTTGGATTCTGATGTGGTACGACAGTTTCTTCATTTTTAAGTACAAAAATGGATGTAGCATTTGCTGATTGCCTCATTAAGATGAATGCACTAACTGTAAGTCTGCTAAATGACTCAAATGTAAATGTAATTCATACACTATTTTGTGGAGCAATAGAAGAGCATTGTTTCCACATTACAGTAGAGACACACAGGGCAGGGAGATTGTGTCATCTTATCTCCTCTCAAATATTGAAAGGCCTATCTTTCTACCTGCCCACCCATGGCACTGCCTCCCTCTGACTTCTGAAAACGATCCCTGGTCAGTTCGTCCACCTCTCTTGTCCTTTAATGTAAGATACAACGTGTGTGGGTTGTGTGAAACACTCCTCTCCTCGCTGAGCTCTCCTGATCTGAATTACAACATTGTCCCTGTAACCTTACAAGGCCCTTACAACTATTTTAATGTTCAATCTATATGCAGAGAGTGAAAACCAGCAGAGAAGGATGCGAAGCGGCTCTCACGGAAGAACGTGTTTCTCATGTCAAAGAGTCGGAACCAGATGGGGGAAGAACGGATTGCAGATGGTGAGTTACGTAACGTGTTGTTAGATTACAAGCTATGGAGAGTAATAGGAATGTCAGAGTATATGGATTTATGAAGCCGGCCAGTCACTAGGCATGTCAGACTTTCACTGCAGACACTGATACCCCATTCAACTCCATGTATAATATCAAATCAAAATAAAATATAATTTTCTTGGTCGCATACACATATTTAGCAGATGTTATTGCGGGTGTAGTGAAATGCTTGTGTTCTTAGTGTAAGGGATCGGGGGTTGGCTGGGTCTAGACAGAGTCTGACACTTCCCCGATCTACAGAGAGGGGGAGTCATCAGACTCGATCTGGTTCACCTGAGTTCTGAGCACACCTGTCAGTAATTAGTGTAGGATATAAGGTGTGCTCAGAAGTTCAGTCGGTGCGAGGTATTGTTCCTTTGTGACTTGCTAAGCGTTTTGTTCAGAGAGAGAGAGAGAGAGAGAGAGAGAGAGAGAGAGAGAGAGAGAGAGAGAGAGAGAGAGAGAGAGAGAGAGGAGAGAGAGAGAGAGAGAGAGAGGAGAGTAGAGAGAGAGCGAAGAGAGATGATAGAGAGAGATAGAGAGAGAGAGAGAGAGATGAGAGAGAGAGAAGAGTTTGTTTTGTTTACCAGTGTACCAGACCTGTGCTTCGTTGTTTGACTTACCGAATTGCTTAATCCTCTGCTTGTCTGTCCCAGTGATTACCGTTCTCTGAACCTGTGCCCGTGCCCTCGACTACGACTACGCCCGCTCCCTTGGTACCTCTGCCTGTCTCTGCCTTGCCTGGTTTTGACCACAGCTCGCCAGACCACGATTAAGCTATTCCCTTGTCTGTACTCTAATAAAGCATCGCAATTCTGCGATTGGATCTTACCACTCTGTCCGAGTATTCATTACACTTAGCTCCAATAATGCAGTAGTATCTAGCAATACACTACAATACACACAAATCTAAAAGTAAAAGAATGGAATGAAGAAATATAGAAATATTAGGACGAGCAATGTCAGAGTCCAGAGTATAAATATATATTGAACAAAAATATGATATAATATTTTACTGAGATACAGTTCATATAAGGAAATACGTCAATTTAAATAAATAAATGAGGCCCTAATCTATGGATCGTATGTGACGGTCCTGGGCTGGCGTGGTTACACATGGTCTACGGTTGTGAGGCTGGTTGGACGTACTGCCAAATTCTTTAAAACGATGTTGGAGGCAGCTTATGGTAGAAACATTTATATTAAATTATCTGGCAACAGCTCTGGTGGACATTCCTGCAGTCAGCAGGTATATTGCACGCTCCCTCAAAACTTGAGATATCTGTGGCATTGTGTTGTGTGCCAAAACTGCACATTTTAGAGTGGCCTTTTATTGTCCCCAGCACAAGGTACACCTGTGTAATGATCATGCTGTTTAATCAGTTTACTGATATGCCACACCTGTCAGGTGGATGGATTATCTTGGCAAAGGAGAAATGCTCACTAACAGGGATGTAAACAAATTTGTGCACAACATTTGAGAGAAAGAAGCTTTTTGTGTGCATAGAACATTTCTGGGAGCTTTTATTTCATCTCATGAAGCATGGGACCAACACTTTACATGTTGCGTTTATATTTTTGTTGTGTATACCCTTTGCTATGAGACCTGAAATTGAGCTCAGGTGCATCCTGTTTCCATTGATCATCCTTGAGATGTTCCTACAACTTGATCCACCAGTGGTAAATTCAATTCATTGGACATGATTTGGAAAGGCACACACATGTTTATATAAGGTCCCACAGTAGACAGTGCATGTCAGAGCAAAAACCAAGCCACGAGGTTGAAGAACTTGTCTGTAGAGCTCACAGATAGGATTGTGTCGAGGCACAGTTCTGGGGAAGGGTACCAAAAAAATTCTGCAGTATTGAAGGTCCCCAAGAACACAGTGGCCTCCATCATTCTTAAATGGAAGAAGTTTGGAACCACGAAGACTCTTCCTAGAGCTGGCCACCCGGCCAAATTGAGAAATCGGGGGAGAAGGGCCTTGGTCAGGTAGGTGAACAAGAACCCGATGGTCACTCTGACAGAGCTCCAGAGTTCCTCTGTGGAGATGGGAGAACATTCCAGAAGGACAACCATCTCGGCAGCACTCTACCATTTCTGCCGGAATCACTGGACCCTAGCGCCGGATCATTGCAACTAGCTAGCTGCAACCGAATGGCTGTTGTTGTTGGCTAATTACCATTGCCCCTTAGCAAGCACCAGTTAGCCTTGAGCTAGCCTCGAGCCAGGCCCATCTCCCAGCGATCTACCTCTCTGTCAACCGGACGGGAACTCCTAGTGTTGACACGGAGCCCCGCCGATCCAACACGACTGGTCTGCCGACGAAATCGTCTGATGTTGTTTCAACAGGCTTCCTGTTACGACGTCGACCACGAATATCCATCTGCTAGCCCCGGCCCGCTAGCACACGCAAGCCGTGCTGTAGCAGCCCCCGAACTACCTCCGAACTCTCCTATTGCTGTTCACCTTATGATAACTCAGCTATACAGCTGATGCCTGCTGGACTGTTCCTTTATACAGTACCACATCCTGTTTATGTTTAGCCTCAGCCCAAACTTTGTCGCCATTACCAGCTGTTGTCTTAGCTCTCTCAAATAACACCTGTGATTGCTTTATGCATCTCTCCCATGTCAATATGCCTTGCTTATTGCTGTTTCGGTTATTTCTTATTGTACTATTTCACTGTAGAGCCCCCAGTCCAGCTCAACCTGCCTTAGATAGCTCCTTTGTCCCACCCCCTATACACGCGGAGACCGACTCAATCGGTGCCTCCAGTGATGCTATCTCTTTCATCGTTACCCAATGATTAGGTTTACCTCCACAGTACTCATATCCTTCCAAATCCTTGTCTGTACATAATGCCCTGAATCTATTCTACAACGCCCGGAAATCTGCTCATTTTTTTCTCTGTACCCAACGCACTAGAAGTCCAGTTCTTAAAGCCTTTAACCGTATCCTTATTCTACTCCTCCTCTGTTCCTCTGGTGATGTAGAGGTTAACCAAGGCCCTGTAGCCACCAGTATCACTCCTACTCCCCAGGCATTATCATTTGTTGACTTCTGTAACCGTAAAAGCCTTGGTTTCTTGCACGTTAACATCAGAAGCCTCCGCCAACCCTGATGTTCTAGCAGTGTCAGACAGCTGATGTTCTGAAAGAGCTGAAAAATCTGGACCCCTACAAATCAGCTGGGCTAGACAATCTGGACCCTTTCTTTCTAAAATTAGCAGCCGAAATTGTCGCAACCCCTATTACGGTACTAGCCTGTTCAACCTCTCTTTCGTAACGTCTGAGATCCCCAGAGATTGAAAAGCTGCCACGGTCATCCCCCTCTTCAAAGGGGGTGACACTCTAGATCCAAACTGTTACAGACCTATATCCATCATGCCCTGCCTTTCGAAAGTATTTGAAAGCCAAGTTAACAAACAGATCACCGACCATTTCGAATCCCACCGTACCTTCTCCGCTATGCAATCCGGTTTCCGAGCTGGTCATGGGTGCACCTCAGCCATGCTCAAGGTCCTAAACGATATTATAACCGCGATCGATAAAAGACAGTACTGCGCAGCCGTCTTCATCGACCTGGCCAAGGCTTTCGACTCTGTCAACCACTGCATTGTTATTGGCAGACTAAATAGCCTTGGTTTCTCAAATGACTGCCTCGCCTGGTTCACCAACTACTTCTCAGATAGAGTTCAATGTGTCAAATCGGAGGGCCTGTTGTCTGGACCTCTGGCAGTCTCTATGGGGGTGCCACAGGGTTCAATTATCGGGCCGACTCTATGTATATCAATGATGTCGCTCTTGCTGCTGGTGATGCTCGGATCCACCTATATCCGGAAGACACCATTTTGTATACATCTGGCCCTTCATTGGACACTGTGTTAACAAACCTCCAAACGAGATCCAACGCCATACAACACTCCTTCCGTAGCCTCCAACTGCTCTTAAACACTAGTAAAACTAAATGCATGCTCTTCAACCGAACGCTGCTTGCACCCGCCCACCCGACTAGAATCACTACTCTCTGCGGGTCTGACCTAGAGTATGTGGACAACTACAAATACCTAGGTGTCTGGTTAGACCGTAAACTCTCCTTCCAGACTCACATTAAGCATCTCCAATCAAAAGTTAGATCTAGAATCGGCTTCCTATTTCGCAAACAAAGCCTCCTTCACTCATGCTGCCAAACATGCCCTCGTAAAACTGACTATCCTACCGATCCTTGACATTGGCGATGTCATTTACAAAATAGCCTCCAACACTCTACTCAGTAAATTGGATGTAGTCTATCACAGTGCCATCCGTTTTGTCACCAAAGCCCCATATACTACCCACCATTGTGACCTGTACGCTCTTGTTGGCTGGTCCTCACTACATATTCGTCGCCAAACCCACTGGTTCCAGGTCATCTATAAATCTCTGCTAGGCAAATCCCCGCCTTATCTTAGCTCACTGGTCACCATAGCAACACCCACCCGTAGTCTGCGCTCCAGCAGGTATATCTCACTGGTCATCCCCAAAGCCAACACCTCCTTTGGCCGCCATTCCTTACAGTTCTCTGCTGCCAATGACTGGAACGAACTGCAAAAATCTCTGAAGCTGGAGACTCTTATCTCCCTCACTAACTTTAAGCATCAGTTGTCAGAGCAGCTTACCGATCACTGCACCTGTACACAGCCATTCTGAAATTAGCCCACCCAACTACCTCATCCCCATATTGTTATTTACTTTGCTAATTTGCACCCCAGTATCTCTATTTGCACATCATCTTTTGCACATCTATCATTCCAGTGTTAATACGAAATTGTAACTATTTTGCACTATGGCCTATTTATTGCCTTATCCCCATAACTTACTACATTCGCACACACTGTATATATATTTTCTGTTGTATTTTTGACTTTATGTTTTGTTTACCCCATATGTAACTCTGTGTTGTTGTTTTTGTCGCACTGCTTTGCTTTATCTTGGCCAGGTCGCAGTTGTAAATGAGAACTTGTTCTCAACTGGCTTACCTGGTTAAATAAAGGTGAAATAAAACAACTATTTAAAAAAAAACAGACGGAAGCCACTCCTCAGTAAAAGGCACATGACAGCCTGCTTGGAGTTTGCCAAAAGGCACCTTAAGGTGTCTCAGATCATGAGAAACAAGATTATCTGGTCTCATGAAACCAAGATTGTACTCTTTTGCCTGAATGCCAAGCATCACGTCTGGAGGAAACCTGGTACCATCCCTACTGTGAAGCATGGTTGTGGCAGCATCATGCTGAGGAGATGTTTTTCAGCGGCAGGGACTGGGAGATTAGTCAGGATCGAGAGAAAGCTGAATGGAACAAAGTACAGAGAGATCCTTGATGAAAACCTGCTCCAGAGCGCTCAGGAGAGAGGTCTGGGGGCGAAGGTTCACCTTCCGACAGGACAATGACCCTAAGAACACAGCCAAGACAACGCAGGAGTGGCTTCGGAATTGCATTGGTCTGACAGACCCAGACCTCTCTGCTAAACAAACGCACACACAACCCCATACACACACCCATGTAGCGTGTATATCTTGATCTGGCCCTGCTCGATTCAACAGTCTTCCACTGGGCTGTTCTCACTCACATAAAGGCCCGGAAATGTATTTGACACTGGAGGCCACTTAGAGAGAAATACAGTGCATTCGGAACGTATTCAGACCCCTTGACTTTTTCCACATTTTGTTACGTTACAGCCTTAATCTAAAATTGATTAAATAAATCAAATCCTCATCAATCTACACACAATACCCCATAATGGCAAAGTGGAAAAAGGTTTTTAGAAATGTTTGCAAATGTATTAAAAATACAAAACTGAAATACCTTATTTACATACAGTGCATTCGGAAAGTATTCAGACCCCTTGACTTTATCCACATTTTGTTACGTTACAGCCTTATTCTAAAATGGATGACCAATCTATGCTTGATTTATTTGACCATGTCAAGGAATAAAATGATAATCTGAGAATAACAATAGGTTTCACAGCTTCACTGTGAACCCCTAATAAGTGTCCAACAAGTTATTGAAGTCTGGCTTTTCCTGAGACTCCACAAGATTTAAGAAGAATATCTGAGGCAGCGGAGAGGCCAGGTGCGTAATTGCGCAACAGAACAGTGGAGACAGACAGGCTCGAGATGTGTAGCCTAAGTTAGAAGCTTATGCATATTAGCCAATTATTCATTAGCTCAATACTGCAATGAATATATCCAGTCAGCTTACACAGCGAAATATATTATTTTTTATCAGATAACGAAATCACAGGTAGCCTACACTGTCTGCGCTACCAGTCCCCACAGTTTGAAAAGCTACCCTAATGATTACGTTTCATATGAATTTTTATAATAATCTACTTTGTCACATATGCATTATTTGACTTGAGGACCAGCAGTGGAGCGTTTTTCCTCGAATGACAATCCCCAGAGGGATATTTGAACTCACAGCCATCGTACCGTGCCGTCTTTGGGCTTACTGCCTTAGTGGATCAGGCCACCAATTAGTGATAGCAGTAAGGGTAACTTAAAGCTATTTGACAAGACCACCATTTTAAAAAAAACGATGTATGAATATAAATGTACATATTGTATAATCCTCCTACATCTTTATAGCTGTGAAAGCAAACAAATGTGTGATTTTGTCATATATGCGGAAACGTGAACATTTTGTCTAACGTTAGTACTATTAGCCTAGTCAAGGATGCATCAATGCAACATTGGCACATTACATTTTGTTTCAGACCAAAGACCAACAGAACAAAAATTTGTTTGTTATATATTTACACACTGTGAGGTTGTAATAATACTGTGTGAAAATTATGAGAATACCCTTTTAGTGTAAGAGCTGTTCGAAAAGACTGCCTGAAATTTCTGCATGTTTTGGTGGGATGGAGTTTTGGCCTTCCATGGTGGTAATTAAGTTAATAGACCAATAAGAAAGAGAAGTCCAAACCTCTCTGTCAATAACAGCTAATTTTCAGTTTTCCCATCCCCACTCAGACCACTCTCACACAATCCTCGCAAAGTTCTTGCTCAAGAAAAATGGCCCTTTGCTAAGAAGCTTCTTTTTTACCATTTTAATTGAAAACAATCACAGTAAGGTACTTAATTGTTACGCAGAAATGATTTGATATTGAGATACAAACGGCTGCATTGGACCTTTTTTAAATATTCCTCTGGTAGCCAGGGTTGACTTATTTTAAGAAATGCCATTGGTTGATGGATATGAAGTTTAAGATCTTTGATAGGCTGATGTGGAATTTTGTTCCAGGAGTTAGCATAGGGCTAACGTGTGCCAGGTTATCTGATGGGACCAGCTACTAGGGTGACCATACGTCCTCTTTTTACCGGACAAAAAAAATGCGTCCGGCCGGGATTTCTAAATCGCCCAAAATGTCCGGGATTCGGCTTTTGCTTTCTACAGTCGCCATTCATTGTGTGCGTTTTTGGGGTTTTGCATTGCTTTGACCTTTCTCTTTAGGTCCCGCCTTCTCACACGCCACCATTGGTCGGTCATGTAGGCCTACGCAAACATTGGTCAAACTGCATCTCAATCATTACCCTCACCATGGCAACAGCCAAGAGACAGAGCAGCAGCTTGCTTGTCAACAGTGGCACATGGCTCCAGAACAGCGTAAAAATGCCCAAACGCAAATGTAAATTCACAGACGATTTACAGAGAAAATTCCTGTGTTTTCGTCTTGGTCGGGATCCGTGTGAAGCAGAATGCATGACCTGCAAAGCTGGCACGTACAGTACATGTCAGTGTCAAATAAAGGTGCTAGCAACCTAGAAGCCCACATAAGCTCCGCAAAACACAAAATTGCAGCTAAAGGAGAGAGTTCGTCAGGTAAATTAACTGACTATTTTGTGAGAGCAGGTAAAACAGAAGATGCTGTTACTGCTGCGGAGGGAGTTTTTGCATTCCACACCACGAAGCATCACAATAGCTACAGATCAATGGACTGCACGTCTGCCTTGTTAAAAAAGGCTTTCCCTGATTCCGAGACTGCGCGAACATTTTCAAGCGCTCGTACTAAGACCGAAGCAATTGTTTAACGCTGTGATAGCACCACATTCTGTCGACATAGCTCTGAAAGCACTAGAAGACATACCTTAGTGTGGTGTTTCTACTGATGGGAGCAATCACGGTGCTGTGAAAATATTCCCTCTGCTTATTCAGTATTTTGATTGGAAGAATGGTGGCGTGCAAAGTAAATTAGTCTAAGTTAAAAACACTCCAAATGAGACAGCTGATACGATCGCGCAATACATACATAAAAAAAAATGTCATTTAGCAGACGCTCTTATCCAGAGCGACTTACAGTTAGTGAGTGCATACATTATTTTTTATACTGGCCCCCCGTGTGAATCGAACCCACAACCCTGGCGTTGCAAACGCCATGCTCTACCAACTGAGCTACATCCCTGCCGGCCATTCCCTCCCCTACCCTGGACCAATTGTGCGCCACCCAATGGGTCTCCCGGTCACGGCCGGCTACGACAGAGCCTGGATTCGAACCAGGATCTCTAGTGGCACAGCTAGCACTGCGATGCAGTGCCTTAGACCACTGCGCCACTCGGGAAGCATCAAACATCAAAGAAACACTGAAAAAGTATTGCATTTACAGGTGACAACTGCAATACAATGTTCGGGGGAATCCGGCGTGATGAAGAAGGAAAGAATGTTTTCGCAAACTTAAAGAAGTCATTGCAGAACAAGTCTTTAATCGGTGTGGGCTGCCCAGCACACGTCTTGAACAATTGTGTTCATTACGGGGCAGACACACTAGATGTCGATATTGAGAACATCATCTTCAAAATATGTCAATACTTTCACATCTACACTGCGCACAGAGAATCTGAAGGAGTACTGTGAATTTGTTGATGTTGAATACAGAAGTCTCCTTTCTCACAGCAAGACACGATGGCTGTCATTATTCCCAGGTATTGAGAGGCTGCTACAGATGTTTCCAGCCTTGAAAGTACAGTTCATGCCTGGAGTATCTGGAGAAATGGATGGCACCCATGGAGGAGTTCTCCTCTTTCATGTGGATGGATCTGAGTGAGACACCTGACTGGAATGGCATAGAAGCCTGTATCAAACACATGGGAGAAAAGGGGGTGCCAATTGATGATGCAAAGTGCTTTGATCAGGTCACCAACCTGAAGAAATTCACAAAAAGGTGTAACAGTGATGGAGAGTTCAGTAATCTGCAAGCACACAATAAGTGGACCAAATATTTTGAAAGGTCCAAAAGCATAGATTTTCATTCAGAGCTACTGAAGATTGCACAGTTTTTCTTTGCTATTCCTTCTCACAATGCAAATGTAGAGAGAGTTTTTTCACTGATGCAAAGCCAGTGGACAAAGGAAAGGAATCACTTGTCTGTTGAGTCACTGAAGGGCTTCTGTGTACACAATACAACTTTAAAAATGTCTTGCAAAGACTTTCATGCCTACTTGATTGGTAATCAAGGACTGTTGGGAAATATTAGATCTTCGGGAAAGTATACCAGAGAGCATCAGGAGGACTGACATTATTTTCGACAGAAATAGTTGTTTTTTTTATGACTGTTTTTTAAAATGTATTTTAACCTATGGCCATGAAAAGAAACAGTGTCATGTAAAAGGTGTTAAAAGCTAAACTATTTTTATTTGTTTGTTATTATTCTATTTTTGAGGGCCAACAGTTGAATGGAAAGGATGTATTACTTTATGTATTAAAGTTCAATAACATAGTTGCATGGTTGTGAACGCATTTGTATTTACCACCCACTGCGGGTGTCCGTCTGCCTCCCGCTCCCACTGTCCTCTTTTTTGAAAACTAAAATATGGTCACCCTACCAGCTACAATGTAGCGTTCTATCACGTGCAAGTAAATCAAAGACTTTAATTGGCTGATTTGCATTTTGAGATGGAGAAACTGTTTATGTGTGTGTTTTACTGCATGGCATTTCACAGTGACTTTTGAAATTAGAGCAAGAGTGCATTAGCCCATGAAGAGGAGCTGGTAGCTGTTAGTCAGGTGAGCTGTTAAGCATTACATCTGTGCAAACAGATCGGCCCTGCTCTCAGTCAAAGCCAAATCATCTTTATGGACTGGCGCACACACACACACACTCTGTAGTAACCCTCTGTAACATTACCACATAATCGGTCAGATTACAATTTTCAATTGATGTACAGTGAAGAGAATACAGGCCACCCACTGCTCTGTGGTCAGCATTGAACTTCCCTATGTCCTATTACCCCTTGGTGTCTAACCCTTTGATCCTGAATCAGAGGTAGAAATGGAAGGGTCAAAGGGTTGAGCGGTAAAGAGCAAAACACTCCACAGACGATAAACAGACCCTTCACCCTATCCCTCTCTCCTTCCATCCCTACATCTCCCTCCCTTCATATTGTGTGGTTGCACACCCATCCTCTACAGAGACAGTAATATAACCCCAACAGTCCCAAAGTGGAGTTGATTAAATGGAATCAAATTGGATTTATATAGCAAACCCATATTCATGGGTTGCACGTTGCGTCACAATATTGTTTTGAACGTTCGTTTTAGGACTGATGCCCAACTGAGCATTCTACTCAATGCATCCTCATTTGGCGCTGATGAAGATTTGGTCTAAAGTGAATTACTGTAGCTTGAAAACACGATGACATTTCTAAAGAAGGCAAATAATTAGTAGCAAACCTTTTTTCATCATTTTGATGTCGCCAGATTGACTTTAGTTACAGTATAACGTTAGCTAGCTAGCTATGATTGAGGGGAGACCTCCAGATTTTAGCTAGCTAACGTTAGCATTGCTAGCTATTTTTGACGAACTTTGCTAGCTAATGACAATATTGCTATCCGTCTAAAATACATTTGACAACATGATGATGATGGCAAAGTTGTTTCCTACTAAATATGTGCCTACATTAGCAATGTCATCATATTCCCAAGCCCCTATAGACGAAACAGTCAGTAGCCTTGGTTTAAAGTCATTAGTCCCCGTCCTAGTTTTGAGCATCAATATGGCTACGGCATCTGTAGAACGTTGATAACAATGGCAATGACGTGACCGAGTGACGGAGGTGCAACCCATGAGTACTTATATAGATGTATAATACATTTTTCACAAAGTTCTGAATAGCAATCCAGACCTAACCCCCACAAGAGCCAGCTGAGGCAATAGTGGTAAGGGAAAACTGCCTACAAATATGAGTCAAGAGATATTTGATTCAAACAGTGTGTTCCTATGATTCACTGAGTCATTGTTATATTTCCCTCATCACGCTGTCTGTGATATAACGTTACGACTTGTATGGAAAGTGTGGTGGCTCTGCTAAGCACAATACTTCTAGAATAAAGAATGTATTAGTGTTCTGTTCCAGAGTGGAATGTAGATGGTATGATCAACTCTTGTCTCAGGTAATGGTGGTCCATCTGTGTGTTTGAATGTAGATGGTATGATCAACTCTTGTCTCAGGTAATGGTGGTCCATCTGTGTGTTTGAATGTAGATGGTATGATCAACGCTTGTCTCAGGTAATGGTGGTCCATCTGTGTGTTTGTGTGTGTTCGCTACCCCATCCTCATCCTTTCACCCTACTGCAGTTTGTCATGACCTCTAGGCCCTATGTACAGTATGTTTTAATGTTACATACATCCATTTTCACCTTTCTCACTCTTCCACATAGTTTTAGGGGGGCTTTGAGACCCTTCCATAAATCTGCAGATTACTGCCAAGAGGCACTTAACCCTCCTGGATTTACCACTGCCCTTTTCTTCTGTTCCTCTTCTCATCTGTCTCTACTGCTTCTCTTCTCATCTATCTCTTCTCACTTCTCATATGTCTCCTCTGTTTTTCTCTCTCTCCCTCTCTCCGCCCCCAACACACTGACCAGCCCGGGCCCTCTTAATGTCATAAAGATGTCAGACACGTTGTGATAATGATACTAGAACGATGTTACAGCGTTAGGGGATCATTTCTCTGGTTTTACCTTTATGACTAGATAAGATGTGTGGGTCAATGTGTGTAAATGTGTCAGAGAGTCTGTGTAACTATGAGCCCTTCAGGCCATCTACTGTCTTATGCTCAATAGTCCACAGCCGTAAATACGTGATAGTCCGCAGGCTCATTATTACACATTTACTAACCTAATTTAATTGGGCGCTCACGGACGTATGTCACGTTTACCGTGCAGCTTGGCGGTTTTGTGGCTTTGAACTCAGTAGCACACTATGCTGTGCTCCTCTGAACCCAGTCCTCTGTGTTAATGACTGTCAATCATTGCAAACTAATTTAGAGGTAATCTAATACATCTGGAGAAATTACATTAAATCAATGCTTTGGTGTTGGTGACTGATAACGCTAATCACAACAGACTGATCACCATAGCAGAGAGAGAGAGAACATGAAGAAGACTGAGGGAGGTAGAGAGGTAGAGGGAGAGAAGAAGAGAAAGACAGAGAGACTTGGAAGGAGGGAGAGAAACAGGAGGGCAGAGGGGGAGAGATGAGATGAAGGGAAGCAGAGGGAGAAGGAGAAGAAGGGAGATAGGCAGTGTGGAGAGAGGGAGAGCGAATGAGTCGGAAGGGAAAGAGAGAGAGAAAAGTAGACTGAGGGAAACAGAGAGAAGCATATTGGGTGTGGGTGTAAAGGGAGGTAGAGGAGGAAAGATTTAAAGGCCTTGTGAAGTCAAAAATATCAAACTTTCCACGAGGACGGGGATATTGGAAATTGACCTAGGTTTTACTAACTGACAGTACTTTCTTAACAAAGACTAAGGAATTCATAAAAATACTTTTTCTTGCACAATACATGTCCAGCAGACCCACTTATCGTATGGGATGCCTTTAAATGTGCCTTTAAAGGCCATTCAATACAATTTTAATCTCAAATACCAAAATATCGGTCAACGGAGAAAAGACTTACAACAGAAACAGAAAATCTAACATTACACATCAATAGTGTTGATGAAAGTAAAACAGAAGCACTGAATAATCTATATGCAAAACAAAAGGATTTTGAGGAACTTATTCAGGAAAGATTGTGTTTCACTTATCTAAAAAACAGAGCAAATAGGATAGAGAACGACGAAAAATGCACCAAGTTTTTCCTAAACCTTCAATATAGAAACGCAACCAAAAAGAACCTACAGAAAATATTTACAAATGATGGAGGAATTTTCCGTAGAGCTCCGAGACAGGATTATGTCGAGGCACAGATCTGGGGAAGGGTACCAAAACATTTCTGCAGCATTGAAGGTCCCCAAGAACACAGTGGCCTCCATTATTCTTAAATGGAAGAAGTTTGGAACCACCAAGACTCTTCCTAGAGCTGGCCACCCGGCCAAACTGAGCAATCGGGGGAGAAGGGCCTTGGTCAGAAAGGTGACCAAGAACCCAATGGTCACTCTGACAGAGCTCCAGAGTTCCTCTGTGGAGATGGGAGAACCTTCCAGAAGGAGAACCATCTTTGCAGCACTCCACCAATCAGGCCTTTATGGTAGAGTGGCCAGACGGAAGCAACTCCTCAGTAAAAGGTACATGACAGCCCGCTTGGAGTTTGCCAAAAGGCACCTAAAGGACTCTCAGACTATGAGAAACAAGATTCTCTGGTCTGATGAAACCAAGATTGAACTCTTTGGTCTGAATGCCAAGTGTCACGTCTGGAGGAAACCTGGCACCATCCCTACAGTGAAGAGTGGTGGTGGCAGCATCATGCTGTGGGGATGTTTTTCAGCGGCAGGGACTGGGAGACTAGTCAGGATAGAGGGAAAGATGAACGGAGCAAAGTACAGAGAGATCCTTGATGAAAACCTACTCCAGAGCACTCAGGAGTTCAGACTGGGGCGAAGCTTCACCTTCCAACAGGACAGTAACCCTAAGCACACATTCAAGACAACGCAGGAGTGGCTTCGGAACATGTCTCTGAATGTCCTTGAGTGGCCATCCAGAGCCCGGACTTGAACCCGATCGAACATCTCTGGAGAGACCTGAAAATAGCTGTGCAGCGACGCTCCCCATCCAACCTGACAGAGCTTGAGAGGATCTGCAGAGAAGAATGGGAGAAACTCTCCAAATACAGGTGTGCCAAGCTTGTAGCGTCATACCCAAAAAGACTTGAGGCTATAATTGGTGCCAAAGGTGCTTCAACAAAGTACTGAGTAAAGGGTCTGAATACTTATGTAAATGTGATATTTCCATTTTAGTTTTTTGCAAGAATTTCTAAAAACCTGTATTTGCTTTGTCATTGTGGGGTATTGAGTGTAGATTGATGAGGAAAAAACACAATTTAACACATTTTACAATAAGGCTGTAACGTAACAAAATGTGGAAAAAGTCAAGGGGTCTGAATACTTTCCGAATGCACTGCAGCTAGCTAGCACTGCAGTGCATAAAATGTGGTGAGTAGTTCATTCAAAGAGAGAGAGAGAGACAATAGTTGAACAGTTTTGAACAAATTAATTTATTCAAAAATGAAAGAGAGAGAGAGAAATATATATTTTTTCACTTTCACTTACTTAGGTAACAAATGCAGCTAGTTAGTTTATCCTACTCAAACACCCGGCTCAAACAGAGGGATGCTATGTTAGCTAGCTGGCTATGACTATCCAACACAACACTGAAACTCTTCCAAGTCAAGGTAAGCTTTTGGTTTTACAAATGTATTGCCACCGGGGCCCGCCGGTGTAACTGCTAAACTGCTTACTGACTGTACACTGTACTGCATGATGGTAGCGGGTTTACTAATGCGTTAGTTCTATTAGCTATGTTGACTATGACGTTACTTAAGCTAATATGGTGACAACAATGTAGGCTGTGTGTAGCGGTTATGATATAAAGGTTTGACTCAAGACAGCTGATGTGTTGTGCATTGAAGTCCACAAGTGAAGGGCAAAGGTGAGAGGAGGAGAGTGCGTAGATGCGGGAAGGAATACAACCAGTGCTTGACTTGGGCAGGAGCTCACCGGAGCTGAGTACCGGTACCTGAAATGTTCTACTGCTTGAGCTCCTGTTCCTCTTATAGAATAAATGTTCAAAAGTAGTGTAGCTCCTGCACCTAAATATGAACAGTACCGGCACCCAAAATGAGTACCGGAACCTATTTCAGTCAAAGTCAAGCACTGAATACAACGAGCTGTTTGTATGTGGCTGTTTGCCTGTGATCAGGTGTGTATTCATTCCACCGATTCTGTTGAAAAAGCAAACGTTACAAAATGGGGATAAACATACCTGAACGATGTTGATGGAATATTCTCCTAACCAACAGAAAACGTAATGTTTTTGCAACATCTTTTGAAACTTGTCTAGAACATTACAGTGGGGGAAAAAAGTATTTAGTCAGCCACCAATTGTGCAAGTTCTCCCACTTAAAAAGATGAGAGAGGCTTATAATTTTCATCATAGGTACACGTCAACTATGACAGACAAAGAAAGATTTTTTTCTCTCCAGAAAATCACATTGTAGGGTTTTTAATGAATTTATATGCAAATTATGGTGGAAAATAAGTATTTGGTCACCTACAAACAAGCAAGATTTCTGGCTCTCACAGACCTGTAACTTCTTCTTTAAGAGGCTCCTCTGTCCTCCACTCGTTACCTGTATTAATGGCACCTGTTTGAACTTGTTATCAGTGTAAATGACACCTGTCCACAACCTCAAACAGTCACACTCCAAACTCCACTATGGCCAAGACCAAAGAGCTGTCAAAGGACACCAGAAACAAAATTGTAGACCTGCACCAGGCTGGGAAGACTGAATCTGCAATAGGTAAGCAGCTTGGTTTGAAGAAATCAACTGTGGGAGCAATTATTAGGAAATGGAAGACATACAAGACCACTGATAATCTCCCTCGACCTGGGGCTCCACGCAAGATCTCACCCCGTGGGGTCAAAATGATCACAAGAACGGTGAGCAAAAATCCCAGAACCACACGGGGGGACCTAGTGAATGACCTGCAGAGAGCTGGGACCAAAGTAACAAAGCCTACCATCAGTAACACACTACGCCGCCAGGGACTCAAATCCTGCAGTGCAAGATGTGTCCCCCTGCTTAAGCCAGTACATGTCCAGGCCCGTCTGAAGTTTGCTAGAGTGCATTTGGATGATCCAGAAGAGGATTGGGAGAATGTCATATGGTCAGATGAAACTAAAATAGAACTTTTTGGTAAAAACTCAACTCGTTGTGTTTGGAGGACAAAGAATGCTGAGTTGCATCCAAAGAACACCATACCAACTGTGAAGCATGGGGGTGGAAACATCATGCTTTGGGGCTGTTTTTCTGCAAAGGGACCAGGACGACTGATCCGTGTAAAGGAAAGAATGAATGGGGCCATGTATCGTGAGATTTTGAGTGAAAACCTCCTTCCATCAGCAAGGGCATTGAAGATGAAACGTGGCTGGGTCTTTCAGCATGACAATGATCCCAAACACACCGCCCGGGCAACGAAGGAGTGACTTCGTAAGAAGCATTTCAAGGTCCTGGAGTGGTCTAGCCAGTCTCCAGATCTCAACCCCATAAAAAATCTTTGGAGGGAGTTGAAAGTCCGTGTTGCCCAGCGACAGCCCCAAAACATCACTGCTCTAGAGGAGATCTGCATGGAGGAATGGGCCAAAATACCAGCAACAGTGTGTGAAAACCTTGTGAAGACTTACAGAAAACGTTTGACCTGTGTCATTGCCAACAAAGGGTATATAACAAAGTATTGAGAAACTTTTGTTATTGACCAAAGACTTATTTTCCACCATAATTTGCAAATAAATTCATTAAAAATCCTACAATGTGATTTTCTGGATTTTATTTTCTCATTTTGTCTGTCATAGTTGACGTGTACCTATGATGCAAATTACAGGCCTCTCTCATCTTTTTAAGTGGGAGAACTTGCACAATTGGTGGCTGACTAAATACTTTTTTCCCCCACTGTATATGTGCTTTCTTGAGCAGGGGGACCTTGCGGGCGCTGCAGGATTTCAGTCCTTCACGGCGTAGTGTGTTGCCAATTGTTTTCTTGGTGACTATGGTCCCAGCTGCCTTGAGATCATTGACAAGATCCTCCCGTGTAGTTCTGGGCTGATTCCTCACCGTTCTCATGATCATTGCAACTCCACGAGGTGAGATCTTGCATGGAGCCCCAGGCCGAGGGAGATTGACAGTGCTTTTGTGTTTCTTCCATTTGCGAATAATCGCACCAACTGTTGTCACCTTCTCACCAAGCTGCTTGGCGATGGTCTTGTAGCCCATTCCAGCCTTGTGTAGGTTTACAACCTTGTCCCTGACATCCTTGGAGAGCTCTTTGGTCTTGGCCATGGTGGAGAGTTTGGAATCTGATTGATTGATTGCTTCTGTGGACAGGTGTCTTTTATACAGGTAACAAGCTGAGATTAGGAGCACTCCCTTTAAGAGTGTATAACAAAGTATTGAGAAACTTTTGTTATTGACCAAATACTTATTTTCCACCAAAATGTGCAAATAAATTCATTAAAAATCCTACAATGTGATTTTCTGGATTTTTTTCTTCTCATTTTGTCTGTCATAGTTGACGTGTACCTATGATGCAAATTACAGGCCTCTCTCATCTTTTTAAGTGGGAGAACTTGCACAATTGGTGGCTGACTAAATACTTTTTTCCCCCACTGTATATTGTATATGCTGAGGACCAGAGGAGGCTGGTGGGAGGAGCTATTCCATCCATTACAATGAGCCTGTCCTCCTATAGCTCCTCCCACCAGCTTTCTCTGCTGAAACCATGGTAACCACGTTCTGGGTAAGTTCTGTTTGACATTAAGGGAATGTTCTCCTAACTCTAACGCCAAAAAATGTTAAATAGGTTCTCATGAGTTTTTTTCCAACATACATAGAATGTTCCCGTAACTAATGGAAAACTGGACACGCAAACATTAGGTGAACATTACGGGTAACATTACAAAAACGTTCTCTCTCCCTAGAGTTGTTAGCTGGGATGGGAAAGGGAGATTGTAATTGGGTAAAGAATAAGCGATAGCTATATACTGTAGCTCAGGACTCTCTCTGCACCCCTAAAACTGGGTCTCTTTTGATTTTGTAAATATTGCACACACACACACACAATCCCACAAAAACTGGGTCCCATATGATTAGTAAATATAGCACGCATACACACATGGTCTGGGTAGAGCCTTATGAGTGTGAAATGAGCAGGATATTTGGAGCAACACCATTGACGTTTAACAGCAGGGTTACAGTAGTGGCGGCCTGCTGAAACTCTGTGTCTGAGCTTCAGAGAGAGGGTCCCAACTGTCTTACACTAACAATATCATATGGGTGATGGGAACTGGTTTGGATGGAGCCATGGCGTGCTGTGTGTGTGTGTGTGTGCGTGCGTGCATGTGTGTGTCTGTATGAACTTGCTTCTGCCTGTGTGTGTCTATGTTTATGCGTGATATGAAAGGGGTTTCGAGTGAGGGAGTGAGATGTTGGGATGTTTAGGATTGGGGTCAACAGGGAGCGAGGACAGACTGTGGGACAGGAAGAGAGCGAGGGGGCACTTGTTGATTTCCTGTTCTACAAATGTCAAACAGCTCACCCATAAGTAACTACCCATTCCTTCTGTAAAAACTGTCCTCCTGTTTATTAGTTGCAACATGCATACGCATGGTGCTAGCAACCCAGCTCATCTGGAGGTGATATATTTAAGCAATAAGGCCTGAGGAGGTGTGGTATATGGCCAATATACCACGGCTAAGGGCTGTTCTTAAGCACGACGCAACGCAGAGTGCCTGGACACAGCCCTTAGCCGTGGTATATTGGCCATATATCACAAACCCCTGAGGAGCCTTATTGCTATTATAAACTGGTTACCAACATAATTAGAGAAGTAAAACTAAATGTTTTGTCATACCCGTGGTATACGGTCTGATATACCATGGCTTTCAGCCAATCAGAATTCAGGGCTTGAACCACCCAGTTTATAATATACCCATTACCCTGGCAACCCTGGTCCTGTGGATCAAAGGTGATGTTTGATGTTATGTAATTTGTCTCCATGGTCTCTCTCACACCCCTCAATCTTTCTCCTTTTACCTCCCCCTCTCTGTTCCTCTCCCTCTCTGTCTCTCTCCCACCCTCCTTCTCTCTCTGTCTCGCTTCTTCATGCTCAGACTGACTTTAATTATCCTATTCCATAGACACTTAAATACCACTGCCTGTTAGTGAGAGAGCATCCGTGTTTGCTTGAGTGCTTGCGTATGTGTTCAGACTATGTAGATTAGGTCAGTGTAGATTTATTGTAGTAGTGTGGTGAAGTGTCAGTAACCGTCTGTTGTGGAAACCCAGAAACAAAGTTTCTTGGTGCTAGGTGTTGATTGGGGCCATAAAGAAGTTCCGCCAATCAGATAACTAAGCTGAACAAGCCCCTCCCTCTCTGGGGGTGTGTCTCTATTGCTATGCCAACTCTGAGTGAACCGCTCAGAACCAGAACCATGAGACAGGTTTACGGTCGATGAAGAGCATTCACCCAAGGCTTTATGTAGAGCAGATGGACTTTTTGGAGAGGGACATTTTTATCTCAGTGTCGCATGCATTGAGAGCTGTGACCTACAATACTACAGGCATGCCTCTTTGGGCTGATTCAGACTCGGCCTCGCTTCCTCGCTCTCTCTCTCTCTCTCTTTCTTTTCACCTCTCTGTCTCTCTCACTCTCTTGACCTCTGTCTGTCTCTCTCTCCCTTTCTCCATCTCTCTGGTTCTATTTCTCTATCTCTCCATCTCTGAAACACACGTGCAAACAAACAGTACACTAAAGCTCTAAGTAAAACGTTTGCCAAACGGCTCCCAGATGGCCTGAGCAGAGCAATGAACATAAACACAAACAGACAGCCAACACTGACTTTAACTGTATCATTTAATCTTGACACAAATCAGCGGATATATGAGAGAGAACACTGAGACCCACACCTACAGGCCGCACTCTGCTCTGACACACACACATGCATGCGTTCGTATTCATGCGCACACAAAAACACACATATACACACACACACACACTCAGTTGCAACCATCTGGAAGGGATACATATCAACACCTGGCATATCTGATCCTGTGTATCTAGTGTTCGATGTTGAGCTTTGGGGGACTATACAGAAGATAACACTGATTATGTGTTGTGTCCAGCGATCACAGGTGCAAACAAGCTACTGTAGATCACTAGCTGTACATGGTCCCTGTCAAATAAACAAATACTATATAAACTATAAATGGACATTTTCGAGGAACTTTGCTTGCGACAGTGATCTATGAGCTATTTACAAAGTAAACAGCATCCTTAAATTAAGCACTTGCTGTTGCTGACCCAAGCACTAACTTCCAGTTCATTGGGAGGAACGAGGTCAGGTCACTCTATATGAGAAACGGTTATGGTCTTCTGTGATGTTCTCTGATGTGTCCTCTATTTGACTGTGTGTCTGTATTTTACATCTCGTGTTCTTAAGCCAATGTTTCCCCAAAGATGGGAACTCTGTCCCTCTGTTATTGGTGATTCCAGGCAGAAATCCAATGTATTCCGGCCTTATGAAGTCAGGGCTCTAAATCTTTTTTGAGTCTTTAATTGTTACACATCGTCTTCTTTGTTCCATGGCTGAGGGAGTAAATCAAAGCCTTAGAAATACAGTTCAGAGACAGTTATACTGTTATTACTGTGTGTGTATATGTCTGCGTGTGCGTCCATGCATTTGTGCGTGTGTGCGTGTGTCTGACATGTTTAGTGATGATGTGGCTGAGAGATTCTGTCCAAATGTGATTTTGATCAAATCCATGATTCTTTCCAGATGGAATCCAAACAACAAGTCAGTCAGTCTCTTCCTGGTCAGTGTACCGGAGGAGCAGCGTTCTGGGAGAGGGAACCCTCTGCACCTCCTCTGGTTTGTTTGCTAGTGGCATGGACCACAGCAAAACACATAAGCCATGTTTCAGTGCAATATAGTGTTATTGATAACAGGGTCTGATTCTGCATCTAGCAATTGATTCCAAGGGAAATGGGACACACAGAAATGTAAATAAGACATTACCACCCACACTCAATTATGGGAGTTTATGATTTGTATATGTATAAGTTACACTATATATACAAAAGTATGTGGACACCCCTTCAAATGAGTGGATTCGGCTATTTCAGCCACACCCGTTGCTGACAAGTGTATAAAATTGAGCACACCGCCATGCAATCTCCATAGACAAACATCGGCAGTAGAATGGTCTTACTGAAGAGCTCAGTGACTCTCAACTTGGCACCGTCATAGGATGCCACCTTTCCAACATGTCAGTTCGTGACATTTCTGCCCTGCTAGAGCTGCCCCGGTCAACTGTAAGTGCTGTTATTGTGAAGTGGAAACGTCTAGGAGCAACAACGGCTCAACTGCAAAGTGGTAGGCCACACAAGCTCACAGAACGGGACCGGTGCTGAAGTGAGTAGCGCGTAAAAATCGTCTGTCCCTGGTACAACACTCACTACCGAGTTCCAAACTGCCCCTGGAAGCAACATCAGCACAAGAACTGTTCATCAGTAGCTTCATGAAATGGGTTTCCATGGGAAAGCAGCCGCACACAAGCCTAAGATCACCATGCGCAATGCCAAGCGTCGGCTGGAGTGGTGTAAAGCTCGCCACCATTGGACACGCGTTCTCTGGAGTGATGAATCACGCTTCACCATCTGGCAGTCCGACGGACGAATCTGGGTTTGGCGGATGCCAGGAGAACGCTACCTGCCCTAATGCATAGTGCTAACTGTAAAGTTTGGTGGAGGAGGAATAATGGTCTGGGGCTGTTTTTTATGGTTCGGGCTAGGCCCCTTAGTTTCAGTGAAGGGAAATCTTAACGCTACAGCATACAATGACATTCTAGATGATTCTGTGCGTCCAACTTTGTGGCAACAGTTTGGGAAAGGCCCTTCCCTGTTTCAGCATGACAATGCCCCCGTGCACAAAGCGAGGTCCAAGAACTTGACTGGCCTGCACAGAGCCCTGACCTCAATCCCATCAAACACCTTTGGGATGAATTAGAATGACGACTGGGAACCAGGCCTAATCTCCCAACATCAGTGCCCGACCTCACTAATGCTCTTGTGGCTGAATGGAAACAAGTCCCAGCAGCAATGTTCCAACATCTAGTGGAAAGCCTTCCCAGAAGAGTGGAGGATGTTATAGCAGCAAAGGAGGGACAAACTCCATATTAATGCCCATGATTTTGGAATGTGATGTTCGATGAGCAAATGTCCACATACATTTGGTAATGTAGTGTTTGTATACTGTGTGTGTGTGTGTATCAGGTCGCCGTTGCTCCTCTGTCTGTTCCACCATCCCTCTACCATAATATCCCTTATTCCCAGTAGGCCTTTACCCTGCTCCTGTCCCCCTCTCTCTCTTTTCCCCTCGCTCCTCTGGAGTCTTTCATGACTTAAAAATCTATTATCCCCATGTTTGGGAACTGTGGTCATTTCACGCTCTCTCACAGTGCTCTGTGGTTTCGTCGTGGGCTCTGATGGCGATTTAAATCTCTAATGGCCACTCCGGAGGAATTCTGGGATTTTGGGCGGATAGACCCTAATTCCCACAATCCTTTTCCTCATGGTTCCTGATTCCCCGATTTGATCCATGCTTCATCCATGTCTTGTCCGTGTTTTATTACAGCGGCTTTCATCGCGGAGACAAAGGCAGTGGCTTGAGAGTGAGATTACAGAGCCTGGGCCCCACTAACCATAATGCTCTGTGTGTGTACTGTGTGTTGATTGTTCAGCCAGAAGTCAGAACTCTATGTACTCTATGGTGTGACATTAATATAATATACACAAACTCCTACACACACACACACACACACACACACACACTCAGACACACACTCATGCACGCACGCATACACATTCTCTCACTCACATATCTCTGAATTCATTGTCCTTTGAGAAGTGAAACCACTGAATTAAATAGAACACGTATCTCTTTAAGTGACACAAAGATTAATCCATAAAGATAATGAACCCCTCTCCTCTGGGTCATATAGCTACAGTGCTACAGTGCCCCCTCAGAACGGGAAGGCACTTCCCCGTGCTTCGACTTTCTTTCAAGCCGCCTCACACGTCCGCCTGTGCATTTCGATGGCCTCATGGCCGCCATCCCACTTCTGACACCAATGTAGCGAACGGTGGGGCAGGGAAGCAAACCCGGTTCACTGGCATGAAAGGCAGACTACATTCGCATCGTGCCAATAGGGTTAACCCACTTGGTGGGAATTGTAACGATTGCTACAATATAACATAAACACACACACACACTCAGACACACACTCATGCACACACACACACACACTCCCTCACTCACATATCTCTGAATTCATTGTCCTTTGAGAAGTGAAACCACAGAATTAAATAGAACACATCTCTATGGGTGACACACAAATTCATCCATAAAGATAATGAACCCCTGTCCTCTATATATTATTCATATACCATCTTAGACATGTACAGTACATTAGGGTAGATGAGTCATTCTGATTGAACAGCTTCAGTTAATATTTGATGCTCATCTTGAATAAGTAATCTCAGAGTCAAATGATCTGTCATCTCCTAACTGGTCTCTTAGGGGCTGTGGCTCATGGTGTTCATATGAAGTAATCATATCATATCTGACTAAGTACAGCTGGGTAAATCAGTCCTCCTTTTATTTGATTTATTTCACCTTTATTTAACCAGGTAAGCCAGTTGAGAACAGGTTCTCATTTACAACTGCGACCTGGCCAAGATAAAGCAAAGCAGTGCGATAAAAACAACAACACAGAGTTAAATATGGGGTAAAACAAAACAAAGTCAAAAATACAACAGAAAATAGAAAATATATATACAGTGTGTGCAAATGTAGCAAGTTATGGAGGTAAGGCAATAAATAGGCCATAGTGCAAAATAATTACAATTAGTATTAACACTGGAATGATAGATGTGCAAGAGATGATGTGCAAATAGAGACACTGGGGTGCAAATTAGCAAAATAAATAACAATATGGGGATGAGGTAGTTGGGTGGGCTAATTTCAGATGGGCTGTGTACAGGTGCAGTGATCGGTAAGGTGCTCTGACAACTGATGCTTAAAGTTAGTGAGGGAGATAAGAGTCTCCAGCTTCAGAGATTTTTGCAGTTCGTTCCAGTCATTTGCAGCAGAGAACTGGAAGGAATGGCGGCCAAAGGAGGTGTTGGCTTTGGGGATGACCAGTGAGATATACCTGCTGGAGCGCATACTACGGGTGGGTGTTGCTATGGTGACCAATGAGCTAAGATAAGGCCAGGATTTGCCTAGCAGTGATTTATAGATGGCCTGGAGCCAGTGGGTTTGGCGACGAATATGTAGTGAGGACCAGCCAACAAGAGCGTACAGGTCACAGTGGTGGGTAGTATATGGGGCTTTGGTGACAAAACGGATGGCACTGTGATACACTACATCCAATTTGCTGAGTAGAGTGTTGGAGGCTATTTTGTAAATGACATCGCCAAAGTCAAGGATCGGTAAGATAGTCAGTTTTACGAGGGCATGTTTGGCAGCATGAGTGAAGGAGGCTTTGTTGTGAAATAGGAAGCCGATTCTGGATTTAACTTTGGATTGGAGATGCTTAATGTGAGTCTGGAAGGAGAGTTTACAGTCTAACCAGAGACCTAGGTATTTGTAGTTGTCCACATACTCTAGGTCAGACCCGTCGAGAGTAGTGATTCTAGTCGGGTGGGCAGGTGCCAGCAGCGTTCGATTGAAGAGCATGCATTTAGTTTTACTTGTGTTTAAGAGCAGTTGGAGACTATGGAAGGAGTGTTGTATGGCATTGAAGCTCGTTTGGAGGTTTGTTAACACAGTGTCCAATGAAGGGCCAGATGTATACAAAATGGTGTCGTCTACGTAGAGGTGGATCTGAGAATCACCAGCAGCAAGAGCGACATCATTGATATACACAGAGAAAATAGTCGGCCCAAGAATTAAACCCTGTGGCACCCCCATAGAGACTGCCATAGGTTCAGACAACAGGCCCTCCGATTTGACACATTGAACTCTATCTGAGAAGTAGTTGCTTAACCAGGCGAGGCAGTCATTTGAGATACCAAGGCTATTTAGTCTGCCAATAAGAATGCAGTGGTTGACAGAGTCGAAAGCCTTGGCCAGGTTGATGAAGACGGCTGCACAGTACTGTCTATTATCGATCGTGGTTATAATATCATTTAGGACCTTGAGCGTGGCTGAGGTGCACCCATGACCAGCTCGGAAACCGGATTGCATAGCGGAGAAGGTACGGTGTGATTCTAAATGGTCGGTGATCTGTTTGTTAACTTGGCTTTCAAAAACTTTCGAAAGGCAGGGCAGGATGGATATAGGTCTGTAACAGTTTGGATCTAGAGTGTCACCCCCTTTGAAGAGGGGGATGACCACGGCAGCTTTCCAATCTCTGGGGACCTCAGACGTTACGAAAGAGAGGTTGAACAGGCTAGTAATAGGGGTTGCGACAATTTCGGCTGCTACTTTTAGAAAGAAAGGGTCCAGATTGTCTAGCCCAGATGATTTGTAGGGGTCCAGATTTTGCAGCTCTTTCAGAACAGAAGCGGGGGGGGGGGGCATGGGCAAGTTGCAGTGGAGGGTGCAGAGCTGGTGACCGGGGTAGTGGTAGCCAGGTGGAAAGCATGGCCAACCGTAGCAAAATGCTTGTTAAAATTCTCGATTATTGTAGCTTTATCAGTGGTGATAGTGTTTCCTAGCCTCAGTGCAGTGGGCAGCTGGGAGGAGGTGTTCTTATTCTCCATGGACTTTACAGTGTCCCAAAACTTTTTGGAGTTAGTGCTACAGGATGCAAATTTCTGTTTGAAAAAGCTAGCCTTTGCTTTACTAACTGCTTGTGTATATTGGTTCCTAACTTCCCTGAAAAGTTGCATATCACGGAGGCTATTCGATGCTAATGCAGTACGCCACAGGATGTTTTTGTGCTGGTCAAGGGCAGTCAAATCTGAGGAGATCAAGGGGCTATATCAGTTCTTAGTTCTACATTTTTGAATGGGGCATGCTTATTTAAGATTGAGAGGAAAGCACTTTTAAAGAACAACCAAGCATCCTCTACTGACGGAATGAGATCGATATCCATCCAGGATACCCGGGCCAGGTCAATTAGGAAGGCCTGCTCGCTAAAGTGTTTTAGGGAGCGTTTGACAGTGATGAGGGGTGGTCGTTTGACCGCGGACCCGTTAGGGACGCAGGCAATAAGGCAGTGATCGCTGAGATCCTGGTTGAAGACAGCGGAGGTGTATTTAGAGGGTAAGTTAGTCAGGATGATATCTATAAGGGTGCCCATGTTTACGGATTTAGGGTTGTACCTGGTAGGTTCCTTGATCATTTGTGTGAGAATGAGGGCATCTAGTTTGGATTGTAGGATGGCCGGGGTGTTAAGCATATCCCAGTTTAGGTCACCAAGCAGTACGAACTCTGAGGATAGATGGGGGGCAATCAATTCACAATTCGCATTATGTACAGACAAGGATATGGGGGGGGGGGGGGGGGGGGGGGGGGGGGGGGGGGGGTGGAACAAAGGAGCTATTTGAGAGGGGCTTGGGGCTTTACAGTGAAATTGTGTAATAAGAACTAACTGGAACAGCAATAGGCAATGCATATTGACATGGGAGAGAGGCATAAAGTAATCACAGGTGTTATTCGAGAGAGCTAAGACAACAACTGGTAATGGCGATGAAAGTTTGGGCTAAGGCTAAACAGATAAACAGGACAGGGTACCGTGTAAATGTGATAGGGAAATATGTACGAAAAATACAAAAAAAATTACAAAAAACAGGCTATTTACACGGACACACACATTGTACACGGCCGCACTGCTGTGCCATCTTGGATACCACCTGCCCAAGGAGAGGATGTGGTGGTTCTCTTCTTATCAGCAAAGAGAAACATTTAGATGGCTCATTTGGGGTGTGTGTGCGTGCGTGTGTTTGTGTTCTTTTCATGTTTGGATCCTGACTGTTTGGCGTGGTCGTTTGGATAATGGCAGTGTCATCAAAGTGCAGGATATGTGTGTGTTTGTTCATGCGTGTGTTTGTGTGTGTGCGTGTCTTTGTATTATGTTTTTGAGTGTGATGTTTAAGGGTGTGACTTTTCAGCAGGCAGGGAGAGACCGCAAGCTCCATCAGCATGCTGTTAGCTAGTACTATGCAGCAAGATACACTCACCAGCCAGTTTATTAGGTACACCAACCCGTTCACGAAAATGGATCGCTCCTACAGACAGTGAGTCACGTGGCATTCAGTTACTGTTCGATTGAACATTAGAATGGGCAAAACGAGGCACACAGGATCTAGTATCTCAGAAACGGCCGCCCTCCTGGGCTTTTCACGCACTACAGTGTCTAGGGTTTACCGGGAATGGTGCGACAAACAAAAAACATCCAGTCAGCAGCACTCCCGTGGGCAAAAACAGCTCGTTGATGAGAGAGATCGAAGTAGAATGGCAATAATCATGGATGCTAACAGGCAGGCCACAAAGAGACAAATAATGGCGTAGTACAAGAGTGGTTTGCAGAACGGCAACTCGGAACGCACAACTCGTCGATCCTTGTCACGGATGGGCTATTGCAGCAGACGACCACACCAAGTTCCACTTCTGTGGGGAATGTTTTCCTGGCACACGTTAGGTCCAATGATAGTAATTGAGCAACGATTGAACACCACAGCGTATCTAAACATTGTTGCTGACCAAACCCAATTGAGCATCTTTGGGCTGTTCGCAGCATGAATGTACCACCTTTCAATCTGCAGCAACTGCGTGATGCCATCGCGTCAGCATGGACCAACATCCCTGTGGAATGTTTCTGACAAAGGGGGGTCCGATCCGGTACTAGGTTGGTGTACCTAATAAACTGGCCAGTGAGTGTATAACTTCAACATTCACATGGTAGGAAAGTTCCATCTTTATCACTGTTTCCTACCCACTCTAACCCCCTGCTTTCCATCTTTCTCTCTCCCTCTTTCTCAACCCCCCCATCCCCCTGCTCTCTCTCTGCTCTCCATCTCTTCTCCCTCTTTCTCGCTGCCTCCCCTCTCTTCCCCCTCAGGACACAGTATGACCCTGTCAGCACTCCCACACTCGCAGCCCATGTGTGAAACCTGCATGTGCTTAACACTTCCAATCTATACAAGAACAGTGTGAGTTCACAGTGTGTGTATGTGCTACAGCGCCTAGTTAAAGTCTACCCACCCCTTCGAGAGTCTTTCCATTTTGCTGCCTTAAAATTATATTTAAAAAAGAGATTACATTAGATTTTTATTCCTGCAGATCTACACAACCGACTCCACATCTTCAAAGTGAAAGAAAGTTATAGAACATTTTCCTAATTCATTTTTCAAAAATTATTGCGTATGTCTTCACACGCCAGAGTTAATACTTAGTGGAAGCACCTTTGGCAGCCATTACAGCTGTGAATAATTTTGAATAATATTCTACCAACTTTGCACAACTATTAGGGTGTGAATGGAATGTGTTTAATTATGCACTAATGGAATTATTTAGATATAAATCAACAGTTATGTGATGGCTGGGGATGAATCAGTCATTCACTGTTTAGAGACAGACTCATTCTCTTTCTATAGCTCTGTCTCTTTCCATCCCTTCCTCTCTCTCCCTCCCTTATATGGAACAGTTGTGGAGTGGCGTGAGGTAAAGGAATGTATGGTAATCTAACTACATATAGGCAATATAGGCAGACGAGAGACAAAGTGTGTGTGTTTGCATGTGTCTGTGTGGTCCAGCTTCCCTCTCAACCTTGTGAAAAGGGTCTGGTGTGACTCTGATATACGAGTGTGTTTACAGAGAATCCCTCAATGCCCCTGGTGATCTGAGAGCCAGTTATGACCATGACTGGTGAAGGGGTTCAGGCTGACCCCTCCGTATCTGACCCCCTCATATCAGAGTTTACTAGGACAGGGCAGGGAGAGCGTGAGATAGTGGACATTGGAAAGCCCTCTTATTGGGTCATCTACAGTACCTCAAAGAGAGTCTAAACATTGTCAATGCTAGTAGGGCAATGGGGAACTCCCTACGAAGACAGCCAGATTGCTCACCTCTTTCCCTCTCTGAAGTCCCTGCATCCATCCATCTCTCTCTTGCTGATCTCCCTCCATCCTTCATTCTCTTCCTCTTTTAATTTCCTGTGGGCTTGTCTCCTGTAATGGACTGTACTCATTTATGTTTCCTTCATCTAATGTTGATATAGTCACTGGAGCTCGGACAGATTTATTTTATCACCTCTGTAAGGCTTGGGAATCAGCTTCTGTGTGTGTTGTGTGCGTGTATATCAGTGTATTTTTTTAAGGCTCGCTGCCATAGAACAACCTGTTTTCCAAGGCATGCAAAAGTGCAATCTATAGTCTGTATGAACTCAGGAGAGCGGAAAGGAGTGAATGAAAGAGAGAGAATGAGAGAGGGAGATTGAGAGAGGGAGATTGAGAGAATGAGAGAGGGAGATTGAGAGAGGGAGATTGAGAGAATGAGAGAGGGAGATTGAGAGAGGGAGATTGAGAGAGGGAGATTGACAAAAGAAGGAGAGAAAAAGATGAGAGAGAGATCAGGACTGCTGCTATGGGGCACAGTGACAGGAAGGAGGGGGACCGTTAATGAGGTTACACACTGGAAACAGGAAACGAGCAGACTGTGTGAGTGAGGGGTAGATAAACTGTCTGTGATCAGACCAACTGCCTTTAATTCTGTTAGGACTGCTGTTAGCTCCAGGCAAAGAAAATGGTTCCACGACAATAGCTCTTCACTGAACCCTTTCGGAATCTAACCCCGGAACTCGGTGGGGACATGTTCCCATGTTTTGAGCGAGTTTCTCTCAGTTCATTTCAGGTAGCTCTATGCTTGTCTCCTTTAATCATATCATCCCCTTTGGCCCTCCTTATCTACATCATTCTTGGGTGGCCAACCTTTTTCTATCCCTGTGGATCCAGAGTAATGTCTGTCTAGTAGTTATACTGGAATGGGATTTCCTCAGAGGGAGAGAGAGAGAGAAAGAAGGCTGTTTATGTACATGTTCTTATGTACAAATACACAGATAAGCTTCATGCACAGATAAGCTTGGACAGGAAATTATAGATCGAAAACAGACCATCAAAGCTCAAAATGCCTCTAACCATCAACAACAGATCCACAACTCTATATATCAGTCAAATACATACATCCCCTAATATGCTGCTCTGTACTCATATCTACAGACAGTGACAGACACACTGCTTTAAGCTAAACACACCAGAAACACAGGATGCGATCCAAAAACGGCACCCTACTCCCTATATGGTGCACTACTTTTGGCAAGGGCCCAAGTGCACTATGTAGGGAATAGGGTGCTATTTGGGACTGAACCACAGTCTATATATCTTTCAGATCTGGTAAATGAGGATTGTGTAACATGGACATGGTCCTCTCCTCCCTCTGTCCCTGGCTAACCTAATAGAGCTGGGCCTGTGGCTGGCTTAAGTGATGTGATGAGGGCACTTACTGCCTGGTTAGTCTGAACAGTTCTCAGGGGCTTCGACTAGCCTCATGGGGAGAGATACAGGGCGTTTCTAAGATTTGTTTAATGGGGTGGCTAAGCGGGGACCAAGAACCAGTCATTGGTGGCCATGGGAAATCAGCTAATTGTATCACAAATAGCGTTGAAAATTGGCTTAAACAATTATGCATTGTATTGAATAACTGTTTCAACTGTTTATTTGTATCTGCCTCTTAACCGCTAGGCTACCTGTTAACCTTTTTATTGGATTTTCAACATTGCAGAACTAATTTTATTTTTGTAAACCAACGTTTACAATTTCAATTTAGAAAAAAAAAGACAAATGGCATTGACAAAACAGTTTTGAAAACATAGCTTGCCCAAGAAAAGTGGTCTCTTGGCACAACTTACCCCTGATATGGGGTAAGTTGAACATAGGGACAGGGTAAGTTGAGCCTCCTTGGGGTTAGTGGGTGATGGTGTCCTGTGACAGTGGGTGATGGTGCTGGTAGGTCAACGTTTAATTAATGGAATGGCGGAGTGTGCCGTTTAAGATTCATTCATATTCCATTCACCCAGTTCAGTGTAACATCGATAGGTTTACGCTACGACATGATACTCTAATTTTCCCTATACCAATCTATGAATGAAAGTTTACAACGTAGGTGAACACCGGTCGAGAGAAAGATTTGAGGTGACAGACAGTGACACATGGACAGACAGTGACACATTCAATACCGCCTTGCACACACTTGCCTGCATCTAGCTGATCTAGGGTGTAATCATTAGTCCAACAGTTTCAAACAAGAGTTTCTATTGGACAAATTCAGGTATGTTTATCCCCGTTTTGTTCCGTTTGCTTCCGTTTTAAGAAAAGTTTTTCAACAGAATCGGCAGAATGAATACACCTTTGATCACACGTAAACAGTTCACTTTCATAGCTACATACAAACAGCTTGTTGTATTCCTTCTCACATCTATGCATTATTTTCCTCTCACCTTTTCCCTTCCCTTGTGGACTTCAATGCACAACACATCAGCTGTCTGTGACCAGAATAAAAAACCTTTCCAAGCCAAACCTTCATATCATAACCGATACACACAGCCTACATCGTTGTCACCATATTAGCTAAAGTAACGTCATAGTCAACATAGCTAATAGAACTAACGCGTTATTAAACCCGCTACAATCATGCAGTACAGCGTACAGTCAGTAAGCAGTTTAGCAGTTATATCGGCGGTCCCAGGTGGCAATAAATTAGTAAAACCTAAAGCTTACCTTGACTTGAAAGAGTTCCAGTGTTGGATAGTCATAGCCAGCTAGCTAACATAGCATCCCTCTGTTTGGGCCGGGTGTTTGAGTAGGCTAAATTAGCTAGCTGTATGTGCTAGATATGTAAGTGAAAGTGAAAAGAAAATGACGAAATATAGCTAGCTCTCTCTCTCACTCCTCCTTCAACTATTGTCTTTCTCTCTCTTTGAGTCTACTACTCACCACATTTTATGCATTGCAGTGCTAGCAGTTAATTATCGGATCCTTTGATTGGGTGGACAACATGTCACTTCATGCTACAACAGCTCTGGAGGATGTCCTCCGGAAGTTGTCATAATTACTGTGTAAGTCTATGGAAGGGGGTGAGAACCATGAGCCTCCTATGTTTTGTATTGAAGTCAATGTACCCAGAGGAGGACGGAAGCTAGCTGTCCTCTGGCTAAACCATGGTGCTACCCTACAGATTGCTGTTGAGGCTACTGTAGACTTTCATTGCAAAACAGTGTGTTTTAATCAATTATTTGGTGACATGTTAATATATTTTGTATAGTTATATCTAAAAATGATAACTTTTTAATGTTTCACTATTTTTATGAAATTCACTGAGGAGGATGGTCCTCTTCTGAGGAGCCTCCACTGATTCAGATCTAGATCTCTCTGTTCAACATCACTTACCCTTCCATTGCTTGATCATTTGTCTGGGACTGGGACATTGTTTAGTAGTGCAAATTCGTAGGAAAGTTCTCTGCATTTCAAGCCCATGAAACTGGACTGCGAGATACGTGATATGTTAAGCAAGCTCAGACTCCATGTCATCAGATAAGACCTTGTGTGCCTCTGCTACTCTATCATAGCCTCTCTTTTGCACAGATACATGTTATGTTTGTCAATGTACCTCTTCAGTGTCATTCCGTCTATTTTTTCATCCCTTGCTACTGCTCTAATGGACTTCTTCCCTTATCTTACTTCCTTGGCTGCTCTCTCAAGAACCTCAAGGGGGGCCAGACCCCTGCTAATTTTATGTTTGTGTGACGCACACAAATATATATATACAGTACCAGTCAAAAGTTTGGACACACCTACTCATTCAAGGGTTTTTCTTTATTTTTACTATTTTCTACATTGTATGAAATAACACATATGGAACCATGTAGTAACCACAAAAGTGTTAAACAAATAGCCACCCTTTGCCTTGATGACAACTTTGCACACTCTTGGCATTCTCTCAACCAGCTTCACCTGGAATGCTTTTCCAACAGTCTTGAAGGAGTTCCCACATATGCTGAGCACTTGTTGGCTGCTTTTCCTTCACTCTGCCGTTCCGACTCATCCCAAACCATTTCAATTGGGTTGAGGTTGGGGGATTGTGGAGGCCAGGTCATCTGATGCAGCACTCCATCACTCTCATTCTTGGTAAAATAGCCCTTACACAGCCTGGAAGTGTGGTGGGTCATTGTCCTGTTGAAAAACAAATGATAGTCCCACTAAGCCCAAACCAGATGGGATGGCGTATCGCTGCAGAATGATGTGGTAGCCATGCTGGTTAAGTGTGCCTTGAATTCTAAATAAATCACAGACAGTATCACCAGCAAAGCACCCCCACACCATGACACCTCCTCCTCCATGCTTTACGGTGGAAACTACACATGCGGAGATCATCCGTTCACCCACACCACGTGTCTGTTACTTGAACTCTGTGAAGCATTTATTTGGGCTGCAATTTCTGAGGCTGGTAACTCTAATGAACGTATGCTCTGCAGCAGAGGTAACTCTGGGTCTTCCTTTCCTGTGGCGGTCCTCATGAGAGCCAGTATCATCATAGCGCTTGATGGTTTTTGCGACTGCACTTGAAGAAACTTTCAAAGTTCTTGACATTTTCTGTTTTGACTGACCTTCATGTCTTAAAGTAATGATGGACTGTCATTTCTCTTTGCTTATTTGAGCTGTTCTTGCCATAATATGGACTTGGTCTTTTACCAAATAGGGCTATCTTCTGTATAGCACCCCTACCTTGTCACAACAGCTGATTGGCTCAAACGCATTAAGAAGGAAAGAAATTCCACAAATTAACTTTTAAGAAGGCACACCTGTTAATTGAAATGCATTCCAGGTGACTACCTCATGAAGCTGGTTGAGAGAATGACAAGAGTGTGCAAAGCTGTCATCAAGGCAAAGGGTGGCTATTTGAAGAATCTCAAATATAAAATACATTTTGATTTGTTTAACACTTTTTTGGTTACTACATGATTCCATATGTGTTATTTCATACTTTTGATGTCTTCACTATTATTCTACATTTTAGTCATTTAGCAGACACTCTTATCCAGAGCGACTTACAGTTAGTGAGTGCATACATTTTCCTACTGGCCCCCCATGGGAAACGAACCCACAACACTGGCATGGCAAGCGCCATGCTCTACCAACTGAGCTACAGGGGACAATATAATCTACAATGTAGAAAATAGTAAAAGATAAATAATAACCCTTGAATGAGTAGGTGTGTCCAAACTTTTGACTGGTAGTGTATATGGTCATATTTGTGATGTTTAATTTAGTTTGTTATTTTATGGAGCCATCCCCTGTTTACTGCCGCTAGGGGGAGCTGTGACGTCAATGGTCAGCATTAGTGAGATCGTGAGGTTTTTTCTTCAATCTTGGAGAATGCCTACTACTGAACACTACTAAGGTTTCTCCGTCTCATCATTTCACCCTGTTAATTCAAGTATGTAATGTGCAAAAGTGCAATATGAGACTCAAAATATTGAGATAACATGGTTAACTACATAGTCCATGAGTTTGGTGATGTTTCAAGGGAATTTAAAGGAGTTTTAACCGAGTGAAAAACAGTTTGGTATTTTCCCCATTGTAAGTAATGGATGTTGGCTAGGTTGCTAATGGTTTAAGTGTAAGAGAAGGGATTAACTTTTCATACTTTTTTTCAACAATGTTTTATATCCTATTTGTTTTATTTTCTATGAATGAAGGCTCAGTTTATTCAGGTAATACAGTATATGTTAATATGTGATGTCACCATAAAATGTGTTAAATTGTTAATATTTGTATGGAAATAGCGTTTAACAGTTTGCTAGCTTTATGCTAACCAAATTTAGCTTGGCTAAGCGCTATTGTTCAACCCCTATTGGACACTTTTTTCACCTTCCAATATTTAATGGTTTGAACTTGAATATGGCAACTTTCAAGATGAATTAAACAACAACAAAATATGTGTCAATACATTTTGTACGTAAAGGCTCTCCAAACCTGTTTTTTTATGAGTCATACATACTTTCCTAACCTTAAAATATGCCTAAATAATCTACAAGATCAGAGTATTTTTAAACCAGTTGGTGCCGAAACGGAGACAAATATGCATATATTTAGATGGCTTCCTTTCATTGATCACTAATATTCTGAAGCCGTTCTTTCGATGTATTCTATTGAGTCTAGCAACAAAATTAAAAGGTACACTGTATTTAAAGGGATGGCTTAAGATAAATGTACTGAAAACTCTATTGAATGAAAACTCCACGAGTAAATCTGTTGGAAAATCTGTTGGCCAGCAAGTGGGAGGGTTTTCAGCGGTTGAATAAAATGTATTCAGACTGTGGAAGGGAACCATGCCTGCAAAGCCGGTTACACACCTGCATAAGGTAAGTCTGAATACCAACTACTGAGAAGTGCGTAGTAATGGCATGCGTAGGAAAACCGTACATTTCATAAGTCTGAATCGGCGCCATTATGCATAAAACGGACAAAATGTAATCAACATTTATAAGGGGTATGGTGGCCAACTTACCCCATGGACATTGGCTCAACTTACCCCAAGGCAAACATTTTGACTATATTAGCCCACACAGCTACAAGGATGCACTTTCATGCTAGGTTTAGGACCTCATATTGTAGCTTATAGAGACCCCAACTGATGTATAGAACAATCTTAAAACTATATACTTTGGTTTAGATACAAGCATCATGAAACATAACACAAAATCATTTGACTTTGTGAAAATCAGTGTTTTGGATCTAACTTGGTTACCACCAGTGTTGGGGAACTACATTTTTACATTTTAGTCATTTAGCAGACGCTCTTATCCAGAGCGACTTACAGTTAGTGAGTGCATACATTTTTCATACTTGCCCCCCGTGGGAATTGAACCCACAACCCTGGCGTTGCAAGCGCCATGCTCTACTAACTGAGCTACACGGTCATTTAATTACATTTTGCAGTAGCTTGGTGGTAGTTGAACTAAATTCAAATCTAGGTAGTGTTTTCAGTACTTAATTACTATTTTTGCCATGTAGCAGTGCAGCTAACTACTGGAACTACACACTTTTTTTTAGCAAAAATAAAATATGGGTGAAGTAGGCAATAATGTATTTTTCAGAATCAGACCTGCCTAATTCTCACTTGAAACATAGTTTTTGTGTTTAATAGGCTACGTTTCACATTCTGTTAACATATGACCCCACAAAGTAGTTTGGATGTAGTGAACTACTTTTTAAAAGTAACTATAGTTAAGTAAACCGTTTTTGTTAACAGTAGCTTTAGTGTAGCCGAACTTCTTCCAGTGTGAAGTAATTGGTAGCTTGGTACCAGGGACGGCCTGTTCAATAGGGCGATATGGGCGACGCACTGCCAAACGGGAAAAGGAAGGGATTTTTTTTCTAATCAATTATATCACGGCAACAGTAGTTATCAGTGTTGTAATCTATACGTCTGATCTGCCACAGTGCCACACTGCCACTAAATGTCGAATCAGGCTAAAGTCGTGCTTCAAATGGCTCCACCCCCTTTTGGGGCGATTTCAGTCAGATTGAAAATCGCCCAGAACTTCTGTCATAGACTCCCATGTAAAATCTATTTTTTTCAAATTTCAGAGCCTTCAATACAATCTCAATGGGTGTCTGTGGGCTTGCACTTACGCGCTTTCGTCATACGTTACGTAACCATGAACGTAACTGAGAAAAGAGTGGATTGTTTGAAAGAAGTTCCTTTTTGTCGGCGAACAAATTAAGATAAATTGGCAACGAAACAATTAGGACCTCCCAGACCAAATTTAATAATTCAACAGGTTTCTACTAAAGGCGGAAAGTCCTACACCCGAGGATTTTCCAAAAATTGGTACGAACGAAAAAAGACATTGCCACTCACTCAACTGGATGACGAGGGATACAGGCTAGCTGTCCGCCGCCACAACGATGAGGTTAGTGTTGATAATCACAAGTTTACTGGATGTGGATATGGTGTAATAAAGGCAGTTTATTCAGAGGTAAATATATCTGGAATCGCGTTCACGGACCCGTTCGTCAAACTCTTAGGGAGCTATAAATTAAGCCCCATTACTTACCATATCAGATAAGAGAAATTGCTGCAGCTACATATATTTTACATCCTGGCCCTACATAGTTCACTATTTGCATCACTTACCAAAATATTACATGTGGTCATATATGCTTGGAAAGTGGAGATGCCATAGAACGTCAAAAAAGTAAACATTGCTGGAGACACATTGCCGTTTTGGAGAAGACATCGCGTTTGCTAGCGAAGAGATTTGTTGTGGCAAATGAACTTGGGCTGGGAATTGCCAGGAACCTCACGATAAGATATATGCATCAGCATTGCGAGTCTCATGATTCTATACGTATTGCGATTCGATACTGTGATTTTATTGCGCACCATATGTCTGTTGCAGAGGGATCAGAAAGCCATGAGAACGAGTTTTGATCAGTCATGGAAATAAAAGTGCTGAAAACAAATTGGCTCCCAATGTGAAAAGATTGAGAACAAGCTATGAAGGAACAATAATGGTGTTTTGGTGCAGGTACAGCCAACTAGCGCTAAAATATTGCGATATTGTCAATACAGTATATCGTAAAGTATCACTATGTAACTCGATTTCTTTCACCCCAATCCCTCAAATTAACGGTAAATAACTGAATTGTTTGCCCCACATTTAGCTAAGATGATTAGCTAGCCAGCTAAAATGTTTTAGTTAGTTAGCAGTCGCATCTACAATAGTTTACTGTCAATAACATGTCTCCAAAAATGACGTGGTGTCTCCAATTGTGTTGACATTTTACAATTGCAATGCGCATCCATGAGTATCCACTTTCTGTAGCTCAGCTGGTAGAGCATGGTGCTTGTAACGCCAAGGTAGTGGGTTCGATCCCCGGGACCACCCATACACAAAAATGTATGCACGCATGACTGTAAGTCGCTTTGGATAAAAGCGTCTGCTAAATGGCATATTATTATTATTATTATTATTGTTATCTGAAGAGAGCCCCGAAACATTGTGTGCAGACATTTTATGCAATAAATGAAGTAGGTTCAATCTAGTAGTTCTGATCTTCTGATTGGTCCTGATGAGTTGGGCGAGGTCCCCTGCAGGCTACTGTCACTGTTGCATTGGCTCTGAGTCGGGTTCTCTGTCTTCAAATGTTCAGCCTAAGAGAGGGGATTTTTGTGTGTGTGTGTGTGTGTTTAACAGTGATGATGTGTGTGTGTGTGTGTGTGTGTGTGTTTAACAGTGATGATGTGTGTGTGTGTGTGTTTGTGTGTGTGTGTGTCCTCAGAGCAAGAACTCGTGAGTTGGAAGAACTGAGAGGCCTATGGCGTGGGTGTTGTCCTTGGCCACCTGCTGACAAGGCTGACAAGATAGGACCCTTTTGTCCATTGTTATTGGATAGGAACAGAACTTATAACCAGCTCCTGACCTAAATAGATCTTAGCACAACATTTTACTCAACATATCATATTCCATATTCACTATAACAAATATATTTACTACGACATTAGCAAGAACCGCCACATCCTCAGCCGGCTAATCCAGTGTGTGAAGTTTTGCGGAGTGTTTGAGTTAGCTTTGCGAGGCAAAGATGAAACTGAGGGCTCCACCAACCCTGGTAAGCCAACACTTTTGAGATCAGTCAATAAATGCTTCTGGTATTGACTTATATGCTGCCCCTGTCTTCATGTTGTTGCTGGACATATCTTTTTTTAAATGTGTGTAGGTCACCTAAATCATCAGAAAAATTGCCCCTCCTGAGAATTTTTTCAGGAGCCGCCACTGCTTGGTACTATATTTTCAGAGTAGCTTTCCCAAAACTGGTTACCACTTTTTCCATGTGGTTTCTTCCTTCAGACTCCATGAAATGATGACCTCTTCCTAAATATTTGGTCACATAATTAATTTTGTGTATAGTTTCCTCGAAACAAGGGGTGGTTCGACGAACGCTTTGGCTCAACTTACCCCACTCTCCCCTACAGCTTAGCTAGCATAAAGCCTGGGCAGCAATTTTTCAACTAACCTGGCGATAACATTACTTCCTCTCAACCTGGAAGTTACCGGTGTCTTCATCTCCCATCGATAGTTACAGGTGGAACGTAAGAATTTTGAAAATGCTCTTATTAAATTAAATACATTTTTGCTCCATGAGGTAATCCAATTCATGTAAATAAATTATAGTGAGTGAGAAGCAGAGACTCTCTGATTGGATGAGATGTCCGCCGATGTCATCAGTGCGGGTTTGTTTGCATGAACACCATGGTAACAGCATACAGCTATATTACTCATAGCCTATATGACTGACTATGAACTGATTCCTGCAGATGAGCATATGCTCTTAACCTCTCAACCAGGCCCAATATGATTGTTCTCTATCCGTAAAGGGCCTGTGAGGGTGCAGGCTTTTATTCCAGCCCAGTAGCATGACGAGTCTGAAGGGCTTTGAACCTGATCATGTATACCCCTCCTACAGTATCATATCCTCTATCCCTAACTTATCAAGCTTGATATGGGAGACCACTAGTGCCAATACAACACCATGCCTTCCAGTGGAGTTCTGACATATTATTTAAAGGGTAATTCTAAAACTTTCCAACCTCATATTCATTATCTCTACCACCAAACCATGTATTCTATTCTCTATATATAAAAAAAACTATTATATTCTATAAAGAGCTCGTCATGAGGACGTATGAATGGAGTAACTAGCAGGACTCTACTGCCATCTGGTGGCAGCAGGCAGCAGGGCCATATGCAAGACTGCATCCTGAAGAGGGTTCTTTTTTTTTTTTTTTTTTTCATTTTTTGGTCATTTAGCAGACGCTCTTATCCAGAGCGACTTACAGGAGCAATTAGGGTTAAGTGCCTTGCTCAAGGGCACATCGACAGATTTTTCACCTAGTCGGCTCGGGGATTAGAACCAGCGACCTTTCGGTTACTGGCACTATGCTCTTAACCACTAAGCTACCTGCCGCCCTGTTCTGTATGCATCAGTATGCATCAACACACAGTGGAATGAGCAGGTCCTGGAGGCAGTTGCGATTTTAGCATGTAAATCTTGGTGGGGCAAACTCAAAACAAAAATGTTTTATGCATGGCAGCAAAGCCACTACACAACACTACACAATACATTAATTGCACTATAACGGTGACAAACGGTGCCCACAAACTGTTAGGGTCTACATAAAGCTGTCCCAACAGCAGAGCTTTCTTTTCAGCACCATGGAGTGAATCCTTATCACCTGGCTATCAGCGGAGCCTTGTCTGGCAGCGAAACAGTTCATTCATTCAGCCTCATTTACTGCCTTTAAAAAAAAAAACATAGCTGATATGGTTGACTTGCTTAAACAAATGTGGTTTCTACTGACAATTGAGATGTACAAACTATGGCATAAGAGAACGATGAGCGGATAAGAGGCAATCCGTAGTTTCGATGAAAACATTAATGAGCGAGCTAAGACGGACTTAGTCAATATACTATTTGTTCAGCACTTTTGAAATGTACAGCGACAGAATTCAGAACATGGGCCATTCTTACAGTATTCTCCCTGTACACAAAGTCAGAATCGTAGGATAAATAAAGGGGGCATATAAGCAGACAATGAAAGCTCTTACAATATTTGATAATGACATTTCTCTAAAACTGACTATAGGCTACATGTGCACCACCAAGTCAGAACAGTAGGCTAAGTTACAGTTGAAGTCGGAAGTTTACATACACTTAGGCTGGATTCATTAAAACTCATTTTTCAACCACTCCACAAATTTCTTGTTAACAAACTATAGTTTTGGCAAGTCGGATAGGACATCCACTTTGTGCATGACACAAGTAATTTTTCCAACAAATGTTCACAGACAGATTATTTCACTTATAATTCACTGTATCGCAATTCCAGTGGGTCAGAAGTTTACATACACTATGTTGACTGTGCCTTTAAACAGCTTGGAAAATTCCAGAAAATTATGTCATGGCTTTAGAAGCTTCTGATAGGCTAATTGACAACATTTGACTCAATTGGAGATGTACCTGTGGATTTATTTCAAGGCCTACCTTCAAACTCAGTGTCACTTTGCTTGACATCATGGGAAAATCAAAAGAAATCAGCCAAGACCTCAGAAAAAAAATTGTAGACCTCCACATGTCTGGTTCATCCTTGGGAGCAATTTCCAAACGCCTGAAGATACCACGTTCATCTGTACAAACAATAGTACGCAAGTATAAACACCATGGGACCACGCAGCTGTCATACCGCTCAGGAAGCAGACGCGTTCGGTCTCCTAGAGATTAACGTACTTTGGTGCGAAAAGTGCAAATCAATCCCAGAACAACAGCAAAGGACCCTGTGAAGATGCTGGAGGAAACAGGTACAAAAGTATCTATATCCACAGTAAAACAAGTCCTATATCGACATAACCTGAAAGGCCGCTCAGCAAGGAAGAAGCCACTGCTCCAAAACCGCCATAAAAAAGCCAGACTACGGTTTGCAACTGCACATTGGGACAAAGATCATACTTTTTGGAGAAATGTCCTCTGGTCTGATGAAACACAAATAGAACTGTTTGGCCATAATGACCATCGTTATGTTTGGAGGAAAAAGGGGGTCCTTGCAAGCCCAAGAACACCATCCCAACCATGAAGCACGGGGGTGGCAGCATCATGCTGTGGGGGTGCTTTGCTTCAGGAGGGACTGGTGCACTTCACAAAATAGATGGCATCATGAGGAAGGAAAATGATGTGGATATATTGAAGCAACATCTCAAGACATCAGTCAGGAAGTTAAAGCTTGGTCGCAAATGGGTCTTGCAAATGGACAATGACCCCAAGCATACTTCCAAAGTTGTGGCAAAATGGCTTAAGGACAACAAAGTCAAGGTATTGGAGTGGCCATCACAAAGCCCTGACCTCAATCCTATAGAAAATTTGTGGACAGAACTGAAAAAGCATGTGCGAGCAAGGAGGCCTACAAACCTGACTCAGTTACACCAGCTCTGTCAGGAGGAATGGGCCAAAATTCACCTAACTTATTGTGGGAAGCTTGTGGAAGGCTACCCGAAACGTTTGACCCAAGTTAAACAATTTAAAGGCAATGCTACCAAATACTAATTGAGTGTATGTAAATTTCTGACCCACTGGGAATGTGATGAAAGAAATAAAAGCTGAAATGAATCATTCTCTCTACTATTATTCTGACATTTCACATTCTTAAAATAAAGTGGTGATCCTAACTGACCTAAGACAGGGAATTTTTACTCGGATTAAATGTCAGGAATTGTGAAAAACTGAGTTTAAATGTATTTGGCTAAGGTGTATGTAAACTTCCTACTTCAACTGTATGAGGGGGAAAGGGACCAAATGATTAGGGTGAGGCACATACACTTAGTATTACTTTCTTAGCTACAGTATATCTCCCTGGCATATTACATCATTTATGCAGCAGCATGCAAGACATTTTTGGACTCACCTTGTTGTGCAGTGCTCACTTGAACAGGACGGTGCTGTGACGGTCCTTCTTGTGGGCAAATTTTGTCATGTAACTTTGTCATCAAAGTCTGGCATTCTCTGGATTTATGGTGCTTTCAAGACAACTGGGAACTCTGAAAAAAACAAGGTTGAATCATGACGTCAGTGATCTTCAAGTCAGAGCTCTAGAAAGAGGCCAGAGTTTCCGAGTTGGAATTCCGAGTTGGATGACTGTTCAAAATGTATTTTCCCAGTCGGAGCTCGTTTTTTTTCAAGTTCCCAGTTGTGTTGAACTCATTGAAGTCTGAGATTTCTCAGTTCTGAGTTTCCAGTAGTTTTGAAAGCGGCAGAAGTCATGCTGGATTGACAAGGATTTGCCAGTAGATTCTCGACTTGATTCATGATGATGACTGCTTGTCTAGCTAAAATTTTGAAAGTATGACATTGACATCAGTCCAATCAAAGCTACGGTATATATAACGGGATTTGATGTAATATTATCTGTGGCTAATAACCTTGAGCCTTCTTAGATGGGCACTTCTAATGTAAATCTATGACAGCACCCAAGGGGCTTGGATTTTCGTGATCTCCCTGTAGATTTTGCAGTGACGTAGTGTCCCAATGAGTGACAGAACACTGAGCCAATCACGGCACAACTAGAGAACATTATTAACCCCTACACTCTGTATTTTCCGCTGGCTGCCCCACCACCAAAGAAAGCACAGCTAGGCTGAAACACCTGCATTTTGGAGCTGCCTTAGTCAAGAAAGCAAAAAAAGAGACCATGTTTGTATAAGGCTTTATTAAGTAAATGTAGTTTTTTACATTGTTTGCAAACTGATATGTGACAGCCTCCTGTAGCTCAGTTGGTAGAGCATGGCACTTGCAACGCCAGGGTTGTGGGTTCGATTCCCATGGGGGGCCAGTATGAAAAATGTATGCACTCACTAACTGTAAGTCGCTCTGGATAAGAGTGTCTGCTAAATGACTAAAATGTATTAATGCAAAAAAGAACATGCAAAACAAAAAATATTAAAAATACACACATACAGTGCCTTGCAAAGGTATTCATCCCCCTTGGTGTTTTTCCTATTTTGTTGCATTACAACCTGTAATTTAAATGGATTTTTATTTGGATTTCATGTAATGGACATACACAAAATAGTCCAAATTGGTGAAGTGAAATGAAAAAAATTACTTATTTCAAAAAATTCTAAAACATAAATGACGGAAAAGTGGTGCGTGCATATGTATTCACCCCCCTTTGCTATGAGGCCCCTAAATAAGATCTGGTGCAACCAATTACCTTCAGAAGTCACATAATTAGTTAAATAAAGTCCACCTGTGTGCAATCTAAGTGTCACATGATCTGTCACATGATCTCAGTATATATACACACTACTGGTCAAAAGTTTTAGAACACACTCATTCTTCAAATAGCCACCCTTTGCCTTGATGACAGCTTTGCACACTCTTGGCATTCTCTCAACCAGCTTCACCTGGAATGCTTTTCCAACAGACTTGAAGGAGTTCCCACATATGCTGAGCACTTGTTGGCTGCTTTTCCTTTACTCTGCGGTCCGACTCATCTCAAACCATCTCAATTGGGTTGAGGTCGGGGGATTGTGGAGGCCAGGTCATCTGATGCAGCACTCCATCACTCTCCTTCTTGGTAAAATAGCCCTTACACAGCCTGGAGGTGTGTTGGGTCATTGTCCTATTGAAAAACAAATGATAGTCCCACTAAGCCCAAACCAGATGGGATGGCGTATCGCTGCAGAATGCTGTGGTAGCCATGCTGGTTAAGTGTGCCTTGAATACTAAATAAATCACAGACAGTGTCACCAGCAAAGCACCCCCAAACCATAACACCTCCTCCATGCTTTACGGTGGGAAATACACATGCGGAGATCATCCGTTCACCCACACCGCGTCTCACAAAGACACGGCGGTTGGAACCAAAGACCAAAGGACAAATTTCCACATGTCTAATGTCCATTGTTCGTGTTTCTTGGCCCAAGCAAGTCTCTTCTTATTATTTGTGTCCTTTAGTAGTGGTTTCTTTGCAGCAATTCGACCATGAAGGCCTGATTCACACAGTCTCCTCTGAACAGTTGATGTTGAGATGTGTCTGTTACTTGAACTCTGTAAAGCATTTATTTGGGCTGCAATTTCTGAGGCTGGTAACTCTAATGAACTTATCCTCTGCAGCAGAGGTAACTCTGGGTCTTCCATTCCTGTGGCAGTCCTCATGAGAGCCAGTTTCATCATAGCGCTTGATGGTTTTTGCGACTGCACTTGAAGAAACTTTCAAAGTTCTTGAAATGTTCCGTATTGACTGACCTTCATGTCTTAAAGTAATGATGGACTGTCATTTCTCTTTGCTTATTTGAGCTGTTCTTGCCATAATATGGACTTGGTATTTTACCAAATAGGGCTATCAACTGTATACCCCCCTACCTTGTCACAACACAACTGATTGGCTAAAACGCATTAAGAAGGAAAGAAATTCCACAAATTAACTTTTAAGAAGGCACACCTGTTAATTGAAATGCATTCCAGGTGACTACCTCATGAAGCTGGTTGAGAGAATGCCAAGAGTGTGCAAAGCTGTCATCAAGGCAAAGGGTGAAGAATCTCAAATACAAAATACATTTTGATTTGTTTAACACTTTTTGGTTACTACATGATTCCAGATGTGTTATTTCATACTTTTGATGTCTTCACTATTATTCTACAATGTAGAAAATAGTAAAAATAAAGAAAAACCCTTGAATGAGTAGGTGTGTCCAAACTTTTGACTGGTACTGTAAGTATTCACACCCCTGAGTCAATACATGTTAGAATCACCTTTGGCAGCGATTACAGCTGTGAGTCTTTCTGGGTAAATGTAATTTGCCGCAAACTTAACGCTTTGTATTAAGGACATAAAGTTAATTTCTTTACCACATGTTTTGCAGTTTTACTTTAGTGCCTTATTGCAAACAGGATGCGTGTTTTGGAATATTTTTATTATAATATAATATGCCATTTAGCAGACGCTTTTATCCAAAGCGACTTACAGTCATGCGTGCATACATTTTTGTGTATGGGTGGTCCCGGGGACCGAACCCACTACCCTGGCGTTACAAGCGCCGTGCTCTACCAGCTGAGCTACAGATTCTGTACAGACTTCCTTCTTTTCACTCTGTCATTTAGGTTGGTATTGTGGAGTAACTACAGTGTTGTTGATCCATCCTCAGATTTCTCCTATCACAGCCATTAAACTCTAACTGTTTTAAAGTCACCATTGGCCTCATGGTGAAATTCCTGAGCGTTTTCCTTCCTCTCTGGGTTAGGAAGGACGCATGTATCTTTGTAGTGACTGGGTGTATTGACACACCATCCAAAGTGAAATTAATAACTTCACCATGTTCAAATGGATATTCAATGTCTGCTTTTTTTTTTACCCATCTACCAATAGGCGCCCTTCTTTGCAAGACATTGGAAAACCTCCCTGGTCTTTGTGGTTGAATCGGTGTTTGAAATTCACTGCTCACCAGAGGGAGCTTACAGATAATTGTATATGTGGGGTACAGAGATAAGGTAGTCATTCAAAAATCATGTTAAACACTATTATTGCACACATAGTGAGTCCATGCAACTTATTATGTGACTTGTTAAGCACATTTTTACTCCTGAACTTATTTAGGCTTTCAGCCTAGCTCAATACTTTTTGACTCAAGACATTTCAGCTTTTCATTTTTTATTAATTTGTAGAAATTTCTAAAAACATAATTCCACTTTGACATTAGGAGGTATTGTGTTTAGGCCAGTGACACAAAATCTGAATTTAATCCATTTGAAATTCAGGCTGTAACAACAATGTGGAAAAAGTCAAGGGCTAGGAAAATAGAGAAAAGTAAATCAAATAGAATCACATTTTATTTGCCACATGCGCCGAATACAACAGGTGTAGACATTACCGTGAAATGCTTACTTACAGCCCTTAACCAACAATGCATTTATTTCTTAATAAAAAAGTCAAATAAAACAACAACAACAAAAAAGTGTTGAGAAAAAAAGAGCAGAAGTAAAATAAAATAACAGTAGGGAGGCTATATACAGGGGGGTACCGGTGCAGAGTCAATGTGCGGGGGCACCGGCTAGTTGAGGTAGTTGAGGTAATATGTACATGTGGGTAGAGTTAAAGTGACTATGCATAAATAATTAACAGAGTAGCAGCAGCGTAAAAAGATGGGGTGGGGGTGCAAATAGTCCGGGTAGCCATGATTAGCTGTTCAGGAGTCTTATGGCTTGGGGGTAGAAGCTGTTGAGAAGCCTTTTGGACCTAGACTTGGCGCTCCGGTACCGCTTGCCGTGCGGTAGCAGTGAGAACAGTCTATGACTAGGGTGGCTGGAGTCTTTGACAATTTTGAGGGCCTTCCTCTGACACCGCCTGGTATAGAGGTCCTGGATGGCAGGAAGCTTGGCCCCAGTGATGTACTGGGCCGTACGCACTACCCTCTGTAGTGCCTTGCGGTCGGAGGCCGAGCAGTTGCCATACCAGGCGGTGATGCAACCAGTCAGGATGCTTTCGATGGTGCAGCTGTAGAACTTTTTGAGGATCTGAGGACCCATGCCAAATCTTTTCAGTCTCCTGAGGGGGAATAGGCTTTGTCGTGCCCTCTTCATGACTGTCTTGGTGGTGTGTTTGGACCATGATAGTTCGTTGGTGATGTGGACACCAAGGAACTTGAAGCTCTCAACCTGTTCCACTACAGCACCGTCGATGAGAATGGGGGCGTGCTCAGTCCTCTTTTTTTTCCTGTAGTCCACAATCATCTCCTTTGTCTTGGTCACGTTGAGGGAGAGGTTGTTATCCTGGCACCACACGGCCAGGTCTCTGACCTCCTCCCTATAGCCTGTCTCATCGTTGTCGGTGATCAGGCCTACCACTGTTGTGTCGTCGGCAAACTTAATGATGGTGTTGGAGTCGTGCCTGGCCATGCAGTCATGGGTGAACAGTGAGTACAGGAGGGGACTGGGCACGCACCCCTGAGGGGCCCCCGTGTTGAGGATCAGCGTGGCAGATGTGTTGTTACCTACCCTTACCACCTGGGGGCGGCCCGTCAGGAAGTCCAGGATCCAGTTGCAGAGGGAGGTGTTTAGTCCCAGGATCCTTAGCTTATTGATGAGCTTTGAGGGCACAATGGTGTTGAACGCTGAGCTGTAGTCAATGAATAGCATTCTCACGTAGGTGTTCCTCTTGTCCAGGTGGGAAAGGGCAGTGTGGAGTGCAATAGAGATTGCATCATCTGTGGATCTGTTGGGGCGGTATGCAAATTAGAGTGGGTCTAGGGTTTCTGGGATAATGGTGTTGATGTGAGCCATGACCAGCCTTTCAAAGCACTTCATGGCTATATACGTGAGTGCTACGGGTCAGTAGTCATTTAGGCAGGTTATCTTAGTGTCCTTGGGCACGGGGACTATGGTGGTCTGCTTGAAACATGTTGGTATTACAGACTCAGTCAGGGACATGTTGAAAATGTCGGTGAAGACACTTGCCAGTTGGTCAGCACATGCTCGGAGTACACGTCCCTTGAAGTGAGCATAGAAGTGATTTAGCTCGTCTGGTAGGCTTGTGTCACTGGGCAGCTCGCGGCTGTGCTTCCCTTTGTAGTCTGTAATAGTTTTCAAGCCCTGCCACATCCGACGAACATTAGAGCCGGTGTAGTACGATTCAATCTTAGTCCTGTATTGACTCTTTGCCTGTTTGATGGTTCGTCGGAGGGCATAGTGGGATTTCTTATAAGCGTCCGGGTTAGAGTCCCGAAAGCGGCAGCTCTACCCTTTAGCTCAGTGCGGATGATGCCTGTAATCCATGGCTTCTGCTTGGGGTATGTACGTACGGTCACTGTGGGGACAACGTCATCGATGCACTTATTGATGAAGCCAGTGACTGATGTGGTGTACTCCTCAATGCTATCTGAAGAATCCCGGAACATGTTCCAGTCTGTGCTAGCAAAACAGTCCTGTAACTTAGCATCTGCGTCATCTGACCACTTTTTTATTAACCGAGTCACTGGTGCTTCCTGCTTTAGTTTTTGCTTATAAGCAGGAATCAGGAGGATAGAGTTATGGTCAGATTTGCCAAATGGAGGACGAGGGAGAGCTTTGTATGCGTCTCTGTGTGTGGAGTAAAGGTGGTCAAGAGTTTTTTTCCTCTGGTTGCACATTTAACATGCTGGTAGAAATGAGGTAGAACGGATTTAAGTTTCCCTGCATTAAAGTCCCCGGCCACTAGGAGCGCTGACTCTGGATGAGCGTTTTCCTGTTTAGTTATGGCCTTATACAGCTCATTGAGTGCAATCTTAATGCCAGCATTGGTTTGTGGTGGTAAATAGACAGCTATGAAAAATACAGTTGAAAACTCTTTTGGTAAATAGTGTGGTCTACAGCTTATCATAAGGTACTCTACCTCAGCCGAGCAAAACCTTGAGACTTCCTTAGTATTAGATTTTGTGCACCAGCTGTTGTTTACAAATATACACAGACCGCCACCCCTTCCTTGTCTTACCGGAGTCAGTCGTTCTATCCTGCCGATGTAGCGTATAGCCCGCTAGCTGTATGCTCTCCATGTCGTCGTTCAGCCACGACTCGGTGAAACATAAGATATTACAGTTTTTTATGTCCCGTTGGTAGGATAAGCGTAATCGTAGGTCATCTAATTGATTTTCCAATGATTGAAGATTGGCTAATAGGATTGATGGAAGAGGCAGTTTACTGCTCGCCGTCGGATCCTTACGAGGCACCCCGACCTACGTCCACGATATTTCTGTCTCTTTCTCCTGCGAATGACGGGGATTTGGGCCTTGTCGGGTGTCTGTAGGATATCCTTTGCGGCCGCCTCGTTGAAGAAAAAATCTTTGGCCAATACGAGGTGAGTAATCGCTGTCCTGATATCCAGAAGCTCTTTTTGGTTATAAGAGACAATGGCAGAAACATTATGTACAGAATAAATTACAAATAACGCGAAAAAACACACATAATAGTACAATTGGTTAGAGGGCTGTAAAACGGCAGCCATCTTCTCCGGCACCATAGCCTATGTTCCTAGGTCAAGGGGCGTGAATACTTTCTGAAGACGTTGTACATGTAGGCAGGGGTAAATTGCATGTGAATGCATCCAAATGGTATTTACGGCTTCACAACTGGTAAATACCACCTTCCAACTTGGTTATGAACACAGGGTAAGTTAAATGGCCAACTAGGCCTATTTGAGGTACTCCAGATATAACTAACTATATTTATGACAATATTCCATAGGATAATTCTTGGTAGATTTCAGTTAATTGGTTGCCTTTCTAATTAATGCTTGGCTAGAGTGAAATCCAATACTGTGTCCTCAGAATAAGAATTCAATAAGCAACATTGGCTGCATTTACACGCAGCCCAATTCTGATCTTTTGCCACTAATTGGTCTTTTGGCCAATCAGATATTTTGCCAATAATTGGGCAAAAGATCAGAATTGGGCTGCCTGTGTAAACGCTGTAATTATGGCCTGTCATTTTCACTCTTTCATACAAGCCTCTAGAGCCCCTTTCAACTACATCCAGTCTTTCTCTATTAGCACTTACCTCAACGAGTTGAAATGTGTCTCCTCTCTACTGTAGAAAATAAGTTATTTTAGGCTACCTGCAGGCACGCACCTCTGAATTAATCTCACAAATTACCTAATTAGGATTTTAATAAATTACCTATTAGTCATAAATCCTAATTGGACACGGGTCCTATCCGACGCACTTTATTATGACCGAGCCACGAAGCATAATAAAGCCTTGTTCACAATGCAGGCCTTAATGCTCAAATCAGTTTTGTTTTTCCAATCCATTTTGGAATACTGACTGTCCAAACAGAAATGTACAAGTGACCAAATCGGATTTGTGTGTTCAAACAGCAGTCATTTGCTGAATTGGCTACGCTAGTTGTCACTACTGGTGTGTGCGCAGTGGTGTTGGCTGATTGGTGGTGGTTCTCCTTCTTCCTATCATGCAGAAAATATGTAACAAGCTAAGGTGACAACAATGCCAGCCATGGTTGTTTCCTATTGCTTTGAATGATCAAAATCATAGTGTAAGAACACTTTTGAAGCCTCAAAGGATAAGATGATCCTACTTTCAAAACAAGTCCTTTTTGGCTAGCCACAGCAGTGAACTAGCTAGCTAAGTAGCTGTTTAGCTTTAGCACATTCACTATTTTGTTTGTAAACAATTAACAAGCTAGTTAGCTATCACATGCTCTTGTCAAACTGTCAACAGAGTAGCTAGATATGCCAAATAACAGTCCCCCAAAAAAGAATGGAGTCACTTCAAACTGCCAATGTAAACAAGGCTTAAGTGGTCACCGTAGGCCTAACTGTCAATCATCTCTGGGTACCCACCCCCCAGTCCCACCCTTTCCCATGGCATTGAGCAGCAGGCTGGAGCGGAGTAGCGTAGCCCATAGTTTGTGTGGAAGGTTAAGTTACTGCAGGGTTAGATCACAGACGCATATTGTACATAGTACGCACACTCACTCACGCAAACACCCCGGGAGAGACTTGTACAGGAGAAACTCCGACGAACGAGAGAGACCAGGGGCGCGTCTGACCAGTGGGCGTGTTCCTCTGGATTACCTAGTGTGCGTGCACCCCTCTCTTACCGCAGCCCAGTGTGTGTAGGCTACTGCCGCTGCCTCTCCCGCGCTCATTGACTCGCTAATGGAAAGTTGTAACTACCTGCCTCCCAGTTGACAGCTCACGGAGAACCCGACCTTAGCATGGCTCAGGCGGTCACTGGCGGCTCTATGGAGAGGGTGATTCTGGATGATTGAGCGTTTTATCCGCCATCCCTTGATGAGGAATAATACATTCTGTTGCGGCAGTGAGTGGATATATTCCCTAGTATGTAACCTGTGGTTTGCGATAGCGCCTCGGACATTGTAGACGCGCTGCAGAGCGGAATAATCAAGGTTTGGACCATTATCTGATTGACCATTGTTAGTGCGCCGACATGTCGAACCTGGTCAGGAGCAAGAAGGATAAAGAGATAATTGCAGAGTATGAGAGCCAGGTGAAAGGTATGTTTTTTTTTGTTTTATCACTAACGCATCACACAGTCACACGCACATGCACACCTCAATATGTACGCACACATATACACCCCTCATACACACCCACCCACACACCCTCATGTTTATACACCCCCCTCTCTCACAGGCACATTCATATATACACACACACACACACACCTGTCCATATATACTACACCTGCCTATGTTATGTCTGATTCTATCGCCTCTCACACAAGGCTTGTTTGGAGAATGGATGTGTAGTGGGGATGACACCTCACTATGAGACGTCAGTATTTCTGGGTTCATCCTGAGTGCTGCAAGGTGCCTGAGGGGGAGAGGATGAGGAGAGAGGGAGGGGGGGATTCTGCAGAGCCCTTGATCATTCTCAGCCATGTGGAAGTGAGGGTGTAGTAGGCTACACTGCAGTCAGTGTGTGTAGAGTGGAGTAGTAGTGGGTATTCGCCATAGCTGGGAGCTCTGTCTGTCTCTCTCGGTCTGTGTTGGTTCTGTTCCACTGTTGGTTTACATGTATTGGTTTACCTCAGAGGCTTTGACTGCAACAGGCTCCCCCCGGTGTGTGTGTGTGACGAACTGTATATAATGAGCACTGCACTCTGCGTATGGTGGGAGTGGGACACGGTGTAGGTTTCATCGTGTTGTCAACCCCACTGATGTCCCCGAGCAGAGAGGCTTGTTATGGTTACTGTGACCGTCGGACCCCAGCATAGTGCTGTAACTATGGAACTGCCCCCCTTCCCACCATTATGTTCCTTGGTACAGTATGACTGACTGTACAGGTGTTCCACGCGAGACTGATTCTGTTAAATGTCACATCTTACACTTTACACTAGCACTGAACTGAATACATCCTCAGACATGGATGGATGTTGAATACAGACTTGTATCACGGGTGACCTGGCTGGCTCCTTTGTGTGGTGAGCGTTCTGGCACCCAGAGCTGCTGAGGCATCACCATCTTACACTGTGCTACACAGAGTGGAGGAGGAGAAGTCCAGTGGCTATAAGACGCCCTCTACAAGATCATCAGCAGACTCCGTCACCATCATCTACCATCCTCTGACCAGCTCTCTCCGCTCACCCATGAACTGACTCTCTCCATCTTCGTAGGATGCAGCTTTCAAAGACTTGGCCTCTATTGGTTGACCTGCCATCATATATTGCTTTATTTAATTTATTTTTTGCTCTTGAAGCACTTTGAGATTCTATGAAATGCGCTATATAAATGTAATGTATTATTATTGTTGTTGTTATTATTATTATTGTACTGAGGACTGCATACAGAACAGTAGGATATTCCAACCAAGATGGTTGCCAGGCCAGATACACTGAACATGGCTCTACACCCATCATAATTACATGGGCATGTTGTAGGGCTGTGTGGGATGAACTCTCTTATTCTCTCACTCTCTCTCCCTCACATGCTCTCCCTCACAGCACCACAGAGCACATAACACATTCTCACTTTATCACCTGCAGTGCCTTCATGCCCACATGATCACTTATCTCAGAAAAGGAAATGGCTTTCACTTTTCACAGGAAAGAGCTCCACATTGTTGTGAAAAAGCCTGATGTCCCTGCAGGTTGATATCAAAGAGAAAGGAGAAAATGGGGACGGGTGTTGGAGTTTTGGACTGAAATGGCATGGTGTGTTTGTGTGTGTGTTCATTCTGATCAGGAAAGGTCAGGAATACATCATCAGCTCAGCCACGCGCACAGACACACATTGCTGAGTGGAACTCAAGAGTTCATAGAAGAGAATTTCCTCCTCGCTTCTTTACTCTCATCTCTTTCTCTCTCTCCCTCCTGCTGTGCTCTTTCTGTCACTGATGAACTCTGAATGCACAGGCTCTTCCCTGGGCACACACACACACACACACACACTGAATTGACATCGACACAATTACTTTGAGTGATTCGATTTAATGGAGAGCACCGGAGAGCGCGTGTGTGCCCATCCCAGTCTGGCAGCTGGCCAAAACACACTTGGGGATGCCCTGCATTACAATGACAACTTAAAGATACAGCACCGCTTTGCTGCTGCTCTCTCCCGTCTTAGTGGCGGTACATATATGCATCTGAATTGTCGCTATGTGGATTTGCAGTCTGCCTTCCCTCTCCGGCCTGTGATTGGTCAGGAGCAGCTGTGTTTACGAGGGGGGCTGTTCTACTCACGTGATGATGTCACAGTGAGAGTGTTGAGTGTCGTGTCGTCATCAGTGAGAGGGTTGATCTGAAGCCCAGGTATACCCAGGTATTCTGACCTCTGCTATGTATTCCACAATGCTAATGTCTGGGTGGCTGGCTGGCTCTGTGTGCAAAAATATGGGACATTTTTTATGTTTGATAACGTCAAGTGATGGCTTGGATCATATAAGCCTGAATGATAAATGCAAAAGAAAGGAAGAGAGAGAGAGGGAGAGGGGAATGGAAGGAGAGTGGAAGAGAGAGAGAGAGAGGGGGGGGGGGGGGGGGGGGGGGGGGGGGGGGGGCTGTGAAAGTGAACTCTGCTGCAGGCAGCTCTGCTTTTGCCTGCGTCTGCATGTGTGTGATTACTGACCCCACATCTGCATGCCTGGGAGGGAAGGAGGGAGAGAACGAAGGGAATGGAAGGAGAGAGGGAAGAGAGGGAGGAAGCAAAGAAGGAGAAGGAGAGAGAGCACTCACAACAGTGTGTGGTTGTGAGACTGAAGGAAGAAGAATTTGGTGGCCAATGCCAACACTTACGTGTGTGTGTGTCCCTTTATGATCATCCAGCAGTGTTCTGCCCTAGTGTCCTTGGACCTGGTTGTCATGGAAACGGGCCAGGATGAGCTTCCTCTTCCTGTTTAGCTGTGACATCACACACACTCCAGGTGTCTAAGCCATGAAAGGTCATGTAGTGTCAGATTGGTGAAATGAATTGTTCTTGGCTTGTGCGGAGTTGTATTATTCACAATCATACATTCATATCAAAGACACCCTCCACTAATCTTAGATAACAAACAAGACCAAAATCATGGATGGAAGAACAAGAGAAGGGAAAGGTTTTACTACATTGCTACATCATCTAACAGAAGTCGTGTATCTCACTCAGTCCTCAGGCCCGCTGTCTCTCTCCCCCTCCCCTGTATCTACGCCTCCATTTCTCCCTTCCTTTCTTAATCCCTCTCTCCATCCCTCTCATAGCGCGTCTGTCTCTAAGGAGTCATCTTGGACTGCATCCTTTGGCCACAATAACATTAAAGAACACACACATTATACACACACAAACCCATTATACAGACACACACACACACAAACACACACATTACATATACACACATATACACACACCAATCCCACAGTCAGAATGGCAGTGCACACTTCAATGGTTGTGCTGTTTCAGAGTGAGGGATCAATCTGACACAGGAAGGAGAGGAGGACTGGCAGAGAAAACACAATGATAACCCCTCCCACGTCTCGCCTCTCTCTCACACATACAGTGAGGGAAAAAAGTATTTGATCCCCTGCTGATTTTGTACGTTTGCCCACTGACAAAGAAATGATCAGTCTATAATTTTAATGGGTGGTTTATTTGAACAGTGAGAGACAGAATAACAACAAACAAATCCAGAAAAACGCATGTCAAAAATGTTATAAATTTATTTGCATTTTAATGAGGGAAATAAGTATTTGACTCCCTCTCAATCAAAAAGATTTCTGGCTCCCTGGTGTCTTTTATACAGGTAACGAGCTGAGATTAGGAGCACATTCGTAAAGGGAGTGCTCCTAATCTCAGCTTGTTACCTGTATAAAAGACACCTGTCCACAGAAGCAATCAATCAATCAGATTCCAAACTCTCCACCATGGCCAAGACCAAAGAGCTCTCCAAGGATGTCAGGGACAAGATTGTAGACCTACACAAGGCTGGAATGGGCTACAAGACCACCATCGCCAAGCAGCTTGGTGAGAAGGTGACAACAGTTGGTGCGATTATTCGCAAATGTAAGAAACACAAAATAACTGTCAATCTCCCTCGGCCTGGGGCTTCATGCAAGATCTCACCTCGTGGAGTTGCAATGATCATGAGAACGGTGAGGAATCAGCCCAGAACTACACGGGAGGATCTTGTCAATGATCTCAAGGCAGCTGGGACCATAGTCACCAAGAAAACAATTGGTAACACACTACGCCGTGAAGGACTGATATCCTGCAGCGCCCGCAAGGTCCCCCTACTCAAGAAAGCACATATACAGTGCCGTCTGAAGTTTGCCAATTAACATCTGAATGATTCAGAGGAGAACTGGGTGAAAGTGTTGTGGTCAGATAAGACTAAAATGGCATCAACTCAACTCGCCGTGTTTGGAGGAGGAGGAATGCTGCCTGTGACCCCAAGAACACCATCCCCACCGTCAAACATGGAGGTGGAAACATTATGCTTTGGGGGTGTTTTTCTGCTAAGGGGACAGGACAACTTCACAGCATCAAAGGGACGATGGACGGGGCCATGTACCATCAAATCTTGGGTGAGAACCTCCTTCCCTCAGCCAGAGCATTGAAAATGGGTCGTGGATGGGTATTCCAGCATGACAATGACCCAAAACACACGGCCAAGGCAACAAAGGAGTGGCTCAAGAAGAAGCACATTAAGGTCCTGGAGTGGCCTAGCCAGTCTCCAGACCTTAATCCCATAGAAAATCTGTGGAGGGAGCTGAAGGTTCGAGTTGCCAAACGTCAGCCTCGAAACCTTAATGACTTGGAGAAGATCTGCAAAGAGGAGTGGGACAAAATCCCTCCTGAGATGTGTGCAAACCTGGTGGCCAACTACAAGAAACGTCTGACCTCTGTGATTGCCAACAAGGGTTTTGCCACCAAGTACTAAGTCATGTTTTGCAGAGGGGTCAAATACTTATTTCCCTCATTAAAATGCAAATCAATTTATAACATTTTTGACATGCGTATTTCTGGATTTTGTTGTTGTTATTCTGTCTCTCACTGTTCAAATAAACCTACCATTAAAATTATAGACTGATCATTTCTTTGTCAGTGGGCATACATACAAAATCAGCAGGGGATCAAATACTTTTTTCCCTCACTGTACACACATTCTATATTTCTCTCTTTCTCTCCCTTTCTCCCTTCCTCATTTTCTTTCTCTCTCCTTATCTCGGTCTCTCCCTATCACACGGTCTCTCTCACACACACATGCACACGCAGACACACCAATCTCCAGGGGATCCTCTCCACTCCACTACCTGTTGTCTAGGCAACCACACACTGTGTGAACCATGTGACGAAGAAGGTGAAGACAGAGCTCAGATCTGCCGCATCGACATTGACACACACACAAACATATACATATACGCACATATGCACAGATATGCTTCATAAAGATCCCAATAGAATAATATCATGGCCTTTAGCCTGAAGAATCGGATTTCCAGTCACGCATGCTCTCTCTCTCTCTCTTTTGTATGTGTGTGTGTTTGCACGTAAGTGTGCAGAGACATGCACGTTCCCCACTGTGATAGTGGATATCTAGTGAGCATGTGTTCTAACGCAAAATATGAAGAAAAAAAATGTATGCACTCACTAACTGTAAGTCGCTCTGGATAAGAGCGTCTGCTAAATGACTAAAATGTAAAATGGCTGCCATGTGCATCACCCAGGTGGGTGCCTAGCTACACATTAGTGGGTGATGGAGAGAGGTGTTCCCATCATCTGTAAAGGGCTTTGAGACCTGGTGAAAAACACTATGAATACAATTCATTAGTATATGGGCCAGTACTCTGCAAAGGTGTTATGTCTGCATCTGTTAGTGTGTGTTACTAGAGGTGTGTGTGTGTGTAACTGAATGATTGTGTTTGTCTGTAGAGGTCTGGTTTAGGGTGTGTGCATGTATTTCTGTGTCCATATCAGTGCAGGGAAGTGTGTAAACATGTCTGATTGTGTTCACAGTATGTCTCTGATGATTTGTGTGTGTGTCGTGTGTATTTCTATAATCGTATGTGTATATATCGCTGATTGTGTGTGCCTATGTGTATCATATGTGTATACAGTATATCTCTGATTATGAGTGTATCTGTGTGTAGATGTGCGTGCCCACCTGGTGGAGCAGCAGCGGTGTTTGGAACAGCAGACCGAGATGAGGGTGCAGCTGCTGCAGGACCTGCAGGACTTCTTCAGGAAGAAGGCTGAGATCGAGACGGAGTACTCCAGGAACCTGGAGAAACTAGCCGAGAGGTTCATGGCCAAGACACGCAGCACCAAGGACCACCAGCAGTACAAGTAAGAGGATGGTGTGTGTGTGTGTGTGTGTGTGTGTGTGTGTGTGTGTGTGTGTGTGTGTGTGTGTGTGTGCATAGCTCATGTGTTTAAGCGTAAACAAATCAAATCACATTTTATTGGTCACATACACGTGTTTAGCAGATGTTATTGTGGGTGTAGCAAAATGCTTGTGCTTCTAGCTCCGACAGTGCAGTAATATCTAACAAGTAATATCCAACAATTTCACAACATATACACACAAATCTAAGTAAGGAATTAATTAAGAATATATACATACATTGAGGGAAAAAGTATTTGATCCCCTGCTGATTTTGTACGTTTGCCCACTGACAAAGACATGATCAGTCTATAATTTTAATGGTAGGTTTATTTGAACAGTGAGAGACAGAATAACAACAAAGAAATCCAGAAAAACGCATGTCAAAAACGTTATAAATTGATTTGCATTTTAATGAGGGAAATAAGTATTTGACCCCTCAGCAAAACATGACTTAGTACTTGGTGGCAAAACCCTTGTTGGCAATCACAGAGGTCAGATGTTTCTTGTAGTTGGCCACCAGGTTTTCACACATCTCAGGAGGGATTTTGTTCCACTCCTCTTTGCAGATCTTCTCCAAGTCATTAAGGTTTCGAGGCTGACGTTTGGTAACTCGAACCTTCAGCTCCCTCCACAGATTTTCTATGGGTTTAAGGTCTGGAGACTGGCTAGGCCACTCCAGGACATTAATGTGCTTCTTCTTGAGCCACTCATTTGTTGCCTTGGCCGTGTGTTTTGGGTCATTATCATGCTGGAATACCCATCCACGACCCATTTTCAATGCCCTGGCTGAGGGAAGGAGGTTCTCACCCAAGATTTGATGGTACATGGCCCCGTCCATCGTCCCTTTCATGCGGTGAAGTTGTCCTGTCCCCTTAGCAGAAAAACACCCCCAAAGCATAATGTTTCCACCTCCATGTTTGACGGTGGGGATGGTGTTCTTGGGGTCATAGGCAGCATTCCTCCTCTTCCAAACACGGCGAGTTGAGTTGATGCCAAAGAGCTCCATTTTGGTCTCATCTGACCACAACACTTTCACCCAGTTCTCCTCTGAATCATTCAGATGTTCATTGGCAAACTTCAGACGGCCCTGTATATGTGCTTTCTTGAGCAGGGGGACCTTGCGGGCGCTGCAGGATTTCAGTCCTTCACGACGTAGTGTGTTACCAAATGTTTTCTTGGTGACTATGGTCCCAGCTGCCTTGAGATCATTGACAAGATCCTCCCGTGTAGTTCTGGGCTGATTCCTCACCGTTCTCATGATCATTGCAACTCCACGAGGTGAGATCTTGCATGGAGCCCCAGGCAGAGGGAGATTGACAGTTATTTTTTGTTTCTTACATTTGCGAATAATCGCACCAACTGTTGTCACCTTCTCACCAAGCTGCTTGGCGATGGTCTTGTAGCCCATTTCAGCCTTGTGTAGGTCTACAATCTTGTCCCTGACATCCTTGGAGAGCTCTTTGGTCTTGGCCATGGTGGAGAGTTTGGAATCTGATTGATTGATTGCTTCTGTGGACAGGTGTCTTTTATACAGGTAACAAGCTGAGATTAGGAGCACTCCCTTTAAGAGTGTGCTCCTAATCTCAGCTCGTTACCTGTATAAAAGACACCTGGGAGCCAGAAATCTTTCTGATTGAGAGGGGGTCAAAAACGTATTTCCCTCATTAAAATGCAAATCAATTTATAACATTTTTGACATGCGTTTTTTTGTTGTTATTCTGTCTCTCACTGTTCAAATAAACCTCCCATTAAAATTATAGACTGATAATTTCTTTGTCAGTGGGCAAACGTACAAAATCAGCAGGGGATCAAATACTTTTTTCCCTCACTGTAAACATTATTAAATTGGCTAGTGTTCCATTTCTTAAAGTGCCCAGTGATTTCTAGTCTATGTCTATAGGCGGCAACCTCTAATGTGCTAGTGATAGCTGTTTAACAGTCTGATGGCCTTGAGATAGAAGCTGTTTTTCAGTCTCTCGGTCCCAGCTTTGATGCACCTGTACTGACCTCGCCTTCTGGATGATAGCGGGGTGAACAGGCAGTGGCTCGGGTGGTTGATGTCCTTGATTATCTTTTTGGCCTTCCTGTGACATCGGGTGCTGTAGGTGTCCTGGAGGGCGGGTAGTTTGCCCCAGGTAATGTATTGTGCAGACCGCACCACCCTCTGGAGAGCCTTGCGGTTGCGGGTGGTGCAGTTGCCATACCAGGAGGTTTGTGTTGATTTGAGTACAACCTCCCCGATCTTTCTCTCTCCTACAGAAAGGACCAGAACTTGCTGTCTCCAGTTAACTGCTGGTACCTGCTGCTGAACCAGGTAATGAATGTGTTTGTGTTTGTTTGCATGGGTGCTCAATCCTGAAGGCACATATTGCTGACATGTTGGTTCTCTTCATTAAATAGTTGACTGTGTTTAGGCAATGTAAACACATGATCTATCTCTCTCTTCAGGTGAGGAGAGAGAGTAAGGACCACGCCACCCTCAGTGACCTCTACCTGAACAACGTCATCACCCGCCTCACCCACATCAGCGACGACTCTGCCCGCCTGCTCAAAAGAGTGAGCCAATTACAGCCTCTTCTCATGCACGTGTCACATCATCAGGGGTCAGAGTTCAAAGATGATGTTCCCAAGGGAATAGAGGGTTTTATAGCTTTAACGACAATTCTGTTAGTATGAGAGGGAGCTAGAAGAGGACTAGAAGAGTTAACGTTTTCTAATGAAATGTAAAGGCTTATATTTCCCCCTGTGTATTTTCCGAGAAGCCTCTTGGTTTGAGAGGGAGCTATAAAAGGAGCCACAAAGAGTTAACCTGATGGGTTTTAATCAAAAGTACAGAAGCGGCACACATTTCCCCCTGTGTATGTTCAAAGAAGCCTGCCTCCGAGTACTGTAGAACAAGTTAAACACACACACACAAACCTCTTCCGAGTTTAGCTCATCATGTTCATTATTCATCTCTCTGTGGCTCCTGTTTTATTAATGAGAGCTAAAGTGCTGAGATACCTGCTAGCTAGTAGCTACATACAGTACACCTAGACATAGAGTCTTAGTAACTGTGTTATAACTGCTTATGAAGCCAGGGGCGCAACTTTGGTTTTAGAAGTGGTGGGGACAATTTATTTTTATATTTTTTTCCAGTCTGATAAACACTCCAAACAGCCTACCCGACCGCTCGGAGGCGTCCGCATGGTCCTAAAGCACATTGTTGCCTCGTTTTGTATTACATTACAATGATAAAACTGGGGGGGACAAAAAATAAAAATAAAAAACCCGTCCCCAGTGAAAGTTGCGCCCCTGTATTAAGCTCTAGCACACAGATGACACTTGTCAGTCACTGTGAGTGAGCCCAGGATGACACCGGCTGGTGACCATGACAACACTGCGTTTCTGACAGCCTGGTGTCCATGGTGACAGACTCAGCTGGTCCGCCTCACAGTGAGAAGGCTAGTGGAATGGGATTCATCAAGGCTAGTGGAATGGGATTAATCCATTCTGGGATTTCAGAGTCATTTGGCTTAATGCAATATTAATGCTGTACAGAATACTATAACTCAAACTCCCAAACTGGAAGGAGCTGTTTAATACATGAGAAGGACTCAGACACACACACACACACACACGAGCTACAGCCTGGCTCCTGCCACTATATTTTTTATTTATGGATTCATCTGTTCATGGATTGATTGCTTTATTCATATGCCTTCTTTATCTGATTATGAAACGTTTCTCATTTGCAGTGTATTTCTACAGTGGGGAGAACAAGTATTTGATACACTGCCGATTTTGCAGGTTTTCCTACTTACAAAGCATGAAGAGGTCTGTAATTTGTATCATAGGTACACTTCAACTGTGAGAGACGGAATCTAAAACAAAAATCCAGAAAATCACATTGTATGATTTTTAAGTAATTCATTTGCATTTTATTGCATGACATAAGTATTTGATACATCAGAAAAGCAGAACTTAATATTTGGTACAGAAACCTTTGTTTGCAATTACAGAGATCATACGTTTCCTGTAGGTCTTGACCAGGTTTGCACACACTGCAGCAGGGATTTTGGCCCACTCCTCCATACAGACCTTCTCCAGATCCTTCAGGTTTCGGGGCTGTCGCTGGGCAATATGGACTTTCAGCTCCCTCCAAAGATTTTCTATTGGGTTCAGGTCTGGAGACTGGCTAGGCCACTCCAGGACCTTGAGATGCTTCTTACGGAGCCACTCCTTAGTTGCCCTGGCTGTGTGTTCTGGTCGTTGTCATGCTGGAAGACCCAGCCTCGACACATCTTCAATGCTCTTACTGAAGGAAGGAGGTTGTTGGCCAAGATCTCGCGATACATGGCCCCATCCATCCTCCCCTCAATACGGTGCAGTCGTCCTGTCCCCTTTGCAGAAAAGCATCCCCAAAGAATGATGTTTCCACCTCCATGCTTCACGGTTGGGATGGTGTTCTTGGGGTTGTACTCACCTTCTTCTTCCTCCAAACACGGCGAGTGGAGTTTAGACCAAAAAGCTCTATTTTTGTCTCATCAGACCACATGACCTTCTCCCATTCCTCCTCTGGATCATCCAGATGGTCATTGGCAAACTTCAGACGGGCCTGGACATGCGCTGGCTTGAGCAGGGGGACCTTGCATGCGCTGCAGGATTTTAATCCATGACGGCGTAGTGTGTTACTAATGGTTTTCTTTGAGACTGTGGTCCCAGCTCTCTTCAGGTCATTGACCAGGTCCTGCCGTGTAGTTCTGGGCTGATCCCTCACCTTCCTCATGATCATTGATGCCCCACGAGGTGAGATCTTGCATGGAGCCCCAGACCGAGGGTGATTGACCGTCATCTTGAATTTCTTCCATTTTCTTATAATTGCGCCAACAGTTGTTGCCTTCTCACCAAGCTGCTTGCCTATTGTCCTGTAGCCCATCCCAACCTTGTGCAGGTCTACAATTTTATCCCTGATGTCCTTACACAGCTCTCTGGTCTTGGCCATTGTGGAGAGGTTGGAGTCTGTTTGATTGAGTGTGTGGACAGGTGTCTTTTATACAGGTAACGAGTTCAAACAGGTGCAGTTAATACAGGTAATGAGTGGAGAACAGGAGGGCTTCTTAAAGAAAAACTAACAGGTCTGTGAGAGCCGGAATTCTTACTGGTTGGTAGGTGATCAAATACTTATGTCATGCAATAAAACGCAAATGAATTACTTAAAAATCATACAATGTGATTTTCTGGATTTTTGTTTTAGATTCCATCTCTCACAGTTGAAGTGTACCTATGATAAAAATTACAGACCTCTACATGCATTGTAAGTAGGAAAACCTGCAAAATCGGCAGTGTTTCAAATACTTGTTCTCCCCACTGTATATCCTACAGAGTTCTCCTCCCTTCTCCACTCTGTGTTGATGAAATATCTCTCTCCTCCTCTCTCTCTTCCTCCATACCTCCTCTCGTCTATCCTCTCTGCTCTCCTCCTCCTCTCCCCTCCCTCCTCTCTCAGAGTAAAGAGATCACCTTTCAGCTGCAGGAGGACTTGATGAAACTCCTTAATGAACTCTACACCGTAAGTGACATCATCAATAACTGCCACACACAGTGTCCATTAAACATATAACTTTAGGGAGTTGCAAGCTTTTTTTACTGTCACTTTTCCTGTGCTTAAACAATACATCATCAACAACTGCCACACTTCATTTTAAACATTGCAACATGAACTTTGAGGAATGAGTCACTTTTTCTGTGCTTTACCAATACTTGTAATTTCAGCAAAATGCTCCAAAGGAAAGTTGCTGATTGGAGTGTTTAGTTAAGTGAAGGCTTGGCAGCCTTAAAAGCTTCTGGTGTAAATAAATAAACACATGAGCTAGCAAGAACTTAGAGAGGGGACAGGTCTGTTCCTACCCTCACAGGGGGAAGGGAGGTTTAGGGTGGGTGCAACTCTGCCAATTGTGGGCAACATTTATCAGGTGCATTTCTATAGGTGATTGTGGTATCAGCAGTAAGGTCATGTTCAGTAGGCACGAAACAGGAGAAAACACTTTCAAATGATTGAGGTACTACCTGAACTTGTCCAATGAGGAGCATTCTTTCTGCTCTCCATGTCAAAACATTTCCGTCCATTAGTGCCTTCTGAACACGACCCAGACGATTTGCCTGGGCAGAGTTGTTGACAGATGGATGCATTGTGGGCTGTGGTTGCTAGGTGATGAAGACATACCACATGTACCATGGGGAGACGCTGAACGCGGAGACCAAGCTGAGGGATGCCGAGCGTCAGGTGGGGCCTGGAGGGGGGGTGGAGCCGTTATTCGGCATGCGTATAGAGGAACGTCACCAGAGACGCAACGCCGCCCGCAAGATGGAGAAGATGAGGGAGAAGGTACGGAGACCCCTGAGGGACAGACCTCAGACATGCACCCTCTCCTTTCCTGCATTAATTTAGATTTTTTAAGAGTCTCTAAAAAGTCTCTAACTTTTCCTTTCTCCCCACCTTCCTTCTCTCTCGCTCTCTCTGCTCTCACTCTCCTCCCTCTGGTCTCTCTCTCTCTCTCTGTCGCTCTCTCTCCAGAGGAAGGCTAAGTACTCTGAGAACAAGCTGAAGTCTCTGAAGGCCAGGAACGAGTACCTGCTGACGATGGAGGCCACCAACTCCTCCGTGTTCAAATACTACATCCACGACCTGCCCGATATCATAGACGTGAGTACACACACACACACACACACACACACACTAACACAAACAAGCCTATTCAGTAGATTTCACTATTACCTAAGAAGTGTTGGCAAAAAGTGTTAGAAGCTGTGTGTCTTTCTTTCTCTAACACATTACCATCTCATCTCTCTCTCCCTCAGTGTTGTGACCTGGGGTACCACTCCAGTCTGAGTCGTGCGTTGAAGACCTACCTGTCTGCAGAGCTGAGTCTGGAGGCCTCCAGGCGGACAGGGTTGGAGGTACTGGAGGGGGCCGTGGAAGGCCTGGATCCTGCCCGAGACAGACAGCGCCTGCTGGGCCTCTACCCCACCGCCTTCTGCCCCCCACCATGCTTCAGCTTCCAGCCCCACATGGGGGACCCGGTGAGTGCGCAAAAGTGCAAAAACACACAAGCACGCATGCACACACACACACACTCTCACAGACAGATGTACACATACAGTACACACACACACACACCGGGTAGGCGCCCGGTCATGCTGTGTGTTGTTCCTGTTTCCTGTCAGGTGACCCAGATAGCCGCCCAGCCACAGGTGCAGGCAGAGCTCACATCTAGGCTGCAGCAGCTCCAGTCACGCCTCTCCACCCTGAAGATAGAGAACGAGGAGGTGAGACACACATTTATCACACAGTCATATGTACTTCAGTTTCCCAGTGTGCTTTGCTGTAGAGGTGAGACCAGACATACACTGCTCAAAAAAATAAAGGGAACACTTAAACAACACATCCTAGATCTGAATGAATGAAATAATCTTATTAAATACTTTTTTCTTTACATACAGTGGGGGAAAAAAAGTATTTAGTCAGCCACCAATTGTGCAAGTTCTCCCACTTAAAAAGATGAGAGAGGCCTGTAATTTTCATCATAGATACACGTCAACTATGACAGACAAATTGAGAAAAAAAAATCCAGAAAATAACATTGTAGGATTTTTTATGAATTTATTTGCAAATTATTGTGGAAAATAAGTATTTGGTCACCTACAAACAAGCAAGATTTCTGGCTCTCACAGACCTGTAACTTCTTCTTTAAGAGGCTCCTCTGTCCTCCACTCGTTACCTGTATTAAGGGCACCTGTTTGAACTTGTTATCAGTATAAAAGACACCTGTCCACAACCTCAAACAGTCACACTCCAAACTCCACTATGGCCAAGACCAAAGAGCTGTCAAAGGACACCAGAAACAAAATTGTAGACCTGCACCAGGCTGGGAAGACTGAATCTGCAATAGGTAAGCAGCTTGGTTTGAAGAAATCAACTGTGGGAGCAATTATTAGGAAATGGAAGACATACAAGACCACTGATAATCTCCCTCGATCTGGGGCTCCACGCAAGATCTCACCCCGTGGGGTCAAAATGATCACAAGAACGGTGAACAAAAATCCTAGAACCACACGGGGGACCTAGTGAATGACCTGCAGAGAGCTGGGACCAAAGTAACAAAGCCTACCATCAGTAACACACTACGCCGCCAGGGACTCAAATCCTGCAGTGCCAGACGTGTCCCCCTGCTTAAGCCAGTACATGTCCAGGCCCGTCTGAAGTTTGCTAGAGTGCATTTGGATGATCCAGAAGAGGATTGGGAGAATGTCATATGGTCAGATGAAACCAAAATAGAACTTTTTGGTAAAATCTCAACTCGTCGTGTTTGGAGGACAAAGAATGCTGAGTTGCATCCAAAGAACACCATACCTACTGTGAAGCATGGGGGTGGAAGCATCATGCTTTGGGGCTGTTTTTCTGCAAAGGGACCAGGACGACTGATCCGTGTAAAGGAAATAATGAATGGGCCATGTATCGTGAGATTTTGAGTGAAAACCTCCTTCCATCAGCAAGGGCATTGAAGATGAAACGTGGCTGGGTCTTTCAGCATGACAATGATCCCAAACACACCGCCCGGGCAGCGAAGGAGTGGCTTCGTAAGAAGCATTTCAAGGTCCTGGAGTGGCCTAGCCAGTCTCCAGATCTCAACCCCATAGAAAATCTTTGGAGGGAGTTGAAAGTCTGTGTTGCCCAGCGACAGCCCCAAAACATCACTGCTCTAGAGGAGATCTGCATGGAGGAATGGGCCAAAATACCAGCAACAGTGTGTGAAAACCTTGTGAAGACTTAGAGAAAACGTTTGACCTGTGTCATTGCCAACAAATGGTATATAACAAAGTATTGAGAAACTTTTGTTATTGAACAAATACTTATTTTCCACCATAATTTGCAAATAAATTCATTAAAAATCCTACAATGTTATTTTCTGGATTTTTTTTCCTCATTTTGTCTGTCATAGTTGACGTGTACCTATGATGAAAATTACAGGCCTCTCTCATCTTTTTAAGTGGGAGAACTTGCACAATTGGTGGCTGACTAAATACTTTTTTGCCCCATTGTAGTTGAATGTGCTGACAACAAAATCACACAAAAATTATCAATGGAAATCAAATTTATCAACCCATGGAGGTCTGGATTTGGAGTCACCCTCAAGATTAAAGTGGAAAATTACACTACAGGCTGATCCAACTTTGATGTAATGTCCTTAAAACAAGTCAAAATGAGGCTCAGTAGTGTGTGTGGCCTCCACGTGCCTGTATGACCTCCCTACAACGCCTGGGCATGCTCCTGATGAGGTGGCGGATGGTCTCCTGAGGGATCTCCTCCCAGACCTGGACTAAAGCATCCGCCAACTCCTGGACAGTCTGTGGTGCAACGTGGCGTTGGTGGATGGAGCGAGACATGATGTCCCAGATGTGCTCAATTGGATTCAGGTCTGGGGAACGAGCGGGCCAGTCCATAGCATCAATGCCTTCCTCTTGCAGGAACTGCTGACACACTCCAGCCACATGAGGTCTAGCATTGTCTTGCATTAGGAGGAACCCAGGGCCAACCGCACCAGCATATGGTCTCACAAGGGGTCTGAGGATCTCATCTCGGTACCTAATGGCAGTCAGGCTACCTCTGGCGAGCACATGGAGGGCTGTGCGGCCCCCCAAAGAAATGCCACCCCACACCATGACTGACCCACCGCCAAACCGGTCATGCTGGAGGATGTTGCAGGCAGCAGAACATTCTCCACGGCGTCTCCAGACTCTGTCACGTCTGTCACGTGCTCAGTGTGAACCTGCTTTCATCTGTGAAGAGCACAGGGCGCCAGTGGCGAATTTGCCAATCTTGGTGTTCTCTGGCAAATGCCAAACGTCCTGCACGGTGTTGGGCTGTAAGCACAACCCCCACCTGTGGACGTCGGGCCCTCATACCACCCTCATGGAGTCTGTTTCTGACCGTTTGCGCAGACACATGCACATTTGTGGCCTGCTGGAGGTCATTTTGCAGGGCTCTGGCAGTGCTCCTCCTGCTCCTCCTTGCACAAAGGCGGAGGTAGCGGTCCTGCTGCTGGGTTGTTGCCCTCCTACGGCCTCCTCAACGTCTCCTGATGTACTGGCCTGTCTCCTGGTAGCGCCTCCATGCTCTGGACACTACGCTGACAGACACAGCAAACCTTCTTGCCACAGCTCGCATTGATGTGCCATCCTGGGTGAGCTGCACTACCTGAGCCACTTGTGTGGGTTGTAGACTCCGTCTCATGCTACCACTAGAGTGAAAGCACCGCCAGCATTCAAAAGTGACCAAAACATCAGCCAGGAAGCATAGGAACTGAGAAGTGGTCTGTGGTCACCACCTGCAGAACCACTTCTTTTTTGGGGGTGTCTTGCTAATTGCCTATAATTTCCACCTGTTGTCTATTCCATTTGCACAACAGCATGTGAAATGTATTGTCAATCAGTGTTGCTTCCTAAGTGGACAGGTTGATTTCACAGAAGTGTGATTGACTTGGAGTTACATTGTGTTGTTTAAGTGTTCCCTTTATTTTTTTGAGCAGTGTATATAGTTTCCCAGTGTGCTTTGCTGTAGAGGTGAGACCAGACATATACAGTTTCCCAGTGTGCTGTGTTGTAGTTTGGTTGACTCTCAGACTACATGCTGTGGGAAGAAGGAGAGGGAGGTTGGGTTGGAGTGATTTTGTAACAGATAAATTGGTTGGGTTGGAGTGATTTTGTAACTACAAATAAACCGTTTTCGTGCCCTGAAGCTATAGCTGTTTCTGGGTATGTATAGTGTGTTTTTGGAGTGTGTATTACTGTTGAGCAGATTGTATATGGATTGCTCTGGAATGGGAGGGCAGCTGTTATCGCACCCTGAAGGGCACAGAAGTGCTGATGGAGACTGGAGTATTGAGCTGCATCTGCACGTCTCAGCACACACACACACACACACATCGTAATTACCATACACAAATAAACACACACCACCTGCACCATACAGATTTAATATGCGCATACACACTCGCTCAAACCTCATATCTACAAATACATGAACACACACATACACTACACATAATCTGTGAGTGATTACTTTGGTCTAACTCTACTTCCCCTACCCCCAGGTGAAGAAGACATGGGGGGCCACTCTCACCACCCTTCAGGACATGACAGTGCTGGATGACTATGACGTTTCCCAGAGTTTCACCCACAGCCCCTCTTCAGAGTCAGTCAAGTCGAGCGTGTCGGACGGCTACCTAAACAAACCCAGCCTCGCCAAGCGCCGTGCCAACCAACAGGAGACTGAGCTCTTCTACTTTACAGTGAGACACACACACACTCAGGGCCGGCCCTGGACGTTCTGCCGCTCTAGGCAAGACAAAAAACTGGCGTCCCCCTGCTAAACTATGTACAGCAGGGGTCTGCAATAGGTTCAGCCTTGGGCCTCTTTTTTTCTCAGCTAGAAATCGGAGGAACAGAACATAATAGCAGCCCAATCCATGTGCCTATGCTACAAATAAAAACTAAAAACATCTGGTTAGTAGGCTATATAATCAGTACAATGTCAATAACAGCCTAATATTTTCAATCTGATTACACTGATAAAATCACCAATGTCTCTATTAAATTCGTTTTTTATATTTCTGTGTGCGTTGATTGGGGAAAAACATCTTGCAATCAAAAGGAAATGGGCTGAAAAAGTCTCAAAAGAAAGGTGGAGAATTAAATAGACGTTTCAGGAAAGAATGGGCAGAGAAATAGGCATTCTTACCATATTTCTCCAATGTCAAACCAGTGTCTTGTTTGCAACAGCTGTTTGCAAATAATAAAATCTTAGACATCCTTATGAATATAAGCATGGCACTTTCAAAAGTTACCTTTCCATCCAGACAGACGCTCTACCGAAGCAGAAAAATGTAAGCTTCAACTACTGGCTACTCCTCCATTGCATAACCCAACAACAGAAGTGCTTCCCTAAAAGCTGCCTGGGTTTAAACAAACGTCTTCTATTTTCAGAAAGTGAAAACCTCAATTAATAGGGACAGAATAGCAAAGTCAATTTGTTTGTCTCCTTGAATATTATAGGCTGCAGCTCAGCTTCAGAATGTCATAGAGAGGAATCAATATATCCCCATATGCATCGGAGTCACGTCTTTCGCATGAATTTTAAAGCTTGTTTCTACCATAAGGCTTCACAGAGTTAAGCATTGTTATAGAACGCTTTATATAATCTGGATACTTTTTATGTATTTATTTCCAAATATAAAGCTAACAATAGATATCCTTTTTGCCCTTTTCTTTAACAAAGGGTGTGGGATACCCTCACTCAATTAGAGCCCAAACACCCAAACACACCAAGCCCTTCCCAAACACGAGGTATTTAAGGAGTGCATGCGACTGTATTGGAGGATTTGGCTATACCGACATCTATGGATAGCATAATAGTGTTTGTCAAACAGTTAGGCCTACCATGTTTTTTAATAGGGAGAAATAGGCTCCAATTCTATATGCAATTCTATGATTAGGCCCATAACATTTTTTTGGTGCGCGCGTGCACATATAGGAGGTCCATTACCGGGCAAAAATGAATTTTACATTAACCCCTGCATCGGAGAGTTACAATGTTGCAATCACTATGCAGCCAGCTGCCTATAGTAGGAAACAGAGTTTCTTACTAATAATATGACACCTGTTATCACACATGGCACAAACCCACAATTGTTACAATAGAAATAACACTTTTATTTAACATATTTAACATATTATTTAATATTCCTGTAGAACTGTAAAAAGAGTGAGATAATTTGAGTTTTGGAAACAAGTGCTTTCATAAAGGCGGGACTCGTTTCGTTGGAGCAGTGTAAAATAAGCTTTCTGTCAATGACCCAGCCTTAACGAATTTTGTTTATTTACATATCAAATTTGATTGTCAAACATCAGTTTCAGCATTTCTTCATTTCGTGGCCCGCCTAGTGGCCTCTTTCCTCTGCTGTGGTGCTGCATTGCAGTCAGCGATGTTCTCTCGGTAGCTGTCAATGGTCCTGAAATCAAATAATCAGAGAGCGAGATTAGGATGTAGTCTATTTAAGTCTAATAATTACGGAGTAAACAGGCGATAGATAATTGAGTAATCTTACAAATTACTCTGTGATAGAATTAGTTTATGATCAAGGCTTACCTTTTCAAAGACAAGTTGACTCGCCTGGCCTTCCTGGCAGCAAAAGCATACACTGCTTCTTGGAGGTTGATTTTGTAACGCACAGGTTTCATAGCCCCCATCCGGCTCTGAGGGATTTCACTGTGAGTCCATCTTTTACATTCTCTTTCAGCAAGTCCCAGCGATGTGTAGATCCGGATAAAAATTTATAAATCTCTTGGATGGTGTTAAAAACTCAGCCGCCTCCAAGCAACAAGATGCTGCATCAGAGAGAACCAAGTTCAGCGAGTGTGCGCTGCATGGCCGAAAAAAGGCCCTTGGATTGATATCCTGCTGCAGCAGCAGCACAACTGTCATCCGGGACGTGGAGCGACGAATCTGAGTCCGGGTCCTAGATAGTAGGGTCCCTGCTGGCATTGTTTGGAGGTGTGGCTAGGCCTCGTGCGACCAAATGTTCTTGTCCACCCAGAAAGCTGTCATCATCGGTGGAAGTGGATGGCTCAGACTCCTCCGGTTCGCCCTCTTCGCTGCTAGAACCAGTGAACGGGGGTTCGTCCTTCTCGGCGAATGAACGGCCTGTCCTCGGAGGCATGTTGAATCTCTTTGGTTTAGAGATTGGGCCTCTTTTCTCGTTCGTTTTAAAAAAATATTCGCTTCCTGATAGTTTTTGTCTCTTAGACATGGTAGCAAATTTGGTTGCAAATCTTAACAGGCTAGGTTAGGCTACTGCCTTGATCACTAATCATCTTCCTCACACACAAACATTAAAAAACAATACAATAGTTTAATTGGCTGATTGATTTGTATTAATGTTTCACAATTGGATAATCCCGTAAAAACACACACATATCACCATAGCTACCAATGATAGTGGGAATGAACTTCGGGGAGAAGCGGGACTGGGGTGGGGGCGGGAACTGCAGCAACGGCTATGAGCTGGTGGCTGGGGCGACTGCCTAATCTTGCCTAATGGGAGGGCCGGCCCTGCACACACTCACAGACATACAGACATACACACAGGCTAGATGATATAGTTAGGTAGATGTACAGTTAATAAAAGCTGCATGTTCTTCTGTCTGTGGTCCACAGAAGTTCCGTGAGTATCTGGAGGGCAGTAATCTGATCTCCAAACTACAGGCCAAACACGACCTACTGAAGAAAGCCATGGCCGAGGGTAAGAGACCCCACATTCTATCTTGCTGTCTCATTCTTTCTTGCTGTCTACCCTCTCTCTCTTCGTTAGCCTGATCCACCATCTTGAATGCTGCGCTCTCGTTTTGTTTCACTTGAATCCGTGTAGTGGAACAGAATGTAAGCTTGCGATATCAGGATGGTCGAACAAGGCTTTCTTTTTGGAACTCTTATCTCTCTCACTGCCTCTCTTTTACGGCTTAGAAATATGCCTTATGTGCTAATGCCCTCCCCGTCTGCCAATAAAACGCCTGCCCTCTCTCTGTCTGCCTGTGTCTTTCATGTCTCTCCAGGGTATATAGCAGACACGCTGACTACCAGGTATAGCTCTTAAAACTATAAACATTTTATTGACTGAAGCACTGTTTTAGCTGTTTCTTTCTTTTAGATTGTCTCACCTCTTGTCTTTGAGCTCTGCAAAACAAAACAAAACTTGTCTCTGCTTCTCTCCTTCTAGCCGTGGACGAAAGAACTCCCATAGCAAACACCAGGTAATGTTTCCACTCTTCCTCCCGCTGCTTGTGTCTGTGTGTGGTTGGCCTCTGCTGGTTGCTTAATTGCATGGGATGTGTTTTTTAGGACTCGACTAAAGCCATTCCTCTGCTGGTGGAGAGCTGTATCCGCTACATCAACCTCCATGGTGAGTCCGACTGTTTATTTTATTTTATTTCACCTTTATTTAACCAGGTAAGCCAGTTGAGAACAAGTTCTCATTTACAACTGCGACCTGGCAAAGATAAAGCAAAGCAGTGCGGGGAAAAAAAACAACAACACAGAGTTACACATGGAATAAACAAAACGTACAGTCAATAACACAATAGAAAATCTATATACAGTGTGTGCAAATGTAGTAAGTTATGGAGGGAAGGCAATAAATAGGCCATAGTGCAAAATAATTACAATTATAATTTAGTATTAACATTGGAGTGATAGATGTGCAGAATATGATGTGCAAATATAGATACTGGGGTGCAAATGAGCAAAATAAATAACAATGTAAATAACAATATGGGGATGAGGTAGTTGGGTGGGCTAATTACAGATGGCTGTGTACAGGTGCAGTGATCGGTAAGCTTCTCTGACAACTGATGCTTAAAGATAGTGAGGGAGAGAAGTGTCTCCAGCTTCAGAGATTTTTGCAGTTCGTTCCAGTCATTTGCAGCAGAGAACTGGAAGGAATGGCAACCAAAGGAGGTGTTGGCTTTGGGGATGACCAGTAAGATATACCTGCTGGAACGCATACTACGGGTGGGTGTTGCTATGGTGACCAATGAGCTAAGATAAGGCGGGGATTTGCCTAGAAGGGATTTATAGATGACCTGGAGCTAGTGGGTTTGGCGACGAATATGTAGTGAGGGCCAGCCAACGAGAGCGTACAGGTCACAATGGTGGGTAGTATATGGGGCTTTGGTGACAAAACGGATGGCACTGTGATACACTACATCCAATTTGCTGAGTAGAGTGTTGGAAGCTATTTTGTAAATGACATCGCCGAAGTCAAGGATCAGTAGGATAGTCAGTTTTACGAGGGCATGTTTAGCAGAGTGAAGGAGGCTTTGTTGCGAAATAGGAAGCCGATTCTAGATTTAACTTTGGATTGGAGATGCTTAAATGTGAGTCTGGAAGGAGAGTTTACGGTATAACCAGACACCTAGGTATTTGTAGTTGTCCACATATTCTAAGTCAGACCCGCCGAGAATTAGTGATTCTAGTCGGGCAGGCGGGTACAAGCAGCGTTCGATTGAAGAGCATGCATTTAGTTTTACTAGCGTTTAAGAGCAGTTGGAGGCCACGGAAGGAGTGTTGTATGGCATTGAAGCTCGTTTGGAGGTTTGTTAACACAGTGTCCAATGAAGGGCCAGATGTATACAAAATGGTGTCGTCTGCGTAGAGGTGGATCTGAGAGTCACCAGCAGCAAGAGCGACATCATTGATATACACAGAGAATAGAGTCGGCCCGAGAATTGAACCCTGTGGCACCCCCATAGAGACTGCCAGAGGTCCAGACAACAGGCCCTCCGATTTGACACATTGAACTCTATCTGAGAAGTAGTTGGTGAACCAGGCGAGGCAGTCATTTGAGAAACCAAGGCTATTTAGTCTGCCAATAAGAATGCGGTGATTGAGAGAGTCAAAAGCCTTGGCCAGGTCAATGAAGACGGCTGCACAGTACTGTCTTTTATCGATTGCGGTTATTAAATCGTTTAGGACCTTGAGCGTGGCTGAAGTGCACCCATGACCAGCTCGGAAACCAGATTGCATAGCGGAGAAGGTACGGTGGGATTCTAAATGGTCGGTGATCTGTTTGTTAACTTGGCTTTCAAATACTTTCGAAGGGCAGGATGGATATAGGTCTGTAACAGTTTGGATCTAGAGTGTCACCCCCTTTGAAGAGGGGGATGACCGCGGCAGCTTTCCATTCTCTGGGGATCTCAGACGATACGAAAGAGAGGTTGAACAGGCTGGTGATAGGGGTTGCGACAATTTCGGCAGCTAATTTTAGAAAGAAAGGGTCCAGATTGTCTAGGCCAGCTGATTTGATGGGGTCCAGATTTTGCAGCTCTTTCAGAACATCAGCTATCTGAATTTGGGTGAAGGACAAGCGGGGGGGCATGGGCAAGTTGCAGCGGAGGGTGCAGAGCTGGTGGCCGGTGTAGGGGTAGCCAAGTGGAAAGCATGGCCAGCCATAGCAAAATGCTTGTTGAAATTTTCGATTATCGTAGATTTATCGGTAGTGACAGTGTTTCCTAGCCTCAGTGCAGTTGGCAGTTGGAAGGAGGTGCTCTTATTCTCCATGGACTTTACAGTGTCCCAAAACTTTTTGGAGTTAGTGCTACAGGATGCAAATTTCTGTTTGAAAAAGTTAGCCTTTGCTTTCCTAACTGATTGTGTATATTGGTTCCTGACTTCCCTGAAAAGTTGCATATCGTGGGGACTGTTCGATGCCAATGCCGTACGCCACAATGTTTTTGTGCTGGTCAAGGGCAGTCAAGTCTGGGGTGAACCAGGGGCTATATCTGTTCTTAGTTGTGCATTTTTTGAATGGGGCGTGCTTATTTAAGATGGAGAGGAAAGCACTTTTTAAAGAACAACCAAGCATCCGCTACTGACGGAATGAGGTCAATATCCATCCAGGATACACGGGCCAGGTCAATTAGAAAGGCCTGCTCGCTGAAGTGTTTTAGGGAGCGTTTGACAGTGATGAGGGGTGGTCGTTTGATCGCGGACCCATTACGGACGCAGGCAATGAGGCAGTGATCGCTGAGATCCTGGTTGAAGACAGCAGAGGTGTATTTAGAGGGTAAATTAATCAGGATGATATCTATGAGGGTGCCCATGTTAACGGATTTAGGGTTGTACCTGGTAGGTTCCTTGATAATTTGTGTGAGATTGAGGGCATCTAGTTTAGATTGTAGGATGGCTGGGGTGTTAAGCATATCCCAGTTTAGGTCACCAAGCAATACAAACTCTGAGGATAGATGGGGGGCAATCAATTCACATATGGTGTTCAGGGCACAGCTGGGGGCTGAGGGGGGTCTGTAGCAAGCAGCAACAGTGAGAGACTTATTTCTGGAAAGGTGGATTTTTAGAAGTAGAAGCTCAAACTGTTTGGACACAGACCTGGATAGTATGATAGACCTCTGCAGTAGATTGCAACTCCGCCCCCTTTGGCAGTTCTATCTAGACGGAAAATGTTATAGTTGGGAATGGAGATTTCAGAATCGCAGTGAATAAGTCAAACTTAGGGAGGAGGCTTCTGATGTTAACATGCAAGAAACCAAGGCTTTTGCGATTATAGAAGTCAACAAATGATAGCGCCTGGGGAGCAGGAGTGATACTGGGGGCTACAGGGCCTGGGTTAACCTCTACATCACCAGAGGAACAGAGGAGGAGTAGAATAAGGATATGGCTAAAGGCTTTAAGAACTGGTCTTCTAGTGCGTTGGGTACAGAGAAAAAAAGGGGCAGATTTCCGGCCGTTGTAGAATAGATTCAGGGCATTATGTACAGACAAGGATATGGAAGGATATGAGTACAGTGGAGGTAAACCTAAGCGTTGGGTAAAGATGAAAGAGATAGCATCACTGGAGGTACCGATTGAGCCAGTCTCCGCGTGTGTGGGGGTGGGACAAAAGAGCTATCTGAGACAGGTTGAGCAGGACTGGGGGCTCTACATTGAAAAAGTACAGTTAGAACTAACCGAAACAGCAATAGGCAAGGCATATTGACATGGGAGAGAGGCATAAAGCAGTCACAGGTGTTATTCGAGAGAGCTAAGACAACAGCTGGTAATGGCGATGAAAGTTTGAGCTGAGACTAAACAGATAAACAGGATGGGGTACCGTATAAAGGAACATTCTAGCATATAGGAACAGTCCAGCAGGCATCAGCAGTGTAGCTGAGTGATCATAACGTTGGCTAATAGCAAGTAGCTAGTTAGCTGGCTAGTTTCAGCCAGAGGTTCTGGATAAAAATATATGAAGAAATAATAGAAACCGTTCCACACAGAGGTAGATAGCCGGGAGATGGGCCTGGCTCGAGACTAGCTCAAGGCTAACTGGAGTTAGCTTCAGGACAATGGTGATTAGCCAACAACGACAACAGCCATTTGGTTGCAGCTAGCTAGTTGCGATGATCCGGTGTTAAGGTCCAGTGATTCAGTGATTCCGGCAGAAAATCCGATATGCTCTGGCTCGATAGCGCGATGTGCAGACTGGCCGATAATTGTCCAGGCTAGAGCTGGCTGGTAGGTAGTGCAGGCCACGGTGAAGACCGCTAACGGTGGCTAATAGCAAGTAGCTAGTTACAGTGGGGGGGGGGGGGGGGGGGGGGGAGTATTTAGTCAGCCACCAATTGTGCAAGTTCTCCCACTTAAAAAGATGAGAGGCCTGTAATTTTCATCATAGGTACACGTCAACTATGACAGACAAAATGAGATTTTTTTTCTCCAGAAAATCACATTGTAGGATTTTTTATGAATTTATTTGCAAATTATGGTGGAAAGTAAGTATTTGGTCAATAACAAAAGTTTCTCAATACTTTGTTATATACCCTTTGTTGGCAATGACACAGGTCAAACGTTTCCTGTAAGTCTTCACAAGGTTTTCACACACTGTTGCTGGTATTTTGGACCATTCCTCCATGCAGATCTCCTCTAGAGCAGTGATGTTTTGGGGCTGTCGCTGGGCAACACGGACTTTCAACTCCCTCCAAAGATTTTCTATGGGGTTGAGATCTGGAGACTGGCTAGGCCACTCCAGGACCTTGAAATGCTTCTTACGAAGCCACTCCTTCGTTGGCGGGCGGTGTGTTTGGGATCATTGTCATGCTGAAAGACCCAGCCACGTTTCATCTTCAATGCCCTTGCTGATGGAAGGAGGTTTTCACTCAAAATCTCACGATACATGGCCCCATTCATTCTTTCCTTTACACGGATCAGTCGTCCTGGTCCCTTTGCAGAAAAACAGCCCCAAAGCATGATGTTTCCAACCCCATGCTTCACAGTAGGTATGGTGTTCTTTGGATGCAACTCAGCATTCTTTGTCCTCCAAACACGACGAGTTGAGTTTTTACCAAAAAGTTCTATTTTGGTTTCATCTGACCATATGACATTCTCCCAATCCTCTTCTGGATCATCCAAATGCACTCTAGCAAACTTCAGACGGGCCTGGACATGTACTGGCTTAAGCAGGGGGACACGTCTGGCACTGCAGGATTTGAGTCCCTGGCGGCGTAGTGTGTTACTGATGGTAGGCTTTGTTACTTTGGTCCCAGCTCTCTGCAGGTCATTCACTAGGTCCCCCCGTGTGGTTCTGGGATTTTTGCTCACCGTTCTTGTGATCATTTTGACCCCACGGGGTGAGATCTTGCGTGGAGCCCCAGATCGAGGGAGATTATCAGTGGTCTTGTATGTCTTCCATTTCCTAATAATTGCTCCCACAGTTGATTTCTTCAAACCAAGCTGCTTACCTATTGCAGATTCAGTCTTCCCAGCCTGGTGCAGGTCTACAATTTTGTTTCTGGTGTCCTTTGACAGCTCTTTGGTCTTGGCCATAGTGGAGTTTGGAGTGTGACTGTTTGAGGTTGTGGACAGGTGTCTTTTATACTGATAACAAGTTCAAACAGGTGCCATTAATACAGGTAACGAGTGGAGGACAGAGGAGCCTCTTAAAGAAGAAGTTACAGGTCTGTGAGAGCCAGAAATCTTGCTTGTTTGTAGGTGACCAAATACTTATTTTCCACCATAATTTGCAAATAAATTCATTAAAAATCCTACAATGTGATTTTCTGGAGAAAGAAAATCTCAATTTGTCTGTCATAGTTGACGTGTACCTATGATGAAAATTACAGGCCTCTCATCTTTTTAAGTGGGAGAACTTGCACAATTGGTGGCTGACTAAATACTTTTTTTCCCCACTGTAGCTGGCTAGTTTCAGCCAGAGGTTCTGGATTAAAATGTATGAAGAAATAATAGAATCCGTTCCACATTGGGTGAGGCAGGTTGCAAGAAAGTATATTTAGTTAAAGGATGGAAAGTGAGATTGAGAAATATATACGAAAAAGACAAAAGAAACAAAAAACTGGCTATTTACATGAGAACACTACAGAAAACACGACCACACTGCTATGCCATCTTGGACTGTTGAAAACAACATGGTGGATCCTCCACTTAGCCTATTTGGGGGCTAGGGGTTAGCAGCCAAATCCATACTGCTTACACCTATCAAGTCCTTTCACGTTCCTCTGTGTACTGACACATGATTAGACTCTCATAACCGCCTCTCCATCTCCTTCAGGTCTTCAGCACCAGGGCATATTCCGTGTGTCGGGGTCGCAGGTGGAGGTCAATGACATCAAGAACTCATTTGAGAGAGGTGAGAGGTCACTGTGAGGTCATCATACTTGTGCTTCCAGGTCAGGGGAGAGGAAACTGACCATGTCCGTCTCTGTTGCCAAGGTAACGACCCCCTGATTGACGAGGAGAATAACCATGACATCAACTCTGTGGCCGGTGTGCTGAAGCTCTACTTCCGGGGGCTGGAGAACCCCCTCTTTCCCAAGGAAAGGTTCAACGACCTCATTTCCTGTGTCTGTAAGTAGCACTTCCTTCCTCTATGGTGTGGGGAGGTGGCGGGACAGGGATCACTGTTTTAAGGGGGGGGGGGGGGGGGGGTTGTTTTTTGTGTGTATGCAATTAGTATGTGTGTTTGTAAAAATGATCAGCTGTGAAGGTTTTGTGATTTACCATGACTGCAGGTGACATTTGGACAGCTCTAACATGCAAAATGACCTTATCAGCAGTCGATATGGACCTTAATTCAAAACGTATTTAAAATGCAACAGATTCCAATTGTTATTCATGCTTCACATAAATGCACCGTTCGTTTTAGGTCTCCATAAATGATCAGCGCCTGTTTACATTTTAGTCATTTAGCAAACGCTCTTATCTAGAGCGACTTACAGTTAGTGAGTGCATACATTATTATTTATTTTTTCCCCATACTGGCCCCCCGTGGGAATCGAACCCACAACCCTGGCGTTGCAAGCGCCATGCTCTACCAACTGAGCTACACGACAACTGACATTCATTGACAAAAAGAGCAGTTTTGAAATGCAGTGATTAAAAAGTGCTATGAGTACTACATTCATGTCAAAATGGGTCCCTCTGTATCTCTCACTCTGTATCTTGCTTGCTCTCTTCCTCCCACACACAATCTCCCAGTCCTTTGTCTCCAACTCACTTAGTTTCTTTCTGAAACACACACAGAGAGCTAGCTGCCTCTCTCTGTTGGCTGCTTATATTCCAGGATGTGTCAGGATTACACCTCATGCTTTCTTGGGAATATTACTGACAGCTGGTGTGTGTGTGTGTGTGTTCCCACAGGTATAGAGAGCCTGTATGACAGAGCTCAGTGTATTCGTAAGATTCTGCTGGGTGTTCCACGGGCGACACTGGTCGTGATGAGATACCTGTTCGCCTTCCTCAACCAGTGAGTGTCTCTACGCTAACACAAAACCACACATGAACCACGTCTGGGCTAGTCTAGAACCCACAGAACCAGTACTGGGTAAATCTATAACCCATAGAACAACACAGAACCAGTTCTGGGTTAGTCTAGAACATATAGAACCAAGCAGAACCAGATCTGGGCTAGTCAAGAACACACAGAACCAGGTCTGGGCTAGTCTATAACATATAGAAACACAGAACCAGGTATGGACTAATATAGAACGACAAAGAACCAGTACTGGGTTAGTCTAGAACACACAGAACCAGTACTGGATTAGTCAAACACACAGAACCAGTCCCGGGTTAGTCTAGAACATATAGGTCCGCAGTAGTCTAGATCACACAGAACCACACACAACACGGTCTGTCTGTCTGTCTGTATTTGGCTGAACACGATGTCTCATCTCTGCAGCTCCAAATAGAGATGGAGGAGGAAGTGTGAACGGGAGGAAAGAGAGAGAAGTGTGAGGTGCAGGTGTGATCTACCACAGCAGAGTCTGAATGTTAGATTGCAGAATGTTAGATTGTAGTATTCAGTATGAGTATGAAGAACATTCAGTATACTTATATTTGTATCCTGGAGTTAGTGTTTTACTTCCTGCCTGGTCATGTGATGTTGGTGTTTAAATAGTAACATTTGCCCTGTGCCCCCATGCCCAGCTTATCCCAGTACAGCGATGAGAACATGATGGATGCTGGGAACCTGGCCATCGTCTTCGGCCCCACCCTGCTGCCCACGCCCGACGCCCTGGACCAGGTGGCCTGCCAGGCGCATGTTAATGAGGTCATCAAGACGGTCATCCTGCACCACGACAACATCTTCCCCGACCCCCCGGAGCTGCCTGGGCCCAATCTATGAGAAGTGCATGACTGGAGACCAGTACTGGTTAGACAGATGGACTATACTGTATACTCCAGCCTTGCAACCATCTGTGCTTTTATCCTTCTGTTCATCCATTTTGTGAAATATCAAGAGGGCTCGGTTCTAGCAAGTCTGTCTAGTATTGCTGACTACTGCAGTTATGGTACTTACACTCCCTTTCTCTTTCTTTCCCTCCCCCCGCACCCAACCTCTCTTTCTCTCTCTAGCGAGAGTCCGTTCAGCGAGCCGGGTGGGGAGGCGGAGCCTGACGGCAGCACAGAGACCCAGACCAGTGAGGAGGGTACGCTCTGACCTCTACACAATCAACCAGTGTGCTTCTCTCTCATTCACCAATGATAGAGCTGTCTCCATGGCAACAGCTAGCATAGAGACCCCCCCCTCTCTCCCCTGTCGCTGTGTGCAGTGTGTGATTCCCATTGTAGGGGGGATGGGGTGCGGTGGGGTGATGGCTAGCCAAGACTCTTATGCTCTGATTTTCACGTCCCCCTCGTTCCTCATTGGCTGAGGTCGGGGCAAGGTCGAGCCGGGGAGATGAATATTTGACAGGTCCCCCTCGATCATACGATCTGGCTCTTCTCTCCTTTTTCTCTGTCCTCCCCCTTCCAGCCCCTTCTCTCTCTGTTTCTCTCTTTCTCTATAAGTATTTTCCTCCCTCCCTCCTCATCTTTCTTTCTCTCTCTCTATCCCCCTCTCTCTCTGTCTCTCAGAGGGGGAAGCAGTAGAGGCGGTGGCCAGGTTTGACTATACGGGCCGGTCGGGGCGGGAGCTCTCCTTTAAGAAGGGAGTGACCCTGCAGCTGTTCCAGCGTGCCTCACATGACTGGTGGGAGGGGCGACTCAACGGCACCCATGGCCTGGTGCCTCACCAGTACATAACACTGAAGGACAGGCAAGTACACGGCTACAGCATAGCTAGCACATAGCATACACACTAAGTAACACAACCATGCCAAGAGAACGTCTGTAAAATATGCCTACAGCGTTATCCCGTTGTGGATTGTTATCAAATTAACTGTAGAATGAGGAATTTACGTGCTCAACTCCCTTTTCAGTGTCAAAGGAACTGCCCATGATTCTTTAAACAGTTTTTTGGGGGGATTGATGGATTGATTGACTGACTGATTAAATTGATTGATGACCTAAGTTATTAATTAAATTGATTGGAGTGAACAATTACTGGCCACTGGTATTGATTGACTAATTTATCATTTGTCTGATTAGTTAGAGTGCCCTGATTGGTTGGGGAGCAGGTTCTGTTTAGTGCTGATTGGTTGGTAAGAGGTTCTGTGTGGTGTTTCAGGCCTGACTCTGCATCAACAGTGGACAGCGACAGTGGGAGCACTAGCAATGACGACAAGAGAGCCAGAAGGGAGCTGAGCTCTCCTGCTGACAGACAGCCAGAGACCTACAATAGGTCAGTAGCTAGATTGCCTGAGACCTACAACAGGTCAGTAGTTAGATCGCCTGAGACCTACAACAGGTCAGTAGTTAAATCGCCTGAGACCTACAACAGGTCAGTAGTTAATAACACACAACAGACCACCACAGACTTATAACTTGCACAAAGCTATCAAGCTAAGCTAGCGGTTTGTGGAGTGTATTGATTTAGTCAAGCGCTTATCTTAGCCAACGGTCTATACTGTACGTCTCTCCACAGCAGCCACCGCAGGAAGCGGACTGACATTTTCCACCGCCCCCTCGGTCTCTCTAAAGACCATGGTAACGGGGGTGTGTTGGAGAGGAACTCACCGCCCGTCACTGGTCACTTCAGCCCGCGGGAGCTCCTTCTGGGGCGGGGCACTGGCTTAACCCCGCCTCTCGACAGCCCAGAGCGTCGTCGCCGTTCCACTGCCGTGGTAACGGTTACCGTGAGCCGCCAAGATACGCTGCGTCGGCCTGAAGACACACCTATCCGGCGCTCCAGCAGCGGGCAGCACGGCTTCAGCTCCAGAACCCTAGACCCAGACACACTGGCACAGGTACACACTCTCACACAGCAATTATACATAAACAGACAGCTTCTGCACACATCATCAAACTACACTTCATCTTGTATTTTCTCTCTGCCACTCCCTCTTTCCTCCACCCTGCCTCTTCCCCCTCTCTCTGTAGGACATAGATGAAAGTGTGAGTGTGGCTCTGGGGCAGCTGAGGCAGTTGGAGCGTGGGGGCTGCAGGCCGGCTCCTGACGTGGTCCTGGACACACTGGAGCAGGTTAAGAACAGCCCAATCACAGCCTGCTCCTCCGAGTCGCCCAGCCCCCACAGCACCCCCTCCACCCCAGGGACTCCTGGTACCCCTAGTCCCCTCAGCCCTCTGAGCCCCCTCATTCCCCTCCCTGGCCCCCCTCCCGCACCCCTCCGATCCACCAACCCCTCTCCCTGACACCCTGGGCTCCTTCAAGCCCGTAGCGGGAGCTCCACTCCGTATGGGGGCTCCGCTTCGCCCCCCAGCCCTGAGGCCCAAACCCCTGGTGCCCCCCAAGAGCAACACCCCCCCTCTGCCCCCGCTGCTGGACAAGTCCTGCACCATGTGATGAGCCAAACCAGGCCCAACATAAAGAATAGGAGAACAGGGTACCTGCTTACTGTTTAGAAACCTGAACAAGGGTAGAAAGTGGTAGGACAGATCTGAAACTAAAAGGGTTTTATGTAGTAATACAAAATAATATATGATATGATCTATGATATGCCATGATATTTATGTGTGTTGTCAGGTTGGTGTGTACTTTCTTCTTGGTGTAAAGGAGTTTACTTTCTCCATGTATCAAAGCATTTATCAAAGGGTAGCTATGTAAAATGGGACTGCTGAATGGGAGAAGTACAAGAAAAAAAGTATAAGCTAAAGAAAGCAGAAACCCTATCCTGTAAAAGAGATGTAGTCACAGATGTGTGGGAAGTGTAGTTCTCCTCCAGTGAAATGTAGTTTCAGTGATGTGAACGTTGACCATGTAATGACGATAGGCTCCTCAGCTAATGAAGGTCTATCACCAAGAGGCTGCTGTATTCTTAGTGTATTTCGATTGGCTGCTGCATCTATGAACGATTTCCAATGGCGAAGCGAAAGAAAGGGACAATGCAGAATGAAGAGGTGCCTGATGGGTAAAGGGAGGCTCACACAGAGTGGAAACATAAGGGCGGATGTCTGTGTGATCTTTTTTTTTATTATTTTCTATTTCACTTGGTTCCGCTGCTAAGCTCACTAATGCCTCAACCGAAGCCTCTCGAGGCATTGGTGACAAAACTCACATTCTATTTAACCAATGTTCAGCTATTTAATGAATGTTCCAGTATTTAAACTATGACTGTTCAGTTCTCTATTGAATGTTCAGTGGGCACTAATGTCACAGGGGTGGTGGTGGCGTTAACCCTCACTACTAGAAAACAGCCTTCTCGTGTTCAACCGATACACACACTCAGGCCAGGGGAAATAGTTGAGGTACAGTGGTGGAGTTTGTAGATTTCTGTACATTTCCCTCGGCCTGGGTATGTGTGATTTCTTTCCCATTACCTGTTTGTCTGTGTGTGTGCGTTTCCTCTGCCTGCCCTCATTCTGTTCCTTTGTAAGTGCGATGGTGGATAAAATGATGGATTATTCATGTCTGCCTTTAGTACCAGAACATGTGCAGGACAGGGGTGCGTGTGCTGGCACTTAGTGTGTGTGTGTGGGAATATGGTGTATCTGGTTGTGTTACACTGAAGTCACTAAATAACCTTAAATTCACAGTAAGCAAACAGGGTGGGGCTCTTGCGTGTAAATGCCCAAAATACACTCGAACAGCAGCACACTGAATGTGTCCTCTTTACTGGTGTGTGGAGTACTGGGGATGTGTGTCTCTAAGAATGGGCTATGGGTGTGCATCAATTTGTGTGTGTGTGTGTCAATGTGAAAGTGCCTTTTTTTACCTTTGTCTTTGTGGGGAGTAGTAATCCACTCACGCATGTCCTGAACGAAGAGCAGCAGCACTTAGAATGAAATAATCATAAAGTGTTTAGTACAAGACTGAATTATGAATCCTAGAGTTAATCTATTGTGACATTGCACTTTGATGTATAGGAAAAATCATGTACTTGGCATGTAGCATTATAACATGTGAACAGGTGCATTTTAAGGGATGTTGGTTTCTCTCTGAATGTGTCTGATAATTAAAGGAAATGGTTTTGTCTGTTAGTGTTGCTGTATCTGAAACTCCTGAGCTTCCTAAAGACGAGCTCTTATAGCCAAATGGATAGTATTGATGTGTTGTATTTATATTATAAATAAAAGGGAATAAATGAACAAGTGTGTTTTGGTTAGTCAAGCCTTCATTATTGCCTTGTTTATCACCTGCTGAGTGTGTGAGTGGGGATGTGCTACAGTTGGCTGTCTGAACACTCACTTATGTCTCAGTCTTAAGCAGCATCTGAAACATGTGAAAGGACCTCTCACACACGTCATTATGCTTTTCTACATATTAAGCTTTTTTCTACAGTCATCTCAAAACTTAATTCCCAAATAACAGCAAAATAAGTACAACTAAATAAAGGATGACATACAGTAAAACCAAATTAAGCACTTCTGTTAAAACGGTAAACAAACACATCAATGTTAACAAAAGTATACATAAATTAAACAAAAGCTTTTTCAGTACATAGCAACATTATATCCCTGACAGGGGTAGGAAGTTAGCTATCCTGTGATGGAATAGAATCAAGTCAAAGAAACAGGTCAAATGTCTCAATCGAGCAGTTCACTGTGAGAAGGCCACACTGCGTCTAATATAGTCAGTGACGCATCTCTTTGGTCTGGAACTGATTTGTCAAAACAAACTAAAGGATTCAAAGCATGAAGCTCAACAGAACAAACAGTTGGACCATGGGTTGAAGTCATTCTCTCAATTAAAACAAGCTAATGTTGAGGTTCTAATTATATTTTATACAAATATCAAGTAGTAAAGCAAAAGGTCCTGGCCGCCCATTTTAAGAAGCTAAAACCAATCAGAATGTTGCAACAATGTCACTCAAGAAGCTTTCCTAATGATTAGACAACTTCTGTCTGTAACGGCCTGTCTGTCTATGGAACTGGAACAATGCCTCGTCTCTCTGTGTGTCCTCATAAGGGGCAGAGAGGTTGTGTGTGTATCGTTATAAGAGCTCTGTTTATGATGTGTGTGCGTAGTATATGAAGCAGGTCATATCTCTCTTTCAGCACTTGGAGCCAGGTTTGAGGGTGCTGAATGGTTTAGAGTTCCTCAGCGAGCCAGAGATCTCCTGCAGGAAGGCGGTGATGTGCGAGTCCTTCTCGGACTTCCTGCCGTCGAAGATGACCACCAGGGTGAAGTGTGATTCCGGTCGGGTCAGGTAGTAAGTGCTCTGGACTTTGTCGTCGTAGAAGTGCACCACCTTGTCCAGCGTGTTGAGCTCCGCCTCGCGGTCGCCCATCATCATGATGACGTTGGGCCAGTGCGTGAGCGGCCGTTCGCCCCCGGGAAGGGACACCACAGCAGGAAACTGCTCCACCCCCTTGGGCACCTCGCGGTACGAGTGCGGGTGGTGGTAGCCGTGGCCCTGGAAGCTGTCCGAGCCACGGTTGTCGAACACCAGGGACACGTTGTTTGGCATCGTGTTTGCGGATAAACGAACAGATCTTGCCGTGGTAATCGGGTGCCGTGCGTGCCGTCAGGGCCTTCATGTCTGCGGACGCAGTCTGACGGCTCAGCGCCTCATGGAAGTAGAAGCTGAATTTAGCCAGGAGCGCCCCCTGGAGGCGCTGCAGCCACAAGTACAGGTGGGGCGGCTGCACTGCCTTCTGGGACTGGCCTCCGAACAGGTGCTTGCGGGTCTCCCTCTGGCGTTGGAAGAGCTGTCCCCAGGCGGTGAGCTTAGAGCTAGCCCCATGCAGGCTGAGCAGGGCGGGCAGGAAGTGCCACTCTGACACCTGGGCCTGGCAGCGCAGCAGCTGTGTCACCACATCCACCTCTGTCTGGAAGCTCCCCTCCAAGCGGCCCAGGATGGGGTGGTGGAACCTGGGGAGGGAGGAGATGGAGGGGGTCATTGGAAAGCAAGCTATTGCTAACATAAGGTAGAAATGTTGGTGGTGTCAGATGGCAGCCTTAAAACTGATCACACTCCACTACGAATCAACCGTGTTCACTATTCATTAAGACCAATTATCCTAATGATAAATAGCCTCCTCATTAGTACTAATGCTGATTAATATACTGTAAGAGATGGATTGTGGCCGTGGAACAGTATTGGATGTCTCTGGTCTTCTGTGCTGCTAAGGGTGTGTGCACTATGCACGTGTGGGCGACTGGGTGTGGAGGTTCTGGCCCTGATTAGCAGTTAATATCCTGTGTATTGTTATTCTCAGTGCCGATTACTTTCCCTGGCTGTGTCGACTGCTGTGCGAGAGAGTCACCTTCACCCCTAACTGCACAACCACCCGTGTGTGCCAGATTGTGACTCGCTGCAGTGTGAACTGCGACTCAGCCGCACAGTGGGGTTGGGCTTGCTTTGGTTCCGGCTGAGCTAAATTTTATATCTGCTGATTTCAGCAGAAAGCCCCCCCCCCCCTCCCCCGTCGTGCTCGCTCGCCCACCCTTCCCCATTCTCTTGCTCTCTCTTTTTTTCTCCAATTTCTCTGCCACTCACACACTATTACAGTCTGCACAGACAGCACAGCTGAGCTTTTAAACATGACACGTCCCACACACACCTGGAGCTGTATTTCTGCAGCACTGCGTCGAGGGTGGTGACCAGCTCCTCTGAGTTGATGTTCTTCTGGCTGCCCAGCGCGTGCATCTTCTCGTACAGGTCAGCCATCTCCATACGGGCCTGGGTAAAGTGGCACAGCTGCTCCGACAGGTGAGACAGCAGGTCCTCCAGGTAGGGTGCGGAACCTGGCTGGGCGTGGCGCCCCATGGTCACCACCTTCCTCAGCGCGTTGAACAGGGAGGTGTAGATGGTGCGGATGGAGTCCTTGCGGCTGAAGAACGACTGGCCGCCTGCAAGAGTGGGTTATGATGCTGAATACCACACACACCACACTGCAGTAGCAACATATTGGAGTAACGTAGAGAAAACAGTCCATGTTGGAAATTGTTGTTTGGGGAGCTATAACCTAACGTAGCTGATGTAAAAAGACACCAGAGCGGAGTCCCAACAAACCATTTTTCAGGGGAAATGGAAGTTAGGTTGAAAATACTGTATCCTTGAAAAACCGGAAACATCCACTTTCAGCCGACCCCTCAGAGAGTGGGGTAGACGTGATGTGCTGTCTTCTTCGGTGGGGTTTATCGGCGGTTGGCATCCAACGTTATGGTGCATTACCGCCACCTACTGTACTGGAGTGTGGGCCAGAGACAAGGAGAAACTAAATCCTAAATTCTAACTGCCAGCCGCGTTGCTCTTAAAAAAGATAAAATGTGAGACTATATATACTCTTTAAAACTAATTTCCTGTATCCCCTTCTCCCTCATACTAGATCTCATCCTCTCTCTTTCCCTCTGATTCTGCCCACACTGTAGCAATACATGCTCAACGGTCTCTGTTTCCTGGCAATAATCACACATTTAAAGTCTTATTCAACCGGCTGTGTCCCACCCTTAATCTTGAAAAAATAACCTCCTCTCTTCTGTCCCTTCCTGCCGTCCTCCCCAACTTTCCTCTGTACTTGAAATAAATGCCTGCCCTTAGTACAGTGGCTTGCGAAAGTATTCATCCCCCTTGGCATTTTTCCTATTTTGTTGCCTTACAACCTGAAATTAAAATTGATTTTTTGGGGGTTTGTATCATTTGATTTACACAACATGCCTACCACTTTGAAGATGCAAAATATTTTTTATTGTGAAACAAACAAGAAATAAGACAACTTGAGCGTGCGTAACTATTCACCCCCCCAAAGTCAATACTTTGTAGAGCCACCTTTTGCAGCAATTACAGCTGCAAGTCTCTTGGGTTATGTCTCTATAAGCTTGGCACATCTAGCCATTGGGATTTTTGCCCATTCTTCAAGGCAAAACTGCTCCAGCTCCTTCAAGTTGGATGGGTTCCGCTGGTGTACAGCAATCTTTAAGTCATACCACAGATTCTCAATTGGATTGAGGTCTGGGCTTTGACTAGGCCATTCCAATACATTTAAAATGTTTCCCCTTAAACCACTCGAGTGTTGCTTTAGCAGTATGCTTAGGGTCATTGTCCTGCTGGAAGGTGAACCTCCGTCCCAGTCTCAAATCTCTGGAAGACTGAAACAGGTTTCCCTCAATAATTTCCCTGTATTTAGCGCCATCCATCATTCCTTCAATTCTGACCAGTTTCCCAGTCCCTGCCGATGAAAAACATCCCCACAGCATGATGCTGCCACCACCATGCTTCACTGTGGGGATGGTGTTCTCTGGGTGATGAGAGGTGTTGGGTTTGCGCCAGACATAGCGTTTTCCTTGATGGCCAAAAAGCTCAATTTTAGTCTCATCTGACTCAACTCTTAGTCTCAACTCTTCCATTTGTTTGGGGAGTTTCCCACATGCCTTTTGGCGAACACCAAACGTGTTTGCTTATTTATTTTGTGTATGTCCATTAAATGAAATCCAAATAAAAATCTATTTAAATTACAGGTTGTAATGCAACAAAATAGGAAAAACGCCAAGGGGGATGAATTATTTTGCAAGGCACTGTATCTCTATTCCACTGCTCCTGCCATCTCTGCACCATCACTGTCCATATCAGGCTTTTTGCCTCTGCCTTGCTCATTGAAACTACAACATCAACATCCCCACTACTAAGTGCATGTTTAGCCAGTACATCAACTGCCTCGTTCCCCTCCACCCCCACATGGGCTGGGACCCAAGTAAATCTTATCTGTATAACCATCTGTCTAATCCTGCCATGGGTTTGTAGTACCTCATAAAGCAGGTCTTGTCTGCTACGTGAGCTAAAGGACTGAAGACTCAACACTGCACATGAATCCGAGAAAATAACTACTCTGGCTGGCTTGACTTCCTCCACCCACTTTAAGGCCACTTTAAGGCCAACAGTATGGCCATCTGCTCCACAGCCAGATGATCTGTAATGCGTTTCCTGAATGCCACCACACATTTCTGCACTACAAATGCTGACCCAGTGCGTCCTGTCCTTGGATCTTTTGAACCATCTGTGTTACATGGCCACAAATAGCAGACGCTCTTATCCAGAGCGACTTACAGGAGCAGTTAGGGTTAAGTGCCTTGCTCAAGGGCACATCGACAGATTTTTCACCTAGTCGGCTCGGGGATTAGAACCAGCGACCTTTTGGTTACTGGCACAACGCTCTTAACCACTAAGCTACCTGCCGCCTTCACACAGGCAGAGTCTCAATTGCATTTCCTTGATTTCTCGCATTCTCTCTCCTCGCCGCCTCATCAAAACCCAATGGATGAAAAGGTCAAAGGTCCCTCCCCTATAACTTCTTATCCAACAGGTTTTGAGAAGGAGGCGAGGAGAGAGGACGCGAGGAACCAAGGAAATCCAACTGAAACTCTGGCCACAGTCACTGACTAGTCCACTTCCACCTTCTCCAGAACCACGTTGTGTGGAGCTCCATCCAGGTAGTAGACCATCCTCTCCCCAGCCTGGCCCTCTGAAACTCCCTCGCTCTGCTGGTCGTCCTCCCCTCCCTGGTGCTGGGTGTACATAGTCTATTACAGATCGGATCAATGCAACATACATGGTCCTCAATGAGGAACGCCCAGTCTCCCACTCCTTCCCAGTCAGACATCGCATCACATTTAGCACCTTCTTACACTTTCCCACCACTCTCTCAATGTGTTCTGCCCAAGTACACCCCAAGGAACTGGAAGGACCCCACCCTCTCCAAGTTTCTTCCATATAACCTAAAGCATACCTCATCTCCCAACTTCCTCCTGGTAAAGAACACTGTCTGAGTTCTCTAAAGAGAACCTGAATCCCCACTGCTCTACCTCATCAATTGCTTCCTGTACCTTCCTGACTATGTATGGCACATTTCTTCCCCTCTTCCATAAGGCCCCATCATCTGCAAATAACGACCTCCCAATATCTGGCCATACCTGAGAGTAAACCTCATTGATCATTGAGAACAACAGAGGTCTAATCACGCTCCCCTGCGGTGTACCGTTATCCTCCCTCACCTGGATAGACCTTCCAAACAGGAAATCCTTTATCCAGTTGTACGTTCTTCCTCCTACCCCCATAATATCAACGTGATGTGCTGCTGAATACATAAGTCATAAAAATATGTGGGATTGTATCGCCACCTGCTGTTAGAAACCTACACTTCAACTTTCTATTATGGAACGTGACTTTTCGTCAGGATAATAACATCATATTGGTATTGTTCATGGTGATACTAGTCCCACTTGTGATAGGTTGCATTAATTGCACTGAGGAGTGACATTTTGCCACACCAATGATTTTTGTAGTGCAACAAAATGGTCATTTCCTGTCAGTGCGTGTTTACATTGGGTGCTTCTTACCCAGTTTTTGTCCCAGGAACGTCATGTTGTGATAGGCCTTCTCCGCTGCTGCAAGGTGTGCGAAGGCGGCGAGGAGAGCGGCCCAGATGGCTCCTGCGCTCTTGCTGCTGTCCTTCTCTTTCTCCACATAGTCCTTCGCCCGGTCAAACGAGAACATTCCGAGCTGCGTGAAGAAACTCTCCAGAATCGCCCGCTCACGTGGCACCGGCCGCAGTTCCTCCTCGCACGGAGCCTCCATCATGCTTTTAGGATAGCTAATATAGCAAGTTAACTTGTCTCTAGAATAGTTATTGCCGTACTAAACTGGTCGCATACTAGCTAGATACTACTGATATCATGCTAACTAACCATCTAGGATAGCTTTTTTTAGCAACACCACTCTCGGCCCAAACTGAATTTCTGTCCGAATTTATTGTTAATCTAGCACTGGCATACAACACATTGAAGTTATTAAACATTATGCGTTAAATACTCGCTATTCCGTCAACGCCATCTTGGTTTCAATGCGCATCACAACACTATGGCAAATTAGAAGTGACTGGCGGGACCGTGAGAAGCGTTGCAATCTTAACCTCTAGCGCCTTCTTTTGGCTTGGAGTGGTTCAAAATACAGGTAGATACAGAAACACACTTGAACGGAAAAATGAAAATAAATTGTTTCATTCCATAATGTTCGTTGGATTGAGCTGTGTTAATATTTAAGTACTTACCAAGTTGTAGAGAGTGTCATGCCATCCCAATGCCATGGGAACGAAAAACCATCTTGATTTACCTTACAAAACCTGCAAACAAACACTCAATGTGACACAATTTACTTAATTTGGCTGTTAAAGTATCCCTGAACAACCTTCAGATTTTCTGGGGTGAGTGTTAGCAGCATTTGACGTCAAACATAAATGACTGATTTAGTACTCTAGAACTGCTAAAACCTGACACAGCACATTTTTGCCACACAGCAAGAAGAAGAAGAAAAATAAGAAGGTTAGGGTTGGGTAAGGGTTATGGTTAAGGTTGGGGTAGGGACTTCCCAAGGGTACTGGATAGCACTAACCACTTTTTTCATCTCTCATGCTGTTAATCAGTCACAGATGGATTAAATAATCCGTGACCACAGACCCAGAGAGAAAGGGGGAAAATACACCACAACGACCAATAATGTTTATCAATAGTACAATATAGGGGGCAGAACGGATTAATGTGTGCCATTTTGGTAACAGATTATTGAAAATTGAATGCTTGATATTTAGAATCAGAACACTTCCCACCTTTATCCACAAGGGGGCAACATTCGCCATTGCATTTCTGTGATGCTCTGAATTGAACTCGATCGCCCCAGCGTGGAGAAAAGTAGAACTACTAGTACTGCCAATCTGTTTCTGGTTTGCTGCTTCCGCAAATGAGAGGCACCAACAATGTCAAGTTACTCCAGAGTAATTCATCATGCCACCAGTATATTATGCAGCAACAAAGGTTCATTGGTCCTCCAGCAATTGCACAGGAAAGTATTCCAGCGTGTTGAAATAACCGAGGACGACTTTTGGTACATCGTAAAGAAGTGTTCTCGGTTTGCTGTGGTGCGGAACCGAGAGAGGACGGACGAATGGGGAGCTGACTGTGTGATTGTCGCCAAAACGTCGCTGCGACTATGCAAAAATTACACAAAGCAAGATTGCAGAGATTGCCAGGAGCTTCACCTTTGCAAATATTTTGTTTATGGAAACTGTAGATTTGGGAAAGGCAGGTAAGAGAAACCTCGACCGTGGTGAGTAGTTTTTGCTAGGTTAAGGAGGGGAGTGGCTAGCTATCAGCAGAAATAGATGAGATAGCTGTCACGCCCCCTTTTATTCTGTATTGATCAATCTGGACAAATAACACCTGCATCTTCTAGTCTAGTCCACTAATGCGTGTAAAGCTGTGGTAGCACATTTATTTTTATCATCAGGTATATTATCAATACAAAATATTGCAGTATGATGCAGAATTGCCTATATTTCCTTCAATTCCTTGATTTGGAACAAGGCATATTATGATCATGAGTTTTCAGTAGCCTACACAAAAACAAAATGATGCTTGATGTCTTTATGGTACGCTCCTGTCTGTTTACCTACTCTATCCACATGTACATATTACCTCAATTACCTTGAATAACTGGTGCCCCCGCACATTGACTCTGTACCGATACCCCCTGTATATAACCTCCCTACTGTTATTTTATTTTACTGCTGCTCTTTAATTAAAATAATAATAATTGTTATATCTTAAACTGCATTGTTGGTTATGGGCTTGTAAGTAAGCATTTCACTGTAATGTCTACACCTGTTGTATTCGGCGCATGTGGCAAATAACATTTTATTTTATTTGATCTGTGTGTGCTGTTCTCTCTCACTAGGAAGCAGTGTAAGTTCTCCCATGACGTGCGTTCGGAGCATAACTACCCGCTCCTGAGGGAGTGCACTCTGCATGAGCTGCACGAGGATGACCTGTTCCTGTTACTGCTGCAGAATGATCCTACCTTGCTGCCGGAGGTAACACACATACACACACACACAGAGAAAATAATGCACGGGCCGCTCCACTGCTGACTAGAGCCCCACTACACACCTGGAAGGAGCCTTAACAGGGCCTTGTGGTCTCCATTAAGAAATTAGCCCAGTTCCAATCCCTAGCACCTCTCCCTAAGCCCCTGTACACTTTCATATACCTTTTCTCCCTTAGATGAATACATTAGAAACACAATGCTTTGTCTCATGCTCTCTATGTATGTGAACTTGTCTCTCTTGCTCCATGAAGTCTTGCTCCCTTAAGTAAAATGTGGGACGTTTCTGCATTACAGGTTTCTGCCCTCAGGGAGGGTAGCAGTGTTCTGAGTGCTCTTTGTGTACGAGCTCATGGGTAGAAGGGGTAGACCTCCTCTATCTTTCTCTCTCTCACTCTCTTTTTCTCTCACTCATTCTATCTCCCCAGAGAGGGAAGGACAGGAGTAGCTTACATCCTGGCATTCCAGAGAAGGGAATTCTGGACGAGTTTATAGGCAGGTTCAGTGCCAGTGAGAAGTGAATCCTGCACACTGATCGGATGATACCTCTCCGAACCAGATGCACCCGTAATCTGATTGGACAACTATACGGAGGCCTCAGAGCCACAAACAAGTTTCTCAAAAAGAAAAATGAAAAAACGTGTGTTCAGTTTTCCGAGAGTAATGTTGGTTCATCCAGTCTAAACAAATATCACAGTAAATCAATGAAATGTTTTAAAAGACAAAACAAAAAACCTAAAAACACTACAAATACCACCACGTCCAGCCTAAAGCCCAATGTGGGTGAAGAGGGATCAGAGCGTTCACCTTCTGAGATGAAGACAAGCCACCTTGGACCTGTGGGACTTCCTGTGTGTAAAAAAAAAAAAAAAAAAAGCAAATAAAGAATGTTATATATTTTTAAAGAATACAACAAAAAAGGAAATATAAAAAAACGTATGCTGTTGATGTGGGTTTGTCTCCGGGAAGTATTCGTTACCCAGAGAGGTAAAGTAGAACTTCTTGGTGTGCGAGGTTAGATTTTTTTTCAACGATGACCATGTAAGCCTTCTAAAGGCAACTGCTTGGCCCAGCCCCTCTGGTTGGCTATATATGACTGCATTGCCACGATGATTGTCTCTGACATTGTTGCCGTATGTTCCTGACGTCAGGTGTGCTCTCACTACAACAAGGGCTCCGGGCCCCACGGTGCGTGTACCTTCAGGGACGGCTGCACCAAGGTGCACATGTGCATGCACTTTGTGCAGGACGACTGCATGTTCGGGCCTAAGTGCAAGAGGCAGCACGTCATCGACCAGCATGGCCGCCGCATGCTGGAGGAGAGGGGCCTCAGCGGTGACATCATCAACGACCTGCCCTTCGTCTACCAGAACCTCCACCGCCTCAACACACCCACTACACCCTACGCTGCTAAAGGTACGATATCCCTCAACTGGAGTGTGTGTGTTCTTTTGGCTTGATCTGCAGTATTTGTGTAGCTGAGCTGTTCTCTTGGCCTGATCTGCAGTGTGTGTATAATCCCTCTGTATATGTAATCCCTCTGTATATCCCTATGTACAGAGCGTGTAGGTGAGCTGGTCTCCAGGCCTGTGATCCAGAAAGAGGAGAGGAAGGAGATTTGTCTGCATTTCATACGCAGGAACTGTAGATTCCAGGGTGAGCTCTCTTCTATTTGCCTGTTGGGATATTTTCTATGCTTTTGGTATGTTTGGTTGTGGTTCTCTCATGCTTGTTTGTGTAATGCGTTTGTGTGCCCAGACCAGTGTATCCGTGTGCATTTTAACCTGCCCTATAAGTGGGAGGTGTTTGATGGGAACGGCTGGAAAGACCTGCGTCACACTGAGGACATCGAGAGAGCCTTCTGTGACCCCCGGAACACACACAGGTCAGGGTTCACTACTGCCCACTAAAGTTGAAAGTGGACTCTTATGCACCTTTCAAACAAAGACGTTTTTCTACCAACTTTCACTTTATTTCTGCGAACCGACCTAGTTGGGATCAGTGGCGGCTCCTGAAAAAATTCTCAGGGGGGGCAATTTTTCTGATGATTTAGGTGACCTACACACATTTTAAAAAAGATATGTCCAGCAACAACATGAAGACAGGGGCAGCATATAAGTCAATACCAGAAGCATTTATTGACTGATCTCAAAAGTGTTGGCTTACCAGGGTTGGTGGAGCCCTCAGTTTCATCTTTGCCTCGCAAAGCTAACTCAAACACTCCGCAAAACTTCACACACTGGATTAGCCGGCTGAGGATGTGGCGGTTCTTGCTAATGTCGTAGTAAATATATTTGTTATAGTGAATATGGAATATGATATGTTGAGTAAAATGTTGTGCTAAGATCTATTTAGGTCAGGAGCTGGTTATAAGTTCTGTTCCTATCGAATAACAATGGACAAAAGGGTCCTATCTTGTCAGCCTTGTCAGTTTCAGTTCTCCAGTAAACTTGTGATTATCAACACTAACCTCATCGTTGTGGCGGCGGACAGCTAGCCTGTATCCCTCATCCAGTTGAGTGGGAATGTTCACTCTCCCCAAAGCAGACAATCTCAAACAGCTATCCATGTGGGTCTTTGACAGCTCATGTTTCTTAATCTTTCCTGAAAGATGGTGCATGTCCGTTACACACCAGTCGCTGTCCAAGCGGTGCTGTCTGCCGTGCCGCCTTCAGGGTGAAAGAGTAAGCAGGGGGTAGCAGAAGACTGCATTAGCTACATCGCAGCCTGCTAGCCAGGTTTTTCGTTCGTACCAATTTTTGGAAAATCCTCGGGTGTAGGACTTCCCCCCTTTAGTAGAAACCTGTTGAATTATTAAATTTGGTCTGGGAGGTCCTAATTGTTTCGTTGCCAATTTATCTTCATTTGTTCGCCGACAAAAAGGAACTTCTTTCAAAGACACAATCGAGTTGCACTGAAGCCTAGCCATTTTGATAGAAGTAGTGAATTGATTGACGCTGCTACCCGCTCTTTTCTTAGTTACGTTCATGGTTATATGTTACGTATGACGAAAGCGCGTAAGTGCAAGCCCTCAGAAACCCATAGAGATTGTATTGAAAGCTCTGATATTTGAAAAAAATAGATTTTACATGGGAGTCTATGACAGACTTCTGGGCGATTTTCAACCTGACTGAAATCGCCCCAAAAGGGGGGGGGGGGGCATTTGAAGCACGACTTTAGCCTGATTGGACATTTAGTGGCACTGTGGCAGATCAGACGTCTAGATTACAACACTGATAACTACTGTTGCCGTGATATAATTGATTAGAAAAAAAATCCCTTCCTTTTCCCGTTTGGCAGTGCGTCGCCCATATCGCCCTATTGAACACACCGCCCCTGGTTGGGATTGCAGTAGTTATGCCTACGGCTTAGTATGAAATGTAGCCGTAATGCTGAGGCGGCATTGGCACGCACTTTGCTCTTAAAGGAAAATTCCACCCAAAATACTGGCTGTTTTTTTGTATTTTGAAAGTTATATATCTTGAAAACTTGATTTCTGACATGCAGAAGATTTTGGGACTATATCAACAATGGACTAATGAAACAAATACCAAAATATCATTTTTTGGTGGAGTTTTCCTTTAAGCTCTTGATGGTTGCTAGGCAGCGCCCTTACTACTATCCTCATGCAGTTCTAAACTTTGGGAGGCATGTCACTTCACCCATCTCTTCCCATAGCCTACCACAATAACTGCTTTCTTAACCACAACTGGATGGATCCATAAATAATGACTTTGGGAATAAGTATCACTGAAGGATGAACATATTGGAATAATGTAGGCTAATGCAATTGAAGGCATCAAATTGTTGCTTACTGAAACTCAGAAAGTCATCAAATTGTTATAATACATTTGAAGCATAGCCTACCTGTGTGTGGTCAACTATGTCAGCACCGTTTTGCGCTGCTTTGAGACAAGCGTGGGGACTCTTGATAAATCAATCAATGTCAGATTTTTCTTTTCACTGAATCTCAGTTTGGATATTGGTTAGGGTACAATTAGGCTGTAGAAATGTTAGCTAATTTGAGGTGAAGCTGCTCATGATCATCTTGTCTAGTTGGCTCATTTATTAGCACTGATCAGAACATTTTGCCAGCATGTTATGTAGCTTAACAAGTGGATTATTTTGCTCTTCACTTGCAGTCACTTAGTAGCCTAGACCTACCTGACCAAAAGATTGTGACTTGTCTTTTAATCAATGTGATTTTCTTTCACTGAATCTCCGTCTGTAGGCTATATTTGGTTAATTCTCTGGCTGGGCAAATAGAGGTGGTATAGCTAATCTATTTGTTTGCTCATCTATCACTGATATAAACATTTAGCATGCAATAATGTAGCCTAAATCAAGCCTGCAGAGGTTGTGAAATATGAACACGAGACATGCTTTTGAAAATATAGATTGCTATTATTTTCTGTCGGTATTACATTTACATTTACGTCATTTAGCTGACGCTCTTATCCAGAGCGACTTACAGTTAATGCATACATTATTATTCTTCATACTGGCCCCCCGTGGGAAACGAACCCACAACCCTGGCGTTGCAAACGCCATGCTCTATCAACTGAGCTACCTCCCTGCCTGCCATTCCCTCCCCTACCCTGGACGACGCTGGGCCAATTGTGTGCCGCCCCATTGGTCTCCAATGGGGCTCCTGAGTGGCGCAGTGGTCTAAGGCACTGCATCGCAGTGCTAACTGTGCCACTAGAGATCCTGGTTCGAATCCAGGCTCTGTCGCAGCCGGCCGCGACCGGGAGACTCATGGATGACGCACAATTGGCCCAGCGTTGTCCAGGGTAGGGGAGGGAATGGCCGGCAGGGATGTAGCTCAGTTGATAGAGCATGGCGTTTGCAACGCCAGGGTTGTGGGTTCGATTCCCACGGGGGGCCAGTATAAAAAAAAACATGTATTCACTAACTGTAAGTCGCTCTGGATAAGAGCGTCTGCTAAATGACTAAAATGTAAAATGTAAATGTCTCCCAGTTGCGGCCGGCTACAGCAGAGCCTGGATTCTAACCAGGATCTCTAGTGGCACAGCTAGCATCATGATAAAGATACTCTGAATGCAAGACCCTACGCCTGCTCCCTAACAAAGCGGAGTGAGGGTAGGAAAGAGCTGAAACGTGGATAAAAAAAAGCATGAGCTTGCCTTGGGCTCTGTTTCAAAATACAACTTTTTTATATGACAGCGGTTCCACACGTTGCCATGACGCAAGGTGTGGGGGGAAAATATTATTTGTATTTTATACTTTCGTCAGGTGTTATAAAATACACTGAACAAAAATGTGACCGACCACCTCGATTCGGTATTATGTAGCAACATTTAAAATTGTGTTTTTTACATTGGATAAAAGTAGAGACTCAGTGCTACAAAATTGTATATCGTACACTGCAGTTGAGGAACAATGGGAAAGTAATTCTGCTTTGAAAGTTGATAAACTTGTAACCTCACCTTTTAGAAAATGTCCCTTGAATGTTTTGGTACACCTCTTCTTCGTCTACACCTATTCAGCATTGTTCACACCCTCTTAAGCCATAGCCCCACCCATCTCTTTAAGGATTCACAGGTGAGGTCATGTGCTAAACAGAGTGAGTAAGGCAGAGTAGTAAACAACCAAAGATTTCAAGACTAAAAGTGGTGAAAGTAGTAGCCTCCAATAAGGAAAAACTCCAGGTAAAAATACACTGGATCTAGTCCTTGGCCTTTATCCTAATCTGACTTTGGTGCAGGTCATGTTTGTTATCCACATTACCGTCTCTGGTAAACACACACTATATCAAATAAAATCAATGTATATTTGTCACATGACACAGGATACAGAAGGTGTAAACGGTACAGTGAAATGGTTACTTGCATAGTAGCAATAACAAAATAAAAGTGTCCAGATAAAAATAATGTATAATTATTAGATGATGCTTACCCAGACAGACACACTTGTCTAAAGTGATGGGTCATATGAAACAAATGCTATAACCAGCTGCCAGCCACATCTAGCTAATTGGATTGGTCACTATTGTCTAGACATGTACACATGTTCATGAAATACAATAAATAGATGGCCGTAATCACTCCCAGACACACCTGGCTAACTTGATGGGTCATGTAATCTGGCGAAGTGGAGTCTTTTGTTTAGACGTAGCAAAAAATGAACCATAATCCCAACCCATCCTACTAGCAATACAAACTGATTGTCATAGCTAGCCACCATGCATGAAATGCTGTAGTATGAATCTGCAGGTACAGTGAGGGAAAAAAGTATTTGATCCCCTGCTGATTTTGTACGTTTGCCCACGGACAAAGAAATGATCAGTCAAATTTTTATGGTAGGTTTATTTGAACAGTGAGAGACAGAATAACAACAAAAAAATCCAGAAAAACGCATGTCAAAAATGTTATAAATTGATTTGCATTTTAATGAGGGAAATAAGTATTTGACCCCCTCTCAAGATTTCTGGCTCCCAGGTGTCTTTTATACAGGTGACGAGCTGAGATTAGGAGCACACTCTTAAAGGGAGTGCTCCTAATCTCAGCTTGTTACCTGTATAAAAGACACCTGTCCACAGAAGCAATCAATCAATCAGATTCCAAACTCTCCACCATGGCCAAGACCAAAGAGCTCTCCAAGGATGTCAGGGACAAGATTGTAGACCTACACAAGGCTGGAATGGGCTACAAAACCATCGCCAAGCAGCTTGGTGAGAAGGTGAGACAAAATAACTGTCAATCTCCCTCGGCCTGGGGCTCCATGCAAGATCTCACCTCGTGGAGTTGCAATGATCATGAGAACGGTGAGGAATCAGCCCAGAACTACACAGGAGGATCTTGTCAATGATCTCAAGGCAGCTGGGACCATAGTCACCAAGAAAACAATTGGTAACACACTATGCCGTGAAGGACTGAAATCCTGCAGCGCCCGCAAGGTCCCCCTGGTCAAGAAAGCACATATACAGGGCCGTCTGAGGTTTGCCAATGAACATCTGAATGATTCAGAGGAGAACTAGGTGAAAGTGTTGTGGTCAGATGAGACCAAAATCGAGCTCTTTGGCATCAACTCAACTCGCCGTGTTTGGAGGAGGAGGAATGCTGCCTATGACCCCAAGAACAACATCCCCACCATCAAACATGGAGGTGGAAACATTATGCTTTGGGGGTGTTTTTCTGCTAAAGGGACAGGACAACTTCACCACATCAAAGGGACGATGGACGGGGCCATGTACCGTCAAATCTTGGGTGAGAACCTCCTTCCCTCAGCCAGGGCATTGAAAATGGGTCGTGGCTGGGTATTCCAGCATGACAATGACCCAAAACACATGGCCAAGGCAACAAAGGAGTGGCTCAAGAAGAAGCACATTAAGGTCCTGGAGTGGCCTAGCCAGTCTCCAGACCTTAATCCCATAGAAAATCTGTGGAGGGAGCTGAAGGTTCGAGTTGCCAAACGTCAGCCTCGAAACCTTAATGACTTGGAGAAGATCTGCAAAGAGGAGTGGAACAAAATCCCTCCTGAGATGTGTGCAAACCTGGTGGCCAACTACAAGAAACGTCTGACCTCTGTGATTGCCAACAAGGGTTTTGCCACCAAGTACTAAGTCATGTTTTGCAGAGGTGTCAAATACTTATTTCCCTCATTAAAATGCAAATCAATTCATAACATTTTTGACATGCGTTTTTCTGCATTTTTTTGTTGTTATTCTGTCTCTCACTGTTCAAATAAATCTACCATTAAAATTATAGACTGATCATGTCTTTGTCAGTGGGCAAACGTACAAAATCAGCAGGGGATCAAATACTTTTTTCCCTCACTGTAGCTAAAGCTAACCAACTAGGTTCAATGTTAGCTAGCTAGCTAACATAAAGGCTATAACTAGCAATGGAAATGGCTTTCTGAGATACTAATAATATTACTACACAGAACATACACGTAACATTAGTTAGCGAGCCAGCAAGCTAACGTTCCCTAGCTAGCTAACAGTATGCTTTAACTTGCAATGAAAATGACTTTCTGACTAAATTAGAAACGTACAGTATAATATCTGAAAATGAAGCTAGACTCTTACCCGTATACATGGATGAACGCTTCACAGCAGACTGGAACCCCTTTAACTCTGTTTTGTCTGTACAACTTGTTTGACCCTCGTTGTGTCAAGTCACTCCGGTTCACACTGAAAGTGTGCAGAAAGTAGTACATCACAACTTTTTCCCACTGATATTTGTCAATAGTGCCTGCTAAATTCAGGGCAGCAATGTTTTCAAGAGCAGTAGCAACACTTTTGCAGTTCTCTATTGCTAACGTTATATCTTTCAAAAAAGCAGTGGTAACAAGGATTATTTACACATACTGAGCAGCTCACGTTATAGACAGAAGCATGCAAAATCGAAAACCGTGATTATTAAAACAATAATCGAACCGAAACCGAACTTACCTCAAAAAGCACTAATCGCTCAACACTAGCAGTAGCCTAAACCTATCGATGTTACATTTAGCTGGGTGAATGGAATATGAATGACAGTCATCCAATATGCTGTAATAGAAATAAAGCCATGCTCATAAAATTAAACATTTGTCCTCCCTCATTTTGTGGACCGCCACTGACATCGGCCCACATGTACTCTCACTCTTAAACTTGCCAGCATGTTCACGGGAGACATAAAATGCTTATCCAAGCAAGAATGTGGTAAAAAGTGGACTGTATGAATTGGGTTCTAAAAAACATTTTCCGATTTTATTTTTTTACAGGCAACATACTGTAAAGTCTGACTGTAAAATGAAAATAATCCATGAACGTCTCTCTCTCTCTCTCTCAGTCCGGGCTCTCGGCCAGTAGACTTCCTAACGATGACGCGGGAGTCGGACCCCGTGCGGCGCCTCTCCACGGTATCCTCGGTAACAAAGCCGGCTCACTACATCCTGACCACTGAGTGGCTGTGGTACTACAAGGGCGACCACGAGAACTGGATTGAGTTTGGAAGACCCGTGAGTCTGGAGGGAGAAGGGGGGGCATTAAGCTTTGCAGTTGTTGTTTTGTGGTTGAGATGTGGTTGTGAGGATTCAGTGATGTTAAGTTGTAGTGGTGCTGTTGTGGTTGAGTTGTATTGGAAAGGGCCGGATTCAATCCCAGGCACTCTATAGAGCAGCGCATTACCCTTGAGTTTTAATTTAGCATTAGAGCCGACATGCGCAGTGTTTACCGTGAATGCTATCTCCGCGAACGTCGGGGAAATTACCATTAAAAGGCGCATTGTCGGCTGTCCAGTGTGCTGCTCTATAAAATGCCTTGGATTGAATCCCGGCCTAAGTATGTGGTGGTGTTGGTTGTGTTGTGGTCAGGACGATAAACAGCGAATGACATCCCTCTCTTCCCGGGAGCTGGAGGAAGCGTACCTGGCAGACAGATCTGCTGAGGTCACCATTATGAAAGGTCACCGTAACTACTACCTCAGTTTTCAAGGTAAAGCCCTTATTACATCCCCAACATACACCTGCACTGAAATAGCTGTGTAAGAAAAAACCTGATCAATATGTTTTATATCAAAACATACAGTGACCAGGATGAGGAATCATTAGTCTTTGAACTCTCCTCCATCTCTTTTTTGTACCCTTCCTTTCTCTACCCTACTCTCATCTCCTCTGCCCCTCTCCTCATCAACTTGTCCTCCACTTTCAAACCTTCCTGCAGACATGTACCAGCGGAACCCCAAACACAACACCAAGAGGAGGGTGCGTCGCCGACCACGCTTCATCTCCATCATGGAAGTGGAGAACAAGACTGCACCGTAAAGAGAGAGAGAAGGGAGCAAGTAAATAAAGAGGATGAATAAATGGGCAGATCTGTTCCTCTGAATTAATGTAGTACCTTTACTCTGGATCTGGTGAGTGGGGATAAATTGGACTGGCTGACAGTCACCCCAATACAACACAGTATGTAAATCACCCAATACCACAGGGATAACTACCTGGTACAGCCACGAAGAGCCAGCAACAGGAAATCACAGTGTGTTGCTAATTTCAAATCATGTTACTGATATAATATGCATTTTGTTTGCAATATGTTTTTTTTTGTTCATTGGAAAACCCGGTGCCCTCAACTGAAGTCTGTTTTTACGTTTCCTGTAATCAATACCTACAGTTGAAGTCGGAAGTTTACATACACCTTAACCAAATACATTTAAACTCTGTTTTTCACAATTCCTGACATTTAATCCTAGTAAAACATTCTCTGTCTTAGGTCAGTTAGGATCACCACTTTATTTTAAGAATGTGAAATGCAGAATAATAGTAGAGATAATTATTTCATCACATTCCCAGTGGGTCAGAAGTTTACTCAATTAGTATTTGGTAGCATTGCCTTTAAATTGTTTAACTTGGGTCAAACGTTTCGGGTAGCCTTGCACAGGCTTCCACAATAAGTTGGGTGAATTTTGGCCCATTCCTCCTGACAGAGCTGGTGTAACTGAGTCAGGTTTGTAGGCCTCCTTGCTCACACACGCCTTTTCAGTTCTGCCCACACATTTTCGATAGTATTGAGGGCAGGGCTTTGTGATGGCCACTCCAATACCTGGACTTTGTTCTCCTTAAGCCATTTTGCCACAACTTTGGAAGTATGCTTGGGGTCATTGTCCATTTGGAAGACCCATTTGCGACCAAGCTTTAACTTCCTGACTGATGTCTTGAGATGTTGCTTCAATATATCCACATAATTTTCCTTCCTCATGATGCCATCTATTTTGTGAAGTGCACAAGTCCCTCCTGCAGCAAAGCACCCCCACAGCATGATGCTGCCACCCCGTGCTTCACGATTGGGATGGTGTTCTTCGGCTTGCAAGCTACAACCTTTTTCCTCCAAACATAACAATGGTCATTATGGCCAAACAGTTATATTTTTGTTTCATCAGACCAGAGGACATTTCTCCAAAAAGTACGATCTTTCTCCCCATGTGCAGTTGCAAACCGTAGTCTGGCTTGTTTTTTATGGCGGTTTTGGAGCAGTGGCTTCTTCCTTGCTGAGCGGCCTTTCAGGTTATGTCGATATAGGACTTGTTTTACTGTGGATTAGATACTTTTGTACCTGTTTCCTCCAGCATCTTCACAAGGTCCTTTGCTGTTGTTCTGGGATTGATTTGCACCAAAGTACGTTCATCTCTAGGAGACAGAACGCGTCTCCTTCCTGAGCGGTATGACGGCTGCATGGTCCCATGGTGTTAATATTTGGGTACTATTGTTTGTACAGATGAACGTGGTACCTTCAGGCATTTGGAAATTGCTCCCAATGATGAATCAGACTTGGCTGATTTCTTTTGATTTTCCCATGATGTCAAGCAAAGAGGCATTGAGTTTGAAGGTAGGGCTTGAAATACATCCACAGGTACACCTCCAATTGACTCAAATTATGTCAATTAGCCAATCAGAAGCTTCTAAAGCCATGACATCATTTTCTGGAATTTTAAAAGCTGTTTAAAGGCACTGTCAACTTAGTGTATGTAAAATTCTGACCCACTGGAATTGTGATACAGTGAGTTGTAAGTGAAATAATCTGTCTGTAAACAATTGTTGGAAAAATTACTTGTGTCATGCACAAAGTAGATGTCCTAACCAACTTGCCAAAACTATAGTTTGTTAACAAGAAATTTGTGGAGTGGTTGAAAAACGAGTTTTAATGACTCCAACCTAAGTGTATATAAACTTCTGACTTCAACTGTAGTTACAACTTGTCTTAGAATATCTATCACGTTACGAGTTAATCGCAGTCTGTAGTATATAACGCAATTTCCTAGCATGCATCTCTATATTTATGTGAAGATGTGTTAATAAAACTATAGACTGGTCTGGCATGTTTATTTGTGGAATAGTTTTTCTACATGTCTATTTTATGTTATTCAAGACCATACTCAAGACTATCACTTGCATGTCTCCCCATGTTTATCATAATTAGTTACACAGAAAACGTATTATGAACATCATTTGGCCCTAATATTCTAAATGAAAGCCATATAGATCCATGATTCACAAGGGCCTATGCCTTGCATCAAACAGGACAAGTTAACCGGTATTTTGAGTGGCCAATGACCAGGTATCATGTTGGCACACGCATTTGAGGAATGCCAGGGGTGTTGCAGAAAACACTCTGCTGCAAAACATCCCAAGAATAAACCCAATTATGGCGTGCTCATGATTTGTGTGTAGAATGAAATATCATTTTCGGGTATTATGGGCCGTAAATTACAGGGGCTATGATAAATTCCTGATGAGGACAGTATGATACTGAGACGTGTCCGGAATCTCAGGTTTTCCAATGATGGGCGCTCGAACGTGTGACGTTTCACCGCGAGATGATCACTGAATGTATGAACACGGCGCGGCTGACGTTCAAGTGGTCGGCCGCGAACATGTTCAGTAAATACTGGCGACATTGGGAGTTATTTTTCTAACGGAAAAAACTGGTTGTCAGGTTATGCATTTTGCAACATAGTAATTTTGTTGGTTCTCTCTCCTTGCTGGGGAGCGCGCGGCCGCATGGGCCTTGGAGAGGCGTGACGCGGTTGTACCGCATCTCCTGGATGGCAGGTAGGCTCCATCACGTCGCTGTGATAAAATAGGCTATGGAAAGAAAGCAATGCGGCGAGTGCTGTAAGCTAACTGTTTGTGTGTTTGACAGATTTTGATTAGGTTATTTCCTTTTCTTTCAGTTACACATAGGTTAGTTTAATATTATCCGCCGATTCAGTCTTAAAAGGCTTCCAAATTTGAGCCATTAACAGCTCGCGCTTGCCGCCCTTTTTATCACTAAAATAATGCATCGATTTGTCTATTGCTGCGCAAGTGTAGGCATACTGTGGGAAAATTTAGGAATGTCCGCTAGACGAGGTAAGGTAATGATGAAGATAGGATAATAAGCTGGGAGTTGTGGCATGAGTCTCATGACCGACATTATAGGCTAATTAGACTAAAACAATTAAATCCGTTGTAGCCTATCGTTTCATGGGCTATTTTAAATAGGCCTAATAAAACCCCCAAAATGAATGAACCACACCGTGTCCGTCCGATGTGTGAGATGCATGATGTTTGTTGGCAGACGTGGCCTAGTATAAGCTTCCCAAAAATGGGGTCAGTCAGCCAGCTATCAAATGTGACAGGACACTGGTAAGGCAGCCTGTCTGCTGCTTTAGTAGGCGAGTTTAAAAATAGGGATTAACCCATTAAATATTTTTATACTATTAAGATATTTTTATTATTAGGCCTTTATCTCAATAGATTTGTATTATTAGATATTTGCATATAGGGCCTCATGGTCGCCAGAAAGCATGCAGTGATGATGCTATAGCTGAGAGATGGCATCACACGTGTGTGATGTGACTCCTCGCGTGCCATGGAGAGTCTGATCCTGACAAGCGCGGGTTCGAGGATGTGCCCCCGAGCCTCTCATGGCCTGCGCACTAATTGCGCGCACCTGCTGGTAGCTGCCTTGTTGGTGTCCATGACGATGTCAAGCTCACCTGTTGCAGGTATGTGACAATTTTCTTACTCTCATAGCCATGGATGGCTGGTGGCTTTGACTCTGAATGATAATAATTACTGTTCACACCTGGTTTCATCAAGGTACACTAAGAGACAGGGCCAGTATTTGACTTTTCTTGGACTTTTCTTAGACTTTTCCAGTATTTGACTTTCCCTAGACTTTTGGAGCTGTCCTTGGTGCTAATGCACCAACTTCCATATTCACCACCATCTCCTCGCCTCATGTCTTTCCATCCTTTTACCTCTCTCATGTAGTCTATCTGTCCATTCATCCTCCTCCATCTCTCAGTGACTCGGTTATGTCGTCAGGGACAGATGGACAGTGGATGCCTACACACACAGTCATCCCTCACTCAGTCCCACTCACTGGCTTTAAGGCATCACACACACTGATACTCACACATACACACGGCGCATACAAGCACCCACTCAAAATCAAATATATCCTGACTTAAAATAAATAAATCTGTGGGCGGTGTGTGTGTGACGGGGGCAGACGGACTGCTGCCTGGTGGTGAAGGATGTTTAGCACTGCTGATTGGATCATTGTCATCAAAGCCATGTGGATCGACCGAAGGGTGCTGCATGCTATTCTTAGAAACACAAGTCTTTACTCTCATCTATCTTCATTCCTGCAGTCTCACTCTCTTTCTTTCTCTTCTCTCTCGATTACTCTTCCCTGCTCTAATTCTATTTCTCTGTATTCTTTCTGCTCTCTTGCTCTCTCCATCACTATCTCCCTCTCTGTATCAATGTAATGTGTGTGCGTGTGCGCATGCGTGGGTGCGTGTGATTTGATCCTGCTGTTGGCTGGGATGCCTCTGAGCTGTGTGCCGTGTCTGCAGCATACCAATGAGCTTGCTGCCACACAGCACGTGACGCTGCCGCAAAGCATGGCAGCGCCTAGTCGAGGCTAGGAGGAGGAGGCAGGGTGCTCGCTGTAATGTAACTTACTGTGTGTGTGTGTGAGTGAGAGAGGGGATGGATGGATGGATGAGGCGCAAGGAGAGTGTTCATTTATTCTGTTTGAGTCAAGGTAACCATCCTAGAGAGACCTGGTTATGGTTATCATATAGCTGTACTATAGCGCTTTGTGGTACACTATATTGTGCTTAAAATCATGATAAATGAACAGTGGCACTGGGTGTTTCTCTATGCCTATGTGTGCGTGTAAGACTCTTCAGTGTCCTGTTGAGTGAGGATTGTGTGTTCAGGGCCGACACTACAAATAAGCGACAGTCAGGGTCTCAACTTACTGTTGAGAGTTAGAATAATAAAGGTGCCATTTTGAAATTTGGGATTGCATCAGCAGTTTTCCTCTTATGTCAGTCACTGAAAGTCACTCAATTAGCCCATGTCAGCTAACATTTTATAAATTGCTAGGTAAGTTAGTTAGCCAGCTATCTAAACCTTGTAGTAACGCAGGGCACGTGCCAAGGGGCCCTGACTTCTAGGGGTCCCCAATTGATTTTGTTAGTCACGCTCACCCAGATATTGTATTAACATGGCATAAGTCATGGCAGAATGTGTAGAATTGCTGGGAATTGGCTTTAAAATAGAAAAAAAATCAATTTTTTTGCGAAATGTGTATAAATTGCAGGACATTTTATTTAAAACTGCAAAATTTCTCTCTGCCCCATGACAAAATGTGTAAAATTGCAGTATTTTTTAAATTTATTTTTGCCGCCAAGAGGGGAAGCCACAAATGTTTTGCAGTGAGATGGAGGTCACACAACCAAATCTCGCTTAGGGCCCCTAAAAGGCTAGTGTTGGCTCTCTCTCTGTGTGTGTGAGATCAGTGCTGGGCTCTATCCTCTGCTCGTTGTATTCTCTAGATGGAGCTCAGCTTTAACTAGGTCTCTCAGCCACCAGCAGGGATTCTGCTCAGCCTGCTGTGTTCATACATTAATTTTAACCACGCACACATGTACACGGCCCTGCGAAAGACTAGTGTCCTGTCCAGGGGGCTCCTGCACTATGGGCCATTCTGGCCCGGACAGTCACGTGTTGTGACTGCAGTTTATCTCTCCACAGGGGGTGTGGACTCCAACGGAATGACAGCAGCACGGTCCTCATCACGGTCGCCATCGTCATCGTCACCCTCTTCCAGATGGCCAGGCGCCAGCCCACCCAAAGACACTGGTCACCCTGGTAACACTGACACTGCCTCAGTGGACGATGAAGCTCAGGGCATACACCTCCTCCTGAGACCCCCGGACCTGCTGTCTCCCAGCCACCCCCCTCCTTTGCCCCCCCACAGCCAGCCCACCCTCACCCCTCCCCCGCCCTGGGAGCACGCCCCATCCCTAGAGGAGGCCTGGGGGTCCGGAGACTACCTGGAGACGCTCTCCTTCATGGGCCCAGAGGGGGAAGAACTGGCCCTGGCCACACCCTTACCCAGCCACACCTACGATCCTGACGACGGGGCATCCTACGACACCTCCTTCCCCTCCCGCCCAACCCTCCCCCTGTCCTCCAACAACCTCCTCCCCTCTACGTCCCCCACCTCCCCCTTCCGGGAGGGCCTCCCCTTCACCCACCCTGCCCAGCCTGAGGGATACCCTCCCTGGGATGAAGAAGACTATGACCTGGGGGACATGTTTCCTCTGGAGCCCACGGAGCTGCTGCTGCCGGATATGAACAGTCTGGAGTACTACACCAATCTGCTGGCCAGAGAGAGAGACGAGGAGAGGACCAGGGAGAGGGAACGGGAGAGGGAACGGGAGAGGGAACGGGAGAGAGAGAGGGAGAGAGAGAGGGAGAGAGAACTGGAGAGAGAACTGGAGAGAGAACTGGCAAGAGAAAGGGAGAGAGAAAGGGAGAGGGAAAGAGAGAGAGAGATGGAGAGAGATAGGGAAAGAGAGAGCGCTAGGGAGAGAGATGGAGAAAGAGACAGAGATAGAGAAATTGTCATCCCACCCCCAAAGACCACCCCCAAACTCGGCATCACACCCACCGCTACCACAAAAACACCCACCCACACACACACTCAGCCCCCATCCCTGTCCCCCTCCCCTAGCACAGGGCCCCCTCCAGCCCGGGACCACAAGCACCCCCCTGTCCCCTCAGCGGGTCCCACTCCTCCCCTGACCCTCTCACCCACTCTGTGGGACGGTCAGGGTACCCCCACCCCTGGAGTTAGACCCACCTCCAGAGTACCCCCTCAGCCTCCTGTTCCGCGGCCCAGAGTCCCCCCAGCTACCCCGGGCAGACACCCACCACTGCCCCCCTCTAACACCACCAGCCTGGCTCGCCCCCCCATGCTGCGACCTCCAGGGAGGGACCCCATAAAACCACCACCACCACCACCTGTGACCGAGGTCCCCAGCAACCGACCGACGACCACTACCAAGGCAACCACTGTTACCACGACAACCCCTGGCACCCTGGCGAGCATCACCCGGACTCCCCCAGCCCAGGCCCCTCCGGGACGCCAGTACCTGTGTAACGTCACCAAGCCTGACATGTACCTGGTCAGAGTGGGTAAGACAACACCAGTAGAACTCATAGTAGACTAGAGATGGAGGCACATATGAGAGGCAATTGTATGTCAATACTGTAGATGAGGATGCATTGCACTGTGCTGTACTGCTCTGGCCTGTCAATGTGTTGTGCTGGGATCTCATGGTCACCTGTTTTAAAGGGAGCACATCCCTTGGTTAAGGAATAGCTTAGGAGTGTGTTTTCAGGGAATGAGTTGTCAATGGTTGAATGCAGGTTTTTTTAGGTTAACCCTGTCTCTTCCTAGTCCTGCCTAAGTCTGGCTCCACTGTGGGCTTTGGCCAGGTCAGGGACATCTTGAAGAGGGAGTTCAACCGCTCAGTGGAGCTGCAGGTAGGCTATCTATCAATACTCACTGGAGAAGCTTTGGGGAAAGAGCATGTTTGGAGCAATGAGTTGCATTGCAGGAATGTGCAAGTTTGCCCTTCACAAATGTCTTGAAAGCCAAACATGCCTGCGTTTCCCTCACCCCCTCTCCTCCTCACTCTCCCTCTGCTCTCTTCTCCCTCCCCCCCTCCCAACCCCCCCCCCCCCCCCCTCTCTCTCTCTCTCTCTCTCTCTCCCTTCCTCCGCCAGTTCCTGAGAACTCCGTCTAGCTTTGCGTTCCGTGCTGTGGCGGGACCTCTGATCTTCACCGCCATGTCTGTCATCAACGCTCTGCGCCAATCAACACGAAGCTCCTCCTCCTTCCCCACTGTCTCAGCCCTCTATGGCATACCTGATCACAAGTACCAGATACACTCTGGTAGGAACCTGTCTCTCTCTCTCTCCCTGTATGTGTGGTGTGTTAGTGATGTGCAGTTCGCAAACAAGTTTTTCTTTTTGAACTACTCTTTTTACTGACTTGAGTGTCATGATTTGTTTTTCGGAGAAACTCGTTCATTTTAGTCGTTCATTTGACCTGCTGGTCGCAATGAGTCCTATAGCAGGATTAATACACTGTCCTCCGGCTCAGAGGCTCCAGAGACGTGGTCCGACCAACAGCTGTCTGTCATATATGCGCACATGGAAATAGATCATGTTCCAGGCAGCATAGAGAAGAAAAATACATGTTTAGAACTGATCATTTATCTCATGAATTAATTGATTTTTGAATGTTGTGATGACACGGCTTTGTAGAACCAAAACATGCTCAACAAACTTGAGAACGAATTGTTTGGGGGACTGCAGTTTGAACGATATTGTGCTTATCACCCTCGTGGCAGTCAAGCAATGCATTCTGCCAAGAGTCGTTCACAATCTAGTTTGGTTGCAGCCACAACTAGACCTTGTTTCAATTTATCAAGAAATAATAATATTTGTGTGCCTAGCATATATGTACATTGTTTAAATCAAACTTTTACAAGTCTGTCACAAATGGCAGCTCAAATAAGCCCCCTATGGTGAACGACGTGAACGAGAGGATTGTAGAATCATGACTTGAGTTTTCAGTTCATCGTACGGAGGTAGGGGGTCCTTCCTTCATGCTCTGGGCATTACTGACTCAAATGAACTAAATTAGTCAAAATATTAGAGTCGAACTTCCCTGTGTGTTTGTTTTAGTGCTGCATTGGACAACGTGTGTGTACTGTCAGTGTGATGATCTATAATGTGTGTGTTTTTCAGTGCTGCAGTTTGTGCCCAGTCACGTGGATGTGCGTGTGTGTAACTTCAGTGAGCGAGTGGAGAGAGGACTGCTGATGGCCTTCACAGAGACACGCAGACGCACACATGAAGTTGGCAACGTTACTGTACAGGTAGCCGTGAAAGTGTGTGTACTAGCCATTCACTTGGGTAGGTTCAGCAGAGCTGAGGAAAGGGATTCAGATCAATCAAAAAGTTAGTCAATCTGTAACACGTGTGTGTGTGTGTGTTTACTTGTATATGTGTGTGTGTGTGTGTGTGTTTACGTGTGCGTGTGTTGTGTGTGTTCACCTCCAGCTTCTGAACATCACCATGGGTCAGGCCAAGCCACAGGGTGACCAGAAGATTCCGGTGGACATCACGTTTGCGGTGCGTGACGGGCGGGGCTACCTTTTGGGGTCAGAGGTCAGCGGTCACCTGAGACACCTCAGCACGGTGGAGTTCAGCTTCTACCTGGGCTTCCCCACGCTGCAGATCGCTGAACGTAAGTCACACACACCACACATACACTCATCTACCCCTCACTGACACCCCACATCTATACACCAGCTACTATCCCACACACACACGCACACCAGCACACACACACACACACACACGCATGTGCACACACACACTTATACACTCTCACACCTGGGTGCCGTTTGTAGCATCCTAACCATAATTATACATATACTGTACTCGCACACATACCTATACTAAGGAAGTCTCGAGGTTTTGCTCGCCTGAGGTAGAGTATCTTATGATAAGCTGTAGACCACACTATTTACCAAGAGAGTTTTCATCTATAGTTTTCATAGCTGTCTATTTACCACCACAAACCAATGCTGGCATTAAGATTGCACTGAATGAGTTGTACAAGGCCATAAATCAACAGGAAAACGCTCATCCAGATGCAGCGCTCCTAGTGGCCGGGGACTTTAATGCAGGGAAACTTAAATCCGTTCTACCTAATTTCTACCAGCATGTTAAATGTGCAACCAGAGGAAAAAAAACTCTAGACCACCTTTACTCCACACACAGAGACGCATACAAAGCTCTCCCTCGCCCTCCATTTGGCAAATCTGACCATAACTCTATCCTCCTGATTCCTGCTTATAAGCAAAAACTAAAGCAGGAAGCACCAGTGACTCGGTTAATAAAAAAGTGGTCAGATGACGCAGATGCTAAGCTACAGGACTGTTTTGCTAGCACAGACTGGAACATGTTCCGGGATTCTTCAGACAGCATTGAGGAGTACACCACATCAGTCACTGGCTTCATCAATAAGTGCATCGATGATGTCGTCCCCACAGTGACCGTACGTACATACCCCAACCAGAAGCCATGGATTACAGGAAACATCCGCACTGAGCTAAAGGGTAGAGCTGCCGCTTTCAAGGAACGGGACTCTAACCCGGACGCTTATAAGAAATCCCGCTATGACCTCCGACGAACCATCAAACAGGCAAAGAGTCAATACAGGACTAAGATTGAATCGTACTACACTGGCTCTGACGCTTGTCGGATGTGGCAGGGCTTGAAAACTATTACAGACTACAAAGGGAAGCACAGCCGCGAGCTGCCCAGTGACACAAGCCTACCAGACGAGCTAAACCACTTCTATGCTCGCTTCGAGGCAAGCAACACTGAAGCATGCATGAGAGCACCAGCTGTTCCGGATGACTATGTGATCACGCTCTCCGTAGCCGATGTGAGTAAGACTTTTAAGCAGGTCAACATTCACAAGGCCGCAGGGCCAGACGGATTACCAGGACGTGTACTCCGAGCATGTGCTGACCAACTGGCAAGTGTCTTCACTGACATTTTCAACATGTCCCTGACTGAGTCTGTAATACCAACATGTTTCAAGCAGACCACCATAGTCCCCGTGCCCAAGGACTCTAAGATAACCTGCCTAAATGACTACCGACCCGTAGCACTGACGTCTGTAGCCATGAAGTGCTTTGAAAGGCTGGTCATGGCTCACATCAACAGCATTATCCCAGAAACCCTAGACCCACTCCAATTTGCATACCGCCCCAACAGATCCACAGATGATGCAATCTCTATTGCACTCCACACTGCCCTTTCCCACCTGGACAAGAGGAACACCTACGTGAGAATGCTATTCATTGACTACAGCTCAGCATTCAACACCATACTGCCCTCTAAGCTCATCACTAAGCTAAGGATCCTGGGACTAAACACCTCCCTCTGCAACTGGATCCTGGACTTCCTGACGGGCCGCCCCCAGGTGGTAAGGGTAGGTAACAACACATCTGCCACACTGATCCTCAACACGGGGGCCCCTCAGGGGTGCGTGCTCAGTCCCCTCCTGTACTATCTGTTCACCCATGACTGCATGGCCAGGCACGACTCCAACACCATCATTAAGTTTGCCGACGACACAACAGTGGTAGGCCTGATCACCGACAACGATGAGACAGCCTATAGGGAGGAGGTCAGAGACCTGGCCGTGTGGTGCCAGGACAACAACCTCTCCCTCAACGTGACCAAGACAAAGGAGATGATTGTGGACTACAGGAAAAAAAAGAGGACTGAGCACGCCCCATTCTCATCGACGGGGCTGTAGTGGAACAGGTTGAGAGCTTCAAGTTCCTTGGTGTCCACATCACCAACGAACTATCATGGTCCAAACACACCAAGACAGTCGTGAAGAGGGCACGACAAAGCCTATTCCCCCTCAGGAGACTGAAAAGATTTGGCATGGGTCCTCAGATCCTCAAAAAATTCTACAGCTGCACCATCGAGAGCATCCTGACTGGTTGCATCACCGCCTGGTATGGCAACTGCTTGGCCTCTGACCGCAAGGCACTACAGAGGGTAGTGCGTACGGCCCAGTACATCACTGGGGCCAAGCTTCCTGCCATCCAGGACCTCTATACCAGGCGGTGTCAGAGGAAGGCCCTCAAAATTGTCAAAGACTCCAGCCACCCTAGTCATAGACTGTTCTCTCTGCTACCGCACGGCAAGCGGTACCGGAGTGCCAAGTCTAGGTCCAAAAGACTTCTCAACAGCTTCTACCCCCAAGCCATAAGACTCCTGAACAGCTAATCATGGCTACCCGGACTATTTGTACTGCCCCCCCACCCCATCCTTTTTACGCTGCTGCTACTCTGTTAATTATTTATGCATAGTCACTTTAACTCTACCCACATGTACATATTACCTCAACTAGCCGGTGCCCCCGCACATTGACTCTGCAACGGTACCCCCCTGTATATATAGCCTCCCTACTGTCACTTTATTTTACTTTTTTATCTTTTTTTTCTCAACACTTTTTTTGTTGTTGTTTTATTTTTAATAAAAATAAATGCACTGTTGGTTAAGGGCTGTAAGTAAGCATTTCACTGTAATGTCTGCACCTGTTGAATTCGGCGCATGTGACCAATAAAATTTGATTTGATTTGATAAATGCGTTACTTGCCCCACAGACATCAGTGTGTAATCTGACCTAATCTTATCTAACCTGTGTTTGTCTCCCCAGCCTTCCACTACCCCGAGCTGAACGTTTCTCACCATCTACGCTCCTCCTGGGTCCGCACAGGTACCAATTTGAGCTTTGGGATTTTCAGACTTAGGCTCAATATTGAGAGAATGACCGTGCTAGAGCAGCATGCACGTGTTTATATGTTGCAGTCATGATTGGCGTACATAAGCAGTGCATTAGTGTTGCGTGTGTGTGTATTGCAGTGTTACTGGGTGTCCAGGAGCAGACGGTGACTGAGCGGAGCTTCAAGGCTCGTCTGGAGCGCCGTCTAGCCCTGCTGCTGGAGGAGGGGCTAGGGGAGGGGACTAAACGACCCCGCTGGAAGAGATCCACCGCCGTGGGTAACAACAGCTTACAGGTACACACACACTTACACACTCACACACACTATGGGTGCTGTTTGTAGCATCCTGACCACATATACATGCTGTACTCACTCACACACTACACACACACACACACACTCGCTCTGATTCCATGGTGTTGTCTCCAGGTGGTGCGTGTGTCGAGACTGGCAGGTTCAGGGCATTCTCTGGAAGTAGTGTATTTCGTGGAGGGACCAGGGGGAGAGAGAGTTCCTGCTGATACCACCGCTGCCACCCTCAACCGCCTGGAGCTGCAACGGGCTGCCATCGTACTGGGGCACCGCGTCCAGAGACCCCTTGCCCAACGTGAGTCTGTGTGTGAGTCTGTGTGTGTGTGTGCGTAAGTGTGTGTTCGCGCACAAGCGCATGGCCGCGTGTGCACTTGTGTATGTGGGATTTCGATAAGTAGTACTTATGTTATTCAGTGATTGCAATGTAAGCCCATGTAGGTTGGCTGCACTCATTTCCTAATGTACAGTAGTATATTGCTTAAATAAAAGTGTAAGCTGATTGTATATGTACATATTGTATATGTATTGTCTTCTGTAGCTGTGGAGACCCTCACAGTGCCCCCGTCTGAGACTCAGAGCAGCAGTGTCTGGCTGATTGTGGGGGTGGTGGTGCCTGTCCTGCTGGCTATCTTCATCATCATCATCCTCTACTGGAAACTGTGCGGCTCGGAGAAGCTGGAGTTCCAGCCTGATGCCATCAACACCATCCAACAGAGACAGAAGGTCAGGGGTGAAGGGTTAGGGGTAGAGGGCCGACCTCGATGGTTGACTGTGGATTTGTTATCTGACTGGAATTGCATCATAATAAGAAAGGCTGTAGTCATGCAGACATACAGGTCCTGTTGTGCCTGGATCTCTCTCCTTGTTCCACCCATCACCATCTTTCTCATTCTCTCTCTCTCTTTTTCTCCCCCCCCCTCTTTCTCCAGCTGCAGGCTCCCAGTGTGAAGGGGTTTGACTTTGCCAAACTCCACCTGGGGCAGCACAGTAAGGATGACATCATGGTGATCCAGGAACCTGGTACCCTCCCTGTGCCCATCAAAGAGGCCTCCCCCTCTGAGGGAGGGGATCTCAACACTCCCAAATCCAAGGGCTCCTCCACCAAGGCTGCCCGCGCTAACCGCCGTAGGGGGAGGTTGGTAACACATGCACTTACAAGGATACATACACACTAATCCACAAACCCACACTAACTTCTGTTTTTCTCTGATTGGCCAGACTGTCCCCGTCAGATGGTGACTCATTAGGTAGCGACCAATCGAGTGGCAGAGAGTCTGCAGAGGAGACCACCAGACATGTGGCCACGCCCCACGAGGGGAAACCGCACCGAAACAAAACACCCAAGAATGGCAAGAGACACACCCACTTTCTCTTTACCTGAGGCCTTATTCATAACATTCTGATAGAAATGTACCGTGATAGAACAGACTTGATTCTTTGTCATGTCGATTATAATGAGGAATCGGGTCATCTCTACATGTATACTATTCTATCTACAACGCCCATGCTGAAACACAGAGGAGAATAAGTGGTGGAGGGAGAGGTTGTGTGGATGAGCGAGAGAGTGAGAGTGTGTATATCTTCGTGTGTGTGCATGAATGTGTGTGTGTGTGTGTCTCCTAGAGAGAGCTATGCGCTGAATCAGCAGGAGAACAACTGATTAAAGGAGTTGCATCAAAGAGAATAACAGAGGGAGAGCGAGAAAGAGAGGGCGAGAGAAACCACAGGAGAGAAAGAGGTAGTGAGAGGGGGCAGGGAAAGAATGCAGGATGGAGAGAGAGTGGAGGAGGAGTGGAGAAAAAGCTTGCAATGTGAATTGAATTGCTCTCTGATCACCAAGTGATAATGCTTCTCGCCCCCTCCCCTCTGTCTCCCTCTCTCTGTCTCCCTCTTTCTGTCTCCCTCTTTCTGTCTCCCTCTTTCTGTCTCCCTCCCCTCTCTCTCCCTCCCCTCTCTCTCTCCCTCTCCTCTGTCTCCCTCTCCTCTGTCTCCCTCTCCTCTGTCTCCCTCTCCTCTGTCTCCCTCCTCTGTCTCCCTCTCTGTCCTTTCTTTTTGTTCTGGACTGAATCATAGGGAGGAATAAGATGGGTAAGTCCTCCCTTCATGTTGAGTGGTTCAGTAAAGCTGCAGCTTGCCAGAAAGAACACAGTTTAGTGCTACAGTTTTACTACAGTTCACCTCTCTTTCTCCCTCTCTCTCCTCCCTTTCCTGTCCCTCTCCCCAGTCCCTCCCACGGGCAGCGGTCCAGATGAGCTGCTCTCCTCTTCCTCCATCTTTGACCACGTGGACCGTCTGTCCCGAGGCTCGTCTGACGGCAGGGGTCACCAGGCCAACAAGGTCCAGTTGATCGCCATGCAACCCCGGCCCAGCCCACCACAACATTCACACAGCCCCACCATCACAGAGAGGGTCAGCGCAGAGGTGAGAATGCACACTCTTAAACACACACACACACACACACACACACACCTTAAAACTCCTTAACATCTTGGTGGTGTGTGTGTTTATCTAGGTGGCTCTGAGACATAAGTCGGAGATCGAGCACCACAGGAACAAGCTACGTCAGCGGGCTAAGAGGCGGGGCCAGTGTGAGTTCCCCTCTATGGATGACATCCTGGATGCCTTCGGACAGGCGCAGGAGGAGGCAGGGCAGGGAGGTTGTCCCCAGCGCCTCTACAGCTCAGCCCATGACCACATGGACAGCATCCTGCACCCCGACCACCCCTCGCCCCCCACCCCAGGGGAATCCAGGAAGAGGTGCGATGGTCATACATACTCCGACTCTTAGTCTTACCTCATGGTTAAGATCAACTTGTTTCATAAATACCTCCTACAAGCATCAGGTGTTTTTCATTCTTTGTATCAAGATTCTCCTTTTCATTCTTCTGCATAGAACTCTAGATCGAAGATATTTGCATCCCTTGTACACGGTTTCACTGTAGATCCCAATGAATAGTCACGCTGAATATGTGTGACTGATCTGAATTAGTGTCTGTGACTGAATTAGATGGGTGTGTGTGACTCCGTTGTATGAATGTGTCTGTGACTAATCTGTGCCGATGTGTTTCCCTGCCCTGCCAGGGGGAGGCGCTCTCCTCGGGGCCGGCGGAGGCAGCAGGGAAACGGCAGTCTGCCAGACACAGACAGACTGACGGACAGAGACCGCCTGCTCACAGACCACAGCGCCACCTACAGGAAATACCCTGGACTCAACAACGTGGCCTACATGGTGAGACACACATACTATGCGCATACTGTGTGTGTGTGTGTGTGTGTGTGTGTGTGTGTGTGTGTGTGTGTGTGTGTGAAGGTGCGCATAGTATGTGTGTCTCACCATGTAGGCCACACACGCACCATATACACACTCACTCACACTTTTTCCTCCTCTTCTCTCTCCTCCAGTCGGACCCGGACCTACCTCCAGACCACGGCAGCCCCTCCCCTATCGACGAGGTGTTTGACCACGCCCCTCCCCCGCCCCCCTACGTGCCCCCCCAGCCGTCCATCGAGGAGGCGCGGCAGCAGATGCACTCCCTATTGGACGATGCCTTCGCCCTGGTGTCGCCCTCCTCCCAGGGCAGCGTCAGTGTCGGGGTAACGCAGGTCAGCCCCGCCCTGCAAAGCCCCACTCCCTCCCCACAGACACGCCCATCACGCCAGTGGGGCTCCTACCCCGCAGCCCCCACACACAGCCCCTTCTCTGCGGTAAGAGTGTGTGTGTGTACTCCCAGGGTCTCTTCTATGAAGTACGAATCATACGGTCTCTCTCTCCCTCTTTACTTCTCTGCATCCACGTTTTCCTCTTTATATCTCACCTTCCCTCTCTCTTTCTATGTTCTCTCCCCTCTACAGAGGTATGCAGAGTTAGGGATGTCTCCCTCGTCAGTACAAGCCCTGTTGCAGAGGTGAGTCAGATGCGACTATACTACCCAAGCTGAAGTACATTCAGTGAATGTCAGCATTTCTAAAGTCTGGTGTATGTGTGTGTTTTAGGCAGGGCCTGGGTTCGGGGGCCTATGTTACTGCAGAGGAGCAGCAGCTGCAGGAGTCTGTCTACGCCAACAGAGGTCAGTTTGAAGAGCCTCCCTCCTCCTCCAGACCTCGGCCTGTTGGGGGGAGCACAGGTAAAGGCGCTGTGTGTGTGTGTGTGTGTGTGATTCAATGTGTGTGTGTGTGTGTTAATTGGGATTGATGTGTGTATGGTAAGTGTATAATGTGTGTATCTAATGATTACTTACACATGGTGTGTTGTTTGTGTTCTCAGGTGCTCAGCTGCATCACCTGACACAGGTGGGCTTGTCGAGCCGGATCAGTGCGTACCCCGGGGTGGGCCGCAGCGTCTCTGGGCCAACAGGCTCCAGCTGGAACCAGCAGCCTTTAGACCAGGACCTCTCCAGACCTGGAGCCAGCAGGGAGAGTGTGAGTCAGACCACATGATGACCAACAGGGACAGCATGAGACTGTATTGGGCGGGCCACAGTGGATGGAGAGAAACATTTGTTTTCCAGAGGAGTAATCTAGTTTCCAGAGGAGTAATTTGATCTCTCTCTCTCATCATATCTCTCTCGCTCTTACCCTGTCTCTATCTCTCTCTCTAGGTGCTGTCGTTCCCTGAGTTCTCCTCCGCTGTGTTTCAAATGCCCAGCTCCTCTCTTGGAGACCATTCTGTCCCTCCGATGCTCCTGGCCCCTCCCACTCCAGAGTTCCCCATAGACGAGTCCTCCCCCTCAGCCCAGAGCTCCGCCTCCCTCATCAAGGCCATCAGGGAGGAGCTACGACGGCTCGCCCAGAAACAGGTTGCTGTGGCCGGCAGCTACTCCTAAACCAGTGTGAGCCCCTACCCCATAACTGGTCAAAACTACTGACTCTAAACTGGTCCGAACCAGTTTGAAAAACTCATCCTAAACAAGTATGGACCGACCGTAACCACTACCCCAAACTAGTGTGCAAATAGTCAGAACCACTTTCCCTAAACTGGTCTAAAGAGGCTTACACTGCTATTCATAAGCTGGTCTGAACAAGACTGAACCAGACTGCAACAGATACGATTTCCTTACAACAATAACATCACGGTTCTTTACAGGGTTCTTCTCTCTGTAAAGGTTCCTCGTTCTACAGCACAGTGTTTCCACTGGACAGGAGGATCGAGTTTGTTTTCTTCAGAGTTCCATAGAAGTGCTTCCGTGAGAGGGGCCGTCTCTGCCCTTCCTGACCTCCTGTATGTGGTGCTAAACGTCAGCCTAATGTCTCCTGTCATTAAGTTAACCACGCATTGCCTTCAACACACATTCATCATCAGCCATGTTGGTGAGATCTTCTCCATTCATCAGCCATATTGGTGAGGTCTTGCACTGTAGAGAGACTTGGAGTATAGTATACTTTGGGCATGGGGGACTTGAATATATAGATGAAAAAAGTATATAGATGGAAATATTATATGTAAAGAGATGTAAAAATCCTAAATGAGCACAATATTAATTTATAAGAGTTAGCAATGGAGTATTGAAATTGTATTTATTTTTTATTGCTCTGAAAGTATACTTTAAATCCTTCATTCCCCCCCCCAAAAAAAAAGACCAATACTGTTTGGATGTTCTATGGCTGTATTCTCCCTGTGTTTGCGCTCACTGTTGCTGTGGAGCTGATCATAATGTTGTTTATCGCAGTGGAGACGTCGCTTAGCATAGTTGCTCGCTGCTCATGTGTTCACGTGTTGATGGTACAAAAAGGAAAAAAAAGACATGGATTATGCTTTGCCGATATATAGCGCTTTTCGGTAGGTGGTTAAAGACTTGACATGGGGCTAACCTATCCAATCCACCAATGTGACCTTCTGCGGCAGAACTCTCACAGAAGAACAAAGGCATTTCTAGGGTGACAATTGACTGTGTCAAATTGTGATAGTGTTTCTCTTGGTGGGAAGAGCTGGAAAACCACTCATGCTTGACAACCACAGAAAATAGGCTACCTGTGAAATGTAATATTGAAATAGGAATGATTGTATACAATGGTATGAACATCGACAAACATGTTGTGTTGCAAAGGTGATATGGGGTGGTTTATAGCAAGTGAAAAACACCTACATGTCCAATTTCCCTCCAAATAGCTTCCTTTCCTCATCTCCTTTCCTTGGTCAACTCTTATCCAAATGGATGTAAAGGTGAACCTCTGGAAGGAGGAAACCAAGCCATTTACGACAAATGGACATACTATACTGTAGTAGTTGGTGGGTTTGGTGGTGGTTATGAAGTGCTCTTTGTCTCTATCTGCTGGTAATATGGCTGCATGGCTGACTTCCATCTCTGCTTCAGGCTGTTTTCTCTGTGGTCTTATTGTATTGGGTTTGGTCAATGGTCAGTAATGTGTGGGTTTATGCAGGCGAGAGAAGGTTTGCCCATCCAGCTCTGTGCTCTAGCTATCTACAGCATGTTGACTAAGTTTGAGGCTTTGGCTAGCTAGCTATTAGTGACGTGACAGTTATTGTTGTCTTCTCTCAGGCATGCTGCTAAAATAAGTTTTAAAATGTTTTTAAACAAAAGTTAAACTGAAGAGTTGTAACACACAAGTAAAGAGTGAGTAGTGTTATACAGTGCCATCCGAACCTGATCCATCCAAGCACATAATACATCATGATAATCAAGCAGTAGATAATATACACTATGTAAGTGGCATTCTGTTATACTCTTGTTTTGCCTTTCTAATAATATTTTTGAACCTAAATGAAAATTGATATGACAAAATACAGTATATAAAATAAAATAAATGTAAGTGTAAAATATGTCAAACAATTTTATCTGTGATTTCTCAATAATATGGACAACCTTCCAACAGAAGGACTAACACATCTTCCCTGTGGACCAATCCTGATTCAGAACTCTTCATCTGCTGGGCTTTATAACCTTCCTGATTGGACCTAGCACCTGTCAATAAGGCTGTGGGACTGTACACAGAGTGGCGTCACTGAGATGTGTGTGTGCGGACGACAAAACAACCACATGGTGCTACTAAGTAACTTACAGGAACATATCCCTCACTCCCTCTGTACAGGGGGTTGGAGTGTGTTGATGTCTCCTCAGTCTAATAGCATCTCACACACAGCCTATACACATATGGGGACCACAGACACACACTGCCAACATGGAAAACACACACACTCAGATGTTGATTGATATTCCTGTCTAAAAAGATAGGATTCTCTTCTCAATTCAAATTCTGGACTTTGAGTAGCTGCAGCATCTCCTGAATGTTTCAGAGGTCTGTGTTTTATAGATCTGTAATTCTCAGTGTGTGTCTCCAGTGTCTGAGCAGGTGTGTTGTTGGCCCTAACGCCCTGAGATCATACCCCTATACTCTGTCTCTCTGTCCCCAGAGGGTATGTGTTTTGTTTACTCTTGATATCTTTGACGGCGTAGTAGACGCTCAGGTGTGTTAAATGTTAGACAAGGGTGGGGTTCCTGCCCGACTAGATGCACAGACGTTGCATTGCGTCAACCAATGGTTGCGTGCCACGTCATCGACTGCTCAGTCGGTCATCAAATTTCTATATCACATGTTGTGGTTAACTGATATGTTAAACACCTATCCAGCTGTTGTGAGGTCTGGCATGTCTCTGCAATGTTGTCGGGCAGGAACACCACCAATACCACCAAAAGCTCTCTCTCTCACCCTCCCACTCTTCATAACCCTCACTCTCGCCCCTCCTTCCCCTCCTCTCTCTCTATCTCTCTCTTTCTCCTCTCTCCTCCTTCTGAGCTGCATCCCTGTGGTGTATAGAGTCTGAATGATGTGTAAATCAAACATTAAAGAAATTATGTGTTTAAACTCAGCCTTTGCTGTCTGTTATTTTTCTCCAAAAGTTTAAAAATCATTGTATTTTAGTTGCTGCTACCTTTTTTTTTGTGAGGATTGGCTAAGTTGTACAGGTGAGTGCAGCTGTGGAACAGAAGTCCCCCTGTTTAGTTTTGCACCTCCTTCCCCATTCTGATAACTGATACCTAACCCTTAAGTCCCTTCACCTTCCAACAAACAGAGACAGAGAGAAACAACAGGATAAACCTGACTTAATAATGTCTCAACTCAACCCAACCTCTTCCCAACAATAGACAACATGTAGATTTGCTCTCACACACAAACCGGCAGATATCCTTCCACCCAATCTCTACCTCCTCAACAATACCAGGTAGGCTAAAATTTATTTATGTCCAAGGCAAGTAGTAATTCTCATTGGGTAGTCCTGTTTGAATATAATATATCGTGGACAGAAAAGGAAGTGACAAACTTTCGCGATCATTTTACTAATTGGTAACCGAGATTAGTTTGAATAGGGTTGTTTATTTCCTTTTACAATATTGTAATACTAATTAGCATCTGTAGGTTACATACGTTAGGCGGGACCTAAAAACGTGTCGTCTGACCTTTTTAGGGGTGTTGTCATCAACTTCCTGATTCACCTGTCCCAAGGTGAGCAGAACTGCCCGAGTTTCTGAGTTGAAATTGATTCTCAAGATGGCCAATATATGAAAAGTTATTCTACATGACAAAGATAGCCTTCTTAAAAAAAGTAGAGAATTCATCAAAAAAAGCAGGTAACAGTGATTCCCCGCAGTGCTGTGATTTACCGCGTAGTTTACTTTGTACATTATTATTGATGTGTAGGGATGCGGTTAACTTCGCATAGTAAATCTATGCGGTCCTCAATGTATGATAAAAACGTTTTGATTTTGTTTAGAATTTAAAACTTTGCCGAATATTTGTAGTTGAGCAGAGAATCCAAGAGAGGGAAGTTGTAAACCCACTTGGGCACCTTGGGTTCTTGAGAGCTAGTTGACAGGTAGGCTTAATGTTGTTGGTGATGTTACAGTATGGGCAGGTGACAATGTTATATGTCGTGGTAGGTTTCTATTAAATATTAAAGGGCCACTTTGCGATTTCTACTTCTATCTTTGCACTTTAAAACTCATTGATTCTTAAAGAATATAACTTAGACATGCTTCATGAGCTTAGTTCAACTGACCCCCCCAGAACTCAAAATAAGCTTGTTTAACTCCATTGTTTGTAAACAATGTAATTGTAAACAAACTGTATAGCCTCAAAACATGATTACAATTATAATTTTGATCTCATGAGTGGTCAGTCCTTGCATCCATAGCGCTGTCTATGAATTTAAGTGGTTACATTTCTCCAGCCCCATCCTGCAACTGTTTACCAAAACAGTGGTGGGGTGCCCACTTTGTTGATTGTTGAGCTAATGTTACAGTATTGGCATAAGATATTATATTAATAGTATGGTAATGGTGTAGACTGCAGTGTCTATGAGCAGTGTAGGGAGACCGAGGAGGTCCTCCATGAAGACTCAGCTGGTTAGTGCCATCCAGCTAGAGGAAGTGGAGATGGAGGAGGTCAATAACCATCACCAAGAGGTCAACAGCCCTTACCACGAGGTCAACAACCCTCACCAAGAGGTCAAAGGTGAGCCCCGCTCATAAACCACCCAGTGGATAGAGTGTTTGGTCATGTGCTGGGAAGGGATAATGTGGGATTTGAACTTTGACCTTGTGTTTCAGAGCCACAGACGTACAGTGTGGAGGAGGCAGTGGAGACCATCGGCTTTGGTCGCTTCCATGTTATGTTGTTCATCATCATGGGCAGTGCCAACGTGAGTGTCTCTGTGTGTGTGTGTCTGTCTGTCTAGCTGTGTGTCTTTGTCTGTCCGTATGTAAGTGAAAGAGCTCTTGCTAAAGGATGCGCATAAGCATATAAGCATGCATGTATGTATGCATTGTAGATAGCGGAGGCGATGGAGATCATGTTGCTGGCCGTGGTGTCTCCTGAGATCCGCTGTGAGTGGCATCTGGACGACTGGGAGGTGGCTCTGGTCTCCACGGTGAGGAAATACACCAATCAGCATGCAGCTAGGTTTAAATATGTGTGTAATACTAGGAGTAGTACATATTACACATGTATATGATACAACTTTCTGTCTGTCTCTGTCTGTCTCAGATGGTGTTTGCGGGGTTCATGGTGTGTGGAGTGCTGAGTGGATACTTGGCCGATAGATATGGACGCTGGAAGGTCTGCCCCTTTACAGATTTATGTGATAAAAATAAATATGAAATCTTCTGGAACTGTTTAACAGTCTGTGTCGGAATGAGAGTGTAGATGTGTCTGACGGTCTATCAATCTATCTAGGTGGTGTTTGGGGGTTCTGTGTGGGCAGCGTACTTCTCCCTGCTCACCTCCTTCTCTCCGTCCTACGGATGGTTCATCTTCCTTCGCCTGATGGTGGGTTGTGGTGTGGCCGGGTGCTCCCAAGGGTAAGACACACACACACACAGACACACAGACAGAGAGAGAGGAACAACACAGACACACACACACACAGAGGAACACACACAGACAGTTCCCATGTTCTGAGACCCACTGTTAGTGATATTACTCTCCTTTCTCCTAGGTTTGTCCTAAAGACTGAGTTTATCCCTGCTAGTTACAGATCCTACCTGCTACCTCTCGCCTCAGTAAGTCACCATAGCCTCACATAGCCATCATCATCATCATCACAGTTGTTTCAGCTTTAGTTTTGTCTACCCTTTAGATCTTCTGGATGGTAGGCTCCATGCTCATCATCATGCTGGGTATGACTGTGGTTCCAACGCTGGGCTGGCGTTGGATGATCCGCCTGTCTGTCATCCCCAGTGTTGTCCTCCTCCTTCTCTTCCAGGTAGGAGTCCCGCCTCCTCTGAGTCTCAGCAGCATCTCTCTTTGACACGCCCCTCACTCTCTGACCCTCTCCTTCCCTACTCCTTCTCTATCCCCTCCACCTCCCCTTCTCTCCCCATGACTCCCCAACTTAAGAATGGGCCATCTGAAAGTGAAAGTGTTGAGACTACCTTCTCTGACACGCTCTTCCTGGTTAACTTTCCTGGCGTTCCCATGTGTCTATAGCTTATCCCGGAGTCGGCTCGCTACAACGTGTCTGCAGGGAACGTGCAGGCTGCAGTGGAAACACTCCAGCGTATTGCCAGGATGAATAGGGCCTCCATGCCACCAGGGAGGCTCGTGGAACCTTTGGTGGTGAGTAGTGTGTTTGTGTGTGTGTGTCTATTGATGTCTATTGATGTCTCTGTGGTGTATGTGTTTCAGAAAGAGAGGGGCAGTTGGCGCCTCCTGGTCAGTCCAGCATTCAGGAGGACCTCCCTACTACTGTGGTACTCATGGTAATGCCCCATACACTTTTCCTCCTCCTCCTACTCTTCCTCCTCCTACTCTTCCAACCTAAGAGCACTTCCCTGTTTGTATTTGAGTATGTGAGGACGGCGTGGTGTGGAAGGGTGTATGACATTCTACGTGGTCCTCTGTAGCTCAGCTGGTAGAGCACGGCGCTTGTAACGCCAGGGTAGTGGGTTCGATCCCCGGGACCACCCATACACAAAAATGTATGCACACATGACTGTAAGTCGCTTTGGATAAAAGCGTCTGCTAAATGGCATATTATTATTATTATTATTATTTTTCAACATCTAAATGTGTGCTGTAGGTTTTTCCTTTTCTTACTGTGTGTGCGTGTGTGTGTGGTTGTTTATTCATTTATGTGTGTCTATGTATGTACTGTAGGTTTGTGGCGTCCTTCTCCTACTACGGCTCTGTGTTGAGCAGTTCTGAGCTGCTGGAAAAGAACCTGCTGTGTGTGACGGACGCAGATGCAGAGCACCAGCAGAAACACAGCCACCTAGAGGACGGAATGTGCTACTGCATCCCTTTCGGCTTTAACGACTACCAGACCCTCCTCATCAGCTGTCTGGGGGAGGTCGCCCGTGAGTGAGGGGGTGGAGGGGGGAACTATGGGTGCGTGCATGTGTAACAGATGTCCAGTGAAGACAAAAAGATTGGTCTCGGCACCAGTGTAACAGATCGTACTTCATAACTCTCTTGCGTTGTGTTTTTCAAGAAAAGACTCCAGGTTGTTTGGTGTTTGTTCTAACAATAGACGCAAGGAAGCACATTAGATGTGCAGGACAACAGTATGTTGTTGGCTGTCGATTTGTGATTACATTTACATTTACATTTTAGTCATTTAGCAGACGCTCTTATCCAGAGCGACTTACAGAGCAATTAGGTTAAGTTGTATTTAGTCAGCCACCAATTGTGCAAGTTCTCCCACTTAAAAAGATGAGAGAGGCCTGTAATTTTCATCATAGGTACACGTCAACTATGACAGACAAATTGAGGAAAAAAATTCTAGAAAACCACATTTTAGGATTTTTAATGAATTTATTTGCAAATTATGGTGGAAAATAAGTATTTGGTCACCTACAAACAAGCAAGATTTCTGGCTCTCACAGACCTGTAACTTCTTCTTTAAGAGGCTCCTCTGTCCTCCACTCGTTACCTGTATTAATGGCACCTGTTTGAACATGTTATCAGTATAAAAGACACCTGTCCACAACCTCAAACAGTCACACTCCAAACTCCACTATGGCCAAGACCAAAGAGCTGTCAAAGGACACCAGGAACAAAATTGTAGACCTGCACCAGGCTGGGAAGACTGAATCTGCAATAGGTAAGCAGCTTGGTTTGAAGAAATCAACTGTGGGAGCAATTATTAGGAAATGGAAGACATACAAGACCACTGATAATCTCCCTCGATCTGGGGCTCCACGCAAGATCTCACCCCGTGGGGTAAAGATGATCACAAGAACGGTGAGTAAAAATCCCAGAACCACACGGGGGAACCTAGTGAATGACCTGCAGAGAGCTGGGACCAAAGTAACAAAGCCTACCATCAGTAACACACTATGCCGCCAGGGACTCAAATCCTGCAGTGCCAGACGTGTCCCCCTGCTTAAGCCAGTACATGTCCAGGCCCGTCTGAAGTTTGCTAGAGTGCATTTGGATGATCCAGAAGAGGATTGGGAGAATGTCAGATGAAACCAAAATAGAACTTTTTGGTAAAAACTCAACTCGTCGTGTTTGGAGGACAAATAATGCTGAGTTGCATCCAAAGAACACCATACCTACTGTGAAGTATGGGGGTGGAAACATCATGCTTTGGGGCTGTTTTTCTGCAAAGGGACCAGGACGACTGATCCGTGTAAAGGAAAGAATGAATGGGGCCATGTATCGTGAGATTTTGAGTGAAAACCTCCTTCCATCAGCAAGGGCATTGAAGATGAAACGTGGCTGGGTCTTTCAGCATGACAATGATCCCAAACACACACCGCCCGGGCAACGAAGGAGTGGCTTCGTAAGAAGCATTTCAAGGTCCTGGAGTGGTCTAGCCAGTCTCCAGATCTCAACCCCATAGAAAATCTTTGGAGGGAGTTGAAAGTCCGTGTTGCCCAGCGACAGCCCCAAAACATCACTGCTCTAGAGGAGATCTGCATGGAGGAATGGGCCAAAATACCAGCAACAGTGTGTGAAAACCTTGTGAAGACTTACAGAAAACGTTTGACCTGTGTCATTGCCAACAAAGGGTATATAACAAAGTATTGAGAAACTTTTGTTATTGACCAAATACTTATTTTCCACCATCATTTGCAAATAAATTCATTAAAAATCCTACAATGTGATTTTCTGGATTTTTTTCTTCTCATTTTGTCTGTCATAGTTGACGTGTACCTATGATGAAAATTACAGGCCTCTCTCATCTTTTTAAGTGGGAGAACTTGCACAATTGGTGGCTGACTAAATACTTTTTTCCCCCACTGTGTATATACTGTATATATATATATATATATATATATATATATATATATATATATATATATATATATATATATATATATATATATATATTATATATATATATATATATACACACATACAGTTGAAGTCGGAAGTTTACATACACCTTAGCCAAATACATTTAAACTCTGTTTTTCACAATTCCTGACATTTTAATCCTAGTAAAGATTCCCTGTCTTAGGTCAGTTAGGTTCACCACTTCATTTTAAGAATGTGAAATGTCAGAATAATAGCAGAGAGAATTATTTATTTCAGCTTTTATTTATTTCATCACATTCCCAGTGGGTCAGAAGTTTACATACACTCAATTAGTATTTGGTAGCATTGCCTTTACATTGTTTAACTTGGGTCAAAGGTTTCGGGTAGTCTTCCACAAGCTTCCCACAATATGTTGGGTGAATTTTGGCCCATTCTTCCTGACAGAGCTGGTGTAACTGAGTCAAGTTTGTAGGCCTCCTTGCTCGCACACTCTTTTTCAGGGCTTTGTGATGGCCACTCCAATAACTTGACTTTGTTGTCCTTAAGCCATTTTGCCACAACTTTGGAAGTATGCTTGGGGTCATTGTCCATTTGGAAGACCCATTTGCGACCAAGCTTTAACTTCCTGACTGATGTCTTGAGATGTTGCTTCAATATATCCACATAATTTTCCTTCCTCATGATGCCATCTATTTTGTGAAGTGCACCAGTCCCTCCTGCAGCAAAGCACCCCCAGAGCATGATGCTGACACCCCCGTGCTTCACGGTTGGGATGGTGTTCTTCGGCTTGCAAGCACCCCCTTTTTCCTCTAAACATAACGATGGTCATTATGGCCAAACAGTTCTATTTTTTTTTCATCAGACCAGAGGACATTTCTCCAAAAAGTACGATCTTTGTCCCCTGCGCAGGGTTGAAAACGATTTTACATGACGCCAACCAAAGTGTATGTAAACTTCCGACTTCAACTGTATATATATTATATATATATATATATATCTCACATACACATCAGGACATGTACATAGTGTACTCGTACACATTGTAAATAAAAATTGGAATATAGTATTTCAGAACATGACCTACCACTTGCATGTGGTGGTCTCTGTAAAGCTCAGCTGTAAGCACGGGCGCTTGTAATGCCAGGGTAGTGGTTTCGATCCCTGGGACCACCCATACACAAAAATGTATGCAACGCATGACTGTAAGTCCGCTTTGGATAAAAGCGTCTGCTAAGTGGCATATTATTATTATTATTATTATTATTATTATTATTATTAATATGTTAATATCAGACTGGTAGAGAATTTACGTTCGCAATCTCTGCTAGCGTAACCAATGGCATAACACCTTATTGATATGTAAATTCAACTAACCAGTAGAAATACATATTTTTGCAGTGTCAAGTGGAAACCCTGTTACACATGCGTGTGTGTACAGTGGGTGTCAGATTCATTCTTTTGTTTTGCTATCTGAATAATGGTACTGTTCGTGTACAAGTCTGATTCGTTCTTGCGATCGCTCTCTGTCTCTCTCTTTCTCTCTCTCTCTCTATCTGTCTCCAGTCATCCCTCTGAATATATGCCTGTTGAACGTGTTTGGGAGGAAGTTGAGCATGGTTCTGCTGGAGCTCATGGCAGCCCTGTTCTTCATGCTGGTCAACGTCTGCTCTACTATGTATGCACTATAACCCCCCCCCCCCCCCCCCCCCCCCCCCCCCCCCATTGAGTGTGATTATTTGACTGTTTTATTTTGTCACCAATTTAAAATACACTATCAATACTTTTGTTCATGAGATTCTCTCTCTGTCACTCTCTCTCTCACTCACTCACTCACTCACTCACTCACTCACTCACTCACTCAATCACTCTCACTCTCTCTCTCTCACTCTCTCTCCAGGTTTGGTTTTACCATTGTGCTGTTCTTGATCCGGTCTCTGGTCTCCATGAATTTCAATGTGGTTTATATTTATACTGCAGAGGTATGTGGATACAACTTTACATTCCATCCATAGATATACTGTTAGTGTATAACAATGAATTGTACAGATCTCTCTCAGGTGTATACTGTGTCTGATGGCTCCTTCTGTCTCTCAGGTGTACCCGACTGCAGTGCGTTCTCTCGGGATGGGTTTCTGCACTTCTTTTAGCCGCATCGGCGGCATGATCGCCCCCTTTATAGCACAGGTCTGTGGCTGTGTGTTGTTCATGTTGGCTGATGTTTGTGTGTGTATGTATTAATATTTGAATGTGTGTTACAGGTATTTCTTCTTAAATTTGTGTGTCTATTAATGTTTGACTGTGTGTGTTGTAGGTGTTGATGTCACATTCAGTGATTTTAGCTTTGCTGCCATTTTCTGTGGCCTGTGTGCTTTGTGCTGTTGGAGCCTTTCTACTGCCTATCGAGACAAAGGGACGAGCACTACTGGTACGACACTGTCTGCGATATTGTGTGAAATTAAGATAATACTGTATAAAATCTTGGTTTTATTACTGTATTTCATTGGATTAACTTTTTCTCTTCACAGCAAAGTTCCTGACTGTGTACATGTGATTCTCAACACATTCATGTAATTGCATATTTACACATTAAACGTTTTATACTTTGACAACTGTCTTTGTGTTTTAAATCATCAAGATATTTATATTTCAGAAAGTGTGTACACTTGAGTGAAAATAAATAGTCAGGCAGGGGAGTTCAGTCTCACTTCCCATCACTAGATGGTGACATTACCCTGTAGGGAGATGGAGCTGTCGTCTATATATAAAACAAAGTCCTAATCCAATGGGGTTATGTGAAATCTTAAGCAAACAGAGGGACACTTGTTTGGGTTTCATTGGAAAGGTTGAGAAGCCCCGTCATGGAGAGGTTAATGTTAAAATTAGACTGTAACACCACCCACCCACACACCATTGGGCAGCTTAGTGGGGTGTGTGTGCGTGCGTGTGTGTGTGTGGTGGGGCGTGGGCGTTATACTGAAGTAGTTACTGGAAATACAGTATGGATCAGTGAAGGTGATCAGGTATTAGCTGCAGTGTAAGTCATGGGGTCAGGGGTTAGCCACAGTGTTTAGCTATAGATTAAGCCCTGTGTGACTTTTTCACCCACCCTCTCATAAGGCTTGGGTCTTCAGCTATGGAAAACATGGCTAATTTTGGGTTAGTAGAAAAGATCTCCATATGAACATAAATTGAAAATTGTGGGTAGGCCTATAAACGTGTATTTGCTCTGTCATGTGTAGGCCTATACCTGGCATGTGCAGCTACCTCTACACAGACAGAATGTATAACCCAACCCTTCTCTCTGACAGCACTGAAGGTTTTGGGTCTTAGCCATTTGCACAAATAGGCCTCTGTCTATGTGTCTGTTCACACATACCCACTCTGTTTTTGTGTGCCTATGAGCGGGATCTCTCCCTCAGCGCCACGTTCTTACAGAATTATCTCTCTCTTCTGACCCCTCTCCTCTTTAAGCTTGTTAGATCCCAGTCTGTTTCCCAGGGACACCATGAGATTAGGTGTGTGTGCGGGCATGCCCGCGTGACTGTGTGTACTGTAGCCTATGTGAAAATGCTGTGTGGGAGGAGTCTGTACTTGGCTGTTCCCTGACCTTGGACGAGAAAAGTGTTTGGGTGTGAGAGAGCGAGAAAGACAGACTTGGAGAGTTTGTTATCAACATAATGCACAGCACACTATAAGGAAGGGAGGGGGACAGACGGAAATAATGGGGGCTGCAGTATAGGCTACTGCAGTGCAGGTTTGTGGGGTGTTGTTTCTGTGGCTGAAGAGAGATTTACATTAGGATTCTGAGAGACACCTGGCAACCCGTGGCTGAGCTGGGGAGTGACGATGTCTGTACAGGCCAGATGACAACACAGCATATAGTAAGTCCTACACAGCAGTCTGTGTGTGTTCTTCTGTCAATGTGTGTTTGTATGTGTACTTGAATGTGTTATCTAGAAAGTATTGTGTGGACTGTGTGTGGACACAATGGACAGACAATAATGAAAGAATGAAAGCGTTATGATTGTTCTAGGTGATTATGTAGAATATCCTAGGCACTTAGACTGGATAGTATATGACTTATGTAAGGTTTTTAGTCTTGTATGATTATTTGCTGCTATTTATTTCTCCTTGGGGGATTAATAGAGTATCCAATTTTCTCATTTAATCTAATGTAAACTTCTATACTGTACATCTCCCCCTGCTATGCTGACATTGCAGTGTGTGTGGATGCTGGAGTATGTGTGTGGGTTTATCTTGGTGCTTGGTGCGGATGGATCCACTATGTATGAGGTGCATTGTGTCCCCAACCCCCCCCTCACCCCCACCCCCCCAACCTCCCTCTTTCTCTTTGTATTGTCTGGTGACTGCTTTGGTTATTGTCCCAGTCTTGGGATGTGGGCACATATTATACCTCCTTCCCCTAAGTCCTTATACACCCTATATTGTTATTGTGTGAAAAGGGAATATGTTCATAATGTATTCAAAGGATATCAGATTATGTGGGCTGATTATACCATGCAGATATATACTGTATAATGCACCTTATGTTCACACACCTAAGTGCAGTGAATATAATGCAATTAGCAGAATATGGTACACTTTTCTGAGGGCTTTGATTGTGTGAGAACCAGTCTCAGCAGCAGATATACTTCATTACCCATAAGCCCAGTGAACAGCATGGAGAGCTGGTTTATCTGGGCTCTAACAGTATAAGAACATCTCTGGCCCTACCTCCCAGCAGGGGACCTAACCTCTGATATGCAGCCAGCTCAGACAGAGAACACCTTAATCCACACACACACACACACACACAGTAGCCTACTTCCAAACTTAGAAATGTACTTGCATGTTTTATAAGCAATTTATTACGCATGTAAGGAGTGACAAGGAGTTGGAATGATAACACAAACAGACTGGCAATTAGACATGGATTCTACATGGGATGTCAGTGTGGAACATTGGAACGTAGTCTCTGTCTTTTCTCTCTCTCCTGGCAGCCAATGAGAGAGCCCGGAACAGGAAGCTGAGATGGAGTTCTCAGGGTGCCCTGCTGCTGCCGGCGTTGCCGTGGGCGACGAGGCCCAGGAGGCGGAGAAGGAGGGCCACGCCCACGTTCTATTTGATGAGTTTGTCCAGGCGTCCACCTGCAGAGCGACACTCCGTGCCTTCAACCTGCTGTGTGAGCACCTTCAGCTCACACACACACACACACAGCCACAGACATACTCCCCGACGCAGCCGCAGCGGCCTTTCTACCACACCCTCAAAGAACGCCTCAGCTACTGGAAGGCCAACGCACTGTGGGCCAAACTGGACAAACGGGCGGCCCACCACGAGTATGGGAAGGGCCGTGTCTGTGCCAACACCACGGTACTTATTAGTCATTCAATATTTTCAAATATACAGCCCAAAACAAGTACTTTTATTGGAGTATTTGAATGGTTATTTGTAAAAACCAAATAGTCCACCAAATTGAATTTTCAAATACTATTTTCTAATGCCTGGGTTAAATGCATGGGAGTGTGTATAGTATATGGATGTCAAGCGTGTGTGGCTGCACAGCGTGTGCATGTTTAAGTGTGTACGTTTCTAGCTTCTCATCCCAGCTGTCCCCTCTCCCAGTGTGTGATCATCGGGGCGGGGCCGTGTGGTCTGCGTACAGCAGTAGAGCTGGGGTTCCTGGGGGCCAGAGTGGTGCTGCTGGAGAAGAGAGATGCCTTCTCCAGGAACAACGTCCTCCACCTCTGGCCTTTCACCATCCACGACCTCAGGGGCCTCGGGGCCAAGAAGTTCTACGGCAAGTTCTGTGCTGGAGCCATCGACCACATCAGTGAGTATGGAATGATCCCTAACCCTTGACCCTTGAGTCTCCATGGTTACAGCTTTGGGGCTTCAATATTCATTAGAGAATCCTCTCTCTATACCCTATTTCTCTCCCTCTCTCATTCTCTCTCTTCCTCCCTCCCTGTCTCTTTCTCTCTCTCGCTCTCCCCCCCTCTCTCTGTAGGTATACGGCAGCTACAGTTAGTGTTATTAAAGGTAGCTCTGTTGTTGGGGGTGGAAGTCCATGTCAACGTAGAGTTCAAGGGACTGGTGGAGCCACCTGCGGACCAGGAGCAACAGAGTAAGACCTGCCATGTGTGTGTGTGTGTGTGTGTGTGTGTGTGTGTGTGTGTGTGTGTGTGTGTGTGTGTGTATAATGCCTTTGTGTGTTTGTGTGTGCCTCAGAGGTAGGTTGGAGGGTGGAGGTGAAACCTAAGTCTCACCCTATTAACCAACTGCAGTGTGACGTGGTGATCGGAGCTGATGGACGACGGAACACACTGCCAGGTAATCATCTAGTAGCACCTACTGAAACACTGAACTGAAACAGCAACAGGCAGCATCAGTCAGAATTCCCATCACTGAAAGAACAGATGTCTTAGTAAATGCCTTAATGGGAAGGGAATTTTTCTAGCCCTCTGATCCCAGACTTCCTGTTTGCCATCACATCCTGTCTCCCATGTGTCCAATCAGGCTTCAGGCGTAAGGAGTTCCGGGGCAAGCTGGCCATTGCCATCACAGCTAACTTCATGAACCGTAACACCACGGCTGAGGCCAAGGTGGAGGAGATCAGCGGAGTGGCCTTCATCTTCAACCAGAGGTTCTTTCAGGAGCTACGGGACGCCACGGGAGTGGACCTGGAGAATATAGTGTACTACAAAGACGACACGCACTACTTTGTGATGACGGCTAAGAAGCAGAGTCTGCTGGAGAAAGGAGTCATTCTGCGGGTAACAACGCACACAGACACACAAATACACATACACATATGGCACACTGATACAGCTGCTTTGACTGTGTCATTATTTTACTCATGTTGACCTCACTGCTGTGTTACTGACCTGATATGGACTGTATAACTATGTTATTGTTCAAACATTGATTGTGTTCTATTGCATTGATGTTTACTGTGTCATACCTATCAGGACTATGCAGACACAGAAACGCTTCTCTCACGGGGAAACGTGGACCAGAATGCACTGCTGGCCTACGCCCGCGAGGCGGCGGACTTCTCCACCAATCACCAGCTGCCGTCTCTGGACTTTGCCATGAACCACTACGGGCAGCCTGATGTTGCGTTGTTTGACTTCACCTGTATGTACGCGTCAGAGAACGCTGCACTGGTCAGACAGAGACATGGACACCATCTACTGGTCACACTGGTGGGAGACAGCCTTCTGGAGGTGAGGAGAGAGGAAGAGAAGAGTAGAGTTGAGGGAGAGTAGAAGACTTTTAACGTCAGCAATCCTGATGTACTCTGAAAGTAATTCTGTTGTAAGTAGCATATGTTTGTAATGTGTGTGTGTGTGTGTGTCTGCTTTTGTGTGTGCGTGCATGCGAGTTAGCCGTTCTGGCCCATGGGGACAGGTATAGCACGGGGGTTCCTGGCAGCATTGGACTCTGCCTGGATGGTACGGAGCTGGGCTCAAGGCCTTGCCCCCCTGGACTTACTTACTGAAAGGTGAGAGAGCAGGTCTGCAGTCAGGAGAACACACACACACACCAGCAATCAGTCTTTAATTATCATTCACCTGATTCCCTAAATAAATAATCCTCTCTCTCTCTCTCTCTCTCTCTCTCTCTCTCTCTCTCTCTCTCTCTCTCTCTCTCTCTCTCTCTCTCTCTCTCTCTCTCTCTCTCTCTCTCTCTCTCTCTCTCTCTCTGTCTCTGTCTCTGTCTCTGTCTCTGTCTCTGTTTCCTCTCATTTCAGAGAGAGTCTGTATCGTCTCCTTCCTCAGACCACTCCAGAAAATGTCAACAAGAACTTTGGTCAATACACTGTAGACCCAGCTACCCGCTACCCTAACATCAACACCCAACTCATCACTCCCGCACAGGTATACACAGGCACACACAGGCACACACACACATACACACACACAGGTCTGATGATGATGATGATGATGATGATGACAATCTCTGTAGGTGGGCCATCTAATATACACAGTAGCGAGTGGAGGTTCGGATGCGGACCAGGAACCGCGACCCCGATCCCCCTTGCCGAAGCTACTACGACAGGGTGAGTCTGACCCTCTGAGTACTGAACGGTACATTAACATAACTCTAACCATTGGCTTGATCAGTATCTTCACACATATTTTTTTCTTCCTCTCTGGTTCCCCAGAGTCCTTCTCTCGCTTCAGTAAGCTTTTGTCGTGGTGCCAGCAACAGACACAGGGTTACCGTGGTGTTGCGGTTAGCGACCTCACTACTTCCTGGAAGAGTGGCCTAGCTTTGTGTGCCCTCATCCACCACTATCGACCTGATCTCATGTGAGTCACATCTGACCTCTAACCTCTCGCTCCTCACAAATCACCTCGCCTCTCACCTCATACAGCTCATCCCAAAGGTAGCATTCAGGCGCAATGTAGTTGGTCCATTGCCTCACTTCTCATCCCACCTCTCACCTTTCGAATCTCAGTCTCATTTCCCTTTCACGCAAGCTCAGGTGCATGTGCATGTGTGTTTGTGTGTGTGTGTGTGTGTCTGTGAGAGAGGTGAGAGAGGTTGATGAGTCAGAAGACCATGGTCCTGATTGGTGCCCTTTTAATTACCTGATTGGATCAGTGCCTCTCTTTGTCCACTTGCTCTGGTGTGTGTGTGTGTGTGCGTGCGTATGTGTGTGAAGTGTGTCAATTTGCATACGTGTGTGTGTGTGTGACTCTCTCTTACTTTGACTCTCTCGTCCCATCTCTCTGCAGTGACTTTGACTCTCTGGAGGAGGATGAGGGGGAGGAGAATATGAGGTTGGGGTTGGAGGTGGCGGAGAAGGAGTTTGGAATCTCTCCTGTGATGACTGTAGAGGAGATGTCATCTGTCAGTGAAACGGACACTCTCTGTATGGTCATGTACCTCAGCCAGTTTCACCAGCTCTTCAAGGACGCACTACCCCCAAGTGGTGAGTTTCTAAACCACAGTAGTCAGTGTAAGAGCTAATTAATTCTCAATTCTCCTCATCACCCTCTATTCTTATCCTATCCTCTCTTTCCAGAATGCTCAGAACTCTACATCATCTCCGGCCCTCTCCTTCATAACCACTTATCTACAATGCCTTACTAAGCGAACGCAGAGTGGTGAAAATGTTTCTATTCCCATTACCAGTCAGTGGTTGTGAAGGAAAGGAGATGGGGAATGGCTGTGCATGACTGTTCTTCTCCTCTTTTCTTGTCTGTAGAATCCCAGACTGAGAGCCTAGATGGGAGGGCTGCTGTGATCGGTCCTGCCTCACTCCTTAGCCGCCTGGGCCACAGCCCATCCCGCAAGCGCAACCCCAAGGTACACACCCCTGTTTGTTTACGTAGGGACTCTGTTTGTCTGTGTGTAGGTGTATAGGTGCATGTGTGTTTACATATATTTGTGTGTATCCCTCCCATCAGGAGCAGAAGGAGAAGGATGCGGTGGGGAAGAGGAGGAAGACCAGTCGGCCATGTCTGGAGGACGTGAGACAAGATCCCAGATTAGTGGACAGTTATGAGGTGAGGGGTGTAACCTGTAGCCATGGGTTACAGTGAGGGAAAAACGTATTTGATCCCCTGCTGATTTTGTACGTTTGCCCACTGACAAAGACATGATCAGTCTATAATTTTAATGGTAGATTTATTTGAACAGTGAGAGACAGAATAACAACAAAGAAATCCAGAAAAACGCATGTCAAAAATGTTATGAATTGATTTGCATTTTAATGAGGGAAATAAGTATTTGACCCCTCTGCAAAACATGACTTAGTACTTGGTGGCAAAACCCTTGTTGGCAATCACAGAGGTCAGACGTTTCTTGTAGTTGGCCACCAGGTTTGCACACATCACAGGAGGGATTTTGTCCCACTCCTCTTTGCAGATCTTCTCCAAGTCATTAAGGTTTCGAGGCTGACGTTTGGCAACTCGAACCTTCAGCTCCCTCCACAGATTTTCTATGGGATTAAGGTCTGGAGACTGGCTAGGCCACTCCAGGACCTTAATGTGCTTCTTCTTGAGCCACTCCTTTGTTGCCTTGGCCGTGTGTTTTGGGTCATTGTCATGCTAGAATACCCATCCACGACCCATTTTCAATGCCCTGGCTGAGGGAAGGAGGTTCTCACCCAAGGCCCCGTCCATCGTCCCTTTGATGCGGTGAAGTTGGCCTGTCCCCTTAGCAGATAAACAACCCCAAAGCATGTTTCCACCTCCATGTTTGACGGTGGGGATAGTGTTCTTGGGGTCATAGGCAGCATTCCTCCTCTTCCAAACATGGCGAGTTCAGTTGATGCCAAAGAGCTCGATTTTGGTCTCATCTGACCACAACACTTTCACCCAGTTCTCCTCTGAATCATTCAGATGTTCATTGGCAAACTTCAGACGGGCCTGTATATGTGCTTTCTTGAGCAGGGGGACCTTGCGGGCGCTGCAGGATTTCAGTCCTTCACGGCGTAGTGTGTTACCAATTGTTTTCTTGGTGACTATGGTCCCAGCTGCCTTGAGATCATTGACAAGAACCTCCCGTGTAGTTCTGGGCTGATTCCTCACCGTTCTCATGATCATTGCAACTCCACGAAGTGAGATCTTGCATGGAGCCCCAGGCCAAGGTGATTGACAGTTCCTTTGTGTTTCTTCCATTTGCGAATAATCGCACCAACTGTTGTCACCTTCTCACCAAGCTGCTTGGCGATGGTCTTGTAGCCCATTCCAGCCTTGTGTAGGTCTACAATCTTGTCCCTGACATCCTTGGAGAGCTCTTTGGTCTTGGCCATGGTGGAGAGTTTGGAATCTGATTGATTGATTGCTTCTGTGGACAGGTGTCTTTTATACAGGTAACAAACTGAGATTAGGAGCACTCCCTTTAAGAGTGTGCTCCTAATCTCAGCTCGTTACCTGTATAAAAGACACCTGGGAGCCAGAAATCTTTCTGATTGAGAGGGGGTCAAATACTTATTTCCCTCATTAAAATGCAAATCAATTTATACCATTTTTGACATGCGTTTTTCTGGATTTTGTTGTTGTTATTCTGTCTCTCACTGTTCAAATAAACCTACCATTAAAATTATAGACTGATCATTTATTTGTCAGTGGGCAAACTTACAAAATCAGCAGGGGATGAAATACTTTTTCCCCTCACTGTAGGTAACCGAAATTGTAACTGCCAGTAGTTCTTTGACTAAATTAATGAGATGACATGCAATAATATGTTAGACGTTAGAACAGCAATACAACATCTTTGGCCTTAAAGTGACATGGGTCAAACTCTCCACCATTCTGCCTTCCGCAGGAAGAGGCTGCCCTGTGCTCTGTGGGTGGAGCAAGCCAGAGCAGAGTGCGCTCGATGGCCAATCAGCTGCTGGCCAAGTTTGAGGAGAACGCCCCTTGCCCCTCCTCCACGCCAGCTGCAGCTCTACGCAGACAGGTGAGATGGGATGGAATTCAGAACTCCTAGCTGCTAAGAGTTTTCAGGTGTTACTAAGAGTGTTTTCCCTCGCTCAAAGTCTCAACATTCTGAAAAATACTCTTATTTAAAATCTGTGCTTTTAATCTGAATAAAGGAACTTGTACAGCACGGGTCTGTCATCAATAGCTGTTGGTAGTTTAGATCCTCCATGTGTGAGCTGACTGACTGACTTCCTTTGAGGTTTCAGAGGATAAGCCAGATTAGCTGCACTGTGATGGGCATTTTGGGTCAGGGCCAATGGGACTCACTGAGCCTTGGAGCAGTAGGTAAGGGTTACAGTGAGGGAAAAAAGTATTTGATCCCCTGCTGATTTTGTACGTTTGCCCACTGACAAAGAAATGATCAGTCTATAATTTTAATGGTAGGTTTATTTGAACAGTGAGTGACAGAATAACAACAAAAAAATCCAGAAAAACGCATGTCAAAAATGTTATAAATTGATTTGCATTTTAATGAGGGAAATAAGTATTTGACCCCTCTGCAAAACATGACTTAGTACTTGGTGGCAAAACCCTTGTTGGCAATCACAGAGGTCAGATGTTTCTTGTAGTTGGCCACCAGGTTTGCACACATCTCAGGAGGGATTTTGTCCCACTCCTCTTTGCAGATCTTCTCCATGTCATTAAGGTTTCGAGGCTGACGTTTGGCAACTCGAACCTTCAGCTCCCTCCACAGATTTTCTATGGGATTAAGGTCTGGAGACTGGCTAGGCCACTCCAGGACCTTAATGTGCTTCTTCACTAGCCACTCCTTTGTTACCTTGGCCGTGTGTTTTGGGTCATTGTCATGCTGGAATACCCATCCACGACCCATTTTCAATGCCCTGGCTGAGGGAAGGAGGTTCTCACCCAAGATTTGACGGTACATGGCCCCGTCCATCGTCCCTTTGATGCGGTAAAGTTGTCCTGTCCCCTTAGCAGAAAAACACCCCCAAAGCATAATGTTTCCACCTCCATGTTTGACGGTGGGGATGGTGTTCTTGGGGTCATAGGCAGCATTCCTCCTCCTCCAAACACAGCGAGTTGAGTTGATGCCAAAGAGCTCGATTTTGGTCTCATCTGACCACAACACTTTCACCCAGTTCTCCTCTGAATCATTCAGAAGTTCATTGGCAAACTTCAGACGGCCCTGTATATGTGCTTTCTTGAGTAGGGGGACCTTGCGGGAGCTGCAGGATTTCAGTCCTTCACGGCGTAGTGTGTTACCAATTGTTTTCTTGGTGACTATGGTCCCAGCTGCCTTGAGATCATTGACATGATCCTCCCGTGTAGTTCTGGGCTGATTCCTCACCGTTCTCATGATCATTGCAACTCCACAAGGTGAGATCTTGCATGGAGCCCCAGGCTGAGGGAGATTGACAGTTCCTTTGTGTTTCTTCCATTTGCGAATAATCGCACCAACTGTTGTCACCTTCTCACCAAGCTGCTTGGCGATGGTCTTGTAGCCCATTCCAGCCTTGTGTAGGTCTACAATCTTGTCCCTGACATCCTTGGAGAGCTCTTTGGTCTTGGCCATGGTGGAGAGTTTGGAATCTGATTGATTGATTACTTCTGTGGACAGGTGTCTTTTATACAGGTAACAAACTGAGATTAGGAGCACTCCGTTTTAAGAGTGTGCTCCTAATCTCAGCTCGTTACCTGTATAAAAGACATCTGGGAGCCAGAAATCTTTCTGATTGAGAGGGGGTCAAATACTTATTTCCCTCATTAAAATGCAAATCAATTTATAACATTTTCTTGACATGCGTTTTTCTGGATTATTTTGTTGTTATTCTGTCTCTCACTGTTCAAATAAACCTACCATTAAAATTATAGACTGATCATTTCTTTGTCAGTGGGCAAATGTACAAAATCAGCAGGGGATCAAATACTTTTTTCCCTCACTGTAATTTGGTTGGAGGGAGCAGCTATGGTTGCAGTAATATGGGTTAAGATTAACTGGTGGTTAGGGTTAGCAGTGGTAGCTCTTGACCTAGGCCCTATATGCTTAAAGCTGTGGTTGTAGTATGGTATAAAGGTAGCCATGGCCTTCCCGGCTCCACAGCCCTCACGCCCTCTACTAACTGACCACCAGGGGGACTCCATGCCCACGCTTCCACATCCTCCAGCATCCCCTGATCCCCAGGCCCAGCCAGCCCCTATGGCCTCCGCTACCACCTGGAAACAGGTAAAAATAGTAAGCCTCTCCACCTTTGACTCTTAGAGGACTGCAGAGTTATATAGCTGTATCTCTCTGTGTCACCACATGGGGGTGCATGATTGTGTGCTGTGTAGTTCAGTCGCGTGGCATTTTGTCATAGTTCTTTCTTAGCTTTAGTTCCCTAGATTTCACAGTATTTCACTATTTCGCTACCTCAACCACCCACTCACATTATGCCGTCTAAACCATCTAACCCCAGAAGAAGCGCACGCAGCAGCAGGAGCAGATGAGTTTCAAGTACAAGGAAAAGGTCAAATGTCACACCCTGCCCAGCAGGGGGGAGCAGGTACGCCACCCCAGAGGAATCTGGGTAATGTAATGTATAGACCAGATGGCATGTAGACTAGTACTGATGTCCCATGCCACCCATAAATGTTCATAGACTTCCCAAGTTCCCAGTAGCTATCTGTAGACTAATGTGTGTCATTGGTGTGATGACTTTTGAGGACTCTTCTCGGCTACCTCAGTGGTTCCCTGATATATCTTCAGGACACAAAAGACCAACTGTCAGATCTTGACAGATACATGGTGAATGTTGGCAGTAAGAGTTGCCCACGGTCAAAGCGTTAACCATACCCCTAGTGTGGACCTACCCCATTCATAGACACTATTGAAGATAGTATAGCCCCGAGGCTTGCTCTAAACATTAACACGCATTGCTTGCGGTACGGTTTTGGAGACATATGGAACCTGTCTTTCATATAAACAATAATGAATATATATATATATTTTTTTAGTTAAATTACTTAGACACCTTTTAGGGTTAGTGTTCTCAGACAGCCATTTCCATGTTACAGCGTTTGTTTACAGAAAACAGAGTGGACTACCTGTGCTAATTAGCTATCTGCGTCTCCGAACAACTGTGTGTAAACTGAAGACAGACGCCACAAACGTGTTCTCATTGAAAAATGCTGTTGGTTGCAACTGTGTTAAAACCGGTTAAAACAGTGTACAGTAATTGTGTATTTTGCATTTGTGAAATAAGATCGATGTGATATGAGAGGGATTTGTGTTTCTAGAACCTTACCACAATTGAGAATTGATTCACATTTAGATGGAGTATTGGGCTGTTTTGGCTTCCAGAGACAATTCGCCTTTAAACAGAACATGTAAGATCCTTGGACTATAAGGAGTAACATTAGGCCCCATTAGTCCATTAGTGGGCTAGTGTGGACCATGAGTGGGCTACAACTTGACCTATAGTCATTGAGTTCAATCTGTCGGCCTCAGGGCAGTGTCAGAGTGCTAAATGATGCTGTAAATCATATAAACAACTATTGTTTCAGAGAAAGAGGAGAAAACTGAACTGAACTGTCAGAGTGCATCTTGTTTGGGCTTTAAGAAAGTATATTTGTATAACTTACTGCAGGGCATGTGGCATGTGACAACGCTGCAACTGAAATTTTCCCTTTTAAGATTAGAAAGATCAGAGGCCTGTGAATGGTTTTTGTTAATGTTTGCACAGTTTTCTTTCCTCGGACACCTCACTGTTTTGCCTACAAATTAAGTTTGATTGGTGTGGGATAAGGGCCTAGTGATAACGTTTATATTGATTATTTTGGACAATGATTACACTGCAACAGAAAGAAGGTTATCCAGTAGGGGATTGATGTTTCTAGAACTTTGACCTAGCTTTGTGTTCCATTTCCACATCCATAACACAACATCAAAACTCTCTGTTTGTGGCTCCGATTGTGTCATCCCTAGTGAGTGTGTCTCTGTGTGTGTTTACTGTTTGTTCTGTCCTTCGTCCTCATCTTGTCTCTCTTTTCTCCTGCTATCTTTTAGAAATACGTTCAGATGTACACAGGGGGAGTTAGCTCATTGGCTGAACAGATATCCAATCAGGTTCAAAGTCAGGAGTCATCGTCACCCCAGCACACTCCTAATAGGAAGGAATCGGTAAGAATCTATTTGAGTCGATTTGAACTCACCCACACTAATACTGTCGTTAGGCCGAAACTCATCCAGCATTGGATTATACCCTACCTAGGCTGGTTCTGAAGTAGGTCATTTCCATGTGAAAGGACCCATGAGCACCAACATGTGAAGTTCATAGGAGCATGTCAAATTGGATGTCAAATGAAAGCTAAGAGTCAATTCTTTTTGTAATTAAGGCATATATACATTTTTCAACCGTTTTCCATCCAAAAAAATTTGAATAAGCGAAGGCTTTGATTTCTGGACAAACAGATGGAAAAGGGGTCTTAGAAAACATCTACCAGGAAAAAGTCTTAAAAGGTATTATAAATGTATCAAAACACAATCCGGTTGAAGTAAAGACCCCTGCCAACTAATATCAACACTTATATTTAGTTTTGGATACATTTCTGTAAGTTTAAGAAACATTGCCTTGTGCTGTGAAATTCCGTACCAAAAACCCACATATCTTGAAGACATCTTCTAATTTCTCTACCTCATGAGGAGGGAGGAAATTGAAAGCTCACAGAACTAACAAGTAAAGGTATACCTATCAATTAGTTATAGTTTTTTTTAACCAGTTGTGTAAAATACTTAAGTAGAAATACTTTAAAGTACCACTTAAGTAGTTTTTGGGGGTATCTGTACGTTACTTTACTATTTATATTTTTGAAAACCTTTACTTTTATTTTTAACTTTTTTTTTTAGGGGGTAGATCAGTTTTAATATTGCAGATAGATTGTAACTTCCATCAATGTAATTGTCTGCTTCACTTCCAATCCCCCATATGTTTTTTTTCTCTCGCAATATATATATATATATATATATATATATATATATATATATATATATATATATATATATATATATACATACATACACACACACATACATACATATAAATACATATACATAGATATATATACATATCCTTTAAAAAAATATATATCCCTTTATTACTTTCCAACCCCACCACCCCTTCCCTAATTGGAGTAAATTAGTGAACAACAATGCTTAGGCCTCTACTTCCAGCTTATATATACTATATAAATGTTATGGACACAGTCAATTTTACAAAACTTTTACTTTTACTTCAGTACATTCCTGAAGAACATGATGTACTTTTTACACCATACATTTTCCCTGACACCTGAAAGGACTTGTTACATTTTGAATGCTTAACAGGACAGGAAAATGGTCCAGTTCACACACTTATCAAGAGAACGTCTCTTGTCATCCCTACGGCCTCTGATCTGGTGGACTCACTAAACACAAATGGTTCGTTTGTAAATTATGACTGAGTGTTGGAGTGTGCCTCTGGCTATCAGTAAATAAAAAACAAGAAAATTGTGTGATCTGATTTGCTTAGTATAAGGAATTTGAAATGATTTGTACTTTTACTTTTGATACTTAAGTATATTTTAGCAATTACATTTACTTTTGATACTTAAGTATATTTAAAACCAAATACGTTTAGACTTTTACTCAAGTATAATTTTACTGGGTGACTTTCACTTTTACTTAAGACATTTTCTAATAAGGTATCTTTACTTTTACTCAAGTATGACAATTGGGTACTTTTTCCACCACTGGTTTTTACTGATATCAATTCAGGATCAGTAAATCAATCGGTAATGGTATTTCCGAAAAATCTGTAATGGATTTTCCGCAATTGAGTTGGCTGCAATGGGAAACCATAGTAGTCACAAACCACAGTTGGGTTAACATTTACATTTGAGTCATTTAGCAGACGCTCTTATCCAGAGTGACTTAAATTAGCAATTTGGGTTAAGTGCCTTGCTCAAGGGCACATCGACAGATGTTCACCTAGTCGGCTCGGGATTCGGACCAATGACCTTTTGGTTACTGGCCAAGCTCTCTTAATCGCTAGGCTTCCTGCAAGCCCCACAAATTGCATTTTTGTTCCCCCCCCCAGTTTTATCATTGAAATGTGATACAAACCGAGGCAATGGTGTGCTTTAGGACCATGCGGACGCATCCGAGCGGTCGGGTAGGCTGTTTGGAGTGTTTATCTGACTGAAAACATATATATATATATGTCCCCCCCACTTCTAAAACCAAAGTTGCGCCCCTGGTATTTTCATTTGATTGTCAAACAAATCACTTAGAAAAGTAGGCTACCTGTGCATGTTCCTCCACTCCTAAATAATCCCAGCATCCAAACTGCATATATATGCCCATTGATGAATTGAAATAGACATCTGTTACAAAAATACAAAAAGTCTGCCTAATGACATTCAGAGATTGTCATTGATTAGGCCTACATTAATTGATGCATCTTGCTGACAAATTGACATTTTTTGTAGCCAAAAATAGGTGAGTAAACTCTGATTGCCGGTAGCGGTGAAAAAAAGAAACGCTCCCTATACTTTCAATGCATTTGTCAGAAAAAGGCGTTTACCCTCCACTAGGCCTACACCACCGCCAGTAGCCTACCATCTCAGCCAAGGCAATTTTAAACACAGGAACACACGCCGAATAGGTAGCCTACATTCAATATAATACATGAGTTGAATCAAATTATGTTTTACACCCTAGTTCATGAGTTGTCCATAATTCATGAGTTAATGCTTCGAGTCTTCACAGATCGTGTGACATAAAACACTACCTTTCTTTCCTTACATTAATGACAGTGTTATTTGTCATTTTTAAGCATTTAACAATTGAATTAGAACATTGAACTTCAACCCTGTATGAATCATGGATCTTTGAGATCTCTGAAAATACACTGTATGTGTAACTATGCCTACGTAACATTTCATTATGTTTCGCCGTGAAAACAGTTCTCATGGGCACACAAATCCAAAATAATGTAGTCCTATGCCATTGCAAAATCGAATGCTTCTAACAGAAAGAGTCAACTATAGGCCTACTGTCAGTAACGTATACTTGTTGGATGGATTGGATGCGCATTGGTGTCTAGCTATAGGCTAGTTGTCTAGTGATATTGTCGACCATCATCAGGTGATCCAGGAAAGACAATTATTATTGACAGAAAATAATAAAGCTAAATGGTCTACTACTTCTGGCCACGGATGGCACGGAGAACACCAGTACCCGCGTGCACCTGAAAAACAAAACAATGAGTTCTCTAAACAGCTGACTGACAAAATCAAACAAGTATAAATCAACTGAGAAATCTAATGCATTGGAATAAAGGCAATGTTTTATCAAGGACGCATGGCAAACAAATGGCAAAAATTAGGAAGTACAAAGGAAAATATGCGTGAAGGGCTTCAGCTGAGGCTGAAATTCAGCCCTACTGTGTGGACAGTGCAGCCACATAGAAATACATGGTTTAAACCATGACAGAAGCTTTTATTTCATTGGAAGCTTTTATTTTCATATTTACCACAGTAAAACATATTTACCACTACATTTTAAACAAATAGGAGAATAGTTAAATTACTATTACTTAGAGTAGTAGTCATTGTGCATAGAGTTGTATGGTTTGTTCAACTTTGAAATCAATGTTTGGCACATATTTTAAGTGAAAAATCAGAGTCTCTGCGCAATTCCGTTACTGTGGAATTGCCCAGTAACCTCTTTAGTAGTAGGCTAACTCTGAAGTGAGGTGATCCATGTATTACAGCTTATTCTCTCTTTCTCCCCCCCCCTCCCTCTTAGGCTGGCGTTCGCTCTGTGTTGGCGGGGGCGGGGCCAGGGCCAGGAGGTGCCAGTGACGTGTGTTTCTTCTGCAGTAAGCGTGTGTACGTGATGGAGAGACTCAGTGCTGAGGGACTGTTCTTCCACCGGAGCTGCTTCCAGTGTGACCACTGCAGCTCCACCCTCCGCCTGGCCTCCTACGCCTACGACCGGCCTAACGGTGAGCCCCTGAGAGTGAGGGATGAGAGTGAGAAAGGGGAGAGTCCTGGCGGGGTGAGGGCAGGGAGAGAGGGTCACTGAGCACCATAGAGTTAAAAGTGGGTAACTCTAATGAATGACAAGGGCTGCCCTACCACACACACACACTGAAAATACCACTACCAGCCCAGCATGGTCTTGGCACTGCAACACCACCACAACTTTTGATATGCTCGACCACAACTTGTTGTGTTATCTTGAATGCAGCTCTGACCTGCAGTTTATGAGGGTCAGTGACACTCAATCACTCTGATTTTACACTGATTGCTCCAATATGCCCTCAGGATTGATGTTACACCGCCTGATCACTTTGTAAGGCTTCCAGGTTATCAGCAGACCAGAGACCAACTCAGTTAACACATGATGAACACAAACTCAGTGTGTCCCTTACTGCACCGTTGGGGCCTGGGGCTCCCTGGACTGACTGTGTGGTTGTTTATCTTTGAGTGTGTGTGTGTGTGTGTGTGTGTGTGCGTGCGTGCGCGTGTGTGTGTGTGTGTGCGTCGGGGTCTCAAATTACTGTAGAATACAGAAGGTGCAAGTAAAAAATGTGGTTGTGCATCAGCAGTTTTTCTCTTGTTATGTCAGTCACTGACAGTCACTCAATTAGCCATGTCAGCTAACAATTCTTAGATTTGTAAGTTAGTCTAGCCAGCTATCTAAACTTGTAGTAATCAAGGCCGAATACCGACTGCATGCAGGGCCCGTGCACAGGGGCCCTGACCTCCAGGGTCCCCCCATTGATTTTGTTAGTCACTCTCACTCAGATATCATTAACATGGCATAAGTCACGGCAAAATGTGTAGAATTGCAGGAAATAAACTTTAAAACTGCAAACATTTCTCTCCACCCCATGGCAAAATGTAAAATATGCTGTATAATTGCAACATTTTCTCTCTGCCCCATCGCAAAATGGGTAGAACTGCAGGAAATTAAATGTAAAACTTAAATGTTTCTCTCTGCCGTCAATAGGAGGGCCACCAAAATGTTTTGCCCACGAAGTGGGGGTGGCCCCCCAACCAAATCTCACTTAGGGCCCACAAAAGGCTATGGTGTTTGCGTGTGTGCATGCCTGCTTGCGTGCGTGTGACTGTGTGTATTGTATCTCTTAGAGATGTGCTGTGTGTTTGTAAATGGAGGAGGGGGGGGGGACAGATACAAAATATGTCAGTGATGTCATGTCAGGCGCTGATCTCTAAGTTTAATTCAAACCCTTCAACCAATCAGGGATGAGGTGTCACGTGATAGCCGTTTGAGTGTGAGGCAGGAGAGGAGTGTGTGTAGGGTAGACTATATATGAAGTGGTCTGTCAGTGTAGGGACCAGATCGAGTGTGTCTTCCTGTTATTCTGTAGACCGGCGCTGTTTTCTATGGAGGAGTCACACTGTAAGACACAACTCTATTTAATTCTCGCCATTCCTTTCCGGGAAGCTGAGACATGTAGCTTTTCCTCAAGATCTAGGGACACTGTTTTCTTGTGTGGAAATGTAAATAAGATTTAGCTGAAGATAGTTCTACTGTAGTTAGATAACACTTAGTTTTTGTTTAAAGTTCTTCTGTAAGATGCATGGGAGCTGCAGATCTTAGTGTAGTGAGGTTCTAAAACTGCTTGGATTCTGTGTGTAGAGCGGTTCTATGTATAGTGTTCTAACACATTGGTTCTGTGTGTAGGGAAGTTCTACTGTAAGCCGCACTATGACCTCCGTCTGGTTGGGCCGGTCCAGAGGAAGAGACCAGCCCCTCCTACCGCCGACCAGCCCCCAACCCCCTACGGACGAACCCCCTCTCAGCGGACCCTCCTGGTAAGGACTTCTGCCTTTCCCCTCATCTTCTGGCTAAATGGAAGCTCTTGGCTGACCTGGGTTTTCATCTAATTCCTGATATTTGTATAGACATAGCAATTAAGGTTTCATTTCATTGACGAGCTCTCTCTCTCTCTCTGTATATTATGTTGTTCTGAGGAGAATACGTTACGTACTGTATGTATGAGGTTTTCTGTAGATCAATACACTGATCCTTGGAATTCTTTGGGGTAAAATACTATTTTTTCTTTGCTCCCTCCTTAGCAGGAATCCCCAGCTGCTCTGTCCACTAACCCTCGCTCCTCAGTAGCTGTGGTGACAGCAGATCGCAGGTCCTCAGGTAAGCCAAGAGGTTCATGTATCTGTCATGTGTGTGTTTTCAGTCGTAATGCTTGTGACGTGTGTGTTTGTGCACAGAATGTGTTTCTTAGTGACGCCGCTGAGTGTGTAAAGAATGTCCTGAGTGTGCAAAGAATGTGACATTGACTTTGGCTAAGTGTGTGTCTGTGTGTGTGTGTCTGGTGTGTGTGTCTCAGTGGCGTCTCTGATTGGGAGTGGGTCCGGCTTGGTAAAGCTTCTATGTGTGTGTGTGTGTGTGTGTATGTGTGTGTGTGTGTGTGTGTGTATGTGTGCGCTCAGTGGCATCTCTGATTGAGAGGGAGTGTGGCTTGGCTAAGCGCGTGCGCGGCACGCCAGAACGTATAGAGCTGGAGAACTACCGTGTGAGCCTAGAGACTGAGCAGCTAACAGATGAGCCGGAGGAAGTGCCAGAGGAGATGCTGGCCAATTACAACCTCAGTCTGCTGGTGACAGAGGAGAAGAAGGCTAATTACAAGCGCAGCCCGTTGCAGGACAAGAGAAACGAGGGCTCCAGGTCAGCATTACAAAAACAAACATTTATCTTTATTTCTATCTAGCGTGTCCTCTCTCTCCCCCTCTTTCTCTCCCCCTCTTTCTCTCTACCCCTTTTCTCTGGTACACACACTTACACACATGGACACACACACACTAATTGCTTTCCTCTCTCCTCATAGTTCAGAGTCAGAGATGGAGGAGGAGGGGGAGAGGCAGCGGACTTTAACCAATGACCTGGCTAGAGACTCCTGGAGGAAGGCCATGGAACTACACGCACACCTCAGAGGAGAGAGAGGAGAAGAGGAAGAAGAGACAGAAGAAGGAGAGGAGGAAGGAGAGGTTGATGAAGATGATGATGAGGAGGAGGAGTTATCTAGTGATGGTAATTGTGCCTTTTTCTCTGTTTTCATGTGTGTGTCTCTCTATGTGCTGTCAGTCAGAAAGATTTGTTTTTAGACTAGTTTCCTTTCCTTTCCTCTCTTTTGTTCTCTGTTCTGGTCTCTCAACCCTCTTTCTCTCTGTATTTGTGTCTGTGTGCCCCCCCTCCTTCCCTCCCTGTCCGTCTGTCTATCTGGTGTGTCTCCCCCTGCTGGTAGAAGGGGAGTACTGTCCGTGGGAGAGGGAGCGTCACTCAGGTCTGTGGCTCCTCCCTCTAGAAGAGGTGGAGGAGACAGGTAGCACCGCCACAGGAGAGAAAGCTAACAAAACATGTTTATTTTTATTATGGTACTTGTTTTGTTACTAACTATTTTGCATGTTTTGTTGTGTCATTGAGCATAATGACAAACTAGTAGGCCGAAATTACAGTAACTTCCCCAAATGAACTTCCCCACCTATTGCACCCCATGGACTTACACAAGGGATTCTTGCACCACTGTCTAATGGCTTTGGTGGCTGTGGTTGCCCAAACCTTACTACTAATATCCTTTGCCTCATCAAGTCTACGGTGTTGCCAAACAACGACAAAAAAAATAACATAACACCTACTCTTGCTCAATGCCAACTGTGGCTCACAAGCAATATTTTCTGTAAGACACAGGAGGTTGCTATCTAGTTTTCTCAGGAGGGATTCTGACTTTCACTTTACTTCCCCTCCCTCCCTCCCTCCCTCCCTCTCTCCCTTCCCTCTCCCTTACTCCCCTTACTACTCTCTCTCCTCCTCCCTCCCTCTCTCTTTCCCCCTCCCTTTCTCTCTCTCTCTCTCAGAGGAAAGATCATCGTTGGATGAGTGGCAGCAGAGCACACACTCTCCAGACACACACTCTCCAGACACACACTCTCCAGGCACACATTCTCCAGACACACACTCTCCAGACACACACTCTCCAGACACACACTCTCCAGACACACACTCTCCAGACACACTCATGCCTGACATACACACGCCTGACATACAACTGCCTGACTCGACAACACCCGACACAAACGGTCCACAGAGCCCCACCAGCGTACCCAATAACACCTTCTCCACTCCAGCCACTGCCTCAACACCATTCACACCCACACCCACGTCCTCTGTCTCAATTCCAGACTCCTCTGTCTTTACCTACTCCTCCCCCAACTCCTCCACCACCTCTGGCTGCTCCCCTGGTCCGGACGAGGGAGAGGAGGATGGGGAGGAGAAAGAGAAGAAAGAAAGGAAGGAGAGAAAAGAGCGAGAGGAGAGGGAGAAAGGGGGGAAGGAGAGGGAGAGGGAGAGGGTGCGTGACCCCAGCAGTAGTTTGGGGATTGGTGTGGGCGGGAGCTCCACCCCTCCCTGCATCCCTCCCCCCGCCCAGCTCAGGGCATGCTGGGATAGCCTGCCCTGCCCTTCTGTGGAGGCGGAGTCACTGCAAAGCCCCGCACCTCGCCCCGCCCCTCGATTTGCCCCCGCACCTATCATGGCGTCGGCTGTTGTGCGGGGGGTCGGGGGAAAGAAACTGAAACCGTGGGACGTGGGTGGGGGAAGGAGGTCTATTGCGGGGGGATCTGTTGGAGGGGGGTCTGTTGGGGCGGGGTCTCTTGGGGAGCAGCTGTATAAGGATGAAGGAATAGACCCCTTAGAGGACATCAGCCCCCCCTTGTCCCCTCTGAAGCCCCTTAAGGCAGTGCCCAGAGACGAGAGAGAGATGGAGAGGAGGAGGGAGATAGAGAGAGCAGCCATGGGGGTGGGCTGGGAGGACACGAAGATTCCCCTAGGAAGGGAGCCTCTCCCAGGGAAGAGCAGGGACGGTCTGGACCCCCGCAGACTCACAGAAAGCCTGCCTCCCCTCCTCCTCACACAACTCCAGGGGGGCTCCCTCTTCCCTCCACATAAGAGCCGCAGGGACAACCAGCCCCCCAGCCAGAGTGTGCCTGAAGCGGGCATAGGAGAGGGTGGACCCCTGGGCCTGTGGAGAGCTGTCATCTCTGGCTATAAGAGGGACAGGAAGAAGAAGGGCAGGACTTCCCTTCCCAATACGACAACAGCCCCAGCCCCCAAAGAGCAGGGCAGGAGGAAAACTTCTGCAGAGAGAAGAGGTAACACACATACACACACACACACACACTGGTGATCTGGTATAGTGATTTCCTATGGTGAACCTCTGTGTTTGTGCAGGTGTGAAGTTCAGGGAGCGCCAGAGCTGGTCGGAGCCGGAGGAGTCAGACATCACCTGCTCTGTTGTGATGGAGAGATGCTCCATGAACCCCAAGGCCAACGTGAGAACATCACTACTAACACTACCGCTGATCTTAGAGCAGCAGGTTGACATTACACTACAGTTCTGACTGTGGGAGTCAGTGATGTCACTACAGACCTCTGTTCAGCTCTACAACTCTGTGTATGCCAGCAATGACATATTTACAGCGATTGTTTGGAGGAAATTCATTCACACTATAGGAGGCTGATGTCATATGTGTTAGGGGATATCTGGTCTTTGTTGGTTACCATATCATCTCCTGTCTTCAGAGGCACAGGTAAATGTTTTAATGGATGAATGTTTTTAGCTTCGTCTGGAGCTGTTTGACCTAGCGTCAGAACTTCAGAAAGAAACCATTGAGGAGGAGGAGGAGGAGGAGGAGGAGGAGAATGAGGAAGTGGAGGTATACTACTTTGTGGCAGTAGAATGAAGGCTGTTGTGTCCTAGTCTAGTTAGAGATAGTTACAGTAGAGTTACTGAGAGAGGTTACGCTTTTCCCATTGTGTAGATGGGTCGTTTATAGCTGTAATAAATAGTTTGTAAGTTCCGATTAGAGGACGTTTTGTGTGAACTATACATACTATATATTGTGTGCCCTATTTTGATAGTTTTTTGGTCTTCATCTTTCCAAGTCTGCATATGTGCCTCATGCCTTGGCCTTTAAGAGGGCGTATGCCATTAAGGTAGTGTGAACATTCCCATTTGGTTGCATCAAGCCGTTCTGTGCTCTGTGCTGTGTCCTTACCATCCCTAAACTTCAGTAGTGTGTGTACTAAGAATTTGCTGCTATGGCCCGAATCTTAATGGTGTGTGTGTGTGTGTGTGTCTGTGTGCGCGCATGCTATGTATGATTCTCTCTCCTACAGAGGCACGTGGGGAAGGAGAAGGAGCGGGACAGCTCCCGCCATATGGATACACAGCGGAAACCATCGTGCCCTACGGAGGTGGTGGGGGTACTGGTGCACATGAAGGACCTGAAGGACCCGTCCAGCCTGGATGTGTCAGAGGCCATGTTCCACAGAGACAGAGACCCAGAGGAGGAGCAGCTAGATGCCAGGTTAACACGCAGAGTACAGAGAGCAGCACGCAAACAGGCCAAACAGGAGCAACTCAAGAGACTGCACAGAGCCCAGGTAGGATGCAGGTTTATAATGTATGTGTGAGTGTGTGTAGAATTTGTGTGAGTGCGTATGATTTGTTTAAAGCCTCATTGATGTTGTAGATGGCGTTAACATGCATCTTTTATCTTTTGTCCTGATCTTGTTCACATTCTGATTGTGCCCACATTTTCAGAAATATGTCAAGTCATGGTATTAAAATATCTTATATCCGTCCACTGTGTCCGTGTTGTGACCAGATTTCCTGGTCCCTCCCTGTATGCAAATTATTTGACAGCTATTCTTTCTTTCTTTATATTGATGCCATAAGTCAATGGTGCCACCTGTCAATGATTTTAGAAGGCGGGATAGTAATTTTTTTTAAAAAATCACTGTCCAGATCCGTCTACACTAAGATATCCAGACACCATGGCTGCATTTACACATGCAGACCCATTCTGATCTTTTGCCCAATTATTGGCACAAGAGCTGATCTGATTGGTCAAAAGACCAATTAGAGGAAACATATCAGAATTCGGCTGCCTGTGTAAACACAGCCAGTGCGTGCCTGACTACCTCAGGAGGTGGTCAGGAAGATCAGATCACAATGCATATTTTTATCGTCTACACCTGTCTGAAAATGTGGGCCAATCAGAATGTGGACAAGATCAGGACAAATAATGCATGTTAGAATCAGGTATAAACAGGGCTTGAGTGTATAAAATGTGCATGTGCCAGATGATCCAAAGGCAGTTGGAGCAGGTGGAGGAGAAGCAGAGGCAGCTGGAGGAGAGGGGTGTGGCTGTGGAGAAGGCCTTGAGAGGGGAAGCAGGTAAACAAACACTATTTACACAACTGTTTGACATCATGGTTTGTTTTACCTATATTACTCTTAGTTAGTTTGACTAAGCAAATGATCAGTGTACATGTGGTCATCTCCCTGGAATGTTCTCATTATAGACTACTGGGGAGAGTCGAATGACAGTGAAGAGATGGACTTACACCTGGGAGGTATGTACCTCATACTATGCTGTATTCCCTCCAGTGGAGGCTGCTGAGGGGAGAACGGCTCATAATAAAGGCCAGAACGGAGCAGATGGAATGGCATCAAACACCTGGAAACCATGTGTTTGATGCCATTCCACTGATTCCACTCCAGTCATTACCACGAGCCCATTCTCCCCAATTAAGGTGCCACCAACCTCCTGTGATTCCCTCCTACTATTCATTACCCTCCAATCTAACCCCTGGTTCCTTACACTCCTCTCCTTCTCTCTCTCTATCTCTCTTTCTCTGTCCCCCCTCCCTCCCTCCCACCCTTCCTCTATTTCCATCTTCCTCTCTCTCATTTAGTCATGGGCAGGCAGGATGACCCAGCTCTGATGCAGCAGTGGTTCAAGCTGGTCCAGCAGAAGAACTGTCTGATGCGCTATGAGTCAGAACTCATGATATTGTGAGTATCTATCTGACCTTTGACCCCCTATGTCACCACTGGACTCTGTGCTTTGTGCTGCCCAAATGTATGATTAGTATGAGCGCTTATGACGGAATGGCACTATGTAGTATGCCTGGGCGCAGTATGCAATTATCTGAGTCAATCAGTGTCTCTGAGCTCTACACTTTGGACTGACATGGTCTCCATGGTGACTGTCTCTCCCTCAGTGCTCGGGAGCTGGAGTTGGAGGACAGACAGAGCCGTCTTCAACAGGAGCTCAGAGAGAGGATGGCCGTGGATGGTATGAACACTCATACACATGCAAACACACACACACAAAAGTCATACTGTACCATAACGCTCTTAATAGATTCTCTGTTTTCAGCCTTCTCTCACTCCCTCTCTCCTTCTCTCTCAGACCACCTGAAGGGTGAGGCGGAGCTGGCTGAGGAGAAGCTAATCCTGGGGGAGATGTTGGAGGTGGTGGAGCAGAGAGATGCTCTGGTGTCTCTGCTGGAGGAGCAGCGGCTGCAGGAGAGCCAGGAGGACAGAGACCTGGAGGCCATCATGCTGTCCCGGGGCCTGGGCCTGCACAACTGGGCCTGAGCTATATCCCGCAGCCTGGGCCTGCACAACTGGGCCTGAGCTCTATCCCAGGACCTGGGCCTGCACAACTGGGCCTAAGCACAGACACGCACGTCACTTCCCCTCTAAAGCTGCGATCAGGGTCATGGTTGTGAGGTCACTTCCCCTCTGATACAACGTCATGACCAGGATCAAGGCGGGACTGTGTCTGGATGATCTGTTTTTAGGATTGGAGATGTTTCCCCAATCCCCACTGCTACACCCATCCTGCTACATCCCAGACTCACTGACTGATGGTTCTCTAAGACTGATGGCTCTATGCTCTCTATACTCACCCAGGCTGTTGTTATGGCAATATGTGGCATGTTTGAATGATTTGTATTGTTATTTATTAACAATTTTGAAAAATGTATATTATGTAAAAATAAACAATACTAATTTTTTGTAACCTTTTTTAATATTACATTAATTATATTTTACTTCATACATTGGATAATAAAGACATTCTGACATCATGTTGTAATGTTTGAACATTTGAGATGATATAGGGGACAGGAAGGGAGGGAGACCTGGGGGTGGGGATTCCAGTGAGCTAGGGAGGGAGGGGAACTTTTCATGCAGTCTGCCTCCTGCACAGGTGTGGATATTGTGTTCAGTCAGAAATAGCTGCTGAGATTACTCTCAACTTGTTCACTACTTTCTGAACCTGCCACTTGTATAAAGGGGAGTAGCAAGATACAGTATGTGAAGGAGTTTGTGGCTCTGGGGTTAAATATTTGCCTTGAAGCCAAGAGGTTGTGGGTTTAAGTCTAATTTCCTGTGCTTTTGTTTCTGCTAATGTTAAATAAATGGAAATAACTATTCCAGGTTTGAGTCTGTGGCTCTGAGGTTAAATCCCTGCCTTGTGGCCAAAGAGTTGTAGGTTCAAAACACCTGTTTGTGTGGATTTCTTCAATTCTCAATGTCAAAAATACAGAGGGAAGGAGTCTGTGGCTTTGGCCCCAAAAAGTACAGGGTTGTAGGCATGAACCCAGGTAACTGCTCTGGAGCATGGTTGGATAATGAGGACTTTACTGGTCAGTGAGTCAAGGCCACCTGAGGGAGTGGCTGCCACACAATGATGGCTGATTGGATGGGGGGCAGTGGTGTTGGCTGGATGGGAGTAGAGGCGAAGAGGGTAAATTCCTTGGTTTCGAAAATGTGGACAGCAGTGGTTATGAAGAACATTGCCTTGAAAAAGTGGGCACTCATTTTTTTTATTGAGATCAATGCGTATCGCGGAAGTTCAGCACTAAAGCACAATTTAAAGGCAATGTTTCCGCGTTGGCAGAGACTGCATTTAACGCTGCATATGTCGGCCTTAATCGGAAATTACTTTAAAATGTATATTGCGCAATCTGTAACACTTCAGCGACACAGATTGAATAGGGCCCTTCATTTTTTAATATAGAGAAGTCTCTATTTTAAAAAATAAGCGCCCAGTTTTTCTCAATAACCGCTGCTCATTGAATCTTTGAGTAGCATCCCCTGGTTCTGATTTAACGCATTCCAGTGCTGCACACAGGGCTTTAACCCATGACCTGTCATTGGAGGGCAAGCTCCTTACCCGTGTGGCAGCCGTGGATTCTTTGGCTAAACGGCCCTAAACCGTTTCCCATGCGTTGTCAATGGCGTTTCTAAACCAACCCGGTTGTAATATAATTCCGGCCACTGGTTGGTTTTGTGGCGCTAGTCTGATTTACCCATAGGGGATGATGTAAACAGGAAGAGCTAGCAAGCTAATATTAGCTAGTGAGTCACAGAAATGTACGTTCAGCCTGTTAATGTCTTACTTAATCAGCATGGCTTAACATAGTTTCTTTCGTTTTTGACCTCGACATTCTTGCTGGATAGATAGTTTGATAGCTAACATGTTGGCGCTGCTAGCTAACCTCCTATGTGGATGCCTCCATCTAGTTCCCAAGAGCAACAGACCGTGACGTGGAAAATTATCACTATACTTATTAAAAATCAAAGTTCTTCCAGAGTTTTTGTAGAATCAAGATATACTTTATTACATAGAGCAACAAAAGCCGAGCTGGTCTGCAGAGCAACTACAACACTCGGCCCTCAGTTTATATACAATGTCCATTCCTGTTCATTTTACATACTTTTTAGCTTAAACCCTCCCAGTTCAGTTCTCCACTTCCAAACTTTCATCTTTTGACTGCTCCACCCACTCTCTTAATTTATGATAGTGGCGAAATCTGACTTCTCCTCATATATTTATTTAGTTTGGATAAAATGGTGGCCAAACCAAACTTTCTAATGTAAAAAATAACAGAGCCATCTCCCGGCTCTGCTCTGTTTATTCCAAAACCCATCAATCGATACTTGAATATGGTTTAAACATAGCAGATCCATAACCCATTCTCAACCATATACATTTAAGACTTTCCTAATGCATTGCCTCATATATAACAGTATAATCAATCAAGAGCCATCTCCTGACTCTGGCTCAGACTCCCTCCTTGTGGACCACTCGGTACCACACTCCACATCACTTAGTCTTATTGCCTCATCCTCTGTACCACTATGTACCACTGCTTGTCTTTATAATTAGCTATATGGTCTGACCTTGGGTACCACTCGTTACCATAGCTCTGTATGGTCTACTGAAAAAATACCCCACAACCGGTAAGTCAACTTTGCTTTCGAACTTTGTAATCATCTGTAAAGTTGTTTTACATGAAATTATACTAGCTAGCTAGATATATATATTTTGTTTAAAATCCTGTTGATGTCATTGGTTATTTCTTTGGAGTTAGCTAACTAAGCTATCACTAGCTACCTAGGTGGTTAATGTGGTGTATAGTATGCTACAGTACCGTTACAGTATTACTGAATGACAACTGTGGGGATCTAGATGTGATGACTAGCTTAGAAATAATGCATTAATGATTAAACATAAAGGGTTTGTACTGTACTGATATAAAATGTTTCACATAACAAGCTGTGATTCATGTGAGGAACGTTAGGGGGTAGGATGAGATAAGACTTGTATTTCTCACAGACACGAACACTGCCTCTTTGTGATCTGTGAACCGTCCAAGGACGTGTACTGCAAAAAGGTGCTGACTCTACAGGTTGTGATGATAACAACTTATGCCTGGCAACAGTGTGCAACAGTGGAGCGCCAAGGGTCTGGGACCAGCCTGTGCGCCAACGGATAGGCTGAGTAAGTCTAAACCACGCTCAGTCTCTACTCTGATTGGCCAGCAGGGAGCGGGAACTATCTCTGTCAGAGTATTTGAAGAAGAACTTAGAACAATGGATCAGTTCTCTGAGTGCCCTGCGTGGCATTTCAGTGGACCCGTATATACGAACATCATATTTACCATTGAAGTGGTTTGCATTAATTAAAATACTAGCCAGATACACACACAAACGTAATTAATTTTTTGCATTGTATTTATTATGGATCCCCATTAGCTGCTGCCAAGGCAGCAGCTACTCTTTCTCGGGTAAAGCAAAATTAAGGCAGTTATACAATTTTAAAAACATTACAATACATTCACAACACATTAAGTGTGTGCCCTCAGGCCATTCCTCTACTACCACATATCTAAATTATACATCCTTCAATTCAAATTCTGCTTCCTGTGGGGTGTGGCAAATTCAAATTCATTGTTTGAATTGAATTGAATTCAGAAATTCAGAATTGACCCCAACCCTGCTCGACGAATCACAAACCTTAATGTAAAAACAAACAGAAACAAGCCAATTCTGAATAGCTGCCAAGCAAAGTAGAGACAGTTATAAAAGGTGGGGGTGTGACTGGAAGCTTCTCTCTAGATTTCTCCGTCATTTTGGGCAATGGTAATAACGCCGGTCTCTGAGTGCTTCCGGTGGGATTCCAATTAGAATCAGGTGCTCTTGCCGGTGTCCACCTTCAGGTCCTTGGCCACCAGATTGGCCGTTACCGGGTGCATGGCTGCCCGGTTGGCTATGAACACACGCACCGCCTCCTCACGATACTTATCAAAGTTATACACCTCTCTAAAAGAAGGGAGGGAGAAAGACAGGGATTAGGTAGAACACACGTACAAAAGGGTCCGTAAGTAAGAGAATAGGACTCATCATGTTTTTAACAAGATGCTGCCTAGAAATAATTTGATCCAGAAAGCACAACAACAACACATGGCATCTAATAACAGAGATTGTCTCTCAGATAGTGGCGCCGTTGGTTACTTGAAGAGTGGCCTTGTGAACTTCATCCTTCCCTGCTCTGTCGCCATCTTCAGCGCCATGGGAATGGCATCCTCCCACTTGGACTTGACACACAGCCGCAGCCACCTGGAAGAAGGGAGCCAACAGTGTGAGACAATGATACACATACAAACACTTTGCCTGTACATACTGCATGATGGGACTCCAGAACTCACCTGAAGCGGATCTCTGCGTTGATGAAGGCGTTGAGATGGTACACTTCCTGCATCCTCTTCACATGGCTGAGGGGGAGGGGCTCCTAGGGGGAGAAGATATTGTCATTGGTCTGCTTTGGATTCGGATAGAACGATCACATGGCTTATGGAAGATTGCTATGATGACCAGGTGAGTGACAGTGAGGCGTGTCTACCTCTTGCAGGAGCAGAGACAGGAACTCTATGAGCTGGTGGGTGGAGAGAGTCTTCACATCCACCTCACTGAAATTCCCCAGATCCCCCTCTTTGGTCTAGAGGGAGAGAGAAATTAACATACAGTAATACTTCTAAAAATGCTATGTTCTATCATCATGAGATTCTATAACATACACATTATCAATGTGGAGCATGTATCCTCACCTTCACCCATCTCTTACACAGTGCGATGCAGGCATCTGCCATGGTGGTGTCGTATCTGGGGGAGGAGGGTGGCATCGATTTAACACACACCTCAGATTGAGTGGACAGGTAAACAGTGACACAGCTAAAAACAGACCCACAAAATAACAGTAGTGTGGCTCAAAGGTGTAACAGCCAGCCAGGTGAGTGATTCTCAAGTGAAATGGTTAGGTAAGGTAAACCCACTGTGGTTTGACGGGGGGCATCCCAGGGGTGTGCATCCAGGCGTTCCAGTCCACCTTATTCAGGATGTCCACCTGAGATCGGATAGGGAGCAGTAAAGGTGAAACAGAGAGAAGTTCAAGAGCCACAGCAAGGGGCTTTGATAGCAACTTGGTTAGGTGGAGAGTGGTGGTTACTGTACCTTGTTCTTAAAGTAGGTGAAGAGGTAGTTCTTCCACTCCTCAGTAGTGACGCTGCTGTAAGCAAACAGCTGGATGTATGACTTCACAAAACCCATAAACACCTCTGTAAGAGACACAGCCAATTACATGAAGCAAGTGACTTTTTTTTTAAACTGAATGAAATGCAACTGTGTATGTGTGTGTCTCTCACCAGGTCCTCCCATGAGCTCCTCCAGGTGGTAGAGAAGAGCGAAACCCTTCTCGTAGGGAACAGAGGAGAAGGCATCGTCAGGGTCCACCTCATTCAGGTTGGGAACCAGGTTGGTCAGAGGGTTGTTGGCCCCAAACGTGTTCACCTGGGAGACAGAGGTAACAGATCAGATAAGGTCGGGCATACACAGTTGCACACGCACGCACGCACACAGGCACGCACGCACGCACACACGCACGCAGACACACACACACACACACACACACACACAGGTATAAATGAACAGGTAAGTGGCTTGTCTTTCAGTGAAGTCGGACACATTACTTTAGCCTTGTTCACACTGCTGGCCTCAATGCTCAAATCAGTTTTGTTTTTCAAATCCGTTTTGGAATACTGACTGTCCAAACAGCAAGTTACAAGTGACCAAATCATATTTCTGTGTGTTCAGACAGCAGTCATTTTCTCACATCTATGCTAGTTGTCATAGTAACAAAGGGTGTGTGCACAGTGGTGTAGGCTGATTGGTGGTGGTGCTCGTGCTTCCTATCACTCAGAAGTTATGTAGCAAGCTAAGGTGACAACAAAGCCTGCCATGGACGTTTCCCAGTTGCTTTGAATGATCAAAATCATAGTGTTAGAACACATTTAAAGCCTCAAATTATAAGATCTAACTTTCAAAACAAGTCCTTTTTGGTTAGCCACAGCAGTCAACTAGCTAGCTAGGTAGCCGTTTAGCTCTCCAGCACATTCACTAATTTGTTTGTAAACAATTAACAAGCTAGTTAGCTACCACATGTTCTTGTCAAACTGTAGTCAAACTGTAGCTAGCAAGCAACAAGATATGCCAAATAAAAACCACTTGAGAGCAAATTAATCCGATTTGACCATTTACATACAAGTCGCATGGCCAGGAATCAGATGTATATCTGACTTCAAATCACCTACGAAAGATGGTTTGAAATGTGACTTGAAATAACCGATTCCATGTGCTTTTTGGCTGTTCAAACTCAGGAAAAATTTGAGTCACTTCAAACTGACAATATGAACAGGGCTTAAGTGTACTTCTGTGTGTACCAGGGTGTTACAGTGTACTCATGCATGTGTGTTCTCTCACCGATTCCTGCAGGTCCTTCCAGCCGCCCATGGCCTTGAACTGTCTGAACTGTTCACTCTCCATAGACCTGCCAATCATTCTCTCAAGGTACACCGTGTGACCCTCGTTCAGCCTGGAGGAGGAAGGGGCACAGACACTAATTATAAACTCATTAACTCCAGAAAGCGATCTTCCTTTTCTATCTCTCCTTCTCTCCATCCCATTTGGCTGATACTCAGTTATGGCTAATTTGACCATGATAGCATTCCCATTCATTCAAGTGAGAAAAGAACATTGATAGTATGTTTTCTCAGTGTTGTACCAGAAGTGCTCCCAGGTCTTGTTGGTCACCAGGTTGCCAGTCCAGCTGTGAGAGATCTCATGGGCTATGACCTGGAGAGAGAAACAGGAGGACGACACAGGTTAACACACCCATACACAGATATAAACACATACTTGAGAAGACACGTACACCTGTGAACTGTGTTTACTTACATTGGACAAGGATCTGTCTCCAGCCTATAAGATAAACATAGGAACAAAGGAATGTTTAAAAAAAATACACAGGCAGGGGGATTTGGTATAGTGATGTGTGTAAGGTGTCTCACCAGCAGTGTGGGGGTGGCAAAGGTAAGGCAGGGGTTCTCCATGCCTCCATACGGGAAGGAGGGGGGCAGGACCAGGATGTCATACTGGCCCCACACATACGGCCCCGCAAGGTCCTCAGCTGTCTTCAACATGGTCTCTGTCTGAGAGGGTCACACACACATTTAGGCTGACATTTCAATATTAAACTCTGCTGATGTAGGATGAGTGGGACACAGACAAATTACCTACGTACCACACAGATACAGTAAATACTGATAAACTCACCTCTGAGAACTCAAATGCTGCCTTGTCCACAAACTCCTTCTCTGACCAAACACGAGACCTGGGCCCAATCTCTCTTGTAAACAACAAACAAACATTTGTTACTAATATTTCACTGATCATTTATTCATTTAAAATAATGAGTAGGAAAACAGGGCAATAGTTATATATATGGGTGGGTGTGTGTGTGTACCTGCTCTCCAAAGCTCCAACCACGATGGCAATGAGGTAAGAGGGCATGGGCACCTGGGAGGTGTCAAAGGTCAACAATGGTGAAATAAATCAATCAAACACAGCTCCAACACCAGTCTCTGACAATGCATTTCATTCAGATTGCAGGCGTGCTACGACAGTTCCTTTCGTTATCTGGCTGTTTCATCTAAACATTCCTTGTAATTAACTCATTATTGCTTGATCAGCAGCTACTTTGGCAGCGCTGTACCTTGAACAGTCAGGCCAAAAAGCAAGACTGACTGTATTAAGCTATGGATGACAATGGATGGTTGGATGGAGAGATGGAAAGAAACAGTGATAGAGAATAGAGACACTGACTGGTTGTCTGAAGCGGTAGATGACCCGGCTGCTGTCCTGGGGATCAGGCTCCTGTCCGTCCCGTACAGCACTCATCACAGCTACCAGCTCCTTGGGGACAGACACCTGGGCATAGTAGGTGTGTTTCATAGCGGGGGTATCCTGGCAGGGTACCATGCTCCTGCAATGGTTGGCCTGTGTGATGGACATTTCTGTTAAACCTTTATCATGCTTGTGTACTAGAAGCTCTTTCTTTGAACCTAGTTGCTTAGGCATTAACTTTGAGATTATTGATGTAACTAGGTCATATGAGATGGGATTGTGCGTGCATGGGTATGGGCCTGTTTCTAACCATGCTGTGGATGTGTAGCATAGGAACCTAGTTTTAGGGAAGTATGTACATGATGTCTGGGCTCACAGCCAAGAACTGACAGGGACAGAATGCGGTCGGACCACCCCACACCATGACTGACCCACCGCCAAACCGGTCATGCTGGAGGATGTTGCAGGCAGCAGAACGTTCTCCACGGCGTCTCCAGACTCTGTTACGTCTGTCACGTGCTCAGTGTGAACCTGCTTTCATCTGTGAAGAGCACAGGGCGCCAGTGGCGAATTTGCCAATCTTGGTGTTCTCTGGCAAATGCCAAACGTCCTGCACGGTGTTGGGCTGTAAGCACAACCCCCACCTGTGGACGTCGGGCCCTCATACCACCCTCATGGAGTCTGTTTCTGACCGTTTGAGCAGACACATGCACATTTGTGGCCTGCTGGAGGTCATTTTGCAGGGCTCTGGTAGTGCTCCTCCTGCTCCTCCTTGCACAAAGGCGGAGGTAGCAGTCCTGCTGCTGGGTTGTTGCCCTCCTACGGCCTCCTCCACGTCTCCTGATATACTGGGCGGTCTCCTGGTAGCGCCTCCATGCTCTGGACACTACGCTGACAGACACAGCAAACCTTCTTGCCACAGCTCGCATTGATGTGCCATCCTGGATGAGCTGCACTACCTGAGCCACTTGTGTGGGTTGTAGACTCCGTCTCATGCTACCACTAGAGTGAAAGCACCGGCAGCATTCAAAAGTGACCAAAACATCAGCCAGGAAGCATAGGAACTGAGAAGTGGTCTGTGGTCACCACCTGCAAAACCTGTCATTTTTTGGGGTGTCTTGCTAATTGCCTATAATTTCCACCTGTTGTCTATTCCATTTGCACAACAGCATGTGAAATGTATTGTCAATCAGTGTTGCTTCCTAAGTGGACAGTTTGATTTCACAGAAGTTTGATTGACTTGGAGTTACATTGTGTTGTTTAAGTGTTCCCTTTATTTTTTTGAGCAGTGTATATTATAAAAATAAAGCAAACTGGATGGAATATGGAGAAAAATGCACCAAATTATTTTTTCATCTTCAACATAGAAATGCTACCAAAAAGAATTTACTGAAACTGGTTACAAATGACAGAGTCACCAATGATTCACCAAATCATAATTTAAATGATATTTTGAAGGAGGAAGCTAAGTACTTTAAGAATATGTTTTCGATTCAGTCGCCTCCATCTCCTCTAACTGAAGCTAATTGTAGGGATTTCTTTTCTATTGATAATGTAAAATTAACAGCCATACAGAAAGACTCATGTGAAGGTGAAATTACAGAGGAGGAACTTCTGGATGCAATTAAAAATGTTTAAGTCCGGGAAAACTCCAGGGTTGGATGGCATACCAGTCGAGGTATACCAAACCTTTTCTGATATACTCAGAGGACCGTTATTAGCATGTTTTAACCACTCCTATGTAAATGGTAGATTATCAGACACTCAAGAAGGTCTGATTTCATTATTACTGAAACAGGATACAAGTGGGAAATATAAAGATCCAGTCCATTTAAAAAATTGGAGACCCCTTACACTTCAGTGTTGTGATGCAGAAATTCTAGCAAAATGTATAGCGCATAGAATTAAAAAGGTATTGTCGGATATTATTCATTCTAATCAGACAGGTTTTTTACACGGACGATACTTTGGAGATAATATAAGGCAAGTACTGGAAACAATAGAACACTATGAAAAATCTGGGAAACAAGGCCTGCTATTCATAGCAGACATTAAAAAGGCATTTGATAAAGTACGACTGGAGTTTATATATAAATGCCTGGAGAATTTCAATTTAGGAGAATCTCTTATAAAATGGGTTAATATCATGTATAGTAAACCCTAGGTGTAAAATAGTAAATAATGGCTATTTCTCCTAAAGTTTTAAACTGTCAAGAGGAGTAAAACAAGGTTGTCCACTATCGGTATATCTATTTATTATGGCCATCGAAATGTTAGCTATTAAAATCAGATCCAACAATGATATCAAGGGATTAGAAATCCCGGGACCACCCATTCATAAAAAATGTATGCACACATGACTGTAAGTCGCTTTGGATAAAAGCGTCTGCGAAATGGCATATTATGATAAATGTACTATATTACATACTGGATCACAAAAAAATAAAATTTTTACATTACCATGTAGTTTACCAATAAAATGGTCTGATGGTGATGTGGATATACTCAGAATACATATCCCAAATGAAATAAATGATCTCACTTCAATACATTTTAATAGAAAGTTAGCAAAAATAGATAAGATCTTGCTACCATGGAAAGGTAAATACCTGTCTATTTGTGGACAAATCACCCTGATTAACTCATTAGTATTATCCCAGTTTACCTATTTGTTATGGTCTTGCCTACGCCTAGCGAACAGTTTTTTAAATTATATGAGAAAAAAATATTCAATTCTATTTGGAACGGCAAGCCAGACAAAATTAAACGGGCCTATTTATATAATGAAAATGAATTTGGGGGACAGAAATGATTAAATATTAAAGCATTAGACCTATCAATAAAAGCTTCAGTCATACAAAAGTTATACTTAAATCCGAACTGGTTCTCTAGCAAATTAGTAAGATTGTCTCACCCCATGTTCAAGAATGGCCTTTTCCCCTTTATTCAGATTACAACCACTCACTTTGAGTTATTTGAAAAGGAAATCATCTCCCAAATATCACTATTTCTAAAACAAGCCATAGAAAGTTGGTTGCAATTTCAATTTAACCCTCCAGAAACGACAGAAAAAATAATGCAACAAATATTGTGGTTAAACTAAAATATACTAAATTATTTTAAAAAACATTATTTTTTGAGAAATTTAAAAAAAAGGTATAATCTTCGGAAATTATATCATAGGTAGGACTGGTGGGGTTATGTTGCACATGCAGCTAACAAAAACATATGGAAATGTCTGCTCTACCCAAAATTACAACCAAATATTTGCAGCATTACCGCAAAAATGGAAGTGGGAGAAAGTAAGAAACTTGTCTGTCGGCCCTACATTAAAGAACATAATTGGTTAAAGAAAATTGGGATAAATAAAAAAGTATACCAGTTTCATTTGAGGACCAAAGGATTGACAGCCGTCCCATATAGATCGCAAAATAGTTCGGAAGAGATTTTTGACGTACCGATTCCATGGCATAGTGTTTATGAACTGATATGCAAAACGACGCCGGATTCAAAACTTCTAATTTTTCTATTTAAATTATTATACAAAACTCTTGCTACCAATATAATGTTATTTATATGGGGGATATAATCTTCCCAGCTCTGCATATTTTGCTGCGAAGAGACAGAATCATTAGATCATTTGTTTTGGTACTGTCCATTTGTAGCTTGCTTTTGGTCACAGGCTCAAGGAGTGGCTGAAGGATTGCAATATTTACCTGGAGCTAACCCTGCAGATAGCATTACTGGGTGATCTGAAAAGTCATAGTCAATCGATCAATAATATAATAATACTTTAAGCAAAACATTTTATTTTCAATTTACAATCTGTAGAAACAATGAGAATAGAAGGGTTCAGAACTTTTGTGAAACATCACAGTACAGTTGAAAAATATATGGCAAATAGAAATCCAATATGGATGGTGTTAAGAGATAGGTGGGAGGTGTTGAATGGAGCTGAAGGATGGGACTAATAACTAATAACAACAAGATAACTAATGTAAAGCATACTGTGTCCATAATATGTATATAAACTCAGCAAAAAAAGAAACATCCTTTTTTCAGGAACTTGTTTTTCAAAGTTAATTTGTAAAAATCCAAATAACTTCACAGATCTTCATTCAAATCAAATATTATTTGTCACATACACGTGTTTAGCAGATGTTATAGCGGGTGTAGTGAAATGCTTGTGCTTCTAGCTCCGACAGTGCAGTAATATCTAACAATTTCACAACATATCCCAATACACACAAAACTAGTAAGGAATGGGATTTAAGAATATATACATACAGTGGGGAGAACAAGTATTTGATACACTGCCGATTTTGCAGGTTTTCCTACTTACAAAGCATGTAGAGGTATGTAATTTTTATCATAGGTACACTTCAACTGTGAGGGACTGAATCTAAAACAACAATCCAGAAAATCACATTGTATGATTTTAAAGTAATTAATTTGCATTTTATTACATGACATAAGTATTTGATCACCTACCAACCAGTAAGAATTCCGGCTCTCACAGACCTGTTAGTTTTTCTTTAAGAAGCCCTCCTGTTCTCCACTCATTACCTGTATTAACTGCACCTGTTTGAACTCGTTACCTGTATAAAAGACACCTGTCCACACACTCAATCAAACAGACTCCAACCTCTCCACAATGGCCAAGACCAGAGAGCTGTGTAAGGACATCAGGGATAAAATTGTAGACCTGCACAAGGCTGGGATGGGCTACAGGACAATAGGCAAGCAGCTTGGTGAGAAGGCAACAACTGTTGGCGCAATTATTAGAAAATGTAAGAAGTTCAAGATGATGGTCAATCACCCTCGGTCTGGGGCTCCAAGCAAGATCTCACCTCGTGGGGCATCAATGATCATGAGGAAGGTGAGGGATCAGCCCAGAACTACACGGCAGGACCTGGTCAATGACCTGAAGAGAGCTGGGACCACAAAGAAAACCATTAGTAACACACTACGCCGTCATGGATTAAAATCCTGCTGCGCACGCAAGGTCCCCCTGCTCAAGCCAGCACATGTCCAGGCCCGTCTGAAGTTTGCCAATGACCATATGGATGATCCAGAGGAGGAATGGGAGAAGGTCATGTGGTCTGATGAGACAAAAATAGAGCTTTTTGGTCTAAACTCCACTCGCCGTGTTTGGAGGAAGAAGAAGGATGAGTACAACCCCAAGAACACCATCCCAACCGTGAAGCATGGAGGTGGAAACATCATTCTTTGGGGATGCTTTTCTGCAAAGGGGACAGGACGACTGCACCGTAGAGGGGAGGATGGATGGGGCCATGTATCGCGAGATCTTGGCCAACAACCTCCTTCCCTCAGTAAGAGCATTGAAGATGGGTCGTCGCTGGGTCTTCCAGCATGACAACGACCCGAAACACACAGCCAGGGCAACTAAGGAGTGGCTCCATAAGAAGCATCTCAAGGTCCTGGAGTGGCCTAGGCAGTCTCCAGACCTGAACCCAATAGAACATCTTTGGAGGGAGCTGAAAGTCCGTATTGCCCAGCGACAGCCCCGAAACCTGAAGGATCTGGAGAAGGTCTGTATGGAGGAGTGGGCCAAAATCCCTGCTGCAGTGTGTGCAAACCTGGTCAAGACCTACAGGAAACGTATGATCTCTGTAATTGCAAACAAAGGTTTCTGTACCAAATATTATGTTCTGCTTTTCTGATGTATCAAATACTGAAGTCCACGATCATCTCTTTTGTTTTGTTGATGTTGAGTGAGAGGTTATTTTCCTGGCACCACACTCCCAGAGCCCTCACCTCCTCCCTGTAGGCTGTCTCGTCATTGTTGGTAATCAAGCCTACTACTGTTGTGTCGTCTGCAAACTTGATGATTGAGCTGGAGGCGTGCTTGGCCACGCAGTCATGGGTGAACAGGGAGTACAGGAGGGGGCTTAGCACGCACCCTTGTGGGGCCCCAGTGTTGAGGATCAGCGAAGTGGAGATGTTGTTTCCTACCTTCACCACCTGGGGGGCGGCCCGTCGGGAAGTCCAGGACACAGTTGCACAGGGCGGGGTTCCGACCCAGGGCCTCGAGCTTAATGATGAGCTTGGAGGGTACTATGGGGTTGAATGCTGAGCTATAGTCAATGAACAGCATTCTTTCATAGGTATTCCTCTTGTCCAGATGGGATAGGGCAGTGTGCAGTGTGATGGCATTTGCGTCGTCTGTGGATCTATTGGGGCGGTAAGCAAATTGAAGTGGGTCTAGGGTGACAGGTAAGGTAAGGTAGAGGTGATATGATCCTTGACTAGTCTCTCAAAGCACTTCATGATGACAGAGTGCTACAGGGCGATAGTCATTTAGTTTAGTTACCTTTGCTTTCTTGGGTACAGGAACAATGGTGGCCATCTTGAAGCATGTGGGAACAGCAGACTGGGAAATATTGAATATGTCCATAAACACACCAGCCAGCTGGTCTGCGCATGCTCTGAGGACGCGGCTAGGGATGCCGTCTGGGCCGGCAGCCTTGCGGGGGTTAACATGCTTAAATGTCTTAATCACGTCGGCCATGGAGAAGGAGAGGCCACAGTCCTTGGTAGTGGGCCTCGTCAGTGGCACTGTGTTATCCTCAAAGCGGGCGAAGAAGGTGTTTAGCTTGTCTGGAAGCGAGACATCGGTGTCGGCGACGTGGCTGGTTTTCTTTTTGTAGTCCGTGATTGTCTGTAGACCATGCCACATACGTCTCGTGTCTGAGCCGTTGAATTGCGACTCCACTTTGTCTCTATACTGATGTTTTGCCAGTTTAATTGCCTTGCGGAGTGAGTAGCTACACTGTTTGTATTCTGCCATATTCCCAGTCACCTTGCCATGGTTGAATGCGGTGGTTCGCGGTTTCAGATTGCGCGAATGCTGCCGTCTATCCACGGTTTCTGGTTAGGGTAGGTTTTAATAGTCACAGTGGGCACAACATCACCTATACACTTCCTGATAAATTCAGTCACCGTTTCAGTGTATACGTCTAAATTATTTTCGGAAGCTACCCGGAACATATCCCAGTCCGCGTGATCAAAACAATCTTGTAAAGGGTTTAAACACTGTTTCCCATGCTTGTTCAATGAACCATAAATAATTAATGAACACGCACCTGTGGAACGGTCGCTAAGACACTAACAGCTTACAGACGGTAGGCAATTAAGGTCACAGTTATGAAACTTAGGACACTAAAGAGGCCTTTCTACTGACTCTGAAAAACCCCAAAAGAAAGATGCCCAGGGTCCCTCCTCATCTGTGTGAACGTGCCTGAGGCATGAGGACTGCAGATGTGGCCAGGGCAATAAATTGCAATGCCCGTACTGTGAGACGCCTAAGACAGCGCTACAGGGAGACAGGACGGACAGCTGATTGTCCTCGCAGTGGCAGACCACGTGTAACAACACCTGCACAGGATCGGTACATCCGAACATCACACCTACGGGACAGGTACAGAATGGCAACAACAACTGCCCGAGTTACACCAGGAACGCACAATCCCTCCATCAGTGCTCAGACTGTACGCAATAGGCTGAGAGAGGCTGGACTGAGGGCTTGTAGGCCTGTTGTAAGGCAGGTCCTCACCAGACATCACCGGCAACAACGTCGCCTATGGGCACAAACCCACCGTCGCTGGACCAGACAGGACTGGCAAAAAGTGCTCTTCACTGACAAGTCGCGGTTTTGTCTCACCAGGGTTGATGGTCGGAATCGTGTTTATCGTCGAAGGAATGAGCGTTACACCGAGGCCTGTACTCTGGAGCGGGATCGATTTGGAGGTAGAGGGTCCGTCATGGTCTGGGGCGGTGTGTCACAGCATCATCGGACTGAGCTTGTTGTCATTGCAGGCAATCTCAACGCTGTGCGTTACAGGGAAGATATCCTCCTCCCTCATGTGGTACTCTTCCTGCTGGCTCATCCTGACATGACCCTCCAGCATGACAATGCCACCAGCCATACTGCTAGTTCTGTGCGTGATTTCCTGCAAGACAGGAATGTCAGTGTTCTGCCATGGCCAGCGAAGAGCCCGGATCTCAATCCCATTGAGCAAGTCTGGGACCTGTTGGATCGGAGGGTGAGGGATTGGGCCATTTCCCCCAGAAATTTCCGGGAACTTGCAGGTGCCTTGGTGGAAGAGTGGGGTAACATCTCACAGCAAGAACTGCCAAATCTGGTGCAGTCCATGAGGAGATGCACTGCAGTACTTAATGCAGCTGGTGGCCACACCAGATACTGACTGTTACTTTTGATTTTGACCCCCCCTTTGATCAGGGACACATTATTCAATTTCTGTTAGTCACATGTCTGTGGAACTTGTTCAGTTTATGTCTCAGTTGTTGAATCTTGTTATGTTCATACAAATCTTTACACATGTTAAGTTTGCTGAAAATATACGCAGTTGACAGTGAGGACGTTTCTTTTTTTGCTGAGCTTTTTATGAAAGAGCACAGTTAGAAATATATGGCATATAGAAGCAAACCGGATGGACATCATGAAAATGATCGGAGAGGTTGAGGGTAGAGGAAGTTCAGGAGTAAAAACAAACAAAATATAATTATTGTAAAATTGACTGTGTCCATAAAATGTATAAGCTGGAAGTAGAGGCCTAAGCGTTGTTGTTCACTAGTTTACTCCAATTAGGGAAGGGGTGGTGGGGCTGGAAAGTAATAAAGGGAAATATATTTTTAAAAAGGATATGTATATATATACAGTGAGGGAAAAAAGTATTTCATCCCCTGCTGATTTTGTACGTTTGCCCACTGACAAAGACATGATCAGTCTATAATTTTAATGGTAGGTTTATTTGAACAGTGACAGACAGAATAACAACAACAAAATCCAGAAAAATGCATATAAAAAATGTTATAAATTGATTTGCATTTTAATGAGGGAAATAAGTATTTGACCCCTCTGCAAAACATGGCTTAATACTTGGTGGCAAAACCCTTGTTGGCAATCACAGAGGTCAGACGTTTCTTGTAGTTGGCCACCAGGTTTGCACACATCTCAGGAGGGATTTTGTCCCACTCCTCTTTGCAGATCTTCTCCAAGTCATTAAGGTTTCGAAGCTGACGTTTGGCAACTCGAACCTTCAGCTCCCTCCACAGATTTTCTATGGGATTAAGGTCTGGAGACTGGCTAGGCCACTCCAGGACCTTAATGTGCTTCTTCTTGAGCCACTCCTTTGTTGCCTTGGCCGTGTGTTTGGGGTCATTGTCATGCTGGAATACCCATCCACGACCCATTTTCAATGCCCTGGCTGAGGGAAGGAGGTTCTCACCCAAGATTTGACGGTACATGGCCCCGTCCATCGTCCCTTTGATGCGGTGAAGTTGTCCTGTCCCCTTAGCAGAAAAACACCCCCAAAGCATAATGTTTCCACCTCCATGTTTGACGGTGGGGATGGTGTTCTTGGGGTCATAGGCAGCATTCCTCCTCCTCCAAACACGGCAAGTTGAGTTGATGCCAAAGAGCTCGATTTTGGTCTCATCTGACCACAACACTTTCACTCAGTTCTCCTCTGAATCATTCAGATGTTCATTGGCAAACTTCAGACGGCCCTGTATATGTGCTTTCTTGAGCTGGGGGACCTTGCGGGCGCTGCAGGATTTCAGTCTTTCACGGCGTAGTGTGTTACCAATTGTTTTCTTGGTGACTATGGTCCCAGCTGCCTTGAGATCATTGACAAGATCCTCCCGTGTAGTTCTGGGCTGATTCTTCACCGTTCTCATGATCATTGCAACTCCACGAGGTGAGATCTTGCATGGAGCCCCAGGCCGAGGGAGATTGACAGTTCTTTTGTGTTTCTTCCATTTGCAAATAATCGCACCAACTGTTGTCACCTTCTCACCAAGCTGCTTGGCGATGGTCTTGTAGCCCATTCCAGCCTTGTGTAGGTCTACAATCTTGTCCCTGACATCCTTGGAGAGCTCTTTGGTCTTGGCCATGGTGGAGAGTTTGGAATCTGATTGATTGATTGCTTCTGTGGACAGGTGTCTTTTATACAGGTAACAAACTGAGATTAGGAGCACTCCCTTTAAGTGTGCTCATAATCTCAGCTCGTTACCTGTATAAAAGACACCTGGGTGCCAGAAATCTTTCTGATTGAGAGGGGGTGAAATACTTATTTCCCTCATTAAAATGCAAATCAATTTATAACATTTTTGACATGCGCTTTTCTGGATTTCTTTGTTGTTATTCTGTCTCTCACTGTTCAAATAAACCTACCATTAAAATGATAGACTGATCATGTCTTTGTCAGTGGGCAAAAGTACAAAATCAGCAGGGGATCAAATACTTTTTTCCCTCACTGTATGTATGTATGTGTATGTATGTATATATATATATATATATATATATATATATATATATATATATATATATATATATATATATATATATATATATATATATATATATATATTTGCGAGAAGAAAAAAAACATATGGGGGATTGGAAGTGATGCAGGCAATTACATTGATGGAATATTGCAATATTAAAGCTGATATACACCCCCAATTTTTTTTTTTTTTTACCATTTTAAAAAACTCACAAGCGAGACCTGTGGTTTCTTGCTAGTGTGGGTGTCAAGCCCCACATCCTCTAGGCAGACAGCGAAAGATTCTTGCTTGCTCGGGTCAAGGACCCATTTTGAGGAACTATGTCTGGGGAGATTTCCTGTTGTTTTAGCACCTATTTTTCTCAGAATGAGACCTTTTTCACAGTTAGTCTGCACCCTGTACCCCAGTTCCGTCTCATTGTCCAGCACATACACACACCAAGATCAAGTGTTTTGTACATGCTTGCATAAGATGACTTGCCTATATAAGGTTTCTGTACTCCTCGTGTCATTCGAGCTCTCTGGCGTACACCTCAGATGTGCATGCCCGACCAGCGCCATTATTGCAATAATTAATAGATCAATAAAGTATAATTGATTGAAGAAATAACACAGTTATCTCTTTATTGGGTAGAATTTCCACGACACCTGGAGGGGTTTCAGGTGGTTATTAGCTAGGGGTGTAACGATCCATCTACTACATCGATGTATCGATTTTTATTCCTATGATCCAACTACATCAATCTGTGCTCGGCGAGTTGGCCTTTTGGACAACATATATCAATCTAACATCGTTTTAAAATGTAATACATCGATTGTATCGATACTAGGAAATAACCCATTGGATTTAAGCACGTCAGACTTTATATGGATGTTTTTTCTTAGCACTTTTAATGATAAAGGCTTGAAACATTACTCGATTCAGTCTGCCTATCCGTGACGTCATCGCCCCGCGCCAGCAGCAGCGCAAAGGCGCAAAGACAACAAAACATAGCATGGCGGACGACAGAGGAGAAGCCGACGAGCGAGAAATTATCAAGCCACCATTGCGGTCCTTTTTATTTTTTTATTATTATTATTAAATTTTTTTTTTTGGGGGGGGGATGGATCAGCTTAATATTGCAGATAGATTGTATCTTCTATCAATGTAATTATCTGCATCACTTCCAATCCCCCATGTTTTATTTTTATTTTTTATATATATATTCCCCTTTATTACTTTTCAACCCCACCATCCTTTCCCTACTTGGAGTAAATTAGTGAACAACAACGCCCAGGCCTCTACTTCCGGTCTATACTTACTATCTACACCTTATGGACAGAGTTAATTTTACAATAATTCTATATATATATATATATATATATATATATATATATATATATATATATATATATATATATATATATATATATATATATATATATATATATATTTATTTATTTTTTTGCTCCTGAACCTCTTCTACTCTCAACCTCTCCGATCATTTTCATGATGTCCATCCGGTTTGCTTCTAAATGCCATATCTTTCTAACTGTGCTCTTTCCCAAAAGCTCCCAACATACAACCTATATACTTATTATGGACACAGTATGCTTATATTATTAGCTATCTTTGTTATTATTTGTTGTTATTTGTTATTAGTCCCATCCTTCAACTCTATTCAATACCTCCCATCTATCTCTTAACACCATCCATATAGGATTTCTATTTGCCATATATATTTCAACCGTACTGTGATGTTTTACAAAAGTTCTGAACCTTTCTATTCTCATTGCTTCTACAGATTGTGAATTAAAAATAAACATTTTTGCTAAAAGTATTATTATATTATTGATTGATTGACTATGACTTTTCAGATCACCCAGTAATGCTATCTGCAAGGTTAGTTCCAGGTAAATATTGCAATCCTTTAGCCATTCCTGGACCTGTGTCCAAAAACAAGCTACAAATGGACAGAACCAAAACAAATGATCTAATGATTATATCTCTTCACAGCAAAATCTGCAGAGCTGGGAAGATTGTATCCCCCATATAAATAACATTCTATTGGTAGCAAGAATTTTATATAATAATTTAAATTGAAAGATTCTAATTTTTGAATCCGGTGTCGTTTTGCGTGTCAGTTCATAAACACTATGCCATGGGATCGGTACGTCAAAGATCTCTTCCCAACTATTTTGCAATCTATATGGGACGGCTGTCAATCCTTTGGTCCTTAAGTGAAACTGATATACTTTTTTATTTATCACAGTTTTCCTTAACCAATTATGTTCTTTAATGCAAGGCCGACAGACAAGTTCTTTACATTCTCCCCCTTCAACTTTCCTCTTCCACTTTTGCGGTAAGGCTGCAATTATTTGGTTGTAATTTTGGATAGAGCAGACATTTCCATATGTTTTTGTTAGCTGCATGTGCGACATAACTCCACCAGTCCTACCGATGATATCATTTACGAAGATTATACCTTTTTTAAACATTCTGTCAGAAAATAAAGTTTTTTTGTCAATTAGTATATTTGAATTTAACCACAATATTTGTTGCATTATTTGTTCTGTCGTTTCTGGAGGATTAAATTGAAATTGCAACCAACTTTCTATGGCTTGTTTTAGAAATAGTGACATTTGGGAGATTATTTCCTTTTCAAATAACTGAAAGTGAGAGGTTGTAATCTGAATAAAGGGAAAAAGGCCTTTCTTGAACAGTGGGTGAGACAATCTTACTAATTTGCTTGAGAACCAGTTCGGATTTAAGTATAACTTTTGGATGACTGAAGATTTTAGTGATAGGTCTAATGCTTTAATATTTAATAATTTCTGTCCTCCGAATTCATATTCATTATATAAATATGCTCTTTTAATTTTGTCTGGCTTGCCGTTCCAAATAAAATTGAATATTTTTTTCTCATATAATTTAAAAAACTGTTTGCTAGGCGTAGGCAAGACCATAAGCAAATAGGTAAACTGGGATAATACTAAAGAGTTAATCAGGGTGATTTTTCCACAAATTGACAGGTATTTTCCTTTCCATGGTAGTAAGATCTTATCTATTTTTGCTAACTTTCTATTAAAATGTATTGAAGTGAGATCATTTATTTCCTTTGGGATATGTATTCCGAGTATATCCACATCACCATCAGACCATTTTATTGGTAAACTACATGGTAATGTAAAAATTGTATTTTTTAGTGATCCAATACGTAATATAGTACATTTGTCATAATTTGGTTTTAATCCAGAGAGGTTAGAAAATGTATCTAGATCCTCTATGAGGCTGTGGAGGGATTCTAGTTGTGGATCTAAAAGAAAACATGAATCATCTGCGTACAATGACACCTTTGTTTTTAAGCCCTGTATTTCTAATCCTCTGATATTATTATTGGATCTGATTTTAATAGCTAACATCTCGATGGCCACAATAAATAGATATGCCGATAGTGGACAACCTTGTTTCACTCCTCTTGACAGTTTAAAACTTTCTGAGAAATAGCCATTATTTACTATTTTACACCTAGGGTTACTATACATGATTTTGACCCATTTTATAAGAGATTCTCCAAAATTGAAATGCTCCAGGCATTTATATATAAATTCCAGTCGAACTTTATCAAATGCCTTTTCGAAGTCTGCTATGAATAGCAGGCCTGGTTTCCCAGATTTTTCATAGTGTTCTATTGTTTCCAATACTTGCCTTATATTATCTCCAATGTATCTTCCATGTAAAAAACCTGTCTGATTAGAATGAATAATATCCGACAATACCTTTTTAATTCTATGCGCTATACATTTTGCTAGGATTTTTGCATCACAACACTGAAGTGTAAGGGGCCTCCAATTTTGTAAATGGACTGGATCTTTATATTTTCCACTTGTATCCTGTTTCAGTAATAATGAGATCAGACCTTCTTCTTGAGTGTCAGATAATCTAACATTTACATAGGAGTGGTTAAAACATGCTAATAACGGTCCTCTTAGTATATCAAAAAAGGTTTGGTATACCTCGATTGGTATGCCATCCAACCCTGGAGTTTTCCCGGACTTAAAGTCTTTAATTGCATCCAGAAGTTCCTCCTCTGTAATTTCACCTTCACATGAGTCTTTCTGTGTGGCTGTTAATTTGACATTATCAATAGAAAAAAAATCTCTACAATTAGCTTCAGTTAGAGGAGATGGAGGCGACTGAAAAGAAAACATATGCTTAAAATACTTTGTTTCTTCCTTCAAAATATCATTAGGTGAATTATGGGTGACTCCGTCAATTGTAACCAGTTTCATTAAGTTCTTTTTGGTAGCATTCCTATGTTGAAGATTAAAAAAGAATTTTGTGCATTTTTCCCCATATTCCATCCAGTTTGCTTTATTTTTATAATATATTACACTTGATCTTTCTTGAATAAGTTTTTCCATTTCTTTTTGTTTTTCCTCTAATTTGTTCTGAGCCTCTATGTTACAGTTTTTATTGCCATCTATCTGTTCTGTTAGACTTTCTATTTCCTTTCTTAGTATAAACTCTTTTGACCTAAATTGCTTTTGTTTTCGAGATGAGTACTGAATTGCATGGCCTCTAAAGGCACATTTAAAGGTGTCCCATACAATAAGGGGATTCGCTGTACCTATGTTATGTTGGAAAAAGTCAGTTATAAATTTCTTTGTTCTAATTATAAATAAATTATCATCTAATAGGCTTTGATTAAATTTCCAATATCCTCGCTACGTGGAAATTCAGTCAGAGTAATGTATATGCCTATTATATGATGGTCCGACCGCATTCTGTCCCCTATCAACACTTTTTTTACTTTTGGTGCCAACGAGAATGAGATAAGAAAGAAGTCAAGACGACTAGCTTGATTCAGTCTCCGCCATGTATATCTCACTAGATCAGCATATTTAAGCCTCCATATATCTACTAGTTCTAATGTATCCATGACATTCACAATTTCCTTAAGAGCATGTGGGTGATTGTTTGTGGTGTGATTTCCTTTTCGGTCCATTGAGCTATTTAAAACAGTATTATAATCCCCCACCATAATAATATTGTCTTGAGTTGCTTGCAGGCTTGATAATTTATTATATATATTGTCAAAGAATTGTGGATCATCATTATTTGGTCCGTAAAGGTTAATGAGCCATATCTGTTTATGGTCCAATACCATATTTAAAATAATCCATCTACCTTGCGTATCTATTTGGACAATTTGCACATTCGGATCGAAATTACTATTAATTAATATCATCACCCCTTTTGAATTTCTTTGCCCATGGGAGAAGTATATTTCCCCCCCCCCATTCTTTTTTCCACGCTACTTCATCTCGAATTGTTGAATGAGTTTCCTGTATACAATAGATATTATATTCCTTCTCTTTGAGCCATGTAAATATTGTTCTTCTTTTGTTATTATCAGCTAAGCCATTACAATTATAACTGGCTATACTTATTTCACCATACACCATAAATGAGATACAAGTTTCAAGTCTATTTATCATTATATATGTTTGTAAATTTACCAATAAAAAATAGCGTAATGATTGAGTGTCCATATAGCTGTACCGTGATATTTGCATTGCTACGGAGTAACCCTTCAATTGTTCTCCACTAATTCCCCCGCTAAAGCCCCTCCCCATCCCAAGTTGAGCCGTCATCCCAGTGATCAGCATCCCACCCACGTCCCTCCGTATCCCTATGGCCCCGAGAGGCCAGGACCCATCCATCGAAAACAGCACACAGTGCCACCCACAAAACAGAAGCAGGTTAACCGCCAAAAGCATTTCCAATGCTTTCACCTCTATATATATATATCTATATAACTATTTTTTAATTTTTTATTATGCATATCCTATTTTCCATCATTATCAATTAATATGCGTAATAATGTCGGCAGTTCACGCATAGGATTCTAACATATAACCAGGATTGCCATTGTATTACATTTAATTCATTGACAAGCAATTATTATCCTAGCAAATAATTCCCACGGTCCATCCCATACCCCCCCCCCCCCCAACATCCCCACCCCCCCCCCCCCCCCCACAACAGATGCCAGACAAGCACACACGCACATACTCGCATACTCCAACACACTCAACCCCCCTCCTCCACAATCCACCATAAAATCCGATACTCAACGGCTGTTATATCCCAGAGCCCAACTCGAGAAATAACTTGATCTACGAGTGCACATACAGTTAAAGCTGATTGAGAAAGCATGCAGATTGAGCAGAAATTGATAACAATGTGAGATTTGATTAATCTACTTAATCTATGTCAAGTCCTAGGTGATGGAGATCAGATCCACCCTCTTCACCTGAGACACAAACACTCTGATCCCCTGTTGTAACCATTTTCCCAAGCATCTCCATGCGGTCAGACCTTTGATTATTTTGTGCCACCTGGGCCACAATGATAAACCCCCTCTCTGATTGTCCGAGTGTGACCCCCTCCCCATGGGTTACTGCAGCCAGTGTTGCCAGCACTGCCACTACCTGGGTGGGCGTACCCCACCGGAATCCCCACCGGCTAGGTAAAAGGTCGTCAAGGTTCTCATTAGCAGCTTTGAGAATTTCCTTGTATATTATGCTCTCCCATCAGGGGGCTCTGGCTTTGTAGGACCAACCCTGCCAGGCAGGCTCAGAATCTTGAGGGGGCGGTGCTGCTCAAGTAGGTCTCTGACCGCATTTATTTCTCTGTTTAGACTGCATATTCACAGCAGGTCCATAAAATAGATGGGAACTTCTCTTTGGTGTATGGGTCGCTCAGGTGGGTGTCCAGGTTATAGGGTTAGGGATCTTTCCATCATGATAGGACAATGAATAATTAGATTAGATGTATACTATATTTAAAAATGTATATCCCTCATCTACACAAAATTGAAAGCTCTCTCTCTCACTACCCCTGTTCATAGACCCCCGGTCGGCTCTGGGATATGCAACCATTTCCCCTCTCACTCACTTAACGCCGCACCTTTTCAAACACAAAAATGCACACCACATGGTTGACTGCGGAAGAAATGGGCCGAGCGTGCAAACGCACCCGCATCCACATCTGCTGCAAGGGGGAAAGGACGCCAGAGAGAACACAGGACCAACCACAACAACCATCCGCCAAAACAACAACCTCCCGCCAAAAAATCCCTGTTCTAATTATTTGTATATAAAGATGTATTATTCTGCTTGTTATATCGTTTTATCCATTTATAAAATACTATACATACTATAAATGTTATTTAATATTACATTCCCTATCATTGCTAGTATCAGGTGCTCCAATATTTGACTCCTCTATTACAACTTTTAGAATAGCCATGGAGTAGTCTTTGTGTCCTTACAAGAAACAGGTATCTAGGAAACTTCACCTGCACTGTCCAGTATCCAGGTATTTATTTCAGTCACACTGGTTGAATTTTTGGCTAAAAGGTTACTGAATCGATTTCAAGTCACTGAATCGTTTCGGATCGTATCGTTCTAAATGAACCAATATCGTCCTTGAATCGTATCGACAACCACGAATCGTGATACAAATCGAATCGTTGTTAAAACGAATCGTTACACCCCTATTATTAGCACATTATCACATCAACCACCTAATCTGGATTTATCTCCAAGAAGGGAAAAATATAATTAATTTAAGTAAACAAAGTAAAATTGAGTGTAATAATATGGAGGGCTGTTAATATCAATATCAGCGACAGAGGAGCCAATGATAAAGGTCCTCTCATAAAGTTTATCAGTGCTGCAGCCCAACACTGCACCTTTGGACACACAGGTGATACATGAAAAAGAGGGATTAGAGGAAGAGAGGGATATATAATAGAGAAAGAAGGCAGGGGCAAAGGTAACCTCACTTGGCACAGGTTATGATCAAATTATGAAATCTTTCTTCTGGTAAGAACTATAAAGAGAAGAAGAGGATTCTGTGCATGACTACAATACCACTGGCTGGATGTTGCAGAAGAGGGGGTTGGGAAAGTGTCTTTTGAGACAGTCTTGCAACTAATTTTACAGTTAAAATGACCGTTAAGCAAGACTGGCATCCAACCAAAAATGAAGACTTTTCATTTACATTTTAGTCATAATTTGTGCATAATTTGGCTCACATCTGGCACAGGTTATGACCATTTTACAGCACTTTTCCTCTGATAAGAACTTCTAGTAACAGAAGTGGTTTCTGTGTGTGACTACAGTTACACTGGGCAGCTGTTGCAGAGGAGGTTGTGAAAATGTTCCATTGTGATGCTACAGTCTTGCAACTACTTTTACCATAAAAGGTACTGTTCATAGTATTTTGTTGAGTTAGAACGAGCCCAACCCCAAACTAAGACTTTTCATGTTTGTGCATGTCCATAAACACAGTGTGTGTGTGTGTGTGTGTGTGTGTTACCTGGCACTGGCTGAAGAGGTAGGGGTGTTTCTTCCCAGCAGTCTGTTCAGGAGTGAGCCACTGCAGCGCAGAAGCACTAGGAGCCGTCTCATAAGTCACCTCCACGATCACATGCTGACCCCTGACAAACAAACACACACACACTAAATATTGCACCAAAACCAGTATTCATCAGTTCAATCTCTGAGGGTTGAGTTACCTGGGGTGCAATCAGTGATGTGCAGTGTTCTGAACGTTATAGACAGAAATGGAATGAATAGAGCAGAGACTATTCATATTCTATATGACAAAATCATATATGTTCTACACAATTCATTTATATCTGAACATTCTGTAACATTATATCTTCCTGAACAGGCCCCTAAGGTGTGAGAGTGAGACAGAGGGGTGTGGATACCTGGAGAGGTCAAAGGGCAGTGTGATCTCCAGAGGGGTTCCCATGAACCTGTGCTTGGGTCCCAAAGTGAACTTTGCTGCCTGTCCATTGGCTGTTACCTTGGAGACCTTCAGGTCCTTTGTGTCAAGGGTCTGATGGTAGAAAGAAAGAAAGAAAGAAAGAAAGAAAGAAAGAAAGAAAGAAAGAAAGAAAGAAAGAAAGAAAGAAGTGGGGCAATAAGTTTGGGTTACCAACATTTATAAAGCAGAATTGTGACAAAGTCAAGTGTGTGAGCAACTACAAGAACCACAACCTCCAACTTCCTCCAGGTTGTGACTGTAAAACATCTGCCACCATAAAAAATACATAATTATATCTCTACCTGGCCCTGAAAGGCTGCCTACATTTTCTACACCTGCTGTGAGAAACACACCTGGGAGAAACAGTCTGAACTCAGATCTTAAATTCACATGCCTGGTATCATATGCCAGCTTGACCTGTCAAAGTCTTACTGTCACTGAGCAGAACAGAACAGTGTCATAAAGCACATATGGCTAGCTACATATCATTCCTGAATGTGATCAGGTTTGATCAGATTTGCAATGAGTGATATTCAAATCAGTTTGTCTTGCAGCAGTGTGTGATACGTTGTGTGTCTGATAAACTCAACCAAATGCTTTGTAGCGGTGTACTGAAACAGGTGTACTGATACAAGGCTTACAACTGAAACAAGGTGTACTGAAACAAGGCTTTTCCCAGGTCAAATTCAGTAGCAACACAAAGGCATTTGCTAGCAAAAATGAATGAACTTGGGTAGCTAGTTTCCTAGCTTGCTGGCTAATAAGATTGAGAAATTAGATTAATACTGTACCAAAGACGTGAAATTATCCACTAAAACCTCCACGGTGAGCGCGACCTTAGCTTTGAGGACATGGCTGTCAAAATCCACATGATAGGTGAGATTCAGGTGCTTGGTAACGCACTTGGAGAAGGAGGAAAAGGAGCAAGGGTCTGTAGCTGAAGCCATGTTCGGTCCAGGCTCATGAAGCGAGAGCGCAAAAAAAATTGCATTAACTACAACCCTGCTCACCACATAACCATGTGACAGCGGCCTGCATGCATTGTGGGAGTTGTAGTTTACTCTGGAGCTGAATGTGTTCAATTTCTTTCTAAATGAATCATCAAACAACTCCATTTACCAGAATGAGCTGGTAGATTTACGTTCCCTTTCAATGATCCATTTCTTTGCATTAATAAACACGTCGGTGAAACATTTTATTCATATGAAAAATGATGTACATTTCAAAGCAGTCTTTGAATTGCGCTTGTTTTTAGCTTTTATTAGAACAACTATCTACTATACTACAGGGCAGCGGGATTCAGCTGTCGTTTCAAGCCCTTCTCACTGGAGGGCGCAGCGTCTTGCTTTCATGTCACGAAGTAAATAGCGGACAGGGCAGCACAATCATTCGGGACAATGATGAAATGGACCTTTGAATCGTGATGGACCCGTTTGACAGCTCCGAATCTTGTCTTGTTGAGTCGAAGAATGCGGCAGAGAATACAGAATCGCGTTTGCCATGGGCCCGGTTCTCGTCGTGGCTGGAGTGTGTCTGCGTCGTTACCTTCGACCTCGAGCTCGGCCAAGCTATAGAGGTATTGTGGGTTGCAGTGTACTGTAGCATCCCTAGCAGGTGTTGTTGACATCACATCTGACATCCGTTCTAGCTAGCTAGCGTGCTAATGTTGTTCATGTGTACAAAGTCTTGTTTGCTTGCTGAAATAAATCACCATGATCCACATCACCAGATCAACCTCTCATGTGTTTCATAATCTGGCCAGCCGGCGCATGTGTGGAATAGTGACATCTTGATATCATACATACTGGCACTTTTTCTCCTCTATTCCAGTTTGTGTACCCCCACGATGTGAAACTCACTGAGAAGGAGGTACGAAATGAATTTATGCTCATACTTTTTGTGATGCCCCCCCATACATAACAAGCTAGTTGCCTGTCAATTATTCAATAATTTTGTATGTCCCTGATTGTGCTTCCTCTCTTTTAAACTCCAGAAAACCAGCATTTGCTACCTGTCCTTCCCTGACTCTTACTCAGGTTAGTGAATCAGATTACACAATCTGTCATCACATTATCACAAAATACATTACAGTCAGTCAGAGGCCCAACCCCAAATCGACCCAGGACCCTAGGCCCTATGCACTTGTGGAGATCTGGCATGAATTGATGGCTTTTAGCAATATGGTGAAACTTCCACCTAACTGGCGGCCCATGGTGGTGATTTTATTTGGCCCCCCAAGTTTTCTGAGCAAAAACAAAAATAGTTAAAAATATATATATATTTTTTTATTGCTGGACACAAAAGACTGTAAAAACACCAGCAAATCAGCACCAAGTGATTTTAATTTTGGAAATCTGTTCTAAAGTATTCCCACGCATAGTAGATAGATACATGTGATTGTATACAAATGTAAGCAAAGTTTGAAATGATTATGTTTTAGTCAAATATGATATCTGTTTGGGCTTTGTGTGGTCAATTTGCAGTCTACAAATTATTTGTAATTATGTTCCGGCCCTCAGACCATCTGCTCAAGAAAAGATCGGCCCGCGGCTGAATCTAGTTGATGATCCCTGCTGTATTGCTTACACCTGTCAAATCCACTCAGATCTCCACAAGTGCGTAGGGTCTAGGGGTTGATTTGCGATTGGGCCAAAAATCTATATCAGTCACATGACCTGTGTGATGTGTTTCCCAGGATGCCTTGGGGACACCCAGTTCAGCTTCAGACTGCGTCAGTCTGTGGGCCGCAGGGGCTCCTGGATCGGAGAGGAGGACGCCTACAGCAGAGACGCACCTGTCACACTACAGGTGAGCCCTCTGTCTGGCCCAATCCCAAATCACACTTGTGGAGATCTGATTGGATTTGACAGGTGTAAGCAATAGGGTAATAGCTCCACATTGCCCTCTGATAGGCTAGATGAAAGTTTCACCATATTGCTTATATCAACCAAATCCTCTCACATCTCCACAAGTGCATAGGGTGTAGGGCTTACTCTTAGGGGTCGATTTGGGATTGGGAGTCTGTCATCGGTCCTTTACTGTGGTCTGACTGAACAACTGGTCTAGGCCAGGGACAGTTTGGTTGCTACCTTTTAGGGTTATGGTTGTTTTTTTTAATAGGGACAGCTAATCTGAAATCAGTGACTGGAGTGGAATATCATGTCAGCCACCACTAATCTTCTGTCATTGCAATAACTTGATTATTCTCAACTCTCACCCTTTCCCTTTCTCCCTCAGCGAGAGCTGGCCCATTTCTATGGCTATGTCTACTTCAGACAAGTCAAGGACGCTGCCGTCAAAAGAGGCTACTTTCAGAAGGTGAGAAGCTTATGTTACAGATCTGATTCGTCATCAGAACCACAATGTATTCACATTTGGTTTTCTCTTTCATTCTCTCTCCTGCCTTTCTCTTTCACTCCCTATCTCTCTCTAGTCTCTTGTCCTGGTGTCCAGACTACCGTATGTCCACCTCTTTCAGTCCCTGCTGCAGATCATAGCTCCAGAGTATTTTGAGAAGTTGGAGCCTTGCCTTGAAGCAGGTGGGGAGATAACTTCTTGTCTTTTTTTTCAGAGTGTTATCTTATTTCTAATTTGTCTCCCATTATAGTTACCTGGGGCTCTATGGTACAGTCTGGACTCTACTTCCCTAACCTTTTCTTCTCACTCTCCCACCGTGCAGTGTGCAACGAGATTGACCAATGGCAATCTCCGGTGCCAGGGCTGACACTCAACCTGCCTGTAATGGCCGTGGTCATGCAGGTCAGGATCCCATCCAAAAACGACAAACCAGAGGGAAGTCCGGTGAAACAGGAACAAAATGAGGTTGGTATTGCTTTTTATGTAATGGGCCACATGCCCATGGAAATACGACTTCTCCATGATGTTAGTAAAGTTGATGTTAGTTGATAGGTATCGCTAGAGGATTATTAATCTAAAAAAAGTATGTTCCTGTTATAACCAGAATCTTCTACCAGCCCCTATGATGCTACCGACCATACATGAGCTTGACCTCTTCAAGTAAGTGAAAATCTAAACTTCATAGACTGTGAGTAGTTATGTATCTGTTTATGTATTTGTGTAAATTACATGGCTTGAATTTAGCTGTATTTTCAGTTTAATTTGAGGATACATTGTATTAGTGAAAGCAGCATCCATCAGATATGAACTGACCTTTGCCCTCTGACCTGTTCAGGTGTTTCCAGTCCTTCCTGATCCACCTGCAGATGCTCTGGGAGCTCATGCTACTCGGAGAGCCCGTGGTCGTCATGGCACCCTCTCCCACTGTCTCCTCGGAAACCGTGCTGGCCCTAGTGAGGTAAACAGAAAATGCATGAAAAGATGCCAAATGATGTATGACATTTAGCTTCACGTGTATGTAACGCAACTCAATGTAACTCAGTGAGTTTGTCAAATTAAAATTATTATTTTCCCCTTCCTATAGCTCGATTGCTCCACTGCGGTGTTGCTGTGACTACAGGCCCTACTTCACCATACACGACACTGAGTTTAAGGAGTATACCACTAGGACACAGGCACCGTGAGTAGGGCTTACTCTAAATATTGTGTTTATACCAGAGGGGCAACTCAACTCACTCTGCTCCCTTTCTCTCTCCTCTCCAGTCCCAATGTGATTCTGGGGGTCACCAATCCCTTCTTCATAAAGATCTTCCAGTCCTGGCCCCACATTATACGCCTCGGAGAACTCAAGATGTCAGGTGATCTGCCTAAGCAGGTGAAGGTGAAGAAACTAGCCAAGCTGAAAACACTGGACACTAAACCAGGTAAAACATCTGGAGTTATGGAGCCAACATAGTTTGAGAGCGTGAGTTATTAGTGTGTCAAAATGTTATCCCTACCTGTAGGTATCTACACAGCACATAAAACATTCCTTCAAAAAGACAAGTCCCTCATCAAAAGACTCCTAAAAGGGATCCAGAGGAAGAGGCCATCTGAGGTGCAGAGCGCCATCTTGAGGAGACATCTATTAGAACTCACCCAGAGCTTCATCATCCCACTGGTGAGGGCACTGCCTTCCCTGACACGTACACTACCAGTTAAAAGTTTGGACACACTTACTCATTCAAAGGTTTTTCTTTATTTTTTTACAATTTTTTACATTGTAGAATAATAGTGAAGACATCAAACCTATGAAAGAACACATATGGAATCATGTAGTAACCAAAAAAGTATTAAACAAATTGTATATTTGAGATTCTTCAAATAGCCACCCTTTGCCTTAATGACAGCTTTGCACACTCTTGGCATTCTCTCAACCAGCTTCATGAGATAGTCACATGGAATGCATTTCAATTAACAGGTGTGCCTTCTTAAAAGCTAATTTGTGGAATTTATTTCTTTCTTCATGCGTTTGAGCCAATCAGTTAAATGGCAAGAACAGCTCAAATAAGCACTTTAAGAGATGAAGGTCAGTCAAGAACTTTGAAAGTTTCTTCAAGTGCAGTCGCAAAAACCATCAAGCGCTATGATGAAACTGGCTCTCATGAGGACCGCCACAGGAATGGAAGACCCAGAGTTACCTATCCTGCAGAGGATAAGTTCATTAGAGTTACCAGCCTCAGAAATTGCAGCCCAAATAAATGCTTCACAGAGTTCAAGTAACAGACACATCTCAACATCAACTGTTCAGAGGAGACTGTGTGAATCAGGCCTTCATGGTCGAATTGCTGCAAAGAAACCACTACTAAAGGACACCAATAATAAGAAGAGACTTGCTTGGGCCAAGAAACACGAGCAATGGATATTAGGGCTATTTGACCAAGAAGGAGAGTGATGGAGTGCTGCATCAGATGACCTGGCCTCCACAATCCCCCGACCTCCACCCAATTGATGGTTTGGGATGAGTCGGACCGCAGAGTGAAGGAAAAGCAGCCAACAAGTGCTCAGCATATGTGGGAACTCCTTCAAGACTGTTGGCAAATAATTCCAGGTGAAGCTGGTTGAGAGAATGCCAAGAGTGTGCAAAGCTGTCATCAAGGCAAAGGGTGGCTATTAGAAGAATCTCAAATATAAAATATATATGGATTTGTTTAACACTTTTTTGCTTACTACATGATTCCACATGTGTTATTTCATAGTTTTGATGTCTTCGCTATTATTCTACAATGTAGAAAATAGTAAAAATAAAGAAAAACCCTGGAATGAGTAGGTGTGTCCAAACTTTTGAGTGGTACTGTACAAACCACCCATATATAGACTATTTGTCTGTCTGTCTGTCCTGCTGCATGCTGTGTGTCTCACCTGTCTTTCGGTCTGTCTCCCCCAGGAACGCTACCTGGCCAGCCTGATGCCTCTGCAGAGGTCTGTGACTCCTTGGAAGGTGGGTAATATTGATAACAAACCTGTTTCTATAGTATGTTGATACTATGTTTGAATATGGTAATAACATGTGTCTGTGTTTCAGACCCCTCCTCAGATCCGTCCCTTTAGTCAGGAGGAGTTCATGGGGACTTTGGAGCACGCTGGACCTCAGCTCACCTCTGTGCTCAAAGGGGATTGGGTGGGCCTGTACAGGTGAGTCTGTCCACCTTCCACCTCACCTGTCATTTCTAACTATTGTATCTTGTTGTGGCACGTTTTTCTAAACAAATCATTCATAATGCATTGCACTTCGATGTATGGCCTTGTAGGAAATTCTTCAGGTCCCCCAATTTCGATGGCTGGTATCGCCTGCGACACAGAGAGATGACCCAGAAACTAGAATGTCTCCACCTAGAGGTCGTCTGTGATGCTGTGAGTTGATCCCCACAGCCTTGTTCACTCACACCTAAAGACATTAGTTTAACTCTACTTACAGAGCATCATGTGACCAATAAACTCAACCACACGACTCCACTGACTTTACTTCAGTTAGGAGTCCTTTCCCTACCCATAGGAGTTGATTTAGTTTAATGTTTTGTTAATGATCTGCTCACCCAGGACCTGCTGGGTTGGACCAAAGACAAGTCAGAGGTGGAGATCGTGGACCTGGTTCTGAAACTGAGAGAGAAACTGGTCAGTAAAACCCATCAATATGTCCATTACGCTCACCTCAACGGGTGCCGTTTGTAACATGCTATATTTAGTGTAAGAAATGAATTCTGTGCCACAAACCGTTGCATACTATAGTCTCTGTCTGTCTCCCCCACTCCAGATGAAGGCTGGCAAGCAGCAGCTCCCAGTGAAGGAAGGGGTGCTGGTGAAATTAGAGGGATACCTCCAGACCGTCATCAGCTCTCTACCAGAGGACCTGCAGACTGTACTACACAGATATTGACGCTAACACTGGTACACTGAATAGATACAGAAACTGACACTGAAATGTTTAGTTTTTAGTCTTTTAAAAACAACCTGAAACTAAAAGTATTGCCATCACCCAAACCACTACCCCCTCTGAGTAAGATAATGAAGGTTTAGAATGTAGCAAACTAGAAGTTTAGGTAAAATAAGAAACATAGCTATGTTTCATCGTGACAATAACATTAGGTTAAGGGGAATAGAGTAGTTGAAATGTAGGCTTTATGAGATTATGCCTTCACAAAGTATCCTGATTGTTACTAGAGGGATTGAAGCATATACCTGTGGAGAGGGACATGTTTGAGTATAGCCTTTTGCTCGATTCCAGCTATTCAGATGTAACATGCATAGTTGTTAGGGTAAAATATAACTAGCATATGCACCTTTTTATTTTGATGAGTTTAAAACACTTGTCATTAAACCCATAAAAGGGGTGAATTACATTTAAGTGACTAACTGCATTTTGAGGCTTTCATCAATCTCAGTATTTTATATTGATCAAGCACAAACAAATCACACTACATTGAAACACCTCTAAATATCCAGGTTACAAAATCTTGAATTCCAGATTTCAGTTTAGGGTGTATGTATGTACAAAAGTATGTGGACACCCCTTCAAATTAGTGGATTCGGCTATTTCAGCCACACCCCATTGCTGACAGGTGTATAAAACCGAGCACACAGCCATGCAATCTCCATAGACAAACAATGGCAGTAAAATGGCCCGTACTGAAGAGCTCAGTGACTTTCAACGTGGCCCCGCCACCTTTCCAACTAGTCAGTTCGTCAAATTTCTGCCGCGCTAGAGCTGCCCCGGTCATCTGTAAGTGCTGTTATTGTGAAGTGGAAACGTCTAGGAGCAAAAACGGCTCAGCCGCAAAGTGGTAGGCCACACAAGCTCACAGAACGGGACCGCCGAGTGCTGAAGCGCGTAACGCGTAAAAACCATCTGTCCTCAGTTGCAACACTCACTACCGAGTTCCAAACTGCCTCTGGAAGCAACGTCGGCACAATAACTGTTTGTCGGGAGCTTCATGAAATGGGTTTCCATGGCCGAACAGCCACACACAAGCCTAAGGTTACCATGCGCAATGCCAAGCGTCGGCTGGAGTTGTGCAAAGCTCGCCGCCGTTGGACTCGGGAGCAGTGTAAACGTGTTCTCTGGAGTGATGAATCACACTTCACCATCTGGCAGTCCAACGGACGAATCTGTGTTTGGCGGATGCCAGGAGAACGCTACCTTCCCCAATGCATAGTGCCAACTGTAAAGTTTGGTGGAGGAGGAATAATGGTCTGGGGCTGTTTTTCATGGTTTGGGCTAGGCCCCTTAGTTCCAGTGAGGGAAATCTTAACGCTACAGCATACAATGACATTCTAGACGATTCTGTGCTTCCAACTTTGTGGCAAGTCCCCGTGTGGCAAGTCCCCGTGCACAAAGCGAGGTCCATACAGAAATGGTTTGTCGGGATCGGTGTGGAATAACTTAACTGGCCTGCACAGAGCCCTGAGCTCAAACCCATTGAACACCTTTGGGATGAATGCCGACTGCGAGCCAGGCCTAATCCGCCAACATCAGTGCACGACCTCACTAATGCTCTTATGGCTGAATGGAAGCAAGTCTCTGCAGCAATTTTCCAACATCTAGTGGAAAGCCTTCCGAGAAGAGTGGAGGCTGTTACAGCAGCAAAGGGGGACCAACTCCATATTAATGGCCATGATTTTCGAATGAGATGTTCGACGAGCAGGTGTCCACATACTTTTGGCCATGTAGTGTATTTGGTGCACAGTAGACATGGCTGAAACTGAGCTTATTTCTTTAATATTATAGTGGTCAATGAGTGCATAAAACACATGTAATACACGCATTATATCTTGTGGGTATGTGCAGGGTTTTTTAACAAAGTTGACAGTGCCAGTACTAGCCAAAGCCGCACCAGCTCCAAGCTAATTCTGCTAAGATATTCATCCATCAGCTAACATCTTTCCTAAACTACAACCACTCATTATATTGCAGGTTACCAGTGAATGTAAAACGAATGCAGCTGCAGATAAGAGTATTGATAATACTGATCTACTATTTGGATCCTGGTGTTTACTTATTTATAATAACCTAGTTTTTTTTTTATATACACTACCGTTCAAAAGTTTGGGGTCACTTAGAAATGTCCTTGTTTTTGAAAGAAAAGCAAAAAAAATTGTCCATTAAAATAACATCAAATTGATCAGAAATACAGTGTAGACATTGTTGAAACGGCTGATTTTGTTATGGAATATCTACATAGGCCCATTATCAGCAACCATCAGTCCTGTGTTCCAATGGCACGTTGTGTTTGCTAATCCAAGTTTATCATTTTAAAAGGCTAATTGATAATTAGAAAACCCTTTTGCAATTATGTTAGCACAGCTGAAAACTGTTGTGCTGATTAAAGAAGCAATAAAACTGGCCTTATTGAGACTAGTTGAGTATCTGGAGCATCAGCAATTGTGGGTTTGATTACAGGCTCAAAATGGCCGAAAACAAATCACTTTCTTCTGAAACTCATGTCTATTCTTGTTCTGAGAAATGAAGGCTATTCCATGCGAGAAATTGCCAAGGAAATGAAGATCTCGTACAACGCTGTGTACTACTCCCTTCACAGAACAGGGCAAACTGGCTCTAACCAGACTAGAAAGAGGAGTGGGAGGCCCCGGTGCACAACTGAGTGAGAGGACAAATACATTAGTGTCAAGTTTGAGAATCAGGTGCCTCACAGGTCCTCAACTGGCAGCTTCATTAAATAGTACCCGCAAAACACCGGTCTCAACATCAACAGTGAAGAGGCGACTCCGGGATGCTGACCTTCTAGGCAGAGTTGCAAAGAAAAAGCCATATCTCAGACTGCCCATCTTAATCTTTAATTTTTATTGGCCAGTCTGAGATATGGCTTTTTCTTTGCAACTCTGAAAAAAAAATCAGCTGTATCCGGCTACAATAGCCATTTACAACATTAACATTGTCTACACTGTATTTCTGATCAATTTGATGTTATTTTAATGGACTTTTTTTGTTGCTTTTCTTTAAAAAATAAGGACATTTCTAAGTGACCCCAAACTTTCGAACGGTAATGTGTATATATAAAACATTTTTATGGTTTCTAATGCAAATATACTGTTAGTGTTACTAATAAAAGTTGGAAACAACTGTGCTGAATGATAACTCAAAGGCTGTGATGCATCCATGCACCCACACGTTTAGAGAATCGCTGATATTTTACATTTTTATGTTAAGAGGGAATCCAAAATATGCATTTCAACAATAAGCATTGTATTATCCACACAATAAAACTGTATAGTAGAAAATACTGTAATTACCAACCAAAGTATTCAGCTTTTTAGCCCTCAGATTATCATACAATTATGTACAACACATACAGGAGATCTAGCATTAAAGGGATACTTTATCTACTTCCCCAGAGTCAGATGAACTCAAGGATACCATTTTTATGACTTTATGAAGGAAGTTAGTTTTGCGAGCCAATGCTAACTAGTGTTAGCGCAATGACTGGAAGTCTAAGGTATCTACTAGCATAATAGCAGTTACCATAGACTTCCAGTCATTTCGCTAACTCTAGTTAGCAACTTCCTTTAAACTACACACAGAGACATTAAAATGGATTCCATGAGTTCATCTGACTCTAGGGAAGTAGATAAAGGGCTTCATTGCCAAAATCCTGAAGAATCTCTTTAAAGCTACTGATGCACTCAAGTTTTAAAGGAAAGATTCACCCATTTAGAATGTTATATCATATTTGTGCATCTCTGAGCAATGTTCTATTGATTCCCGGGGTCATTTCATGTTTTCATGTGTACCGGAGCGATTCGCCCTTCAAGCAGGCAGAAATACAGTCGGTATGTAGAGTTTTGCATTATTTTTTCCACTAATTGGTTTTATTTCAAAATGATGCAAAACTCGCCATACTCGGCGTTAGTTCTGTCTGCTTGAACGGGGAATCTTTCCTTTAACATCATTATGGCTGTGTTTACACGGACAGCCCAATTATTAGTAAAATATTTGATCTGACTGGACAAAAAACTATTTGTGTAAACACAGCCTATCTCACCAAGATCAATAGATCATTTATTTTCAATATATACAGAGGTACAATATAAATATTCAAATAGAAGCAGGAGATCATTAGTTAACGAAGCCAGATGAGGAAACTCAGACAACTACATTTGACCTGTGTAGAACACAAGCCTGTTGGATAGTATCCTAACTCCTGTGGCGCACGTCACGTGACCGAGATGGACAACTCAGGAGATAATCAGTGTTGTGAAGAGAAAAACAACTCTCACACAGGTCATAAAGACTGAGGTTTATTATATAAAAGTTAACAGATTCTGTCCTTGTCCCTGTGTAATAACAGTCAATATTTGGTTACCTTCTTTTGGCAGAAACAGATGTGAGCCTCATTTTATCTTATCGAAGAATCAAAACAACCGAACATGCTGCTTCACATAGTGGCAAATACAAAAACAAACTCACACTTCTATATCCACTCATTACATTGCGAAATCCAATGTTGTGTGCTCTTTTTTCACACATAAAGCAATTATTTTGAAAATGAAATGTAATCAACAGTGTCAAAGCTCAAATGTTGGTTGCCATTTCATTTGACACCACACTCCTGGGAAAACAACACACCAAAATAAATATACTTTATTCAGGAAAACTAAACAACACACACTTGTCGACTGTCGGAGGAACATTTCAAATGAGCTCTCATTATTTGCCGAGTGAGGAGCTGAACTCTTCTCGTCCATCATCATTACCTCATCCCTGACGTCCAACGAGCGTTGGGCCCCACCAGCCGCAATGCCTGGGTGATGATGTCACTCTCCTCCTGCACCGGGTCATCCATGTTGTTGGCGTTGTTGCTGCCGCAGTCCGCAGTCGCTCTGAAGTCCGGCACCGTGTCTCCTTCGTCGCTGTGGTGAGCTCTGTAACCAGCGAGACTGTAGCCGATAGACTTTAGCTTCTCCAGCTCCTGGTCCTTCTCTTGCAGCAGGCCCATGGTGCGGTCCCTCTGCCGGTGCAGTTCCCCCTCCAGCCTGAGGAGGCTCTCTCTGTACTGGGCCTCAGCCCGGTCAAGCTCCTGTTTATGACCCTGCTGCAGCATCCCTATCCCCTGCTGACACTCATCCAGCTCCCGGCGGTGCTTGGCCTCGGCCTCGTCGCCATGGATACGCAGGTTGATGTACTTCTCCTTGAGATCAGCCAGCTGGTCACGGGCCTCCTCCAGCTCTTTGGCCAGGCTGCAGTCTTTAGCGTTCTTGTTCTTCAGCACCACCTGCGCCCGCACCTTGTAGCGCTCAAACTCCTCCTTCAGCTGACGCAGTTCCTGCTGGTAGTAGAGCGCTGAGGCCTTCTCCCCGTCTGACGACTCCCCCCCACTGCCCGTCCCCTGACCCAGCCCCAGCTGCCCCTCCATCTCAGCCAGCTTCTCTATCTCCATGGTCTGCTCTGGGTGGTTCCTCTGTGTGGCTAGCAGAAGAAGCCTCTTCACCTTCTCCAGGCGCTCCTTCAGTACGTGCACGTCCAGGTTAGCCTCGTCCATGCTGAGGTCCAGAGGGGAGCCCCGGGTGGAAGCGGCGATGGCCAGGGTCTTGTTCTCCATGTCCAGCTGCAGGATGCGCTCTCTCAGCCGGTGGGCGTTCTGCTGGTCCCTCTGCCGGGCCTTCTCGCAGGCCCCAAGCAGCTCAGACAGCTCAGACACCCGCAACTCCAGGCTGGCCACACGGCCCTCCTCCAGCTGGGATTGCTCCTGCAGACGCTCCTCTGCCTGCGACGCCTGCAGACAGAGAGAGGACAGGCACATGGCAGCCATGAGACACAAATGGACAATGGAAGACAACAGTACATGTATTGTGTTCTTTCTTCCTCTCCCTGAAAAACAAGTGTCCTTATAATTCCATGTTGTTCTCTACTATGGCATTTATGTTTTATCAAGCTATTGTAGAAGTGCTCAAGAGATAAAGGTGCTCAAAGTTGACCTATTTTGCATACCCCCCACCATACAATGAGAGATCCATGTCTTCATCACTGGAAAAGATATAATTTAAAAGCTTACAAACAGGGTTGTCAAACTATTTCATAATTTCTTGGAAAAATATTGTTTTATTAAAAATTGTATTATTTACCTGAAACGTCAATTATATAAAAACGCGTGGACTCAGATTATTTTCATATTTACATATGCTGTAGCTTAGACCCTATTTTACATAATCTACGGTTTTTGTGTTGTGCCTGCCATCGGTTGAGACAACATGCTCTTGAATACAGGGTGGGTGTCAAGTTTTGGCTGACAAATGTTCTAAAATGGGAATTCAATTTTAATGTCAACTTTCAAATGGAACCCCAAAGATGATTGGAGGTCCACACATCAGAAAATGTTGACTTGAACGGGAATATTGGTTTTAAATTATACTTTCAATCCTCCATAGGAAACCTATTGAAATCATATAAATATACAGTGCATTCGGAAAGTATTCAGACCCCTTGACTTTTTCCACTTTGTTATGTTACAGCCTTATTCTAAAATGGATTAAATTGTTTCCCCCCCTCAATCTACACACAATACCCCATAATGACAAAGCAAAAACAGGTTTTTAGAGCGGAAATATCACATTTACATAAGTATTCAGTCCCTTCACTCAGTACTTAGTTGAAGCACCTTTGGCAGCGATTACAGCATAGAGTCTTCTTGGGTATGACACTACAAGCTTGGCACACCTGTATTTGGGGAGTTTCTCCCATTCTTCTCTAAAGATTTTGCATATTCTACCTTTATGTACCTATTCAGGATACATCACCATGAAGAGAATGATATTCATATCCATAATTATGCATTTCTGGACAGTACAGATCAGGGACCCATGATGTAATTCCGTTACCGGGTGTAAATCCACTTCACCTACTGTAGTTCAATAACCAAAAGTATTTTTTTTTAACTCAAGGTGTCATGTCATAGCTGACACCCATTCTTTCTGCAGACATCTTTGAATCTTCATTCAGAGCAGATATTTAAGAGTTTTTGGAAAACGTGGTAGCATAAAAAACTGAGGGAGATTTTACTGTAATTCTGTTACCAAACTTTGCATCTGCACAGTTCTTCCAGTAAATGTGTTTTTGTGAAATTCTGTGTGAATTGTTCAAAGTAGTCCTTGTGCATAGAGTTGTATGGTATGTTAAACTTTGACATTTACATTTACATTACATTTTAGTCATTTAGCAGACGCGCTTATCCAGAGCGACTTGAAATCAATGGTTTTAGTTTGGCATACACTTTAAAGTGAAATCGGAGTCAAAGCGTAATTCAGTTACCATGGAATTGCCTGTATGGAAAATGGGTCAACTTTGAAATCGGAGTCAAAGCGTAATTCAGTTACCATGGAATTGCCTGTATGGAAAATGGGTCAACTTTGAGTATCTTTATCTCCTGAATGTTTTGACATTCAAGTCCAAAAAGTCACTTTCTGACCACTTCTCCATGAGGAAACATGCATGGAAAGTGTTCTTTAAATCAAAAAGGGATGCTGTTAAAATGTGATTGATTTCAAATGGATTTACCCTGCAGTCTTCCCAATCATTACCATACCTTTCTGATCTCATGCTGCATCTGCTGCTGAAAGTGGTTATTGTGCGCTGTCAGTTCCCGCTGCAGCTCCTCCACCCGTGGGTCTGGCTTGTTCCTCTCTGACTCTGCAGCCTGCAGGCTCCTCCTCATCTCCTCCCTCTGCTGGGTCACCTCCTTTAGCCGGGCCTCATAATCGTGCTTCCGATCTGCGGCCTGTGTGACCTCCAGCAGGACCTCCCTGGCGTCCTCCAGCTGAAGCTCGGCATCCTGCCTCTGGCCTCTCTCCTCCTGCAGTAATTTCTGGAGCTCTCTGAGCATAAGGGAGTGGTTGCCCTGCTCCTGTTCTCTCTCATGTTGCTGGGTGATGACCCGGGCCTTGCTCTCCACCAGCTGCTCATGCAGGGCGTGGATCTCCGCTTCATGCTGCCTCCTGGCCTCCTCCAGCCTCCCCTGGAGCTCATCCATCTCCTGCTTGATCTTCCGCTTGTCGGCCTGGAAATTGGCCTCCATCCTGGACTTTTCCTGCGTGACCGTGGCCAGGGAGCTGGTCAGGGTGGTCAGCTGGGTCTTCAGCTGGAGGACCCTCCGGTCGGCCTCCATAGAAGAGGTGGGTGGGGGTGTTGGTTGCTGCTGAACCTCAGACCCTCCACTACTGCTGGAGCTGATACCGCTCTCTGACCCACTAGCCTCCTCAAACCTCTGCGACACTGAGGGGCCTCCTGGCCCGGTCGCCCCCATCTCTCCTGGGCTACTACCCTGCTCCTCTTCAGCCTGGTCGCCCTTGGTGCTCCCACTGGTAAAGCTGGTAGCAGTGTCGGCGGAGGCTGCTGTGTCCAGACTGTCCTCGCTGTGCATGGAGCAGTGATCATCTGGAAAGTCAGAGGGCATATGGCTGCTACTGGCAGAACCGTCATCTCCACGCTGGCTGAGGTCTACCTCCTGGGAGACGGTCAGTACCTTCAGACTAGCCTCCAGAGCCTCCTTCTCCTTCAGCAGGCTCTTGTAGGCCCTGACCACATCCTTGAAGCGTGTTTGATACTGGACCAACTGCTTTCTCTGAGTCTCTATGGTGTCCACAAGCTCCTTCTTGTTGGGGCCACCCACAAAGCTCATCCCAAACTTCTCCATGGCTCAGTGGGTTTTCGATTTTATTTTCAGTTACTTGACTTTCAGCTGGGATCCATGATTGCTGGCTCAAACAAAAACCCTGCATGGGATATACACTGCTCAAAAAAATAAAGGGAACACTTAAACAACACATCCTAGATCTGAATGAATGAAATAATCTTATTAAATACTTTTTTCTTTACATAGTTGAATGTGCTGACAACAAAATCACACAAAAATTATCAATGGAAATCAAATGTATCAACCCATGGAGGTCTGGATTTGGAGTCACCCTCAAAATTAAAGTGGAAAACCACACTACAGGCTGATCCAACTTTGATGTAATGTCCTTAAAACAAGTCAAAATGAGGCTCAGTAGTGTGTGTGGCCTCCACGTGCCTGTATGACCTCCCTACAATGCCTGGGCATGCTCCTGATGAGGTGGCGGATGGTCTCCTGAGGGATCTCCTCCCAGACCTGGACTAAAGCATCCGCCAACTCCTGGACAGTATGTGGTGGAACGTGGCGTTGGTGGATGGAGCGAGACATGATGTCCCAGATGTGCTCAATTGGATTCAGGTCTGGGGAACGGGCGGGCCAGTCCATAGCATCAATGCCTTCCTCTTGCAGGAACTGCTGACACACTCCAGCCACATGAGGTCTAGCATTGTCTTGCATTAGGAGGAACCCAGGGCCAACCGCACCAGCATATGGTCTCACAAGGGGTCTGAGGATCTCATCTCGGTACCTAATGGCAGTCAGGCTACCTCTGGCGAGCACATGGAGGGCTGTGCGGCCCCCCAAAGAAATGCCACCCCACACCATGACTGACCCACCGCCAAACCGGTCATGCTGGAGGATGTTGCAGGTAGCAGAACGTTCTCCACGGCGTCTCCAGACTCTGTCACATGTGCTCAGTGTGAACCTGCTTTCATCTGTGAAGAGCACAGGGCGCCAGTGGCGAATTTGCCAATCTTGGTGTTCTCTGGCAAATGCCAAACGTCCTGCACGGTGTTGGGCTGTAAGCACAACCCCCACCTGTGGACGTCGGGCCCTCGTACGACCCTCATGGAGTCTGTTTCTGACCGTTTGAGCAGACACATGCACATTTGTGGCCTGCTGGAGGTCATTTTGCAGGGCTCTGGCAGTGCTCCTCCTGCTCCTCCTTGCACAAAGGCGGAGGTAGCGGTCCTGCTGCTTGGTTGTTGCCCTCTTACGGCCTCCTCCACGTCTCCTGATGTACTGGCCTGTCTCCTGGTAGCGCCTCCATGCTCTGGACACTACGCTGACAGACACAGCAAACCTTCTTGCCACAGCTCGCATTGATGTGCCATCCTGGATGAGCTGCACTACCTGAGACACTTGTGTGGGTTGTAGACTCCGTCTCATGCTACGACTAGAGTGAAAGCACCGCCAGCATTCAAAAGTGACCAAAACATCAGCCAGGAAGCATAGGAACTGAGAAGTGGTCTGTGGTCACCACCTGCAGAACCACTTCTTTATTGGGGGTGTCTTGCTAATTGCCTATAATTTCCACCTGTTGTCTATTCCATTTGCACAACAGCATGTGAAATGTATTGTCAATCAGTGTTGCTTCCTAAGTGGACAGTTTGATTTCACAGAAGTGTGATTGACTTGGAGTTACATTGTGTTGTTTAAGTGTTCCCTTAATTTTTTTGGAGCAGTGTATTAAGAGGAACCATTGTTAGACAGCATCATAAAACAGTAGCAAGCTAACGTTAGTGCAAAATATATATTGCCTTCAGAAAGTATTCATACCCCTTGACTTATTCCACATTCTGTTGTGTTACAGCCCGAATTCAAAATAGATTAAATTGTTTTTTTCCCCCTCACCCATCTACACACAATACCCCATAATAACAAAGTGAAAACATGTTTTTAGAAATATTTGCAAATCTATTGAAAATAAAATACAGAAATCTAATTTACATAAGTATTCACATCCCTGAATCAATACTTAGTAGAAACACCTTTGGCGGCAATTACAGCTTTAAGTTCTCTTGGGTATGTCTATCAGCTTTGCACATCTGGATTTGGGGGATTTTCGCCCATTCTTCCTTGCAGATTTTCTCAAGCTCTGTTAAGTTCGATGGGGAGCAGTGGTTAACAGCAATCTTCTGGTCTTTCCACAGATTTTCAATGGGATTCAAGTCTGGGCTTTGGCTGGGCCACTCAAGGACTTTCACATTCTTGTTCTGAAGCCATTCCAGCATTGCTTTGGCTGTATGCTTGGGGTCATTGTCCTGTTGGAACGTAAATCTTCTCCCCCAGTCTAATATCACTTGCCCTCTGAAGCAGGTTCTCTTCAAGGATTTGGCTCCATTCATTGTTCCCTCTATCCTTATCAGTCTCCCAGTCCCTGCTGCTGAAAAGCATCCCCATAGCATGATGCTGCCACCATCATGCTTCACGGTAGGGATGGTGTTAAGACAGGTGATGAGTTGTGACTGGTTTTCTCCAGACATAGCACTTTGCAATCAGGCCAAAGAGTTTACTTTGTGTCTCATCAGACCAGAGACTATTTTGCCTTATGATCTGAGTCTTTCACATGCCTTTTTGCAAACTACAGGCGTTCTGTCATGTGCCTTTTTCTCAGGAGTGGTTCCGTCTGGCCACTCTTTCATAAAGCCCAATTGATGAAGTGCTGTAGAGTGTTGTCCTTCTGGCAGGTTCTGTCAGAGTGGTCATTGGGTTCTTGGTCACCTCCCAGATCGTTGTCTTTCTTGCCTGGTTGCTCAGTTTGGTTGGACGGCCAGCTCTAGGCAGTGTCTGGGTAGTTCCATATTTTTGTCAATTTCCCAATGATGGAGACCACTGTGCTCTTGGAAACTTTCAACACTCTAGAAATTGTTTTATACCCTTCCCCAGATATAGTTGAAGTCGGAAGTTTACATACACCATAGCCAAATACATTTAAACTCAGTTTTTCACAATTCCTGACATTTAATCCTAGTAAAGATTCCCTGTCTTAGGTCAGTTAAAATAAAGTGGTGATCCTAAGAATGTGAAATGTCAGAATAATAGTAGAGAGAATGATTCATTTCAGCTTTTCTTTATTTCATCACATTCCCAGTGGGTCAGAAGTTTACAGACTCAATTAGTATTTGGTAGCATTGCCTTTAAATTGTTTAACTTGGGTCAAACGTTTCGGGTAGCCTTCCACAAGCTTCCCACAATAAGTTGGGTGAATTTTGGCCCATTCCTCCTGACAGAGCTGGTGTAACTGAGTCAGGTTTGTAGGCCTCCTTGCTCGTACACGCTTTTTCAGTTCTGCCCACATATTTTCTATAGGATTGAGGTCAGGGCTTTGTGATGGCCACTCCAATAACTTGACCTTGTTGTCCTTAAGCCATTTTGCCACAACTTTGGAAGTATGCTTGGGGTCATTGTCCATCTGGAAGACCCATTTGCGACCAAGCTTTAACTTCCTGACTGATGTCTTGAGATGTTGCTTCAATATATCCACATCATTTTCCTTCCTCATGATGCCCTCTATTTTGTGAAGTGCACCAGTCCCTCCTGCAGGAAAGCACCCCCACAGCATGATGCTGCCACCCCCGTGCTTCACGGTTGGGATGGTGTTCTTCGGCTTGCAAGCACCCCCTTTTTCCTCCAAACATAACGATGGTCATTATGGCCAAACAGTTATATTTTTGTTTCATCAGACCAGAGGACATTTCTCCAAAAAGTACAATCTTTGTCCCCATGTGCAGTTGCAAACCGTAGTCTGGCTTTCTTATGGCGGTTTTGGAGCAGTGGCTTCTTCTTTGCTGAGCGGCCTTTCAGGTTATGTCGATAAAGGACTTGTTTTACTGTGGATATAGATACTTTTCTACCCGTTTCCTCCAGCATCTTCACAAGGTCCTTTGCTGTTGTTCTGGGATTGACTTGAACTTTTCGCACCAAAGTACGTTCATCTCTAGGAGACGGAACGCGTCTCCTTCCTGAGCGGTATGACGGCTGCGTGGTCCCATGGTGTTTATACTTGCATACTATTGTTTGTACAGATGAACATGGTACCTTCAGGCGTTTGGAAATTGCTCCCAAGGATTAACCAGACTTGTGGAGGTCTACAATGTTTTCTTTCTGAGGTTTTGGCTGATTTCTTTTGATTTTCCCATGATGTCAAGCAAAGAGGCACTGAGTTTGAAGGTAGGCCTTGAAATACAGTGGGGAAAAAAAGTATTTAGGTCAGCCACCAATTGTGCAAGTTCTCCCACTTAAAAAGATGAGAGAGGCCTGTAATTTTCATCATAGGTACACGTCAACTATGACAGACAAATTCAGGAAAAAAAATCCAGAAAATCACATTGTAGGATTTTTAATGAATTTATTTGCAAATTATGCAGGGGGACACGTCAGAAGTTTACATACACTAAGTTGACTGTGCCTTTAAACAGCTTGGAAAATTCCAGAAAAGTATGTCATGGCTTTAGAAGCTTCTGATAGGCTAATTGACATAATTTTAGTCAATTGGAGGTGTACCTGTGGATGTACAGTGTTGTGATACAATGAATTATAAGTGAAATAATCAATTGTTGGAAAAATGACTTGTGTCATGCACAAAGTAGATGTCCTAACCGACTTGACAAAACTATAGTTTGTTAACAAGAAATGTGTGGAGTGGTTGAAAAACGAGTTTAATGACTCCAACCTAAGTGTATGTAAACTTCCAAATTCAACTGTATACGCTACCAGTAAAAAGTTTCGATACACCTACTCATTCAAGGGTTTTTCTGTATTTTTACAAAAAATATATACATTGCAGAATATTAGTGAAGACATCAAAACTATGAAACTATGTAGTAACCAAAAGTGTTAAACAAATCTATTTGAGAGTCTTCAAATAGCCATCATTTGCCTTGATGACAGCTTTGCACACTCTTGGCATTCTCTCAATCTGCTTCATGAGGTAGTCACCTAAAATGCATTTCAATTAACAGGTGTGCCTTCTTAAAAGTTAATTTGTGGAATTTCTTTCCTTCTTAATGCATTTGAGCCAATCAGTTGTGTTGTGACAAGATAGGGGTGGTATACAGAAGATAGCCCTATTTGGTAAAAGACCAAGTCCATATTATGGCAAGAACAGCTCAAATAAGCAAAGATAAATTACAGTCCATCATTACGTTAAGACATGAAGGTCAGTCAATACAGAACATTTCAAGAACTTTTAAAGTTTCTTCAAGTGCAGTCGCAAAAACCATCAAGCGCTATGATGAAACTGGCTCTCATGAGGACCGCCACAGGAAAGGAAGACCCAGAGTTACCTCTGCTGCAGAGGATAAGGGGGGGGGGGGGGGGGGGGGGGGGGGGATAGAAACTGCTGAGAAAACATTCCAGGGTGAAGGGGACTGAGAAACTGTTTAAAAGCCTCCTAAAAAGTGGGCGAAGCAAAGTGCCTTTGAGTGTCAAGGGGTATAAAAGCTGTATATGTGTTTTTTGGCGGTAGAGCTCTCCATGATTAAACATACAGATCATTCTTGCCGGTTGTGGACCTTTGTTTAATTCATGATTAAACCAGAGCCTTACACCCTCTGAGAATTATTCAGAGCATTAAGTTTGATTAATTAGAGATAGAAATTCTCGTGACAATTTCCCACTATAAAGCATGGAGGAGGAGTTGTTATGGTGTTGGGGTGCTTTGCTGGTGACACTGTCTGTGATTTATTTAGAATTCAAGGCACACTTAACCAGCATGGTTACCACAGCATTCTGCAGCGATACGCCATCCCATTTGTTTTGGGCTTAGTGGGACTATCATTTGTTTTTCAACAAGACAATGACCCAACACACATCCAGGCTGTGTAAGGGCTATTTTACCAAGAAGGAGAGTGATGGAGTGCTGCATCAGATGACCTGGCCTCCACAATCCCCCGACCTCAACCTCAACCCAATTGAGATGGTTTGGGATGAGTCGGACCGCAGAGTGAAGGAAAAGCAGCCAACAAGTGCTCAGCATATGTGGGAACTCCTTCCAGACTGTTGGAAAAGCGTTCCAGTTGAAGCTGGTTGAGAGAATGCCAAGCTGTCATCAAGGCAAAGGGTGGCTATTTGAAGAATCTCAAATACTAAATATATTTTGATTTGTTTAACACTTTTTTGGATACTACATGATTCCATATGTGTTATTTAAAAGTTTTGATGTCTTCACTATTATTCTACAATTTAGAAAATAGTAAAAAATAAAGAAAAGCCCTGGAATGAGTAGGTGTGTCCAAACATTTGACTGGTACTGTATGCCTCATCACATTTCTATCTCAGAGATCCACGGACAGTTCGTTGGACTTCATGGTATAGTTTCTGCTCTGACATACAATATCAACTGTGGTACCTTATATAGGCAGGTGTATTTCTTTCTAAATCATATCCAACCAATTGAATCGGCCACAGGTGGACTCCAATCAAGTTGTAGTGACATCTCAAGGGTGATCAAAGTAAATTGGATGCACCGGAGTTCAATTTGGAGTGTCATACCAAAAGGTTGTGAATACTTATGTAACTTATATATTTCTGTATTTCATTTTCAATTAATTTGCAAACATTTTCTAAAAACATGTTTTCACTTTGTCATTATGGGGTAGTGTGTGTAGATGGGTGAGGAATTTTTTTTATTTAATCAATTTTGAATTCAGGCTATAACAACAAAATGTGTAATAAGTAAAGGGGTATGAATACTTTCTGAAGCACTGTAACGTACCTTCTGTGTTAGTGCTGTCTACTTGTCTGTTTACTTTACAAGACAGATTTCAACCGACATGGACAGACGTGGTTATGGGCAGACTAGTTGCAAATAATAATAATGTATTATCGACAGCTAGTTAGCTTGATAGTTAGTTAGTTGTCATGTTAAGCTACACAACAATATCGAATGGTCTTCGCGAAAGACCTCTCTCTCGCCCTCTTCGACAGCATACCATTTGCAACAAACAGTTCGATACACCGATGTATAATCAAATTTACACTAATATAATCAGAATGTGCAATATCATAACTTTAAAGTAAACTCACCTTCAGAATAGCACGTCTCAACAAACGATGGTTTTCCAAGCTATTTCCTGTTCTTCACAGTGAGATTTTTTTATGTTAAAAAAAAAATGTACTAGAAGCAGTCTGTTAAAGCGGCCATCTTGCTAAGGTCGAAATAATTATTTATCTGTCAAATACAGAGAAGATTCTCTGTATTCAACATTCTCAATAAACTACTTCTGTGCACATTTTGATACTATACACTATATGCATTGTAAAATGAAAAGCTCAATAAACGATAGCTACATGGTGCAAAATGAAGGAGCGAGTCTGTGAATAAAGTTATGTGAAAGCGCTGACGTAATTTATTCCGCGTTGGCCTGGACGTGGCATCTGAGAAGACTGCGAAAGGAAGGCTGCACCCACTCTCTCTGTCTGGTTACAATAAACACCTTTTGTTTTCTATTTTATTATCGTCACGCGGAGCTCTTTCACAACATGGGGCTAACAATTTCGTCGATATTTTCCAGGCTTTTTGGCAAAAAACAGATGAGGATACTTATGGGTGAGCAATCCTCTTATCAATCTGGCCAAGGAACTAGGTGGCTGCTAGCTAACGTTAGCTAGCTAGTGGGAGGGGGTTGCCACATCAGGGATGTACTTTGCTTTTTGTAAAAATATTACAGTTATAGTAAACTACCTGTTCATCTGTCTTGCCATGTGTCTTGTAACGTAAACATTACTCGTTTGAGAGCAATTGGAGTAAAAACACAGACTAGCTAGGATAACGCTCAGGCAGAAGATTGCTAGCTATTTGTGATATTGCACAATAATTACTGGTCGTTTGTTCACTTAATACCAACGAATGGCTTACCTACGTCATCTCTCAGGTCTATACAAGTTGGTAGTTAACTTTTTATAATGGGTCTCTAGCATTCAATACAAAGCAACTAGAGTAATGTCCATCACTCTTACCATAGCTTGTCCAGCCTATATTTTGGGGTTGTGGATGCTGCTCCTAATTTGAGCTAAAGGCACAGTTGCTACCCTATATATTTGTATATGTTGTCCAAATCATTGCAGTTTGACAGCTGATGATGGGAAACTAGGCACCCCTCTGTCAGCTGTCAGAGGGATTTCATTTGACACGGAGACAGACCTGTCTTGTAATAGCTACCTGTCTCTTTTCAGTTACAGTACAATATGTTTGTCTTGCATTTTTTGTTGTTTGATTTTGTTGTATGGAAAATAAGTAACCTATCTGGGTTTATTATGATTGGGAAGTTTGTTGACATTACTCTTTTCTTCTGTAGTTGGTTTGGATGCTGCTGGAAAGACCACTATTCTCTACAAACTGAAGCTGGGGGAGATTGTAACCACTATTCCAACCATTGGTAAGAAAATCTCTGGCTATGACCAGAGCCAAAGATTGATAGATCTCTAGCGTACACAACCATACACAAAATATGGGCCCTCTCAGCTTTCGGCACTGTCTTTAAAAGTATCTCCTCAGTAATCTGATTGAAATGGGGGAGTTGCTTTCTCATGGAGCTTGTGGGCAAATTAAGATTTATTTTGATGTCTTGTTCTGGTGACTGACTTAGCATGACACACACACTGAGACCAATCTTTGATGTGTCGCTATGGTAATCAAGTCCAATTGTTCAGGGATGTTGGCCTACCCTGTTTAATGTTTATGGAAATTGACAATAAGGTCCACTCACAATTCAGTCTGTCCAATTTCAGAAAAATATATTTATTGGGACATGACAGAGAGGGATAGAACTGGAGCTGAATGGTTTTTAAGCCTTGCATGACCATAGTTCTGGGACAAAGAACAGTAGATGGCTGCACTGCCTTCATACTCCAGAGCTGTTAGGGCTTGCTGGGTGAGGGGGCTCTTTTGATGGAGCAGAGTGGTTGATAAGTTTCTAAACTCCTAGACAAAATAAGTAGGGAAGAAAATAATGGTTTGTCCCACCTGAGATCAAACAGAATTTAATTTTCAATTCAATTTTTATTTATTTACAGTTAGTGAGTGCATACATTTTCCCCCCGTGAGAATCGAACCCACAACCCTGGCATTGCAAGTGCCATGCTCTACCAACTGAGCTACACGGGACTACCTTTATTTAACTAGCCAAGTCAGTTCAGAACAAATTCATATTTACAATGACGGCCTACACCGGCCAAACCCGGACGACGCTGGGCCAATTGTGCGCCGCCCTATGGGACTCCCAATCACGGCCGGTTGTGATACAGCCTGGAATCGAACCAGGGGGTCTGTAGTGACGCCTCCATAATTTTTCATTTTCAACTTGAGCTACAGGCAGTACTTTACTCCTATTGCAAATTGGTTTTAATTAGCCTATAATTTATACAGAACCTTATTTCTACCATAGTGTTCTAGATCAGAGCTGTTTATACTGGTAGAGGTCAGACTAGTGATTCTGGATCTAGTCTCGGTGTGAATTCCTGTTGCTGATGCTCTCTCTCGCTCTTCGGTGACTGAGTAGGTTTTAACGTGGAGACTGTTGAGTACAAGAACATTTGCTTCACCGTGTGGGATGTGGGCGGTCAGGACAAGATCCGCCCCCTCTGGAGGCACTACTTCCAGAACACACAGGTATGACACACACCTGTGACATCAGTGATGTCATCATAGCATATCTTTGATATCTTAATTCAACTATACAAATAGTGCTAGAATCAATAGGTGTCAGAATGGTCCCTGTCAAAAGGACTCTTGTTTATCTAAAAAGCTAGGTTAATATGTAGAGTAGACAAAATACATAACAACAGTAGCCTGACCTTTGAACCTTGATTTCACAGGGCCTTATCTTCGTAGTGGACAGCAACGACAGAGAGAGAGTAGCGGAGTCGGCAGAGGAGCTGTCTAAAATGGTAAGTGTTGCATACATGTCTAATTATAAGCTACTGTTGTTTTTGGTCAAGGGACAGTACGCTTTTTGTGTTGGCATTTACAGTATTTCTGTGAAAAGGAACCTAAAACTGAGTTCATGGTTGACATGGGCAAATAAACAGTAATTCAATAGTAAATAATGGTGTTATTTATATAGTTGCCATTGTGACTGTGATCATTCATCATCTGTATTGACACACACAGCCTTCTGTGGCCTATGGTTTCCGATTGACAATGGCCGCTTGCATAAATGTTTTCCCTCCCCTTATTCTCCCTACCAATTTCTCTCATTTATTTATCTCTCTCTTTACAGCTCCAGGAGGATGAGTTGAGGGAGGCAGTGTTGCTGGTGTTTGCGAACAAACAGGACCTGCCCAACGCTATGGCAGTGAGCGACCTCACAGACAAACTGGGCCTGCAGAGCTTGCGCAGCAGAGTTGTGAGTATCTCTCTCTCTTCCTCACACACACACTTGAACAGTCCTTCCAAAGAGTTGTACAGTAAAATGTATTTCTGACCAGATAAACATGTGGTCCATGTAATATACACTGTGGCTATGTAGTTATTCACAAGTATGACATTACTGGCTTTTAATTTACTGCAACTCATGTCGCTCTCCTTCCAGTGGCATGTCCAGGCTACCTGTGCTACCCAGGGCACTGGGCTATACGAAGGACTGGACTGGCTATCCAACGAGCTGTCGAAACGCTAAAGAATGGAGAAATCGCAGGACCGGAGCAAACGAAAGATCTGAACACACGAGCGAGAGTAGGAGAAGGGGCGCAGGCTGAGCATTTCATCAATGGGAAAAAAAACTGCAACTTTTTAAATTATCAGTGTGTTTGTCTGGTAGAACTTGCAGTTATGGACTTTGCGATCAGTTCCTGTTCTGAAACCTTTTTTCATCATTCTTCCCTTTTATTCCCATTATTGTCATACCTGCAGATGTTTCTTAAGACTGTTTATATCTTTATGTCACCCAACTTCCTCAACAGTAAAATTGTTTTGAGTTGCATGTTTAAAAAAAACATAACAAATAGATTCACATGACAGCTGATGTTGATCGTTGTGGAATGGAACGGTGGGCCAATAGGTTTTGTTGGGTGGGCATTTGGATACCGGGAGTTTGTTGGACACAGTGTATGGTATGGGGGTTTGGGTTCAAAACCCCTCTGGCCTCCCCGAGTCATTCCAGAGAGCTGAACCTGAAGGCCAGTTCCATTCCTAAACAATGTGAAGAGTGCAGGACCTTCAGTCATTTCAATGGCCATTATGATGCAATAAAATATTATTTTTCTTTTCTCAACTCTTAAAACATTGTCAGTTCTCTTTTCTGAGTGGGCGAGGTGGGACATAGTTGGTCATGAAGGAATGGAGAATCTTGAGATGTGGCCATGGTTCAAATAGTAGGGAATGTTTCTTAGCCAAAACAACCTGTTCAGTTTTAGTTTGTACATTTTAAGCAAAGAGAGCAGATTCTTTAATTAGGTTTATCAAAAATTGATACTTTATGAAAAGTTAATTGCATCTTGCAGAAAAAAATGGTGTAGTTAGGAAAGTAAACTGCTTATAAAAACAGTTCCATGCACGTCTTTACATTCCCTTCAGAAGTGCTCCCACTTAATCTTCAGATTAAAACCCTACTTAGATACTCATTGTTTACATTATGACTTGCTTTAAAGCTGCAATATGTAACTTTTTGGGTGACCTGACCAAATTCAGTTATAGATCTTATTCATGTCTAAGAAGCAGTGGATTTGTTCTATGTGCGCTATGATAAAACAGTCATTGCATGTGTATATTCATTACTACTGATAGATATTACATAGCAACATTGCACACTCATGACACTTAGTTCAGGTTAGAAAAAAACAGCACAGAGTTACCCTAAAAATATCAATTTCCATCAAGCCACATTCAGTAGGGCACGACATTAATACATACTTTTTTTAAGCAGAACAGACATGCCTCTGACATGTTGAGTATTTAAAGTCATCAGCTCTATCCATGGTATTTCTATCTGCAACATTCAGTATGTTAAACAAAACCCTGCTGGGTTGTTGGGGAGCATTCAAACTAAATAGCAAGTGCACATATATTATAAACTGAATAGATTTAATTCCAGTCTACCTGCCACACACAAACCGACAATTCATTATCATCACATACTGTAGGGACTAATAGACCACGGCACTATTCTGTTCCATTTCTCATTGCAAACAAAGTTACCAATTAAGATTATACATGCAGTTTGATATGCCTATTTTGGCCCATTCAATTTGAATTCTTCAATATCTATACTGAACAAAAATATAAACTTAACATGTAAAGTGTTGGTCCCATGTTTCATGAGCTGAAATAAAAGATGCCATACATTTTCCATACGCACAAAAAGCATATTTATCTCATGTTGTGCACAAATTTGTTTATATCCCTGTTAGTGAGCATTTCTCCTTTGTCAAGATAATCCATCCACCTGATAGGTGTGGCATATCAAGAAGCTGATTAAATAGCGTGATCATTACACAGGTGCACCTTGTGCTGGGGACAATAAAAGGCCTCTCTAAAATGTGGAGTTATATCACACAACTGGATGCCACAGAGGTCTCAAGTTTTGAGGGAGCCTGCAATTGGCATGCTGACTGCAGGAATGTCCAACAGAGCTGTTGCCAGAGAATGTAATGTTAATTTCTCTACCATAAGCCACCTCCAACGTCATTTTAGAGAACTTGGGAGTACATCCGACCGGCCTCACAACCACAGACCATGTGTAACCACACCAGCCCAGGACCTCCACATCCAGCTTCTTCACCTGCGGGATCGTCTGAGTAGGGGGATGGGGGGTGCTGAGGAGTATTTATGTCTGTAATAAAGCCCTTTTTTGGGGAAAACTCATTCTGATTGGCTGGGCCTGGCTCCCCAGTAGGTGAACTTGGCTCCCAAGTGGGTGGGCCTATGCCCTCCCAGGCCACTCATGTGAAATCCATAGATTAGGGCCTAATTTATTTATTTCAATTGACTGATTTACTTCTATGAACTTTAACTTAGTAAAATCTTTGAAATTGTTGCATTTATATTTTTGTTCAGTATAACTTCATATGTGCTTTCTTCTGTTGTTCTGAAACCTTATAACTAAGAATGGAACGGAACAGTTCAGTGGAGTCCCTGTCCTTTGTGAGTGCGTGGATTGGAGTGGTTTCCTTCGTTCTCCCAACCCATCTCCGCTACACGGTTCTACACCACCACAGGTTCCCTCTGGTTGTTCTGACGTTTCACCACAAACACCTTCTGACCAGACACGGTCACTGTGTACACATAGTCCTCGAGCATGACTGTGAAGAAAGAACACAGGGAGGTCTGGTTATAGTGGCATGTTGGGAGCAGCAATACTGTGTGTGCGTGTGACCCTAGGTCCCAGGTGTGTGTTGTCTGACTTACCTGACATGCGTTTGAAGGGCGGCTCAGCAGCACCCTGCAGTCTGAAGCGACACGCGGTCCGCATCATCTGCATTATGACCCCAGCTGTGTGCTCGTCATTCTCCAGCTCCCCCGCAGACTGGGAGAGGGGGGTAACAGGGAGTCAGTTGGGAATGAGATGTGGAGGATATGCGTGCTGCAACCTGGCTTTTATCTAAGTTGCTAACAGGGCAGGACATATAGGTACGCATGTTTGTGTGAACATACCGCCAGTACGCCATCCTCACTGATCACCAAATACCCCAGTTGATCAGGGATCCTCTCCAGACCCTGTGTCAGAGCGCTAGTAGTCTAAAACACAAACAAATGACATGCATGGACATATGTTAGGATCTGTGGGTGAGATACAATTCTCTGCCACCACAAACTGTTTTCAAGCCTCAAAGGAGATTCATTTTGCATCAACTCTGCTTTTGTGAATAGTAAATCAGAATATAAGCGTTTATACTTGCCATTTTCACTTGTTTTGCCCGATGGTGAAGCCCATCTGCTGCGTTTCCTCTCTTTTTTTCACGTGACTTCATCAGCTGATGTGACGTCACGTCATTCCGATACAGAAGGATTTGATCCTTTATGAGGCATAAAACCAAAACCACTACTTCTTTTACAAAACAATTTAAAGCTATTCAATGTATTGCATTATCATTGAGAGACAGTAATTTTTTTCCTGCTCGTCATTTCATGATGTCTTTTTTTATATAGAGCAGATGACGTTTCTGCGTTTTGTGACAGCTGACATCTCGATCGCTCACCAAAAGCGGAAGTACTGGTCAGCTGACAGCTTCGTGATTCAGAGAAGAAACAAAGTCCAGTCATTGCATGTTTTTGCTGTTTTATGTTGTAGAATTGAATAATGGCTGGGCGAGGTAAATTAATTGCCGTCATTGGTGATGAAGATACGTGTACTGGGTTCCTACTCGGTGGCATTGGCGAGCTGAATAAAAATCGTAAACCGAATTTCTTGGTGGTCGAGAAGGAGACAAGCATCGCAGAGATAGAGGAGACCTTCAAGTAAATTATAGCTAGCTATGTACCTAATTTTGAGATGGAAGATAAATAGCTAAACGCTTGTTTGCACACAGGGTGAAGACAGTTGATGCTCCATTATGTTTGTAATTGCATTGGTGATGTCAGGTGGTATCTAGTTACCACCTGACATCGAAAATTCTCTGTGCTACACCAAACAGTAACTAACCTGTAACTCCCAGTATAATGGATACCATTTTGGGGCGGTTAAATGACATTATTTGGTGTTACAATCTGTAGGTAGGTGGTATCGTGATATCTGTATTCCATTAGGCCTAGTTATGTGATTTGATTAATCATAACACCTTGAAATACTACTACTGTCTCATTCAATCCATATACGTTACTGCTGGGCAACATACCTTGTTGTTTGGTGTTTACAGGCCAGCACTGTAATGTTCAGTCGTAGTCTCTCTAACTTACAAACTTCTGTCATGCCCCCCCCCCCCCCCCCCCCCCCAGGAGTTTCCTGACCCGCAATGACATCGGAATCATCCTGATCAACCAGTTCATAGCAGAGATGATCCGTCACGCCATCGACCAGCACATGGAGTCCATCCCTGCAGTGCTGGAGATCCCCTCCAAGGAGCACCCGTACGACGCCTCCAAGGACTCCATCCTACGCAGGGCTAAGGGCATGTTCTCCGCTGAGGACTTCCGATAAACACACAACACGTACCCAAAGATGCATAGCCATGGTCTGGGCAGGGACAGAGATGGAGGAGGGGGACTTTGGAGACTTTCATGATCCTAAATGTGTTATCTTGCGTAATGCCATGGAAGGCTGTAAAGTATGAATTGGCCTGATGGCAGTTTCATGTGTTATCCATATTGAATGAGTCCATATGTGGTCCCTACAGTCCCACTGTCATCTCTTGCCAGGGTCCTGCTCCATCCATCTGGCAATGCACTTTCTCCAGACCCAATGTTGAATTGTTTGTTGTAATATTTAGTTTTTCATTCCTTTGCCTGGAACATTATGGTATTACTATTAATTGACCACATTGATGGTTGGATTGTTTTATTGTCTATGCCTTTCCGGGTTATTCATCTTGTATTAGATTTTACGCAGGTACTGTATCTTGTAGTGGTCTCATCCAGTCTGTTTTTCAAATGCTTGCTTCATTTTGTCATATCCTTGGGGAGAGTGTGCTTGCATAAGACATCTCAGCAAATAATAGTGGATAGTCATTATTCAGAGCATGCATGTGACAATGACTGTGTTTTAACTTCACATTTGTAATTTATGGAAACATGCCCTATGCCCCTATGTGTATCTTAAAATTTTTTTGTAAAGTAGCATTTCATCATCTGGTGAAATGTACCCTGTGGATTGGAGAATAATATTGTACATCTCATTAACAGAAAATCCACACAGAAAAATCCACAGCTTGAAAAAACGGCATGTTGAGCACTGCAAAATGACTACCTGTCGTAATGTTTTGCGATTGTGACAGTTTTAACTTATACCTGTAAAAAAAAGAAATGAATGTTTAAGAAAATAAATTATTCTATCCAACCTGTGCTTTGTGTAAGTTATTAATGATATTGTCAAGTCCAGCACAACTGTCTTAAATGTTTGATATTAGAAGACAATTGCACTTCAATCTCACAAAAGTCAAAATAATTCCCTGTACGTTCGCTTGGAAGTCTTCATTATTTCATACTGTACAAAATCTTGAAATTAAATCCAGCAATCCTCCATGCTTATTCTAAAGCCTTATAGCGCTAGTGGTTAGTAGCCTGAAGTAGGACAAGAATGTTACATGTCAGTCATAAGACCCCACTACCAACTATACCTATCTCCAACCCTGTCTGCAAAAGAGATCCAAGCTTTCCTGATGATGTGACCAGTTCGTTTATTTTGGGAAGTGGGGTAAAGTTCCCATAAAGCCAAAGTTCGTTTAACATCTCACTGCATAGTTTAGGCAGAAGTGAAGTACTTCCCATCATCTCTGCCAGTGGCAGCCAAGGACAAGCTCACAAGCTTCAATCACTGAAAAAAGTGTAAAAAACCTTAGAGCCCAGTGAATGACAATAAATCAGACTCCGAGTGGTTCCCATGATTAAAGCCTGACACTGAGACTGACCCTGACTTATTACAGTATGTGGGGGCCTGCACACACGGATGCTGTGAACCAACTGGCAAATATTTGAACAACCTTGAGACGGGCCTCATCATTCTTCTTGCTGGACGTGTGAGTCCTTCAATTCTCTCCCATGTTCTTCAGTGAACCAGGGACAAACACCAACACACAAACACAGCTCTGTTCTACTAACTGCACTTTATAAAGATATGGAAGGTTGGCCAAGAGGTGCTCAGTAGGCTATATAAGAGGTCCTCCCAGAATTAACCTGTCCCTGGACCCTGGGGATTTTTTCACAGAACTAACGGCCCTTACGGAGAACAGATGATCCCTGCCTGGTCTCTCGGTGTCATCCTCCTGGGCTACGTCTTTGGATTCCCAGTCCCCTTCAACAGCACTCAGAACGGTTCGAGGTAAGACATCTACCTACAGTACCTGTGGAAATTAGAGGTTGTATGGATGAATAGATGAATAGATGGATAGAGTTGTGACCTGTTAGGCATGTGAATTTTCTTTCCTCTGTAGACAATATGAATATGAGACTCTTCCTCAACTCAACGACAAAGTGGACAACTTTACAGAGTGAGTGTTGGGTTCTAATACTAAAAACTAATAAGAGTTTGACTAAATGTGAGAATAGTGAGACCAACATACTGCTTTGCTCTTTCAGACCCTTTATGTCGAATGACACAGAGTCCAATGAAACAGAGATTCCCTTCCATTTTCAGTGAGTACATTTATGAGTCTATATTTGTATAGTGTTGAAACCAAATGTTGTAAACCATTTAGAAGAAAAAACAGCTACATTGCATCTCATGTTGGGCGACAGGTAGCCTAGCGGTTAGAGAGGCGAGCCAGTTTGAATCCCAGGTCTCAAATCCTAGATGCCATTGCCTACCATTGTGCCCTTAACCCCCCACAACAACAGCTCCCCGGGCGCCCAGTGTGGCAGCCCTCCGCACCTCTCCAAAATCATGTATGTGTGTCTTTCGGAGGGGTTGGATTAAAAGTGGAAGTACAATTTCGGTTGGACCTTGTGTGTAATTGACCAATAAAGTAATCTTAATGTCTTGTTCTATCATTACAGAATGATGCTGCCTATGGAGAATATGAGTCCATTATTGTAAGTCAGCTCTTCAAACTCCCCTTGTCCCCTGAGGGCCAAACACATGTACATTAGCTGTGTAAACACTATTGATTCACGATTGATTCATTTCAATTTTGTTTTACACATGAAGCTGTGTAAACACTATTGACTAGCGATTGACTCTTTTCAATCTTGTTTTACCAGATGTGAAAGAACAAGTTTGATGGATTGACAGACATTTTTCTAAAATATCTCCTCTTTTTTTCTATCTCCTTCAGGGATTACGACCATGCAATACCGTAAGTCTCTCTAAATGTACGCAAGTACAATGCGATTGAATGATTTGACTGAGCACACAAGCCTGTATGTGTCCAACTGTTGTATGTGTGTCCAACGGCACTATTGTTAAAGCAATACTGCATATACATAACCATAACTGTTTCTTTAGCAGCAGCGACACGGTCATTGCTGCATGTCTGACCACCCAGCAGGACCCACTACAGACCTCTAACCTGATACTCCCCTCCTTTCAATCCAGAGGCAGTGCGTCTCTCTGCTACCTTCCCACCTGTATGAACTCTAATCTGGGGTCAGCCCTGCAGAAAGACCAAAGACCCCCATGGGATAGGCAGAAAATGACACTGACACAGCACAGCTTAAATCGACACACAGCTTTTTAATAACACGTTTTTATCACATTGGTTGCAGCATGACCGATAATAGCTTTTGTGGCTCTCTAACATCAGCCACTGAACATGCATTATGATCGTACTGTGTTGGGTGGTTGTTTTTATTGTTATAAAATAAACTGCACTACAACTATTTCTGAAATGAACTGCACCAGAGTTGAAGTAAATTGTGAGCATGAAAATGAAACTGTAGTGCTAGGGGACGTTTAAAGTGGATGAACATTTATAATAGTTAATAAATTACATTCAATGTGTTCTGTACTTCAATGTGTATGTCAAGTACTTCATTGTTTTGTGTAAAGTGGCTAAACCAAATATACTTCACTTATTTTGTACGCAAATAAAAGCTTTTTACAAACCAGGAGTGATGCTATAAATGCCTGCTTTTCACATAAAAATAGAATCATAAATGTCTGTCTGCACTTTCCTTGATTCAATCCACACTCACTCTGGTTCATAACAAATTATAGGCCTTACTCAACCATGAATATCTAGTTGAACAGAATGACACAAAGGGAAACAAAGTACAGACAGACAGAGTAACTGATAAAGTGATAATCTTCTGTTGAATCTCAAGGCCTTGATGTTAGTCCATGACCTGTGTGGGGGGGTTATATACACTGCTCAAAAAAATAAAGGGAACACTTAAACAACACAATGTAACTCCAAGTCAATCACACTTCTGTGAAATCAAACTGTCCACTTAGGAAGCAACACTGATTGACAATACATTTCACATGCTGTTGTGCAAATGGAATAGACAACAGGTGGAAATTATAGGCAATTAGCAAGACACCCCCAATAAAGGACTGGTTTTGCAGGTGGTGACCACAGACCACTTCTCAGTTCCTATGCTTCCTGGCTGATGTTTTGGTCACTTTTGAATGCTGGCGGTGCTTTCACTCTAGTGGTAGCATGAGACGGAGTCTACAACCCACACAAGTGGCTCAGGTAGTGCAGCTCAACCAGGATGGCACATCAATGCGAGCTGTGGCAAGAAGGTTTGCTGTGTCTGTCAGCGTAGTGTCCAGAGCATGGAGGCACTACCAGGAGACAGGCCAGTACATCAGGAGATGTGGAGGAGGCCGTAGGAGGGCAACAACCCAGCAGCAGGACTGCTACCTCCGCCTTTGTGCAAGAAGGAGCAGGAGGAGCACTGCCAGAGCCCTGCAAAATGACCTCCAGCAGGCCACAAATGTGCATGTGTCTGCTCAAACGGTCAGAAACAGACTCCATGAGGGTGGTATGAGGGCCCGACGTCCACAGGTGGGGGTTGTGCTTACAGCCCAACACCGTGCAGGACGTTTGGCATTTGCCAGAGAACACCAAGATTGGCAAATTCGCCACTGGCGCCCTGTGCTCTTCACAGATTAAAGCAGGTTCACACTGAGCACGTGACAGACGTGACAGAGTCTGGAGACGCCGTGGAGAACGTTCTGCTGCCTGCAACATCCTCCAGCATGACCGGTTTGGCGGTGGGTCAGTCATGGTGTGGGGTGGCATTTCTTTGGGGGGCCGCACAGCCCTCCATGTGCTCGCCAGAGGTAGCCTGACTGCCATTAGGTACCGAGATGAGATCCTCAGACCCCTTGTGAGACCATATGCTGGTGCGGTTGGCCCTGGGTTCCTCCTAATGCAAGACAATGCTAGACCTCATGTGGCTGGAGTGTGTCAGCAGTTCCTGCAAGAGGAAGGCATTGATGCTATGGACTGGCCCGCCCGTTCCCCAGACCTGAATCCAATTGAGCACATTTGGGACATCATGTCTCGCTCCATCCACCAACGCCACATTGCACCACAGACTGTCCAGGAGTTGGCGGATGCTTTAGTCCAGGTCTGGGAGGAGATCCCTCAGGAGACCATCCGCCACCTCATCAGGAGCATGCCCAGGTGTTGTAGGGAGGTCATACAGGCACGTGGAGGCCACACACACTACTGAGCCTCATTTTGACTTGTTTTAAGGACATTACATCAAAGTTGGATCAGCCTGTAGTGTGGTTTTCCACTTTAATTTTGAGGGTGACTCCAAATCCAGACCTCCATGGGTTGATAAATTTGATTTCCATTGATAATTTTTGTGTGATTTTGTTGTCAGCACATTCAACTATGTAAAGAAAAAAGTATTTAATAAGATTATTTCATTCATTCAGATCTAGGATGTGTTATTTTAGTGTTCCCTTTATTTTTTTTGAGCAGTGTATGTATACTGTATGTAGGCGATGAACCCCAGCTGAGTAAACAAGAAATGTTCTATAACTTGAAGTGACTGAGAGTAGTTTAACTCACTACTGATATCCCCTCTGTATCCACACAGGCTAGAGGAGACCTATGTTCCTTAGAACAGCACTGACACAGAATATGGCTCAACATGAGTAAGATCATTGGTGGAAAGGGTTGTGTCTATGCTATATAAAATATATACTGTTATAGTTGAACTCTGTTGTTTCTCTTTTGCCAACAAGTCTGAGGAGCTGATGCAGAGTCGGAACAAGACAGATAGCAACTCAACATTACCTATGTGAGTTGTCTTATACTATTATTATAAACATGCACATGTTCCAATGTCATTAATTATTTATTTCCCCTCTACTGCACATGGACACAGGTACAAGGGTCCTCCACTGTAAGTATGTGTATTCAGTCACTCATCATACATTTGATCAGTAGGTGGCGCTTTATCTCTAAAGTAAGGGAAGACAAAAAGCATTACTAAACTGTACATCATTGAAGTGAAATCAATGTTTCCTCTGTCCTTCTTGGAAACTGTTTTTAGGCGCTGCGTGGTGAGTCTCTGTGCCCTAAATAATCTAGGCCATGCTACTGAACCAGGACGAGAGCGCAGGCAGGGCAACCAGAGACCCACATGGCAACGGCAAGAGATGAGAGGAAGAGCAGTGGAGGAAGATGAGAAGAAGTGTGATATGGGGCCTCATACAGGAGCTGCTGGCTGTGCTCTATTTCTCTGAAACCATTACTTTTCTTTGCCTGCTTTCCTTTGTCACCACTGATCTGGAAGGACAAGAGGATTGAGAGAAACGTTGAAATATTGTAGTCACTACACCTGCCTATAGCTTATGTGCACCACTTGGTGATGGAGGAGAGGACACACTAGGAGAGGAGTTGTACAGAGAGTGTAATTTGTGTGCGGTAAACTTAAAAAGTTGCTATTTATTAAAGACAGATTAATAATTTTCTTCTTAATTAATTTCAGATGATCCACTTTTAATAAAGAAAATTATCAAATATTTGTCACTGTGTGACGCAGGGCCGGCTCCAGGCATTTAGGGCCCCCGCCCCCAATCGGGGTCTCAACTGTTGAGAGTTAGAATATTAGAATACACAAGATGCAAGTTCGATATGTGATTGTGCAGTCACCCATGTCAGCTAACAATTTTTAGATTGGTAAATTAGTTTAGCCGGGTCTCTAAACTTGTAGTAATCATGGCCGAATAATGACCGCCTCCAGGGGGACCCCATTGATTAGTCACTCTCACTCAGATATCATTAACATGGCATAAGTCATGGCAAAATGTGTAGAATTGCATGAAAGTTGTTATAAAATTGTAAAATGTTCTCTCCGCAAAATGTGTAGAACTGCAGAAAATGGGTGGAGCCGGCCGTGGTGTGACGACATGAACCTATTGTTACGCAAATGTTTGGAGAGGTTTCCCGAGCGCGCCATGATACCCCCACCCATTTTGGTGAAGGAAAAGTCCATCCTACATCCCGTGAAATGTCTCTTGCACATTTAATGTGATGGGGATTGTATTGTTGCTGAATGTATCCAGATAATAAAAGGATATTCAAAATATTTTATTGCTGTGGGTGACAGTTAACCTCAATACGCAAGAAGGCTAGCTGGCTTTTGGGAAGAGCAGCAGACATGGATTCTCAAAAACAGGAGTTTTGGAAGGAGGCTATTTTGAAAGAAAAATTTGTCAGACTAAATTGGTTTCGAGATAACTGGATCAAACCTAAACTTGTCAAAAAGGTGGGTGAAAAACGAGGGATGAAACTGCCACAAATCAACGAACCTCAACGTGAAGCCAAAACGGTGAAAACGCTGACCAGAGAAGTGGCGCAGGTCAAAAGTAGAGACGAGAAGGTCCCTATCGATGTAATGCGGCCGGTTTCGGAAGAGACTCGGGATGTGTTGTATGATGGCTTTTCGGTAGAGGAGACTGGACGCTACAAATACCTCCTCCTCAGGAAGCGCAAGGATCCTGAGGTCAAGTACCTCTACCCTATAACCAGCAACTGGCAGTATGGATGGGGTCTGGGTAATTTTTATTTATTTAAATTATTAGGATTAATTGTTGATTAACCAATTAAACAAGCATTCTAGCAACATGGTAAAACCACTCATCATGGATTTGAAATGTTTAAATGTTTTCAACTTTGAAATAGCCAAAATTAACTGACACATCACATGCAATGGGGCATACAGTAGAAAAACGATTCAGGGGGTGACATCATGGTCCTGCCCAGCTTTTATATCTGCTACTTCCATGTCTAATCTCCGGTTGTCATGGTAACTGTCCCTGCTGTGCTCCCTCTGAATGCAGGTGACATGAACAAGGCCTACGTCCCGATGTACGCACTCAACGCCATTGTGAAAGAGAGCTTCTTCCGCAAGAACGGCATCTTCCCTCACTCCGCCACCTCAGACACCGTGGCGTGATGGTGCCCACCGGAGATCACACAGGACCCAACTGACAATACAGACACACCACCAACACCTGCACTGGTTTTATTGTGTATTCATCCTATTCTGTGAAGACGAAAATCGTCATTCAGCTGCTAAATAGAATGTGTAAAATAAAAGCATGGTTATGGAAACTTGTGCCACTGGAGTTTGAGATGGATATTGCCAGGTTGGCCTATGTGCCCTCCACATGCCCCTCCCCCCTTTCAACACACTGTCTAAATGATAAGTAACTAAATTATCAATGTGAAGTAATGCACCAGACACTCAGACCTTTGCCCCTGTTGGCTATGAGGCTATGGCCTAATGTCATTAATCATTCACCTGCTAGATTAATATCATATTAAGTCCTGCTTTTCACAAATGGGCAGATCAGCTTACTTTCACCTGGCTGCCACAGGTGGGCAAGGAGAGTTGGTCTGCAGTCAGGGATGAGTGAACCAACGCTGAGCCCAGACAATAGAGTGGATTCTGTTACAGTTGGCTACTCTGGTAACAGGGAGAGGGATTGATGGCCAGACACTGGCCCTGAGGTAAGGGGGCATGCCCACCAGCCCCCTTACCTCCCCTCTCTCTAATTAGAGGGATGTAAATGTATCCCCTCACCACAGTTTGATAGGTAGTAGCCTATTAAAGGCAGACTATTCTGATGTGTCTAACATACAACATAACAATGAGCTTTCTCTTCTCCTTACATAATTATATTGCTGCCTGTTCAAACAGCCCTAAGTCAGTGAGCCCAATAAAGCTCATGCTGTGAGTCTATTAGTCCAGTCACCACAAGGGGGAGCCCACACCTCACAATAGACAGAGCAGTGAGCATTATGACGATATGGCAGCTCAGTCAAAAGCCTCTCTGAAATTACATGAATGATCATTCAAAGCAATGTACTGTAACCCAAGGGACAAAGGCTGGCATTTATGTGAAATTTAACTACCCTAATTTAGTATCTACTTTTGTCAGTCAAAGACTCTACTTGAATCACAGCATTGACCACCAGACAACAACACAGGGGAGAATGACCTCCAGAGAGTGCCACTGTTCTTTCATAGACGGATCAATGCCAATACTCTATTGTTACACAGAGCATAAGTGTAGATATTGTCAAAAAAATGTGAGACGTGCCATGGCAATTCACTGCATTGGCACTTTAGCTATCAAACAAATTGGAAATGACAGGCTCCTCTTATTCCTAGTCTGATGATGCTCACTCTCTCTCGTCACAGGGCCCCATCAGGACAGCAGGCTGTGCTCTGTCAGATAAATGGCTCTCATTACCCACCCAGACACCCACTGAGAGACAGCATTAGCACAGGCAGCCAAATGTCACCAAAGCCAGATTCCGAAGCTCTGTGATGGGAGCAGTGGGCATGGAAATATACTGAACAAAAATATAAATGCAACATGTAAAGTGTTGGTCCCATGTTTCATTAACTGAAATAAAAGATCCCAGAAATTATCCATACGCACAAAAAGCTTATTTCTCTCAAATGTTTAAAATACATTTGTTTACATCCCTGTTTGTGTGCATTTCTCCTTTGCCAAGATAATCTATCCACCTGACAGGTGTGGCATTTCAAGAAGCTGATTAAACAGCATGATCATTACACAGGAACACCTTGTTTTGAGGGAGTGTGCAATTGGCATGCTGACTGCAGGAATGTCCACCAGAGCTGTTGCCAGAGATTTTAATGTTTGTTTCTCTACCATAAGCCACCTCCAACGTTGTTTTAGAGAATTTGGCAGTATGTCCAACCAGCGTCACAACCGCAGACCATGTGTAACCACGCCAGCCCAGGACCTCCACATCCGGCTTCTTCACCTGCTGAGGCGTATTTCTGTCTGTAGTAAAGCCCTTTTGTGGAGAAAAACTCATTTTGATTGGCTGGGCCTGGCTCCCCAGTGGGTGGGCCTAGCTCCCAAGTGGGTGGACCCTTGCCCAGTCATGTGAACTCCATAGATTATGGCCTAATGAATTTATTTCAATTGACTGATTTCCTTATATGAACTGTAACTCAGTAAAATCTTTGAAATTGTTGCATGTTGCATTTATATTTTTGTTTAGTATATCATTACTAGAATGGTCAAATTGACTTGAATGAGGATCCCCATGTTAGTAATTATATTTATATGGCAGAGGAGCCTCCGTACACTTGGCTATTAGCAGTGCGTCACCCAGTCGCATCTCCCATTGACCTCGCTGTGACCTCCAAGTGGAGAGTTTCCCAGACAGTGATGGAGTGAGTGTGTCACTCAGAGGAAGGAAAAAAAGTGCATAAGTGTTTCCAGGACACTGGCAATGTTGCAGGCTTCTTAGAAGCTGGTAGATGATTATTGTCCCAATCAGTGAGTGAATCAGCGTGTCGTTTTCGATGACAGTAACCCCCATATCCTGAAGTGACAAGAAAAAGTCCTTGTGAATGGACACGTGTGATGAGGGGGTGTTTAGAATCAATATTGGAGACAAATTGGCTAAATTGGAAGAGCCACAGGACTGATTGCTCATTTGTAAGAGTGGGAGGGGTAGAAAAGGTCCCCCTATGGCTTCTTCCAAGTTCACAGGGGAGAAAATGGAGCCTAATGTAAACTGTATGAAGGCTGGGGGGTGGTTTGGTTTCCCAGTCCACCTCAGTCCACAGCAGGTTTCCATGGTGAGGTGAAGTCACAACAAAGTGGATTAAGCCTCTTACTGTATTGCTGCTACAGAGCTCTAGACCTGTTCAGAAGTTTCTGGAGTAAAAATCTTGTACTGTTATTGCTCTTTTTCTAATGACTGATTCATCAAATGTTTACAATGTGAAACAAAAAGGAACTGCAGTGGGTGCTATTGATTCCAACTAGTTTTCTCAGACATTGCTATTTTGCCTTAACCGGAGACATCTAGATCAGTGGTTGAATAGAGCTAAAATCAAATCAAATCGTATTTGCCTCATGCGCCGAATACAACAGGTGTAGACATTACAGTGAAATGCTTACTTACAAGCCCTTAACCAACAATGCATTTGTTGGTTAAGTATTTTTATTTTTAAAGAATAAAAACAAATAAATAAAGAGCAGCAGTAAAATAACAGTAGGGAGGCTATCTACGGGGGGTACCGGTGCAGAGTCAATGTGTCGGGGCACCGGCTAGTCGAGGTAATTGAAGTAATATGTACATGTGGGTAGAGTTAAAGTGACTATGCATGAATAATAAACAGAGTAGCAGCAGCGTAAAAGAGGGGGATGGTGTGAGGGTGGGGGGGGCAGTGCAAATAGTCTGGGTAGCCATGATTAGCTGTTCAGGAGTCTTATGGCTTGGGGGTAGAAGCTGTTGAGAAGCCTTTTGGAACTTGACATGGCGCTCTGTACCGCTTGCCTTGCGGTAGCAGAGAGAACAGTCTATGACTAGGGTGGCTGGAGTCTTTGACAATTTTGAGGGCCTTCCTCTGACACCGCCTGGTATAGAGGTCCTGGATGGCAGGAAGCTTGGCCCCAGTGATGTACTGGGCCGTATGCACTACCCTCTGTAGTGCCTTGCGGTCGGAGGCTGAGCAGTTGCCATACCAGGCGGTGATGCAACCAGTCAGAATGCTCTCGATGGTGCAGCTGTATAACTTTTTGAGGATCTGAGGACCCATGCCAAATCTCTTCAGTCTCCTGAGGGGGAATAGGCTTTGTCGTGCCCTCTTCACAACTGTCTTGGTGTGTTTGGACCATGATAGTTCGTTGGTGATGTGGACACCAAGGAACTTGAAGCTCTCAACCTGTTCCACTACAGCCCTGTTGATGAGAATGGGGGCGTGCTCATTCCTCTTTTTTTTCCTGTAGTCCACAATCATCTCCTTTGTCTTGATCACGTTGAGGGAGAGGTTGTTATCCTGGCACCACACGGCCAGGTCTCTGACCTCCTCCCTATAGGCTGTCTCATCGTTGTCAGTGATCAGGCCTACCACTGATGTGTTGTCAGCAAACTTAATGATGGTGTTGGAGTTGTGCCTGGCCATGCAGTCATGGGTGAATAGGGAGTACAGGAGGGGACTGAGCACGCACCCCTGAGGGGCCCCCGTGTTGAGGTTCAGCGTGGCAGATGTGTAGTTACCTACCTTTACCACCTGGGGGCGGCCCGTCAGGATGTCCAGGATCCAGTTGCAGAGGGAGGTGTTTAGTCCCAGGATCCTTAGCTTATTGATGAGCTTTGAGGGCACTATGGTGATGAACGCTGAGCTGTAGTCAATGAATAGCATTCTCACGTAGGTGTTCCTCTTGTCCAGGTGGGAAAGGGCAGTGTGGAGTGCAATAGAGATTGCATCATCTGTGGATCTGTTGGGGCGGTATGCAAATTGTGGGTCTAGGGTTTCTGGGATAATGGTATTGATGTGAGCCATGACCAGCCTTTCAAAGCACTTCATGGCTATAGACGTGAGTGTTACAAGTCGGTAGTCATTTAGGCAGGTTATCTTAGTGTCCTTGGGCACAGGGACTATGGTGATCTGCTTGAAACATGTTGGTATTACAGACTCAGTCAGGGACATGTTGAAAATGTCAGTGAAGACACTTGTCAGTTGGTCAGCACATGCTCGGAGTACACGTCCTGGTAATCCATCTGGCCCTGCGGCCTTGTGAATGTTGACCTGCTTAAAAGTCTTACTCACATCGGCTACGGAGCGCGTGATCACATTGTCATCTGGAACAGCTAGAGCTCTCATGCATGCTTCAGTGTTGCTTGCCTCGAAGCGAGCATAGAAGTGATATAGCTCGTCTGGTAGGCTTGTGTCACTGGGCAGCTCGTGGCTGTGCTTCCCTTTGTAGTCTGTAATAGTTTTCAAGCCCGGCCACATCCGACGAGCATCAGAGCCAAACAGTCCTGTAGCTTAGCATCTGCGTCATCTGATCACTTTTTTATTAACCGAGTCACTCGTGCTTCCTGCTTTAGTTTTTGCTTATAAGCAGGAATCAGGAGGATAGAGTTATGGTCAGATTTGCCAAATGGAGGGTGAGGGAGAGCTTTGTATGCGTCTCTGTGTGTGGAGTAAAGGTGGTCTAGAGTTTTTTTTCCTCTGGTTGCACATTTAATATGCTGGTAGAAATGAGGTAGAATGGATTTAAGTTTCCCTGCATTAAAGTCCCCAGCCACTAGGAGCGCTGCCTCTG